GGAGCTGTGTTTAGTCTGACAGAAAAAAATGACATCATACTGATGTCTTCAGGGTCATTCAAGTGTGATCTTTCATGTTACACATTCAAAACATGGAGTTGTGGGTATGAGAGGGGAAGAGTCTATCAAAGGTATAATCAATCTAAGTACATTATGCGAGGTGTGGATAACAGCCTTACAGATGACCTCAGTAATAGAATCTCTACACCTGAACTTTGAATTTTGACTTATAAGTGTTAGTCCGTCTCCTGGATAGGAATGTGTTTTTCTAAGCTAAGCAATTACAAGTCATCATCCATATTAGTCAGCACCAGAATTGCTAGTCGGTTAGAAGTATCCAAAATATTTTTATAATTTGAAATGCTGCTCATATGTCATGTGGGGCTGTAGCTGTGTTTAATGCTTTACCACAAGAACAGATGAAGGATGGGATCCAGTAGCCCTGTTTTGTTTGGCATGTTTTTGATTTTAAAAGTGGAAATAAAGTTGTATGTAAGATGTATCTGGGTAAACTAGCATGACTACCTGATCAGAGCAACGCATAAGCAGGTCAGACATGTGACTTTAGCTGGTGGTGCTAGCTCTACTAACACACATGCTGCAAACCGGTTACAAATCACACACTCCAAGACTCTGTAATCTCATGTTTTCCTATGTTTGTTAAATTGTTTTGACTATTTACTGAGAATTTTCTTACCTGTTGACTCACCGATTGGTAGGTTATTGAATTTCCACACAAATGAGTCCAAAATTAGTTGCTTCAGGATATCTGTACTCCTGCAGGTCTCTGAATGCTTTGTCACTCTCTCTCTCTTTGTGTTTTAATTTTCCTTTAAAAGCAATTCAACACTAAAATATAAGAAAATGAAAAGAGTGACACTACTGTGACTCAAAATATCATGCCTCCTTATACAATCCAAAGATGACAAGTGTTTGCATACATGAAGAGAAATAAGATAAACCTCCAATATACGGATTCTTATATTTTCTGTTTAATATCTTATATCTATGTAAACAGTTAAATCTTGGTTATGAAAGATGGAAGTTATTTCATATTGGTCTAAGTTTTTTTCTACAATAACAGTCATTGCAATATATTTAAGAAGAGTGGTTCTGAGGCTGAGGGGCAGCAATTCTTCTGATTAATTATGTTTCTACCTTTTGAGGAGTTACTTGGTCGATTTAATGCCAAAAAGTTTGTAAAAAATTACATAAAAAGAAACAGTCAAATGCCTGTATATAAGAATTGGATTTTAAAAATAAGTATCAAGTTAAAAAGATGCAATGCAATTCATAACTTGAAATAAAGAAAAGTCTTCTTGAAACATATTACTCGGTCTGATCAAAGGACCAAAGTTTAAGGTGATACAGTTCAGTTTAAGAAACATAAAGAGAAGCAGGAATAGCTTACATGTAACATAAAAGTGTATATACAATCTGTTATGTAATCAGTCTATCAGTACAGGAGCAGGTAGCTCTTCTGTCAGTTAGAGACACCGAACTGATGAATCCTTTCAGCTTCAGGACTGAGACACCGACTAAAATGTTGTTTACAGTACGCAGCATGAAAGTACAAAGGGAAAGTGGAGCAAAGTGATGGGAGGGAACATGTTCTGCCTCTGAGCTAAAAACAATCATCTTTCCTGCTAAGAGAATTACTTCTCAGTCCAAAACACCTTAAATTCCTCCACAGTGATGATCACAGGCCAGATGAAAACTTTATACCCACAAAGCCAGAAGCAGAGCTTATAAATCCTTAATTTTTCCACCTGATGGCAGCCACACACATCACTCTCATGCTGCCGTACAAACACTCTCCCTCCATCATTTCTGATGCCATCTCTCCCTCTCTCTGTGACAAGCTGCACCTGCTCTCTCTTTAAACAAATAACACACACTGAAACCAGTTACACATAACTGCAATGCTAGTGATTCTGAAATTCCTGCACCAGTGGCCAGCGGTATCCATCTTTATTACTTTTCTAAACCTATTGACCTGATGCCGCTCAACCTCAGGGGAAAGAACCTGTTTGGGAGCTCCAGGAGGTCCACAACAGAAAAAAAAATCCATTACTGCTCACCCAGACATGGGGATCCACTGGACTAGACTGGAGAGATAGGCTTCAAATGTCAGCATCTGCCATGTCTGTCACACATCCATCAGTCCCAGTGCTCTATGGCCCTGTGTGGGCCTCCCCTCACAGGGTCCAGTGTGTGCATTCAGTCCTAATGTCTCATCCTTTGTGGGTTCAGAACGTCTGAATCATCCACTTCCTGTCAGAAAAAGCTCAGTCAGAGTCTGAAAACACTCGTCACTTTTAATTCTTTTCATTAATCCATCTCAACCATCAGCTTGGCCCATTTAATACCCCTAAACCAAAATCTGGCTGCACAGGCTTGCTATTTTCTTGATTTTAGTCACATATCTGGACTGAATTTGGGCTCACCGGGTAAGCAGGGACAGTCCCTGACAGCTTTTGTACACACCGGTTTTCTTCTGCAATCGAGACACGCTGCACAGTATGTGTAGTTTGGCGCTGCACTCAATGACCCCAAATTCGCAGCTGCTCTCACCCAGCCCTGCTCTCCTCTGTACCTGTACCAACATACAGAAAACAGCACCGGACACACCGCATCCTGTTTATCTGCTTGTGTTAGCCTATTAGAGCATGTGTATGGTATGACTTTAGTTGTATGCAGCTCCAAGGTCAAGCCAGACTGAATGGTAATTGGGTTCATTTTGTAATTTGGCTATATTTCAGGCAGATGGTGAAGTGACATGCCTGTACAAAACATCCTCGGACAAAACATCATAATATTTAGTTTGATTTACAGCTTTGAGGTATTTTGAAGCAGCCTTTTTCAAAGCTGCAAATCGTGTTTTTGTTTTGTAAGAGACTGCCAAATAACTGACATAACATCTCCTTTCCAAATGAAATGTCTTGTCAGTCCAGGTTTAACATTTCCTGTTTAGTAAGGCAGCTTTTTCATTTTATATTCCTCCTGGAAATATTGGAAGACACATTGAAGCCAGTCAAGCAACTGCAAACCTTTTCATTTTTGCAGCCTGGTAACTGCTATTTATCGATATTTCTTTCAGCTTGAGGCGGTGTGGTGAAAGAATAGGTCTCTCAAGGTGTGTGATGCACGTTTCTAGTGACTGTCACGCCCGGATAAAAAGAGGGGGAAATAGTGCCCACTAACCTTACATTCACGTTTAAATCACAACCTCTCGACCCTTTCGGTGGAGGTGTTATAAAGGATGTGGGATGGGATGGTTTATCAGGTATTATGGATGTTAAAAAAATAACACACATCTAATGAACCGGTTCCCCTCATCCAGACGCCTGCTGCCTCTCCCGCACCTCAAAGACGCGCCAACACATCCTCACCTGGCTGCGCACAAACACACACACTCACATCACTAGCGTATTCACCGCCCATTCACACACAGAATCACACATGCACATAGCTCAGGCTCACCATAACCCCTGCTCTGCTCTTTTTTTTATCCGTAAACATGCAGATGTTTTCCAGCACGGCCTTGCAGAATAAACCCTCTGCTCCCACTGACACTGCTGCTGCTGCTGCTGTGTGCTAGTGTAGGTATTTGATGAACATCGTCGTGCATGCCCCAGCACTCGCAGTCAGCTGATGGAGGCTTGTTTTTTGGTGAAATATTCATCAGCTCTTGTCACGACTGAAACTTAAACACGGGCTGGCGCGGCGGTCATCACATATCTACATCTCGATGGTGCTCAGTGCTAAAAAAAAAAACAGGCCATCTATCCACCGTCATGGACTGTGGGGCTTCAAGGTTGAATTATTTCGCTGGTGGACACACGGCGACTCACTGTCAACCTTGCATTTGTTGAAATTTACGCGTAAAAACGCCATGAGGCCAGAGGTTTTCCTCCGCAGTACAGCATATTTTCTGCTGCTCATTAGGTAGACAGTGCATTTGGGTTATGACAGCTGTTTATAAAGGCTATGTGATGTGATGTAAGCAGCTGATGCGGTGATATATGGAGTAAAAACACAATATTAAGGAAGGTGTATTCCTACCTTAGTAACCGGGGGAGCCTATGGCTGGCGCAGAGGCAGACTATGCCGATATCCAGAAGCCCAGGCTCGTAAAAATCAGACAACAACAACACCACGCCGGTTGTTGATGACACAGCTGTCTTGGTAGACGGGAGGGAAAGAAAAACCCGCTTTCCCAGATGTGTCAATTGACGTGGAGATGAAAAATCAGTAATTCAGACGCATATCACCGGAATGACGCCTTTTCTTGACGTGAAAGGTCTTCCATTTTTATGATAAACAGTGCACTGTACCTACTACCGAGGCAGCTCGCTGTAGCCTGGCCGGTGTGAGATCTGATTGAAAACCATGATGCAATTCAATGCGACGTTACAAAACCTATCTCTGTAAAACGACATCCTTGTTTTTTTTTTATTTAGCGGGTTTCCATTAAGCCTCCTGCACGCGACCTCCGCGACAGTTACACGCTCTGTGAGAGGGGGGAAGAAAAAAAAACACGTCAAAACAAAAATGCGCAGATATGAGCGCGCGGTGCTGGTTCACGCGCTGGGCATCCTCACACTGTGTGTTTGCATCCGTATTAATATTCAACCAGGACTTCCCGAGAGCAGACCGGTGTTTTTTTTTTCCTCTCTTGCTGTTTTTTTAAGGGAAAATACAAATAAGGCAGCAGAGCAGAGGTGGTTTTGAGTCCAGCTGCGACGAGGGTCTGTTATCTTCCTCTGGTTGTTATCAGCAGAGCGAGATGAAATGTCCTTCCTCGGCTCATATTTAGCAGCAGCCGCGCGCTCATTTAATGTCCGCGTTGATTCCTGATAAAGTGGCGGGAGATTTCATTTACCTATGATGAACACGGACTCCATTTTTTTTTTTTACTAGTAACACCAATACTGAAAAACAAAAAGAGAAAACGGCCACATATGAAAAATGTTAGGACTACCAAGCATAGATACACAGAGTATAAATCCATAAGTACCACAGCAGAGTTATTCCTCATTGATTTTTCACGACATTTGGTTTGATAGTGTCAACAAAAGCAAGAAAGTAAGACGGTTATAAGTGAGGGCAATTCGACAAAAAAGGCAAAAAGTGAGAGACTCTCGAGACAAAATTTACTTTTACAGTTTATTTCAAGTATAGTAGGCTAAGCTGTAAATGTGTTTTATTTTTTGCCTTTGCCTCTTTTTTTGGTCTTGAACTCACAAGACCAGATAGTCAACACATGGCATGTGTGGCGCAGACACGCCCCCCTAAAGCCTACAGGAGATGTAAAGGTGAAGGCAGCTGAGAGAGTGAAACATCCAATTTGAACAACAGAGGGGCGGATTAGGAGTGTGTGAGCATTCTGTGTACACACACAGAGACAGACACACACTCCTCTAAACGTGTAGGGTTAGTGTATCAGCACTCATATCTTTGGACTGAGGATTTGTACAGTAATGTGCAAAGGTCAAGGTATGTCAGAGAGAGGTCTGCTCAGCCATCAGGTAAGACTTCTGGTGAAAGTTCAATCCAAATATTTCATCGATTGATTGGGTTTTTTTCTTTCAAACCACAGTAAAGGTTGGCTGCTCTTACTAAAAGAAATGTGGTTAGACCTGTCGTTCTTGCAGAGAGCAGTGTAAAGAAGTGTGCATTGCGACAACTCACCAATGGATCAGTTACTAATCATACATTTTAAATACAGGGATATTTGATGATATCTGACTTTTTTGATCGTAAACCTTTGTATAGTAAAAATGCAACCACAGCCTTTTCATTAAGGTATATTTCTCCATGAAGTTTTCATTTGTTTACTACCATTGCAACTAAGAAGAGTCAATTCCAATGTGTACTTTTCCTTTACACTTTCAATAAGTACAGATATTGCACACAGAATTGCTTTGACTACTTCTGTCTGTCATTTTGAGGGGCCTCTCTGGTCATGTTTATCCCGCACATGTGCCTTCACTTAGGTTGTTTAATTAGCTCTCTTCACTGCTCTTTGTGGGTGTGCAACAAAAGGCACTCCACTGACATCTCCCTCACTGTGCTTTTCAGTTGGGTTGCACCTTGTTATGATGGGACGACCCACGTCTTCATTTCATTGGTTCATAGAGCGACATCACAGGCTCCAACCAACTTCAGCTGAAGATCTAATCAGCCAGAAAAATTTAAAACACCTGTGCAGAGATTTTAACAAGAGTCCTTTCAGTAGCAGACACACATATATATTTCTAAAAGCTTCAAATAAGATGGCTGTAAGATAAACCTCTGTTCTATTAATGTTTCAGTAAACCCTGTGAGCATCGACGCAGTAGAAATATTGCTGTTTCCTCTAAGTTTAACATTAAAAGTCCTTCTGGTTGAGTTTGCAGAGTCCTTTCACTTTAAAAGTGACTTGTATTGTGAAACATCAACAGGAAGTCTTTGACTTTGATGACTTGACAACCTGAAAGCTTGTAAAACTGGTTGAATGCTATTAAACTGAATTAATGTAGACATACTAGACAGAGGGAATTGTACCTCAGACTCCTCTTGATGAATCTGGTGTATTTTATCTCAGCACGGTTTAAACAACTTGTTTAGGAACGAGGCTACTGAAGTATGAGATCTGACACTTATCCATGTTGGCTAAAGGAGAGACCTAAAGCAGAGAAGACACACGACATACAACTCTAATCTAATCGTTGACAACATTACACAGATCCAGTTTATGAACTCTCTCAAGTATAAATCTCTGCCATGTTTTATCTCATGACATTGCTCGCTTGTGTGCCAAAGTATCGGGGGAGTGGATTTGTTATCAGCAGCTTTACATGATCTGGTCAAAGTGCGTGTTGCATGTCAGGCTTTTCCTCAGCTGGTCAATCTGCATCCATTCAAAAAACTCTGGAATAAACTTTGACAAGGTAATGTGTTCAAAAGGAAACTTCAAATTTGTTCTCCAGCATGGCTGTTAATGACTTTTAGCCAAAGGTAGTTTGCTGTCGTACAAGCTTGACTCTGTTCTTTTAGTGAGTGAAATGAAACTATCTTACTGTCTAAGTTTGCCTCTGAGCTTGTTCATGAGCGAGTCACTTCATCAAGCTGCTGCATGCTTTGCAAGTTTGTGAGTCCATGACTTCCCCAAAGGAAGATCACAAGCTGAAGTGCTGATTAGTGGTTCAGTCTGATCTCTGTCACAAAGGCATTTATCATACATTTTTAGATAAAGAAACTTCTGTCATTTCTACTGCTGCTCGAACTGTAACCTTTCATGAATGAAAGCACTGTTTCAAATGGAAGTAATTGCTGGATATTGATGATGTGGCCTCCAGGTTGCAGGAATGACTAAAGAAAAAACTCAATGGAAGGAGTTTATAGAGGCAATAAGTGTTCTGCAATGGGTGCTATCTTTCCTATTCCTCGGTAAGGATTATCCACAAACACCCCCCTTTTATAAAATACATGTAGTTGTGACATTATCTGTAAAACACTGTGAGCTAATTGTTAACATGTCTTGTAACCCTCAACATGGACTGTGACCCCACAAATACATTTCCAGGAGTGTCGTGTAGCATCTTAATGGTGTACTTGATGTTTACCTCATTATGGCCGCTCTCCACTCTGTACTTCATTTGGCTGGTGTTGGACTGGCAAACCCCTGAAAAAGGTAATAATAATAATAATAATAAATTGAATTTATATAGTGCCTTTCAAAGAATTCAAGGAAATTTTTATCTATTTATACATAAAGAATAATATTGATTGATGTATACTAGCTACAAGTAAGATGAGCAATAACATAACCCCAATACTGGTATTGATTAATAATACGATATAAACAGAGTATAAGTGTAAAGTTAAATTATCAGCTACATCAAAATTGACTTAACTCTGTGTATGAAGCATGATCACATGTTTATTGTACACATTTTTTCATTACAATAAAATGTAAAAACAACAAATGACATAATTCATTGTTGGTCAAATGTGTATGTGCTGGCTGTTTTGACTCCCCACAAACTCAAAGTCCTAACAGTTTTTATTTAAAAAAAATGCAGAAACAAATTTATTAGTACATTTCTTAACATTTAGGACCAAAGTTTGTGGTTGAAAATTAGGATGTACTCTCAAAACCAAAAATTTAAATGTCTTCTTCAGGGGGCTGGAATAAACGCTATGTGAGAAAGTGGAAAGTATGGGAGCACATGAGAGATTTCTTCCCTATCAAGGTAAGCTCATCTTTACATCTTAAACTGGGCTTTTCCCTGTTGTATGATTTAGTTAAAGTTGGTTGAAGCACATTTATGAGAAAGAGAAAACCCTTTTGGAAACAGATAATCCTGACGACATGTTATCTTATTTTACACACGAACATAAAGCACTGGCGTAAACATTTCAAACTTCAAGGATAAACTCGACAAGTGAAATTAGATATTGAAAATCAATGTTTTTTGTTTTTACAAATTACAACATTTCACTGAGATAGTGATATAGAAATCCATCTTTAGGACAAAAACTTTTCATTATGAAGGATTCTAATCAGCACACTTGTATCAGCACCAGAAACTACTTCTAATACAGTATTCATATTGGAGCTGTCATTCTATTACATGATATACTGTCAGAGTTTTTGTGTTTACCAGCAGAGACTGGCTTTGACCGAACCTTTCTGTCTGTGTTGCTCTCGCTCAGCTGGTAAAAACAGCTGACCTGAATCCAAACAAGAACTACATCTTAGGGTGTCACCCGCATGGTATCATGAGTGCTGGAGGCTTTACCTGCTTCAGCACGGAGAGCTGTGGCTTCGCCGAGCTGTTCCCTGGAGTGAGGGCCACCCTGGTCATACTGGCAGGACTCTTCAGGTTACCGCTTTTCAGGGAGTACATCATGTGTGCAGGTATTTACAACATTAATCAGTTAAAACAATTCAACCTTCGAAATATATCCGGAAACAATTTTAGTGGGTATGTGGTAAAAAGTGTGAAAGGGATGAGCTGGTTGAGGGTGACATTTTAATTTTTGAACCTTAAATACATCCAGTTTTATTATGAGTGAAACAAGTCCCGCAATTGTGTATTTAATTGTAGTTCCAATCCTGTCTTACTTTCAGGTATGTGTCCAGTCAGCAAGCCGAGCATTGCCCACCTCCTCTCACAGAGTGGCAAGGGAAATGCGGTAGTGATTGTCATAGGGGGCGCTGCTGAGTCTCTGGCATCCGCTCCTGGAATCAACACAGTAGTCATGAAGCACAGAAAAGGTTTTGTCAGAGTGGCCCTTGAGTTTGGGTGAGTGCACGCTTTAAAAAAATGTGTCAGTTGTCAGTGGGTGTTATTGTACTCACATGTAGCAAGGAGCCTCCCACACACACACGCACACACATTGATGTAATCTCTGCTGATGCTCCACAGGGCTGATCTGGTGCCTGTTTACTCATTCGGAGAGAATGAGCTGTTTCAGCAGGTGATTTTCTCCGATGGCAGTCTGGGTCGGAGGTTACAGGATTTGTTTAAAAAGATTATGGGGTTTGCCCCATGTCTATTTGTTGGTGAGCGCATTGCTTTCCTGCCCTACAAGACTCCAGTCACCACTGTGGGTGAGTGTTTCATTATTCTGTGGACAAACATTACTCACAGGTCTGGGCAAATTTAATTCTAACACTTTGCCTCCTCTAGTGGGAAGTCCAATCTCTGTGCCAAAGCGTGCCACTCCTACTGATGAGGAGGTCGACCACTATCATAAACTCTACATGGAGGCTCTGGCCAAGTTATTCCATGAACACAAAGTCAGCTGTGGACTGTCTGAGAGTCACAAGCTGCAGATCATTTAGATTGTTCACTCTGCAACAAACTCTAAGGCTGTTTTCATACCACTTTTTTGTGGACTGATATGGTATTGACCTTAACTTTTTACTGTGCTTTAATCCTGAGAGTTTCTTTGTTCATACTGTAAGTTTGGTCTCTTTCTGAAAATATTTAACAAGAATATGCTCCATTAAAAAATATCACGACTCTGTCTTGGTTTGCTGTCTTTTGTCTCGATTTTTGCAGTCAAGGCAAATGTATTATTTGTCTATTTTAGATTTGCAATGAAAAACAGTGAGTAGGAAACATGCATCAGATTAATTATTGTCTTTTTCAAAAGTGTTGACATGCTTGCTAAAGTCCTGCTGGTGTATTTTTATGTATTTGGCAGAGAAGATATTAAAGTGTAAGCAGCTCAGTTTTTTCACCAATCTCAGGATAAAACATTAACTTATAAAATTACTACTGAAATATTTGTACATGTTGAGACTAAATATCTAATTGAAAAGTATACTGAATGTTTGTTGCATTTCCTAGCTATCATTCTTGCCATAAAATGTTTTTTAGGCATACATGTGTAGTTCAGCGGTTTACCCACAAGAGGGCAACAACTCAACAGATCTACTGTAACTCCTTCAATGAAAAAAATGAATAAAAACACTTAAATTTGTGGAGAAAATATCATTTCATAACTGCAGCCCTGGCCACAAAAAAGAGTCAAGCATCTGTTGTGAATTTAACCTCCTTTTCTATCCTGTTACAGTCGAAAATGAAGTTTTTTATGTCAAACAATGTAGATGGATCACATCTTTATTGAAGAACCAGTTTACATCAAAAGTTTGTTCTAGTTTCAAAATAATTACAGAACTTAAAGAAAAAAGTCTAATCACTAAAAAAAGAAAAAAAAGAACAATACAACACTGGTCAGGAGTGGAGACAGAGAGTGAACCCTTAAAAGAAGTCCATGTCGTCGGGTGCATCCAGGTCCCGATATTCAATGATATTTCGCGGGTCACCTCGAGACATTCTTAGATGTTAAAGGCACGAGGAGAGGAAAAAAGACCCAAGGAAAAAAGAATGAAAATGATTACAAAAACAGAAGATCAAAATTCTTTGAGAGCAGAAAATAGAGAAATTAAGAACGAGACGTACAGTGGTCTCACCTAATGTTGCGTGGCTTTCCCAGGTAGCCACCTTGTCCACGGAAGTTATCATAATTGCCTCTCCCTCCTCCTCCTCCTCCTCCTCCTCCGTATTGGTTCGGAGGGTAAGGAGGACCACCTGTTAAAAAAGTAACTGAAAATCAATATACATGGATCAAAGAAAACTAAAACCCTTGACACGACAGAATAAGCCACCAATGAGATCTCTGCAATATGACCTTGTAGTTCTAATTCATGTTTTCTAGAGACAAAATAAAACAAATATGTTTTATTTTGAAAAACTCCAGATCTAGAGTTGCTGAAATCGGACTTGAACCTTCTTATAGGAAAAAAAAAAAAAAAAAAGAACTACAGCTGAATCAAAAGTGTCTCACAGCGTGCTGCAGAGTTTTTGAGCACTTCAGGATAAAATTATTTTAGAAGAGTAGACCTCATTTTTGAATCCAGGAGCACAGCAAAAGTGGAATAAGTACTCTATTTTTTTTATTATTTCGTTTATCTTTATTGTAGTAGCTGATACACTAGGTATCATTTTTATCGAGTTATAAATGTTTTTTATTTATTTACATACTGCCGAGTAGCTTCAGAATTCCTTCAGCATACAACAGTATTATATTGACAAAACAGCAATCATTATACATTAGTGATTTTAAGCAGAAAAGTACTGAAAAAAGATGCTTTCCAAAATAAAATTGAATACTAGGATTTCTGCCTTTAAGATGAAATTGAAGTAAATTTTTAAGATGCTGCAAAAAGAAAATTCAAGGTTTTGGGGAACTGAGGAGGATTCATGTTTTGTGTTTGTTTAGCATTTCTCTACCTTTTTCATTTCCAAGGATATGAAGAACATCTTCATATCTTACGTTATGAAGCAGGTTTTTCGTTGAGTGTTTGGGTGTTCAAGTCAGACTCTTTGGCCTAATATTCCGTGATAATAAATGTGTGCGTTTACAAGTTTTCTGATGAGTACCTTGAAAACCTCAACGACTGTCACCATGAAATGAACAGAGGGAACTGACATCTACAACCCCTGAATATAGAAGAGATGTGACGGAGTAAAGTAAGAAAACACACCTCCATAACCCATCAATGGTGGGCGAGGCTGCCCAAAGCCCAATGGACCCTGGGGACCTTGAGGAGGAAATGGCAAGCTGGGAGAAAGCAAACCTGTTGAACCAAAGAAGACGAGTTCACTTTCTAAATAACTTCTTTTTTTGAAGATTTCTGCTTTCTCTGAGAGAGACTGTTATGTCAATCCTGACCTGGGCCTGGTAGAGGTGGAAGTTTCATCTCCGGTAGCGCCGGTCTCTTAGCATCCATCAGAAAATTGTTAAAGAACGCCACTTCTTTTTTCACTTCTTCGATTTTGTCCCCGTGTTTGTTCAGGATATGCTTGCGTACAAACTCTGGACCCTTAAAATAAATGGAAAGAAAAACAAAACGTGAATTACTTTCAGAGGTAATGTCAATGAAAAGGCTGTAGAGGTTTGTGTATTTCCTAATCTCTAAATGGAAACACCTACTTTAAATTTCTTGCCACTTAGTGGGCAGAGCCATTTGTCCTTTCCCAACTCTTGAGTGTTAGCGGAAACAAACTTCTCTACTTCCTCCTCTGGATCTTTACGGCCCATCTTCAATGCGTCGTCTTCAGACAGAATTTCTTTCAGACCAAACAAAGGACACAGCTTCTCCTCCACCATCTTCTGCCATTGTTGCACTGTTTAGAGGAAACCAGGTCAGTATCACAGGAATGTGAAATCAAATTCATACATATATAGGTCTAAGTTCAAACAGTACAAATGTAGAAATATACAGTTTCAATATCATTATGAGCATTAATCATTGCAGTATGAACAACACAGAACTGCAGACTTCACCTCATAATACTTTACAAAGATCGTTTTTAACTCCAGCATAAAGAGCTTAGAGGAAGCAACATATGTCAACATCAAAGCAAGGGAAGCTTATTTGCTTTGACTTGTACTAATACACTCCTCCACGGCAAAGGCAAACACACTAACCTTCTCCATGTGTGATGCGGTTTGGAGGAATTGGTCCCCGTACATGGATCATACCGCAGCGATTTGGCATTTCATCTTCACTGGGGTATTCACAGGTGTTGTAGTAGTCGATTGAATGCACAACACGCAGGTAGATGATCAATCGATCCAAAACCTTCAAAGAGAGAGCGAGAGAGTGAAAAACATACAACGACATGTACTTCAGAGATGCAAATTGACAAAATCAAAGGTGCACAGAAAAGCAGATTACATATACGAGGAATTATTTTGATGAGGAATGGTGTTCCATGAAAATTCAAGTTTGTAATCAGAAGTGGAAAAGTGAAACCTTAGCTAGTTTCTCATCCCTCTCCACAGTGGTCTCAGCAGGATTTCCCTCTTTAGCGCCCTCTTCAGGATCCATCCCGCTCCCTGAGCCCAGCAGCTCCTCCTCCTCAGCGCTCACCTCCTCTATCAGGTAATCGGTGATATTCTTCAGGATGGGGTTCTGAGCTGGTAACTGATGGAAACACAAACAAAGCTATGAGTGAAACGTTTTGCTGTAAAATGACTGAAAACAATCAGCCGGTGAATTTAACAGGGCGTGACTAAAATTGCCGTATCAGCTGTGCACCTCGGCGCTCTGCCCCTCCTCCTGGAACTTGTTGCTCCAGAGGTCTCCTTTCTCATCAAGGGCGTGGATGAGCTTGGCAGCCAGCTTGATGTCGTTGCGGAGCACCTGCTTGTGCTGAGTGATGCCATTAACGTTGCGCACCCTCCTGGCCAGGTCCCTGTTCACCCCTGGTGCTAGTTCACAGTCTCTCAGCTGTGAAGGGTACAGAGTAAAACAGATTTTTAATGGCCTCTACTGCTACTTAGCAGCTTATACAAGTGATAAAGACAGGTGCAATAACCATCTACGGCTCCCCTGAGTCTGAAATGTTTGGATAAGCTTAACGCATTATTTTTTCATTCATTACGAGCTTTAAATGCAGCTCTGACTCCCTCTCTCACATTTGACACCAATATCAGGATGATAAAATGTTGATTGCTAAAGTGCTACACATACTTTTCAATGTGAACAATTACAACAACAACAAAAAACACTTCATGACCTTTTGGACACGTTGCAGATACTGATGATTCAAAATCTCCTGCACAAATATCAGAGACACTTACTCGGATATTCTGAAGGTTCCAGCACACCTCTTTGATGTTGACGCTGCGATCAAATGTCACCCAGCACCGTCTGAAGAACCTGCAGAGGGTTTGTTCGATGAATATTGTGCGATCATTTTAAGAAAGACAGTGATAAAATGGGTCTACAGCATGTGCAATTTGTCAAATCCATCATCTTGTAACCAGCCCTAACAAAATTGCTTGTTTCACTCTGAGTCTAAAAGACATCCAGTGGTTAAAAAAAAGACCTATTCCTCAATCAGAAGCTCACCTCTTTGGCACATTAGTGAAATATCAATGATACCATTCAAATGTTTTTTTGATATCTACAATTTAAGGCTGTGTCAGCATCAAAATTCTGAATATTTCCTATACCTGTACGAGGGAAGTAAATAGGTTTGATTCTCTCACCAAATCTGATCTAACAGCATAGTGACTCAAAGCACATCAGGACTACAAAAGCCAAAAGATGAAACAATCTCACGCAATTTTTACAAATTTTTAGACTGATACTTCATGATAAAAAGTGTATTTTTCCTCACTGATGTCTGATCTCTCTCTCACAGTGATTTATTACACTCCTGCATGTTTGGTCCAAGCCTAAATTGTGAACTTACAAGAAAATTCTCTTTCCCTGTTACTCTGAAGCCTCTGAAACTTGACCCACTTACAGCTACGCCTGGAGATACAAGCTGCTTATCTTTCGCCAGTGAGTATGAAAAAATGGGCTTTGTATCTTGAAAAGTGACTGCAGACAAAGTACAGAGAAGGACTCGGTACTTGTGTGGTTCCTGAACACACTGTTTGAAGTTGCGGTGACAGACAGAGGAAAAGAGTTTGATCTGGGAAATCTACATGCCACGGTCTGATATTTCGTGTGCACTACTGTGTCGATCCACCTCCACAGAGAAACTCCTCTGCATCAGTTTCAGTAAAGCTGTGATGAACTGTTATTTCTTCTTTTTTTTAAGCCTACCTGCGCTCTGGATGGGGGTCTGACAAGCAGACACGCAGAAAACCAGGGTATCTCCGACAAAGCTGAGAAGGAAAACAGATGGCATAATCTAATTAAAACATGATTCAATAAACAGCGTCAGTGATTCCACATCTCCTGGGCTGTCAACTCGGCTCAACTCACAGCAATTATCTCGGCTTTGGAAATGGAGGGTGCTATGCTCCTCATGAAAAGGGAGCAGGTCCTGTGTAGGGGCCGCGGTCTGGGGGAATCATCTTTGGGCTTCTTTCCTTCTTTCTTGTCTTCTTCGGTATCATCTTTCGGTTTTTCCTCTTCATAGTAACATGGGAAAGAGCAAACAGGTGGAAAACAGTCTCTATACTGAAAATAGTAATTTCAAAATTTTCACACACATTACAGATTTGATTCCTCACCTTCACCCTCTTCTTCCTCTTCCTCATCCTTGTCCTCCGTCTCTTCTTTTTTCACAGGTTTATCAGAGCAGTTAGAATTGGAGTCTGACTCTGAGTCAGAGTCGCTCTCCGAGGCACTGACTTCATCGTCGCTGTCTCCACTGCGCTTCCTCTTTCTCCTGGCCTGATGAATTAAAAACAACAATTAGAGCTCTTTCATTTGTTTCCGTCTCTCGTTTGTAAATAATTCCACTTGCAAAGGCACTGCTCACTTTCTTAGGTTCAGGCATTGCGTCTTTGGTCGTTTCTTTCTCTGCCTCCTCTTTCACATCTTCTCCTGCTACTGCTGCAGAAGCTTTCTCTGTGCTGGCCAAGTCACCTTCCTCCTGTGGAACAGTTGACCATCATTACAGGGCACAAGGAAATCTTTCATTCTCATCAGAGACAAGACATACTTTCTCATTCTTGTCTTTCTCCACTGAAGGTTTGCGATCCGTGTCCTGGGTTTTGACGTCTTCTCTCTTCTGAGGTTCAGCGCCCCCTGAGACGGATGCCAATTTCTCCCTCTCCTCCTCCTCTTCAGATGGCAGGTCCAAGATGCGAAGATCATGATCTGTGCCTCCCTCCATCTTAATCACAGCTAAGGGCGATCAAGACAAAATATAGGAGAACATTCAACAAGTTTTTCTTTTTCTTTGGGTACCAATTAGAATTACCAATTACATATATGTCTTTTGTCTTTCATCTGTTACTTCTTTCTTCTTCTGGCTTTACTGTTTCTTTTAGCTTTTACTCTTTTCATAATTAACCTTTTAGGTTTTTAATTTTATCTCTTGCTCATTTCTGTTGCTCTATTTTATCATTACTATTATTATCAGTACATCTTTAATACCATTATTGATATTGTCATTTAGTTTTACTATTCTGTTTTCCGCTCTCAACCCCCCTTTAAATTGCATTTTCTTTTCCTTACCTATTTTGTGTTTTTATTTTGGTGCTCATGGTCCCATTTTCTGTTGCATTGTTCTTGTATTGTCTGAGTTCCTTATGACATGAAAATGGCCTTCAATTTCATTTTAACTGAACTTTGTTTTTTTGTCTTTTTCCATGTGCTTTAAGACTATTTGTCAAAGCACTGTTTTTAAGAGTGCTATAAAAATAAAATCATCATTATTATTATGATTGATTATTATATATAATTTTTGAGAACTATTTCTCAGCCTTTATTGCCAGAGAATGAGGCAGGAAATAGGTAACAGAGCAGAGAGTGACGGGCAGGAAAGGGGCCACCTGCATGTGTAGGGTGTGCCTAGGCCACTCTTTATATTTTCAGAACAAAAAAAAGAAAAGAAAAAAAAAAACCCTCTCCAAGTCATTTTACCTGCATCCAGAACCTTGATGATGGCAGGGGTCTGATCAATGTCCAGGGAGACATTATCAAACCAGCTGTTCTCCATCAGGAACATGAAGACATTGAGACGGTTGCGCAGGGCGCTCTGGCCCTCTGCCTTCAGTCTGCTGGCCTCATCGGGATGATACTTGGACCTGAACCTGTGTCCAGAGCAGGGTCCACAAACAAGTGGGGGGGGAATAGAGAGTTAGCATCAATGGGACAACAGAGTTAAGCAACAAGTTCATATTTTATGTCTGTAATGCAACAGTGGTGTCACAATGGCACTGAGAAATATGATTTATTTGAATATCAAAGTTCTTTATACACTTAATAATTGTGCCTTCAAAGTAAGTCTGGGAAACTTTAAAAATTATGTCATTAAAAACAAAGTAGCTGAAGAGATTTTTGTGATTGTTTATATCATGATTTTAGTGTTTGTGTTTGGCCTCTCAGTGAATATGATGTTCAACTTTGGGATCATTTTGGTTAACTGTTGCACATTATGGTAGCGTGAGAGATTAACTCACCAAAAATTAAAGAGAAAAACACAACAGAGATTATGAAATTAAACATTCACATATTCAAATTTCACATCAAAAATGTTGATCATTGAGTGAACTACAGTTACCTTTCGTTCTGCCAGTTTATTTACAAATAAATACAGAGAGGGGGTCTCCTCTGTGAAAATGCGCTCCACTTCACCCCAATGGTGTCTGTACACACACAAATTCGGTTTTGGGATTCGATTTGATCCAAATAAAAAGAAAATAGCGAAGAAAAAGGAGAAAACAAGAAAAAAAATCTCCACGAGCGGAAGTTTACTTGGCTGTCTAACTAAAATCCCTGGTACTGTGTGTCTAAGAGCAACTGCATTGTGCGCAGTGCATGCCCTTGCTGTCTAAGACCGATTCTTGCCGATGCGCTCCACTTTTTTTCTCCTTGAAGTAGTGGGAATGAAGGGGGGAGGGAAATTGGTTATATCAAGCAAAACAACATTGCATGATACCTGTGGAATAAGTGCAGTAAGCGTTAAAAGGCATGAAACAACTTTGCATTTTGGAAAGGGTAAAATGACAAACGAGAGACAGAAAATCAACCCAAACAACGAGATTTTTTTTTTTTTTTTACAAAAGTCTCTAGAAAATTGAGAAAATAACTAACTTTGCTGATCTACTTGACAGAGGAAAAAAATGCTGCAGTTTTTTGCAGGCTCTGTCAGGAGATTTCATGAACCTTCTGTCTTTCATGGTTGAAATATGCAGCAGAGGGTGCTTGTAATTTGGGTTGATTTTCTTCTATATAAAATATAAATACAAAGAAAAAGTAATGAGAAAATCATGAGAGTAGGCCTGGTCTTAGTTTATGTGAGCAACTGCCCTATGGTCATCTAAAACTTAGTAAAAAGGCCTCAAAGTAGCTAGTATATGATTTAGCTGAGGTTACAGGGGAATGTCTGCTTCCTTTTTTTGGACGGGATAAGTAAAACTAACACTCACCACAAACTGTCAGATTGGTATTTAGGAATAAAATAAGCATAGCTAAAGAAATTATGATAATTGCATTTAAGCCAAAGGGGAGGAACTGTACTAATCTGCAGATGACAGTCAATAGATTGAATTTTTGTTAAGTGAAAAGAAATTCTTCAGAGAAACTACATCACACAGAACAAATATTCATGAATCTTCTGTCTGTAGTAAAAGCAACTGAGTTCGTACCACTCCTCATCTTTATGAGCCAAAAAGAAGTCCTGCATCTGCTGTCGACGGAAGTCAATCTTGTACTCATTGTAGCGTTTGACCGCCTCAGTCTCATCCACAGAATCATCCAGAGACAGCAAGAACTCTTTAAAGTTCTTCATTATGGGAGGAGGAGGACCTAGATCCATGTCGTGGATGTTTCCCAGCCTGGTGGACAAGTAACAAAACATTTATTAACTGTGCTGAGTATTTTCTCAGATTTTAGCTTAGTGGTTTTACTTACTGTGTGTCTTTTAGAAACACAAAAGCTGTCATTGAATCATTTACAAATATGTTTTAAATTCGTAAATCTTGCCCACTGAACTCTGATTTCACCTCTCACCTTGCCTGAATGGGAATACCATGATGAGGCTGCATGAGGTGCATGTCAGGATGGCCCCAGTGCTGTGGGGGACCATAACTGGGCCCTCCTCCACCCCCATAACCCAAATCATATCCCCCGCGGTATGGGTCTCCACCGTGGTCATCCCTGCCAAGAACATACAATAAAGCTTACACAACAGCATACACAACAGCATACACAAGCTGCACAAACTATCTTTTAGAGCCACTGATCTGATCATCTCACCAGTCTCTTCTCATGCGTTTCTGCTGCGGACTCATGTCATGCCTGGGTGGAGTGAATCTCTCTCTGCGACCTCTGTCGTAATCCCGGTACTCTCCACGGCTACGCCGTTCTCTACCCCGGTCCCACTCCCTGAAAATGACAGAAAACAGGAGTCAAGAAATGGAAAATATTGCCTTATTGTTTAAATCTCTTCACTCAGTAATTGGGAGATACCGATTGGTTGCAATTCCTCCTCCCATGTTAGGGTCTGCACTGACCAGTGTTTGATTTGAAATGCTTAAAAGAACCACAAAAATAGGTTTTTGTGCATCAAAACTTTTGACTTTGTCAGGAGCCTCTATTGCAACAAACTAAAAAAATTAAACTGACTAAATTACAAAATGTTCTTATTAAAATGATGTCACTTGTTGTGTTAGGGTCGCTGTTTGACCTGGTTAGATCAATATCTAAGTGCACTGCCAGGAACCACACTGACAGTCAGATCCTCTTCCAATCATGTGAAATTTAGGAAATTCTCATTTTTCCATGTTCTTCCCTGCACAAACAACAGCCTCAGGCATGTCCAGACATGTGAGATCAATTCAGTATAGATGTCTGTGTGAGGGATATACTGATAAAGAAAGGCCCAGAGGCCCACTACAAAAACTATTAAAAGCAATATTTTCATGTATAATGAAGCCTAACAAGGTAACCTAGAGATGAGAACCAAATTGGATGATGGAGAATTGTTTTAGTGTAATTTATAGCTGATTTAAGACATGGATCAAAACAGACCCTTAACATGGTGGCTGCGTACAAAAAGCGAACACAGGAGGAAGGTTAAGGGTTTTTGGTGGGAGATAAGGTGTCTTTTTCTCTTACCTGTCGTTCCAGTCATCCCTGCGCCTGTCCTCCCTCTCTCTTGATCGGTCATAGTCACTTCTCTCTCGTCTGAATTTGTCTCTTCTCCTGCGATCATATTCATCATCACTGTCACCCATCTGCATCAAAGAGAGAGAGAGGCAGGTTTCAGTCACACAACATGGTGGGAAAGGATTTGCAATGACCTGGTTTTGAACTGTACTATTGAATAATGTTGCTTTCAGTGATGCACCCGCATAATAATGTGTTAGCAGTATTTTACACCCCCGCCTGCTCTGCCAGATAAAGTTAGAAGCCTCACCTAAGATAAATAAGCTAACAGAGGCCCAGTAGCTAATAATGGCCTGCTAACATAGCGAGTGGTTTTATTGTACACTAGGAGCAGTCTGCCAGGTATGTTATTAAACCAGCAATATAAAGGCAACCAAAATGCCATATTTAAAATATTTAAACAATGAAAACCATATCTTTATCCACTCGCGTCTCTGTGGTGTGTTGCAGCTACATTAGCGGGGCAGCTATGGAGCTAACTTGTTAAGCTAAAATGCTAAGGCTAACTTTAAACGAAACGCTTCATTATTTCTTCCAAGAGACCACTCGTTCTCAATTTAACATCAGTCTAATTTTTCTTAATCATTTTGACAGTTTCACTACAATATCAAAGTGCTAATTTGTACCTTAGATGTTTAAGCTTTGTTTACGTGCAGTCCTCCGCCTGCTGCTGCTGCTGATGCTGCTGCTGCTCTTCTTCCCGAGGTTTCAAAACTGAGCAGGACAAACGACACAATGACGAGCTGCTGCCACCAAGTGGTCAATGTTGAACATAAGATAAGATAAGATAAAATAAGTAGAACTTTATTAATCCCCGAAGGTAAATTCAATTGTCTGTTGTCTCACATAATATGTCTCTAAAAGTTATCTACTATTTACATAAGAGTTATAAAGTCTGCTGGCTGTTGGTACTTAAGATCTTCTGAATCATTCTGTCCTGCAGTGAAGAGTGAGGAGCCGTCCACCACCATTGGCCCTTTGGTCCATCAAGGTGTTGTGAAGTGGGTGATCCATGTTCTTTAGAAAAGTCTCCACCTTCCTCAGTGTAGATCTCTCCACCACATCCTCCACTAAGTCCAGCTTGAGTCCCAACACAGAGCCAGCCTTTTTCACCAGTTTGTTAAGACATCTTGCATCTTTGTGTTTGATGCTTCATCCCCAGCAGACTGCAGCAGAACACTGTATCAGAACACTGTAGACACCACAGACTGATAAAACATCTGCAGCGTCTTACTACAGATGTCTATTGATTGGAGTCTTCTCAGGCAAAAGAGGCAGCTCTACCCTTTTCTGTAGATGAAGTCTATATTCTTAGGCCAGTCCAACTTATTATCCAGATGTACACCTAGATATTTATATGATGTCACCACTTTGATGTCCACTCCACAGGTGTTCACTGGCTGAAGAGGGGGTTTGTGAACAGGAATGGTGCCAGCACTGTCCCTTGTGGAGCTGAACATGACATGTGCTTGAGATTTAAACAGATAAACAGTTTTGCAGTATTTTATTGAGGATGATTTTGTTTGAGATTGGTCAAAATCTGATTATATAGGACTCACTCAGCAGCAACTGTGAAGACTAAAAGGCATGTTTTGCTCACAGATAGGTAGAGAACGTATTTGCCCTACACAAATAAACTTAATTGTAAGTGATGGGGCTAAATTCTGTCGCTTTCTTGCATGGTTACAGCTGTCCGTCTATTCTCCTTTTTTATTTGACAAACTGTAAATGTGACAGCTGAACTGAAGAGTCACTAGAGATGAAGTCATAGACAGAAAGAATCAGGGGATTATTCTTTAAATTACAACGAGATTAGATGACTAAGAGACGCTCATGTCAGCCATTTGTCCCTACCTCTTCGTACACCACAATCCTATCAACATTGAATCTCTTTAGCACCAATATGGACACAAAAAATTATACAGCTTTGGAGATAAAAATCCTTTCACTTGGGTTAAGATAAAAGCCAAAGAACAAACATGTTCACACAGTTATTGGGTTTATCTTGTCGGCTGTATTGATCACTCAGCTTTCTAGCTTTAAGAACGCAAACATACACCTTGCTGAACATGTTCACACAGTTATTGGGTTTATCTTGTCGGATGTATTGATCACTCAGATTTCTAGCTGTAAGAACACAAACATACACCTCGCTGTGTTCACATTACCCTCTTATGAAAATGTAGTCTCAAAAAGTTTGACTTTATTTTTCTTTAGGAAATTCATAGCAGGTTTTGATTTTTTTAAATGTTTTATACAAAACAGATGTTTTGTTGTTATCCAGGTTATTTAAAGCCTCTGTTGATCATGTGTAGAGCACAGTCACATTTTCAAACTGCATTTTGGAAAGCAGACAGAGAAAAATAAAAATCACTCATCATCAGGGTTTGCTAATCCAAAATAATTTAATGGATGAAACTTTTACACTACAGTGGTTCATCTCAGTTATTCAGTAAATAGTTGAATCGGTTCTTTTTTGTGCTTTTCTTTGTCCTTCCTCTAAATCTTAACTGCTGCCTCATATAGTCCAGCATGACGCGCGGCCACACTTGAGTGGTCTGCGATTCATCCTCCAGGATAAATGCAGATTCCAGCTCTTGTGGGAAGGTTTGATCGGCCATGGATTCAAATGCAAAGTCTCCTGCTGGGATGAGGTGCCCTGGAAAGGACCTGTCCAAAAATCCCTGTGAATACGAGAACAGCTGTTGATACTTTTGTCAAGGTTACCTTTCAATGTATCAAATGGCAATCCTTTAAAGAGGGGAAAACAGAGTTAAGATTAGTGCAATTTGAGGTGTGTAAATACTTTTTCCCATTTGATTACTTTATTAGGGTCAACAGATGTAAAAGGAAATTAAAGAACTGAGAGGAACGCACTGAACTCAGTGAATTGAGTGTTAAATGGCTCTGAATGATTTGTTAATCAAAAGCAAAATTATAAATAGGTTAGTACACTGTACAGATATAAGATTTTATGTTCAGTTTAATGAGAAACAAACCATTAAACCATTAAACAAACCATTTCAAACTCCTGACAAAAGGAGATTAACTGTTAATGATATTGAGAACTTACATCAATATCTATAGTTTACAATCTGAATCTCACCTTCTCGTAGTCTTGAGGAGTTGCACTTGTATGAAGCCGACCAAATAAAGGAACAACAAAGAAAAGCAAGAAAAATGACCTCAGCACAGAGGAGTGCTTCTGCAGTGATCCGGACATCTCTCAAGAGGAATGATCAAAATCCAGAGAAAGTGTGAGTTTCTGAACACAGCACACCAAAAGCCAAATGAGCTTCCTGACGACAACCTTCTGCTTTACGGATTTATGTATGTGATGTCATCACACATCTTTAACATCTCATGGCTTTTCCCTTCTTGTGACTGTTCTTCAGTTTGTATTGAATAAATTCAAAGGGCCTAGGCGAGCTAATGGCTCACCTACACAAAGCTTCGTCCGGGCTAGAAGGTTCATTCACCTGAAAAAGGAATTGTGCTTCCTTCCAAGCAGCGGGTGATGTTATTACATACACATGAAATAATGAAAGTGCAAAGAAATGAAGGGATTAAGACGGAAATAACTCATTACATTCAGGAATCTTAATGAATCACCCATGCACCATTGCAATTAACTCAGTGTGCCCCACAACTATGGAAACTCTGATGTACCAGAACTATAAGATTTTTTTGTCAATAGATTAAAATTACTCTGATTATTAAAGAAAAAAAAAAAGAAAAATCAGGGAAAAAAAGCTAAAACTTTCCTATTATAAATCTGCGTTTTTCTTAGCATATTACCTATATGTGTATAAGATGTATTTACAGCAGTGACTTCACATAGTCTAATTTAAAACAATAGCACAATATGAAAAAGGATTATCATATCGACTGCCAAGATTCAGAACAAGGTTTTTTATACTGAAGTATTCATCAGTGAGAGTAAGAGAACTTGAATGCACCACTCTGCAGGGTGTCTCTGCTTTGCAGGACAAGTGGTTGCTAAGCTCATGCAAATAGGATTATAGACTTGGAATTAATTACCGAGGCATTTTTTAATGACCCACACTGATGATTGACAAATTAACAAATTAAGCTTGTTTAGGTATACGCAACAAAATGTATATATTTCACAGTTTTATGTGTACTACATCCACAAGTAATAATGTTGCATTCTTTTTGTCTAATACTGGTTGATAAGCTTATGTATGACTGCTAATATTTGCTTACTCACAAAAACATGTCCAAGTGGAGTGTTTTTTTTTTTTATTAAATCAGTGTAAAATCAATTTGCTTTTTTTTTTTTAAGAAATCTCAAAAAAGCACAAAATTTTCTTTTCAAGATCAGTTTAATCTTCCACAAATCACACATTAAATGCAGCTTTTATCCACAGACTGTTTAGACATCTTAAGGATTCTCAAACCTGCTTTATACATGAAAATCATACTTGACACTGTACACTTGTTATTTCAATGTAATAAACTAGGCACATTCTAAAAGAAGGAGAAATAAATCATATGGGTGGAATAGTTTTCCATTGTTTCAGGTAACAGTCTCCGATACCGAGACGAATAGAGTGAAACAGAAATGGTACAGTACAAAAGACATTTGCAGTTTATTGTAACCAGGGAAGCAGCAGTTCTATTATACAAAAAAAGACTATTGCCAACAAGTCCCAATTAAAACTTTATAGTGTTGAGTTTTATCAATTGATAGTCAGTAAAGTATAAAGATGGAATGTTACGATTTCTGAAACTTCAAAATGTAACTTAGTGAAAAATCCTCACATGGAGAATATGGATGTGTGCACTGTTTTAAATATTTACTCTGCTGTTATTGATGATGGTGAATTTTCTGGGGATGAGTTTTTGCCCCCTCTTGCTTTTAATGAGGTAACCATAAGGGTAGGGCCATAAAATTTAAGCATTTGTAATATCAATTGATAAAGCGATTCTTAAAACATTTTCAGCACTCCAGTTTTATCATATATGATGCTAATTTCAAAGAAAAAGTCCACACCCAGTAAAATTGTTACAGTTTTTTTTTAAAATCCAGTTGTGAATTTCTGATCTGAGACCAAAGTAAACACTGTGAAACATCATAGAAGAAGTGAAACAGTTTGGTTGAATAAAACTTTTCATGGTTTCTTTTTGTCCGGCTCTCTGTATAAATCACCGTTTTGGACTCAGGGGACAATACAGAATCAAGCTGTATGTGGTGTGACAGTCAATGAGCTCATCCAGATTTCTTAAAGTAAACCTAAGAGTCTAAGCTGTCTGATTCTGAGTACTAGACACATGGAAACATCTTTTGGTAGTTTTAAAATTCAAAAGTCGATCAAAATTTCAGACAGGGAAACAAGCTGAAAGCAGTATTAAATACAGCTAGACAAGAGGAAAACAGAGGAGTGTTAATCCTGTCCCTTCAGTTTCCAAACATTAATTTAACATATGCATGTACACCAAGGCCAATGTAAGGCAATAATGCTCTTCTTTGCTAAAAACAAAAATACCCTCCAGGGTACCATACTCATGTTGATGAATCTAGATTTAACCGATTCAATGAAACAAAAAGCTAAAAATAAAATTTCTGAGACCCAACCCATTAACTCTTTAACTCTCTCTGTTATTCATTTACAACACCCACTGACCTTTACTTTGCTGCTATAAACCTGAGTTTGTTCATTTTGACAAACTGGATAAAGCTAAAAAGTATTTTCCTTGAAACTGACCACATAGAATTATCAATAAAAAAATGTAAAAGTGTGACGTCTTTGCAGTGTTCTGTTACAGTGTAGTAGAGTTAGTATGACCATTCAAGGAGCTGAAACATAGCTTGAAAACTGTGAGATGTGGGGATAAAAAAGGACAGACATTACCCTCTACTTTCAGCTATTTTTCAGGAACCTGTCAGATAAAAACGAAAAGTGATTAAGACAAGAGCCAGTCTTCAAAGCGTAAAGGCCTTTGCACACCGAGTCTTGTTTTTGTCATCTCAGAGTTGCTGCGTGTTTAAACAGAAATACAATCTTATGTTGTGTCAATCATATTGGCACACTGACTCTGGAGCGTTCATCTGCTACTGTTGGTTTTTTCTTTTTTTCTCTGAACAGATTTTCTGTGTCGAAGGTGCTCCCCAGCACGCCATGGATCTTGGACAATGATCTTGTCTAAATATTGTGTGGACCCGGGTGTCCATGCACACTTTCTCTATGGCACATTTTAACTATATTGTGTGTGTGTATGTGTCACCCTACCACAAAGATACTCCTGGCTGTTGTTCAGGAATCAATTGCTTTGTGGGGATCTCCTCTAACATGTATTTCCAGTATTGCTTAAAGCACTCACGATCGGGATGATCCCACCGCTCCTTCATCAGCAAGAGAAACTCTCCTTGCTCTAATCTTGTTTTTTAAGGTGCATGAATGCAACGTTCTGTATTAAACGCTCACTTCTTGATGACCCAAATTTTTTTTGTACAGGGAATCTTTGCAATGAACGGACAAATTGAAGCATCAGACTCAGCGTGCAAGGTTCTGTGCGAGACATTTTTTGAAGAAGGGAAAACATGGACTCAGTGTGCAAAGACCCACACTCAAACCTTTCGCAGAGAACCTACAGTTGTGCTTTAAGCACATAATTCATTCATTTTAGCATCTACAGTAATTTTCTTATTCATACAGCACATTACCAAAAAGTTTGAGTGGCCCATTCTTTCTGTGCAGCACTAGTGGTTAGGTCGGATATCATGGTCGAGTTAAGAATTAAAACATGCATTAAAAAGGAGCTCGTACAGGAGTGAATGTGTGTAAAAACTTGGGTTGATGCTCAATCGTTTGTTTTTAGTAAAATGTATCAAGTGCTGCATGTGCTTTGACACTATCAAGAAGACCTCCTCGGGTTACTTGGGAAAAGGTCCAGTTACGTTAAATGTCTGGCCGACCACGAAAGTGTTGTGTGATAAGCGAGACATGAACGCCCTTTTTCAGGTTATTCTGCGTAATCTCATTGCAGCTAAGATTCCAGCTATCAGACCTCCACTCTATCCCTACCGATCAGCTGTGCAGTGTCGTCGTCAGTGTGGTGCCTGTCCTCTCCAGCGCTGTCGCTGTCTGAGTCTGTGTCCTCCAGCGGGGAGTGGTAGCCCTCATAATCCAGGAGTGGGGAGTCGCAGCGTACGGGCGAGGTGAGGCACTGGGCAGTAGTGGTGGTGGTAGTAGCTGCATAGGCCGCTGGGCTCCCTGAAGGCGACCCAGGGTTGGAGGGGCGAAGCAGAGGAGTGCGCTCAGAGTCTCCTTCTCCCTCCGTTCCTTCTTCCTCCCCACGTCCTCCGCTCTCCTCCTCAGAATCGGACTCGGATTGTTCCGTTTTGTTCCGAGTGACACGTTGTTTGCACACTGGACAGGTCTTCTTGGTCTGAGTGAGCCACGGGTCCACACATTTGCAGTGGTAGGCTGTAAAACAGGAGGAGAAAACAGAGACTATGCATTACTCTGACAGGAGGATGAAGTAAAGAGATTGTGTGTTTTTTGATGCAAAAACATAAACAGCTCTATGAGCAATTATCTATGTGTTAGCAATACAACATCACAAAATGACCTAAATATTCATTATTTAATTTTGACATATATCCAATCACAAGATTTTGTCAAAGCGCAGCCCTGTTTGCAACCAATTAGACACCACTATTCAAAAGCAGCAAGAGATTTCTGGGTTTTTCATGTGACACAAATGTGTGTATTTTTTTGTGATTTTTTCTTTTCTATTGGAAAATATAGCAAAAAAATTACAACATTGGACAATTTGAGAACTGCTTTTATCACTTTTAGCTTAGTATCAGATTTCTAAAGTTTAAAAAAGGAACATGAACAAAAAATGAACAGCAAGAAAAGGATTCATTCAAACTCTCCATGGTTAAATAAAGTGGATAGTTCAGTTCAGTGGAGGTACTTTGCCAACATATAGAGAATTCAGAATTCATTATGACATGAAAAGAAGTTGTCAAATTTACCATGAGAACAAGGTAAAACTCGCAGCTTGTCTCCTTCCTCATACTCATCCAGACAGATTGCACAAACATCATAGTCATCTCCTGTAGCAGGGGAGAACATGATGATTCATTCAAAGTGAAGTAAGACTTGACTTTTAATTCAGTTCAATGCTTCACAAACAAGACAGTAAGGTTTAAGGAAGTAAAAGCCAATACTGATCGACTAAGAAGGATCCTTAATATGACTCCTTTGTTGGGGTAACAGGAATAATATCTTGTTACCTTTACGGAACCTGTGAGTTGGGATACGCCTTAGTTGTTCTTTGGACAGACGATTCTTTCTCAGCCGTTTCCTGTACTGCACACATCGTATAATCTGAACAGAACAATAAGAAAAAGTTACTACAGGCAAGAAAAAGAAAAAAACACTCAGTATGTTACCCTTTAGACTTGTTTTTATAGAGGACTCGGACACTCTTAGCAGGGAAAAGGCCATATAAACTCTACACTCCTTCTGAGCAGCCGTCCAAAAGGTCAATGTGAGAAGCACAATACTGAAGAAAATGTGAGTAGTTCCTTTAACTTTAATCTTTCCATGTAGCCACTAATTTCCACTTAATTTCTAGGAATGGCAAAGAGACCACTAGACTCTCCCTAACACTCTCTTTTGGACAAGACCTGCACCTTTGGTGAGGCAGAGCACGTTCAAGGGCTTTGGCTTTCCTCCAGTTGGCTTCTTTTTAAAGTCTAGCTTACATTCACTCTAATCCTGCCAAAGCTTTAAAAAAATAATAATAATAATAATAATTTTTATTTAACATATTTGGAACCTACCAAGACAACACACATCACAAGAATGATCATGCCGATGACGCCAGTGAAAGGGATCAAGTAGTATGAGAGTGGAAAAGCAAACTCTGGCTTGAGGATCACATATGCTCTATAGGTGAAAAAAACAAACATAAGATACAAACATTATTAGAGGCATCTGCACTTCAGAATACACTGTGATCTACAAAAGTCAAGAGTTTGGTTTGGCAGACCATTTGTTAAAGTTCTGTCACTTCATTGTGTGAAATGTTTTTAGTTACCCTTGCTCTGGAATTATGAAATTCCTGAGAATCTGGGACGCATAGTAGCTGGTAAACACAGACGGGATCTCAATCTCATCTGCAATAGTTTCTGGAATAAAAAGAAAAAAAGATTACAAAAACAGTGCAAATACATGAAGTTTAAAGCAGTGTGCCAATTGCATAAAGCTGAATTACCATTGCTGTAGTTCATATTAAGCAGAGTGTCTGAATACACATTGTGGATTATTGCAGCACTGTACCCAGCCTGCTGAGCATGCAAAACCTGCAAAACAAGAGTCTCATATTAGAGCAGTTTACCTCAAAGACACTAAACATGGCAATCTCACAAAATGTCACTGACTTTTATATCAAAATTGCATTCAAAGCGCCTGATGAGGACGATGAATTTGGTCATGTTGGGATCATGAGACGGCGGCAGTGCAGGGGGAGGGTCTATTATTGCACAGCCATTGAGTGGATTGGACACCACCAACACCCCCTTTAACATAAAGAGAAAGAGAAACACGGTTATTTTAAAAGACCCCTGACCAAAAGTGTTTTATGCACAGAGTAGAGTACTCTACCCTTACCATTAGTCCATCCTTAGGAAGTCGGGGTCCAAACAAGGCAGGCAGGTCCTCAAACAACATAGATGTCATATTGCTATAATGCTGTCGAAAACAAGAAACAAAATGATATAAAAAAAACAGACACAATCCAAATGAAATGTTACGGTAACCACGTTTTTTATTTGCTGCTCAGTTGATCTGTTAAATATCCGTGATTCCTTACAGCATAGATGTAGGCATGTGATGGTGAGGGAACAAGTATGCTGCAGAAAAGCACAACAAGGACACTCCGTCGAGCTCCCACGCACCACAAACCAGGCTGAACCATCCTCGATTGCTTACAGATGCACTGAACTGAGAAGGAGATATGACAGTTGCTCATCAGAAATGTGTCAGGTCTCAGTCTAAGGCTGATTTTGCAGTTTCATTACAGCGGGATATTAGCACGCACATGCAAATAGGCTTTTCAGGTGCAAATATGTAAATGAATATGCAAACAAGTAACAGTAAAACCAGCTCTCCAACATATATTAGCGTATACTTGATAGTTATGGACAAGCACAGCAGACCTAAACCAAGTGATTGTTATTCAGTGAGAAAACAACTGTCCTCTTGAGGCTGGATTTAAACGACTAAGGCCCACATGCACTGCATTGCTTCTTTTTAAGAAATATCTTAAGGTGGCTGAGAATTCCTCTGCAAAGACGACAGAGGACATGTGACAAACTGTTATTCAATTTGCTTTGTAGTACCGTGTTACAGCTAACTTGTACATTTTTGTCTTAAATAGATCACCTGGTTTCTGAACTCCTGGGCCTGGTTAAACATTTGTCTTCACTTTACAAATATTACTGCTGTTATACTTTCACTGATGTGAAGTTGAAGCATAGATTCAAAGAAAGTTAAGCAATTGATATTCATTTAAAGGGCATGGGCAGTTAAAGCAGCATTTTAAGTCTGAGAATCAATTTGTTTCAATAAAAAATGTTAAATTTTCACTTCAGTTTCAGCACACGGCCAGAACATAGGGCTCATCATGTCACACAGAATGCAATCTGATACCATGATGCTGTACAGAGTGAAAAACCTAACCACTATGTTCTGTTTATTGTCCTTACTTCTGTGGTAATATTGCTATCTTTGAACCTGACTTCCTTTTTTTTTCCCTTTACATATCAATAGTGCCATGCATAACTAAAAATATGTCCAGGTAAAGAAACTTTTAAAGAACTATGGGCCAGGAAAACCAGACTGTGAATAAAACTGAATGCTCAGGAATATTCAGAGCTCCTCGACTGGAACGACCTGCAAGAGGAGCTAAGGTGTGCAGAGACAGTCGCTTCTTTTAAGTCAAATCTTAAAAACTCACTTTTACAGACTTGCTCTTGTGTGATGCCATCTTTTATCTTTCATCTCTTATCGCTTTTACCTCTATCTTATTCCGGTTTTACTGTCTTTTTGGCTTTTGTTACACTAATACTCTTTTCTTAATTAACCTTTTAGGCCTTTTAGTGTTTTTTTTTTCTCTTGCTCATTTCTGTTTCTCTATTTTATCACTACTATTATAATCAGTACTTATTATTTTTATTATCCTGTTTCCCGCTTTCAACCCCCCTTTAATTACATTTTCCTTTTCTTAACTATTTCCTGTTTTTATTTTGGTCCTCATGGTCTCATTTTATGTAGCATGGTTCTTGTATTGTCTGGGTTCCTTATGACTTCTGAAAATGGCCTTCAATTCTGTTTTAACTGAGCTTTTGTTTTTATCTGTCTTTTCCCATTGTGTTTTATGACTTTACATCAAAGCACTTTGTAAACGTCTGTTATAAAAGATAAAGTTATTATTAGTTATCATTATATTCTAAACATAGTCATGCAGGGCATCTTTTTTGTAATTTTGGGCTGACATGTACACTGCCCAGTCAAATCATTATGAATACCCGGGCAATCTAATTTGATCCAATACACCAGTTCTGCTAAATCTAAAATACTTCAAGAAGCTTCTGATTTTTCTGTTTTTGTTGACATGATCAGACAGGGAATTACTGTACTTCACATTCATTGTGTTGGAGTACTTGTGTATTGTGTTAAGTGTGCACTTTACTCAATAAGATAGGTGTATTTATGTTAAAGATTTGGGTCTTTACATGTTTCTTTTTTATATATCTAAAAAATAAATGCTTAGTTTGAATTTTATAAAAGTGGGTCTCGACTTAAGGACTATGGGAAAATGAGGGTCCAAGAGTGAGACCAGTTGAGAACTACTGATGTAATGCACTCAGGTGAAATTGTTAACAATTAAACCAATAAAATAGTACAATTAGCTATGTTTCTTGAGCATTTTGCCTTTGCTGAGAAAAATAAACCACTTCAATGAAGGTGGAGTGTGTTCAGACCTGAGGTTATTTCGGCTAGTAGGCCAAAACAATTAAGGAGCGAGTGCACGTGCTCGGAGGATTGTATGTAGGCCAATTTTTGTACGGCATTGTAGTCCGTAATTCAGACACATGTTTATCCGCCTGTTTGTACCAACATCAAAACAACTGGAAATCCGCTTCTGATATCGTAGCTGACTGCCTACACGCTTTTAGTGGATGACTGGTCTGTTTTGTCGATCCTGTTGTTATGCTAAACCTGTTGAACGTGTATCCTACACTGAAATGCATTATTGTATGATAATAAGGCGATCAATTCAATGATGTTACAGAAGCCTGGCCCCTTCCGCTGGAGTTAGCGTTTTATTCAAGTTTAATATCAACTTGTTCATTCTCTGTATTCAGAAATATAACTTATTTAGATTATACATATATTAAAAGTTGTAAGTATAACGCCAAATGTTTGGTGTGCGTTAAGCTACAAGACTGACATCTTGTTCATTTCCGCACCGTGAATGTTGTTAGTTTAAGATACTACATTCGTGCAACTTAAAATCATCCTTTATAAGCAGAAGTAGTGATAAAATTACCTTTCCTAACAAACCTTAAGTTATTAAAACACTGAACAAACCATGAACCACACAAAAACCACAACAGGAAGGATTAACGCTAGCTAATGTATAGCTAGTGTTAGCGGTTGAAACATACCAGTTAGGTGACGGATTAATATTTGTCTTCTTTGTTGGCTGTGAACATCGTATCTCACACGGTTAAGTTGTAGGATGAAACAACCACCGTTTTTTCCGCAGCTGAATTAGACGATTTTCCGATGTCCTGGGTTTCTGAGACTTGCGTTAGCTTGCGGCTAGGTTGGTTTGTTTGTTATTGCTTCTTGCTCCTTGGCTCCTCTTCGTGTTGTGACGGAAAAAAAACGAATCCACGGCGTTTGGACCCACAGCGCCACCAGCAGTTGGAAGAACAAACAGCAATTGAGGAGAGGAGACAGGAGGCGGAAACTAGATCTGCAACTGAACCAAATCATGAAGGAAACATATTTTCAGCTGATTACAATCACCCGTAGAGCATTTCACAACATGAGCAAAGGTAGAAACCGTCCACACCTGCTGGGTGAGGCAGTGTCATGTGCAGATAGAGTTGCAAGATATGTCACATAAGAAGTCCAGCAGCATAAAGTCACCATGAAAAATACTGACCAACATCAAAATGTGCATTGCTAATTTCAAAAACATGCCCAAAGGACATAAGTACTTTTTTTCAATAGAAAGGAACATAAGTGTGGAGTGCCTCACATAGGGGAGAGCAGGGTAAAATGAGCCAAAGGGTAAGTTGAGCCACCCCCTGTTCCTTGGAAAAAGTAAAAGAAATGGATCATGTGACCAAATATTTTAGGAGATGAGCATCAATTCATGGAGTCTGTGAAGGTTAGAAGCACATGGGTGAAGGGGTTAGAGTTATTTCCAAAAAAACACATTTCACTCTTGAAAGTGAATTTAGTCTGTCATTAGTTTTATTAGAATTTTGTTCACACCAAAAAAGATCATTTTAAACTTGTTTTATGCATCAATTGTGGTATCTATGAGCTACAACCTGAGGTCAAAAACATAACATAAAAGTCCACCATTTTAGCTTAGAGAACTAATAAAGTCATAATAGTAGTTCTGGGGTAAGTTGAACCCTTGGCTGAACTGAGAAAGTAAAGGAGTCTGATGAGAGGATCAGAGTTTAGGTTCAGATTTTTGAAATGTGTTACTTCTTCTTTTCAAGAATACAGCTGTGAATGTTCTGAATCACTTAAATACAACATCATGTTGAAAAGACTTTTTTACAAAACAGCTTTTTAGCAGTTATACGCAATAATGATAAAAATAATTATTGTACCCGTTAAATAGCATAGTAAAGAAACGACTCAACTTACCCCGCTCCAATGGTCAACTTACCCCAGACATGGCATGCTATATTATCAAGACAGTTATGTTTACACTCATTCTGTTTCTTTGCAGGGATGCACAAGATCTTGAAATATATACAGATACACTAGTTAGAGACAAAACGATGTTGTGATCTGAAATATGAAAAATGGCTCATCTTACCCCACTCTCCCCTACTCATTACTTTGTATTTATAACCTTAACAGCTATGACTACATGTTTCTCTGAAGCTATATTAACTGACCTGTGTATATTTTCAAATAGAAAGTTAACACCTTCCCCTGTTATCTTGAAGTTAAACATTGATAATTTTATATGTACATTAGAGACTATAGTATAGCAATATTTCTGGCCCAATCTGGCTCATGGACATTTACCTGTGGTTTAAAAGGAACCTTAGAACAGCACATAAACACAAATAGGCCTAATGAAGACAGAGAAGGATTCTGTAAAGATATGTATCTATGGAATGATCCTTTTTTAAATAGGAGAGTTATAGCATGAGCTAGACTATGGCTGAAGGGGAGAAACCACAGTTCAGGGTGTAGGTCATTATAGAGGCAGATGGAGATGGACCGGTTTTCCTGCATTCAATTGAAATGAAAACAGGCATGCACACACACACATGCAGGTAGGCATGGCCACATGAGGAAACTTTCATTTACTCTGGCCAGAGAGTTACTTGTCAGTTATTAGAGATTACCCCACGGCAAGAAATCTGCTGTCAGTTTACTTAAAAGGTAATCATGCTGTTTTAAGAGAGACAGAGAACTTACAATTCCTCAGTCGCCAGGGCACAACGCTGCCCTCCAGTGACAGAATATCTGTACTGTCACTGTACTGGAACATTTTGTCACTCATACCATCAGATAGAGAGGAGCCCTGCTTAACAGCAGATGTGTCATCCTAATCAGCAGATTATGAAACCATTGTTCCCTGGGTTATTTGTTCTAGTTTATCTCCTTTACTGAAGCTGCCTCGATAAAAGATAAAACTACAGCCATACAGTAAGAGAGCCATCAGGGCAGATGATTGCACCTTTGAAAGACAATTTACATGTGCAATACATCTAAGGATGGTGTCAAGTAGTGTTTTTCCTGTGATGCTACCACACACTGCTTTCTCTTTAATATGTGTCAGGTAGCCTGCGGAGCAGATCCACTATCACCAATGTCAACACCTATCTCTCGCTGCAAGGCCTCATGATGCTAGCTGAGGTAGTTACACTTTTATGAGGTGTCTGATGAGTCAGAGCGTGATACCCTGGGTAACTCTCTACAATCTCTTTCCTTACAATGGGGGAAAGCTATGCATGCATATTAAGCCCCACTAGCAAGACACAAAGCAGCTTTTCCAGAGAGAATAGACAAATAGTTGGCTTGCTTAAAAATAGAGATGTGGTATGAAATCTTTCAGGCTCACCAACCCTGATTGACTGCAATTATGTGTTCCCACAGCAACACCAAAGAAAGGCTAGGTGATCTGAAAAAGGGGGCTTAACCACAAGCATTCCCAAAGCAGGCTGTGCAGTCCCTGACTCAGTTTTGAATGGAGACTGGCAGCTTTAGGTAAAGGTAAGTGCAGACATATTTAAACTGCATCTTTACACAATCATAGCAATTAATGATGGAAAAGTGGTACATAAATAATCTTGAAATTTTAATGTCACAGATGTAGGGGAGACCAGGGCTTGTTGTCATACTTTTTACACTCTTATTTCTTGGAATCAATATATTATATATAAACAAAATGTGTACCAGATGAAAGACCAAAGTCTCAGGTATCTATTTCGTATATCATTTTCATATCTTGTGTCAATGCAGTTAAAAGCAATCAAACAGAGAGTGTGAACATGTGTCATGTTGCCCCACCATCGGGTAAGTTGTCTCACTTTATGGGTTTAGATGTCACAGTGGATTTTTCAGCTAATAAAACAAGGACAAAATTATTGTTCTACTCAGTTTTTCTACTTGAAAGTGAACATCAAAGTTAGATACAGAAAATGTTTATGATTGAGCTAGAAAAACTCATTGAACAAACAACATAAAATATTTTGCAACATGCTTTGAAGTTTGGAGAGCTGTCTGAATCTGTATTTCTGCCGGGGTGAATGTTTTGCAGTACCAAGCCAAGGTATTGTAGTTGACATTAAAGTCCTTTATTGTACTCCACATTGATTCATTAGATAGCGTCACCTGCCTGACTGCCCTCAGCATCACGTCATGTACTGCACTTCCATGTTCTGTTTTTCTTTTGTAATTCCTGACCATGTCTTCTTGTTTTCTCCTCTCCTTTAAACCACTCTTTTTTCTGTAAAAATAAAGTCAAAATTTCATTATGACAACTGCTGATAAGCAGACTCTCTGTTTTAATTTTAATCCCTTTTAAACATGTGACAACTAACCCCAAAATGACTGAGACATGCTGCCCTAAACTACCATGTTTGTTTATTATAGCTCTAGCTTAAAGTTAGCTTAAAACAGAACAATGACTGAGATATGACAGAATGACTTAATCTCTTCTCTAACAAGTCCACATGTATCACTGCTAGGACTTTTATCTCGAAGAAGCTTATTTTAAAATATATAAAGTATTTTTTTTTTACTTTGGCTTGTGCAAAATGGTTGTGGGTGCTCATCTCAGCTCACAATGTTCTCTTCTCTTCTCAGACAGGACACGACCCCTGACCATGTAAAGGAAGAAAACTAGTATTCCTCTTTTATTGCACCCTCTGGTGGCAAAGATAATTGCAATGTGGCAACTTACCCATGTGACAACAAGCCAAATATTGCAAAATATGATTCAAAACCTGTCAAAATTATTCAAATTATTCCCTTAGGTGTCCATGACATTTGTTGTGTAAGTATACGAGAACATGCAAAGACACGAATAAATTTTTTATTTAGACAGTCAGTTATTTAACACAAACAGAGCTGCAAAACTTGGTTATTTTTGTTCTTCCTTCAAGGCTTTTCTGCACCTCTTTTCTCACCATTAGCTGCAGGCATTTTAGCACTCTGACGCAACACAGCTTCTGACATGGAGTGCTGCTCTTTTGCATTGGCTGGTTTACAAATACAGTTGGAGGAGTGTGTCAGCCTAAATTGGAAAGTGGCACCGCACTGGCCTTTCACACCCAGCAGTTTTCATTTGAATGGTTTTCAAGTCTTTTTTTCTCACGTTTCATAATTTTGTTTTTTCTATTGGAGGTAGAACAAGAGTTGGCTATCACCTGCTTCGTTGGCCATTGATTATTTTAAAATCATAATCATTTATTTTGAAGATTTAAAAAAAATCTGCAATTAAAAATTACATAAGAGTGAGCCTTTGTCAGAACTATGACAGAGATAATGTTAAAGTTGATCTTTAAAATTGACAATTGACAATGATAGCAAGGAATTAAACATTAGAAATAGTACAGACACAATATGGGAAACTTAAATTGAATCAATACAAGTTTTATTAATTCTACTGTTTAATCATTTTAGTATAAGTCTGAAACACAGGGTGTAAAATGCTATGTAGTGAGAAGTCAAATACATATTTCAGTATCAAATTCAAGGTGTACTAAACTAAGAGTAAATATTTGGATCAAAAGTGTAAAATTATGAATAAGATGTAAATTAAACAGACCAAATGCAGACCAGAACAGAAAGTGTAAAAGACAAATGGCTCTGAACCAGGCTTATAATCTTATAATCTCTAGATCAAAATTAAAGTGAAATATTATCCAAGCCAAGGAGGTGAAAAGCTATTTAATTTCCCCCTGGGATAGATCAAGTATTCTGATTCTGACTCTGATTTATTACCTTTATTTGCATGAAAATTAGCAAAAAACTACAGAGTTAGAGGTAAAAGTCCACCATGATACATCAGGAAAAAAAGCCAAAAATGATTCCCAACACAACTGTTAGTGTCAGTCTCATCTTCTGTGACACTCTGCAGGTCTTCTATCGCTGCTGAATGACATTGTTCAGAAATACCAAGACTGACCAGATGCTTTCTGATCCCATCAAAGAAAATGGGACACACAGCACCTGAGAATAAATAAGAAACAATCCATCACATTTCAATTGCAGATAAAAAGGCACAATATCTCCACATAGTGCATCTGGGAATCAGGACTTACAAGAAGCCTTTTCCGCAGCCCAGAGGTCCAAAGAACATCTCTGTTGGGAGGCAAACTTTTCTACACACTCCACTCAGACTTGGACAGGACCAAGGAAAGGATGCAGCCTCATTCTCCACAGCTGTAATCACAGGAAATATCAAAACCATGTTTAATGTCAATGTCCTTGGCTATAAACAATGAATTTTATTCTAAATAAACCCAAGAAAGCAGATTTTAGTTGCAAGAGGTGTAGAAATCAAGACTTACCGTTCATCAGGAGGACAACCAAGAGCACCAAAACTACCACACGAAAACAAGCCATTCTTGGCACCGTCACAGCTGCTCAGAAAATGTGGATCCAGGTCCCAGTGTGTCTGTATTTTGGTCCTATGGGAGGAGTGAAGATAATGTGGAGCAGCATACTGGTCACTAGGTTTTATATTAGGGCATTACAACCATCCTGAAGAGAACATGCCTTTCTTAATCACATTTAAGAAACCTACATCATTGTGCCAAACTCGTGACCGAGAGTCTTCAGGAAACAAACATGCCAAAGAAGCAGCTTGTTTTGCAGCTGATTTAAAACACATGCACACCCTTAACCTTGTTGCTTGTAGGCATTTGCACACAGAGGCAAGTTTTCTCTACTTTGAGCACCAGAAAAGACATTTTCTCTCTCAGCTAGGAGAGCAAATTCATGGAAATGGGGGGAGAAATTTACAAACAGCATTAGTGTCTCATTTGCAAATGCAGCATGTTAGTCTCTCACAGAAGGAGACTCTAATTTGTAGAATTAAAAATGCTTTTTGATCCTTTTCACTCGACTAGTGTGATTGTCACATGGTCACATATTGAAGAAGGATGAACAAATTCAAGAAAGGTTGTGAAATCTTTTTTTTGAGTGTTTGTCCTTATCTTTTAACAACAAATTTGCTAAATTTGTAGCACTTGGCTTAGATTTGGTCCATGAACATGAAGCACAAAATGAAAGGAAACCAGTGCAGAGCATTTGGTGGTGCACATAGAATAATATAGCGGGCCCAGATATCACCATTACAGGAAAAGATGAACCATCAAAAGTACAAGTAAATCTGTACTTGCTTATTTTCTTGCTCAGATGACCAGTGAAGTGTTTTACAGACAGGAACATTGTTGAAATGTGACTTGCACTCACTCAAAGGTCCCAATCTTTCAGTTTCATCAGTGTTACATCAGAGTTGTCCAAAGGGAGGTCATTACTGTTCCTCTCTCTCTAAATCCTCAAGGTGCTGGCCAAAGTGGTCTCTACAGTGGAATAACAGTAATGTCTAATTGCTTTCTAGAGAAACAAAAACAGCAAGTGGACTAATGACCTCTAATGAGCCTGTTTAGACAGCTACGGCTGACATCATCCTGGAAATGCTTCAAGACTTTTGATGCGACATAGACATTATTAATGGTAGTTTTTGCTGGTGACACATTTTAAGATACGAGGGAGAAATATGTGTCTGTGTGAACTGCAGAGGCCTCAAGGAAGTCTTATTGCTTTAAATAAGAAGTATAACATTAAAACATAAAAGAGAACTGCTTATACTACTGGTATCAAGGACTGCATAGCTGGTAATGGATGACATGACATTAACAGCGCACAGACTCATCAACTCTCGCTCTAATAATAATAATGCATCAGATTTCATATAGCACTTTATCAGAAACCCTCAAAGCACTTCACATCCTTCATTTACTCACACAGTCACATCTTTGTGGTGGTAAACTACCTTAGTAATCACAGCTGCCCTGGGGCAGACTGACGGAAACATGGCTGCCAGTTTGCGCCTATTGCGTTTCCGACCACCACCACACAACACTCATAATCATACACCAGTGGAGGACACATTCTGGGAGCAGCTGTCCAACAACCTTCCAGTTGTTGGACAGCTGCTCTACCTTCTGAGCTACTTCCACCCTCTCTCTCTCTCTCTCTCTCTCTCTTGAATATGGGTTTAGAGGGTACCCCTAAAGTAAGCTCGCACACACACACACACACACACACACACACACACACACACACACACACACACACACACACACACACACACACACACACACACACACACACAAATACATACATACATACACTGATCCAAATGTTCCCCTCCCTTCTAGTGTCTCAAATTACTCAGTAAAAAATCACTACTTTTTCACTTCTTCTCCCTTCTCTGTTGTATAGCGTCACCAAAGGTGCACTCTTGTAGCTCTACCTTTTAACTGAAAAAATACTTATTCATCCACATGCCAAAAGTGTGTCATATTTTGTGAGGCCTGTACACATAAATGAGGAAACAGAGCGTGTGATTTCTGCATGGTAAATTGAAGGGTATGGCGAGCAAAAGTGGCCACAAGATTCAGAAAAAAAATAATATCTGGTTTGTCATAACTCTCTTAAAGTTCATGCACAATTTCTCAGTTTTAAAGGTGCAATATAAATCAAGTTATTATTATTATTATTATTGTTGTTGTTGTTGTTAGTGATGTAAAATCCCGGTTAAAATGGTTAAAAATTACAGTAAAATATGTGAAGGTTGAAAAGGGTTTAAAGTGTTTAAATGAAGAAAGTCTCTTTGAGATATAGAAAAAAGTGTCTCTCTAAAATGTGCCTATTTGAGTTGGACTTTGGTTTAGTCTGCAAAATATCTCAATGTTTTCCCCAGCTTTTCCAGATCAGTGTTCTATGTTTGATGTTTCTATCCAAAGTCTATAACCATGTTAATTTCTGGTAAAGGCTCAACAGCTGGACTTTTATATTAAAACTCTGGTAACGTCAGAAAAAAACATTCTCATGTAAAGGAGGGTTAGCAGAGAAACACAGCGTTCTGATTGAAGCGTTCTGTCCTTGCTGCCTCAAGTTTCTCAGTGTTTTTAGTTTGCTTTGGAAAACTTGTCCACCTTCAATCTATTCCTGTAAAAGTGTGGGTGTGTGACTGACCTTAAGGGCTGAACAAACTCTCTTAGCCCTTTGAGGAGTTCATGGTTGAAAAATACTTATAGTAAATATGGAAACAAGAAAATCAAAATACAAAAGTAAAGGGAGGGATATGACACCCCTGAAGCACATATATTATATATACAGCTGCAATATAGTGTAGGAAACAAATATTCTCTTTATGATCAGGGAGAGTCAATAAATGAAAACATGTTGTTTAACCGCTCATTGTGTGTCATGATCTTGAATGTCAGCTTTTGTGCAGAATGTCAGAAAAATGTCCTCATTTGTTTTCCATGTCTGATGAAGATAAAATTCAGTGTCTGTACACACACACACACACACACACACACACACACACACACACACACACACACACACACACACACACACACACACACACACACACACACACACACACACACACAGTATTTCGGCTTCCTTCGTTTGTGTTAAATGAATTTCAACAGCGTAGGTGGACGCGTCATGTCTGATTTTGCTCAGTTGTGATCATTGCCAAAGAAGGGTTTTAGTTTGGTGGAACATTGTGTTTTTGCTCTTAATGTAATTGTTCTTTCTTGTTCTCTTCGAGCTTTTGCTCTTATCTGGTTTGTTTTCTACTCTCTGTCAAGTGAATAAAAACGGTGAATAAAAATAAACTATTCTTTAAGGAATCAGGTCATTAATGTATTTCATTAACAGCCTTTGTAAAGGTGTTTAAATCAATATTAGCAAAATATTTTGACTTTACTTTACCAAACATGTTTGCTTGTGCTGAAGAGGAAAAAGTCATGTACTCCAGTAACCATGCCAACAAGCTCAAAACGTCAGCCAGTGACATCCCTGCAGTACCAAGGAGTGTCGTTTAAAGGCCCAAAGACTGAGAGACTCACTGCTTCATTTAGAGGAGGACTTACCACAGGTGAGCTTGCTTTAGATATGTGTTAGTGATCCAGTATCCTATTCATATGCATTTCATTGAATTTGTTTGTTGTTAGGTTAGGCAATCAATACCAGAGACTCAGCGTAAACAAAACCCTAAAGTTCAGTGTAATTTTCTATCTTCCATTCCAGGTGACTTTTGGCACTTATCATTAAATAGTTTTCCTGTTAATGAATGTGTGTCATGACTTGTCTTAAGACTGTGTTCAAATTAAAAATGTAAAAATTGTCTTTCTCTTTTCAGAATTCAAAAAGAAAGTGAAACATGGACAACGCCACAACACTGACATTCAGAATGACAGCATATGCTGTGATGGAAAACTACAAGCATTTGCTGTTTGTCGTGTTCCTCCTGCTCTATCTCCTCATTATTACTCTGAATTCAGTTCTCATCACTGTCATACACCAAAACAAAGTGTTGCATCAACCTATGAATGTGTTCACATGTGTGTTATCTGTCAATGAAATGTACGGCAGCACTGCTCTCTTACCTGCAGTCATGGCTGTGCTGCTGTCTGACACACATGAAGTCAGTGTAAAGTGGTGTTTGGCTCAGGTCTACTTTCTGCACTCATACGCATGTGCTGAGTTCTTCATATTAGCTGTCATGGGATATGATCGATATATTGCCATCTGTTACCCTCTACATTACCACAGTATCATGTCTAATTCAAAGTTAGGTAAGCTTGTCGCATTAGCCACTCTCTACCCGCTCATCCTGTTTGCCTGTTATTACTCTCTGACTCTGCAGCTCAGCTTTTGTAGAAGAATCATACCAAAGTTGTACTGTGTGAACTTCGAACTGGTCAAAAACTCATGTTCAAGCGTGCCGTACGTAAATGTAGTTGGGCTTGTGCTTATTATTGCTTTTATTGTGCCTCAGGTGGGGATGATTGTTGTCTCCTACATACAAATTGCAAGAGTGTGCAGGAAATTATTAAGACAATCTCAAGGCAGTGCTCTTAAAACATGCATCCCTCATTTATTATCTTTGCTGAACTACACTATCGGTTCTTTATTTGAAATTGTCCAAACTAGATTTAATATGAATCATGTAGCTGCAGAGACACGGATCTTCCTCTCTTTGTATTTTATTATCATACCATCAGTTTTCAACCCAGTGATGTATGGACTGGGGACTCAGTTGGTGAAGGATCATATTGTACAACTGTTTATTAGACACAAGATCCTGCCTGCAAAGTTAACAAAGGCACCGACTGTAGCTTAAAAACAGACTAACCTTTTTCAAAAAAGCATGGAAATATAATTTTAAGTGTCTTATTTGCTAAATTAGAGGCAGACATTCTTTTAACTCTTTATATATGTAAAAAAATATATGTATAAATATATATTATATTCGGTTAGTTATGAAACTTAACATATCTATGTTGCATTCCTGCAGCTTTCCTCGCATTGTTTCCCTTTTATTCCTTCTAAATGGTGCTTACCAAATATGCAACTTCAATAATGTCATAATTCAGTGTGTTTCATGTTTGGAAAAGAAAAGTAAACTTGCATAATGCAATCAAATATAATATGCTTTTAGCCACTTCTTAAAGCTAAGATATTGTCACTTTTAGATTCAAGCATCTAAGATTTGAAATATGAAATATCTTCCTGTCTGCCTTCTGGATATCTGCTAGGTATTTTTGTGTGTCATAGTTGTTATTGACTGAATTCTGTTAAAAGTGTTACATCTATAATAAGAGATATAGTTTTGCTTTAAATGCCAAATGATTAATATTTAATAGAGAAAACCTTCCTGATAATGTAACGCCTGCATGTAAAGACTTATAGTGAGAGACTTGGTTGAAAAAATTTGATGCAAATGTTGATCTCAAATAGTAATTAAACTCTGGTGTACATAGTCATGCAGCAAAACTGTCAGAAGTTTATATTGATCCTCTCCTACACTCTCTACAGACATCAAGGTTTAAAGTTATGATTTCTAGGCCTTCAGGAGCCTTGAATAGAAACAGAATTGAAAAATTTATATTAGACAAGGACTATATAATTTAATACAAAAAATAGGAATCTACAGAACATCCCATATCCTCTGAATTTTAAGCTGAAGTTACTTTTTTTCCTGCAGTTTGCTGCTATGTAAAAGTTTCATCCACACTATGACCACTATGACCTCCGTTTCACTGCAGCAAAGATCTAACTTTGTGACCACAGGCCTTGTACCTTTTTATGATGTAATCATGCTTCAGTAATAAAAGTCCCTGAGCTGTGTTGAGTGTCATAAGCAGTGATTTGGATTATATTATATTCAAAGTGTGAAAACACCTGCCATCCAGCATCATGATCCAGATGGTTAAACACAGACTCATGTATTGTTGGTACTGAATCTTTTTTTACTTGACAAACTAAAGTCATTTGCCCTCTTTGCAGCAGACGCAACCATCATATCAGATCAATAAAAAAGGTGAATCTTATACACATTTTCTAACTTTTTTATCTTGCAAAACAAAAGAGCAATAAATAGTGTAAAGTCAAAACAGGCCCATACAAGGTGTCAGACAGAGTTTTAACAAATCGGTGACCCTGCTCTTGACAGGATACTGTTGTGTTTGATGGTTTGAATAGTACATGGCTCTGCCTTTCAGGTAAATATTTGCATTTTGTTCATTTTTATAATGCTAATAAATCAAATTTGCTACTCCAGTTTGCTGGAGGTTGTGTGACTGATCATGACAGTAAATACATTATGAACAATACACTTTAAAATAGAGTCTGTAAAACAATTATAATGTACATTATAGTGTATAAACTAACAAGATCAACTCACAAATTGGTTAAATGGCAAAAATGTTGTAACACACCTTAGCTGCATTTCTCAAACGAACCAGAGCACTGATGTGGGCATTTAAAGGTACAGAAAATATGACATCAAACCCAAATTAATGGTTTTTAGAAGAAGAAAAAAATACACATGATTTACTAGTTTACTGAAACAACAACTTATGAGGCTAAGAAATGAAGTCCAAAGTGTTTTTTCTCCATCAAAATGGCCAACTTTAGAGCAGCCTGTTCACATAGTTGTTTCTGTGTCTGTTTTGAAGTCATTTAATTATAATCAGGAAGGTAAGATACGTTAGGTTAGCTAAGTTGTAGAATTAAATGAGTGCTTTTTCTCCAACTTGTAATTAATTAAAGATAACTAACAACTTGGATTTGTTTACATGATTCGTCCTTCATTTCTGTCAACCCTGTCTCTTGCATGGGCAGATGTCTTAATTATGACTAAAACCGAATCTACAAAAGAAAAAGATAAATCCTCATAAAGGCCAGCTGAAAACACAAGATTGAATCCTTTCTATATCACAACATGCACTGTAAAATTACTGTAATACTCCCAAGAAATCAGGAACTCTCTCTTGCAAGAGAATATTTTCAGGGGGGTTAAATTCCCCCATTCCCAATTTTTTGTGGGTTTTAGGCAGATACTAAAAACTCATGCCCCATGACCCATCCCAAATGTGATTGGACATGTAGGGAAAGACGTAATGTAATTACAGAAGAGAAGAAATGTTCAGTGTATAAAAGTAGAGATGAGTGCAGGATGGGAGGGGGGATGCATCCACAGAGGTAAACACACGAAGCTGATCAATGTACTGTGTATTTTAAATCAAAGCCCTTCTCTTTTTTAAACAAATTGGTGTGAGCATGAGGAATTTCTCTGAAGTGACAGCTTTTAATCTGTCTGCTTACTATGGGATGGATGACCTGAGGCATATGTACTTCTGCGTATTCCTCATGATATACTTAACCATTATTGTTGAAAATGTAGTTTTGATTGGAGTGGTTTATCATGAAAAGACTTTGCATGAGCCGATGTATATTTTGCTGTGTAACTTGGCAGTGAACGGTCTGTATGGGAGCACAGCTTTACTGCCAGCATTACTCAGCAACCTGCTGTCACACTCATATGAGATCTCTTTACCGCTTTGTCAGACACAGATCTTTGCTGTCCACACATATGCCATTACTGAATTCACAATTCTTGCAGCAATGAGTTATGACAGATATGTGGCTATTTGTTATCCGCTGCTTTATCACACCATCATGTCACAGAGGGTTGTTAAACTGATTGTTTTCACCTGGCTTTATCCATTTCTAGCATTCCTGATTGTTCTAGCTTTCACTGTTCAGCTGAGGTTTTGTGAAAGAACAATAGAAAAGGTTTACTGCATGAACTACTTGTTAGTAAAACTTGCCTGTACTGACACATCTATTGTCAATATAGTTGGTCTGCTCTCGGTTGTTGTATACACAATTCCACAGCTTGTTATGATTTTTTATTCATATGTGCACATCCTGAGGATATGTGTGGTATCATTCAGCAAATCCAAACTCAAAGCCCTGCGAACCTGCACGCCCCACCTGCTATCAATAGTCAACTACTCAATTGGATGCTTTCTTGAAATTGCGCAAAGTCGATTTAACATTCGCAACTTGCCTTACCAAACCAAGCTGTTTCTATCCGTGTACTTTTTGATTTTTCCACCCATTCTTAACCCAGCTATTTATGGATTAAGTATTCAACATATAAGGGTGCGACTGTTCAGACTTTTCAGTAAAAAAAGCAGACAAGAGTTAAAGTAGAAAAGAGAGAAGCTGTCATAGTGCTTTCAAAAGGTGTCTTATATGCCAAAGACTATTATTACATGCAGAATTTGTCAATAAATGAAGACTCCCCGCAGCAGGAATGAAAACTAGGCTTTGTGTTTATTGATAGATACAGTTCAGTCACTTTAATTAACTCTCAAACAAATAAGCAGCTGCAAAAATATGTTTCTTTAATGATCAAACACAGTTAATTTTCTTTGCTGAAATGTATGAAGCATTGATTCTTGAAATCTATGTTTTTCTTTCTCACATTGTCCTGCCTGCTTTGGGAACTCCAATATTATTTTATCTTTATCAGATGTGAGACTATTTCTCCCCAAAGTGAAAGATTTCAAATATATTTGGATCATTATGAAAATCTAACATTTCATATCAGCTGGACAGGTATGCCTAAGGGTAGTTAGGAAAGGTGGTAAAAATCTGTGCTGAGTCAGTGCTGCGCAGACAGACAAGTATATCTATAATGATCATGATGATGTGGATTTTGTAGTATGACCTGCTTTTTATTTAAAGCTGTGCTTTTGTTTGAACCTTTTCTTTGTCCTCCCATAAAGCTGAATTTGAAGGGGTTGTTAGTTGTTCGACTAACTGTAATAAACATTTTATGGAAAAAGATTGCATGCAGGTTTTACAGTGAAGTCTTTGTATGCACACTTTCAACCAGAGCAGGCTATTGCTGACTATAACCATTTTTTAAACAACCCTTTACAGTGATTAAAAATACCAACAAAACTTACTATTTATGGTGTATCGGCTATCATAGGAAAAAAACATGTTTGAATTGGTAACCTCTAAATATATTATATTTTAGACATTTATAGGCCTTTATTTTGCAAAAAAAAAAAAAGTTCACAGTGTGATGCCAAACTCAATTACAACTCAGCAAAGGCTGCATGGAGGAGTAAGTTCAGTAGTTCATGTCCAGAGAGAAATAAATAATTCATTTTGATATATCTTGGCCTGTTTTGGATTTCTATATTTTGCTCAAATAAACCTAAATCATCTTGTATAACTATGTATCAAAAGGGCAATCTCACTGCAATTACTGAAAACTTAAAGACTTAAAATTCAGAAAATATACAAAGCCGAAAATACAAAAAGTTTCAACTATAACGTCAAAAACATGCCACATATGGAAAAAATGTAAAGCAGAACGCAAAAGTAAAGGTGCTGAAAATACATCAATAACGCAAAGGAAAACTGCATATCCAGCTGTGGAGAGGCACTTAAAGCCTGTAAAGAGCGGAAAGTTGAAACAGCTGAATTTGAGCGACAAGAAATAGGTTAACATTATTAAGCTACACAAGGATGCGTGATGCAGGAGTTCAGTGTTTCTGTGCAAACACACACTCCTCTACTTATACCAAAAAACTCTACACAGCTTTTGTATGTTTGAGGTTTCTGTGAATTGAGATAAAGTTTTACTAAAACTTAGCATTTGCTGACGGGTCAAACTTCATTCAGCTTATTAGGCCAGTTCGCATCAAAGTTTTACTTGCTGATACAAATCTTTATTGCTCTGGGAAAAATCTAAAACAGCCTCTACATACAGTGGAAAGCTATAATTGAATTAGTTAAAAAGCATATAATAAGTTTGGTTTAAAATGGTTTAGAAGTTTAAAATCTTTGGTAATTCTACATCAAAACTCAGGAAAAACTTATTGATATTGATATTGATAAAAAGAAGTTGTGTGAAAGTAAATGGGTGTGATCATTGATTATACACTCATGTGGAAACCTCAAATAAATCATGTTAAAAGTGAGCCTGGCCATGGGCTCACTAGAATGAGAGCCTGATCATTAGACACTCAGTTGAGCACACCCCACTGGTCTGGTTGTTGGGGGTGGCCCAGGTTTTTTGGGCTGTTCTTGACTGTTGTGATCCAGATCCTCCCCTGGGAGTAATTTCCCTTGGAGACTGTAGCAGAGGCTGGTCTCATTGACAACACAATTCCCAAGCGTATAGGGATGAAAAAAACTCCTAGTAGAATTGTGTTTTTTTGAAAACAGGAGATGGTTTTATACACATCATGCAAGTGCAAGGGGATCAAATCATCAAGCAGATAAAAGTTACACCCACCATTATTGGGGTTGAGGAACCTACATATATTTGGGAACTTATTTATTACCTCATATTAAGTCTTTCATATCCTACTTTGAAGTTTATGTGTTGCAAAATTTGGTGTTACATTAATTAGCTGTGAAAAGTGTACAGCATTTAATTACAGGGTTAAAAAAAGATCGCAGCAGCACCAATATCTATAAGAAATGCTTTAAATGTAAAACCTGTAAAACTCCAATGATGCGGACATGTCCTTATTTTTACCATTACAGTGCACAAGGTGTCAACCAAAACTAAAAATGTTAGTCTCTTGTAGTCTTTTATAACAAACAAACAACAAACCAATCCTATCCTGTTTAGTTAATCAATATCAACTTTGTCAGATGACAGTGATGACTTGTAACGGCTTGTTGCATCAGGGTCTAAAATCTAGGGGTTTGCAGCTTTGCAGACTGGGAGAAAGGATGGTTTTCTCTGACACAGATGCCCCTCCACCAGCTATGTGACACTGACTCTGTCTATTAATCCATTTAAATAGAACTTGAAAACCAATTCAAAGGCATACAGTACATATCCTATATGGCCTCCGCTCTCCTGATGTGATTCATCACCTGAAGGTTTTAGCCTGTACCTTCAGTAACAGTCACAGAGAACTTTAATATTTTAGCTTGATTTTTAAAACTAAAGGGTTTAGCTTGTGTACATGTGATCTCATTTGGCTCCAGGACCCGTTAAATACAGAGTTCTGGTACCCTCATAGTCAAAAGCTGCAGTATAAAGTGAACGGATGACTTAAAATTTTTAAGTTAGAGTTCGGAAAAGATAGAACCTGAGAAAATGCGTTACATCTGCACGATCAGCGAAAGGTTATTCTAACTCGCCTTCATTTCTACACTGTTTGTTTCTGCTCTCCCAGTGGTCACAAGAGCAGCACACCTGTGTGCTCTCTAATAATGAAGCTCCTGCTGAGTTCACAGCTGAGGCAGATCAGCTATCAGCGGGGTGTTTACACGGGGAGCTCGCAGTAGGCTGCCGCCAGAATGTCACAGTTCTTTGTCCGGTAAAGACGTCAGGGATTGTGAAATGTATTCATTAAGTGTTATTTAACCTCCGAGTCTTTTGGTTCTTGCTTTTTCCTTGCAGCTAGAGAGATTTGGATTTCTACTGTTTGCTTTTCCAAGTAAAGCTTTTCCGCTTACCTGCTTCTGTGTGTAAGTCTGCATCTAGGTACCCCAACCTACCTCGTGTTAACATCGCAGATTAGCCAACATTTTCTCCAAAGAATTCCCAAATTACCAAGAAAAAATGACGTTATTTTAATGCATTGTCTGAGAAAACTAGAGTTCAAAGTCTCTGCCCTTTCTCAAAAAATGTAAGCTAACACGTCACAACTCATAAGCTCTAGGCTTTCAGAAAAATTTACCTTAAGATTTTGTTAATACCATTAGATGGGGGCACTGACACGGTCACTACTTGTTAGGATGAATTTTAACCATTTAAGGTAAATAGGGTGTGTAACTTGGAAGACCTCAGATATTTTGGTACTGGACTGTCTAACAGAGTGGGCAGCTGTATATACCTGATCCCGTATACCATATCATGCCAGTCTTTGTTACTCTTGATGCATGCTGGAGATGTAACCCAGATCTGCAATCAGTAAAGCTTATAAACCTGACCATTTGTGTGGACCCACCATTCTTTCAAGAGTGGACTTTGGCTTGGCATCCTTTCACTCCTGGTGAATATGGTCAAGATGGACCGATTTAAAGGCACATAAACATTACCACAGGTGTTTCAACTAGCCAAATCTTTATGAGCAATAAACCAGCACTATTCATTTCATATGAAATCAAGAATGAGTTTCCTTAAGTGTACAGAGCTCCGTGGAAAATGATCATCTTAAATACTGGAAATGTCGCTTACATACAGAATGACAAAAACCACAGGGATAAATCTTCCCTAAGTGGAGCGTGACCCCTCTGCAGGATTCCCAAGGCACCACCAACAAATCCCTGATCAATCAAATTACTCTAAATGTTCATTTGTGTTCCTGTCTCTCGTCACTGACTGTGAAATCTAAAATCTAAAACTAAAAACTAAAAGTGTACTTGGAAATAAATTGAATTGAATTTATTTGAATAAAAAAAAAAGGTTAATACCTTCTCAAGTGCAAAGGTGGGAACAGAATGAAATGGATTAGTCTTGTCTGACACAACACTGTCACATTAAAGATACTGTTTCTTTATGAACACACGTTTTCCAAAAATCTTTGGCATTTATGTCAGCTATCTATATTATTACCTCTGATCAATTGCAGTGTAAAATGAAGACAGTTTTATACTTTCTGCCATTGTCTTCACTTTTTAGAACAATGTTAATCAGGATGCCTTTTGCATTTGTTTTCAAAATTGAACTCGTGGAAATCCACACCCCAATGTGAGAGGACTGAGGGACTTGTCACAGGTGAAACCACATGATCGGCATGTCAGAGGGGAACTCATGTTGAGGGTATAAAAGAGCAGTTAAATACTGATTGAGAGGAGAAATTCCCACAGAGGTAAAGCCTGTTTCCTTTCAGTTTGTGTAGCAGAGTGAAAACTGTTCTGTGTATTCATGGGATGCTGTACAATTTATGTGTGTCAGCATGAAAAATTTCTCTGAAGTGACGACTTTTTACCTGTCTCCTTACATTGGAATGAATGATCTGATGCCAATGTACTTCTGCATATTCCTCATGATATACTTAACCATTATTATTGAAAATGTAGTTTTGATTGGAGTGGTTTATTATGAGAAGACTTTGCATGAGCCGATGTATTTTTTGCTGTGTAACTTGGCAGTGAATGGTCTGTATGGGAGCACAGCTTTACTGCCAGCATTACTCAGCAACCTTCTGTCACACTCATATGAGATCTCTTTACCTCTTTGTCAGACACAGATCTTTGCTGTTCACACATATGCCATTACTGAATTCACAATTCTTGCAGCAATGAGTTATGACAGATATGTGGCTATTTGTTATCCACTGCTCTATCACACCATCATGTCACAGAGGGTTGTTAAACTGATTGTTTTCACCTGGCTTTATCCATTTCTAGCCTTTCTTCTTGTTTTGATTTTCACTCTTCAGCTCAGGTTTTGTGACAGAACAATAGAAAAGGTTTACTGCATGAATTACTTATTGGTAAAACTTGCCTGTACTGACACATCTATTGTCAACATAGTTGGCCTGCTAAGTGTAGCTCTGTACGCAATTCCACAGCTTGTTATGATTTTTTATTCATATGCACAAATCCTGAGGATATGTGTGGTATCATTCAGCAAATCCAAACTCAAAGCTCTGCGAACCTGCACGCCCCACCTGCTATCAATAGTCAACTACTCAATTGGATGCTTTCTTGAAATTGCGCAAAGTCGATTTAACATTCGCCACTTGCCTTACCAAACCCAGCTGTTTCTATCCGTGTACTTTTTGATTTTTCCACCCATTCTTAACCCAGCTATTTATGGATTAAGTATCAAAAATATAAGGGTGCCACTGTTCAGGCTTTTCAGTAGAAAAAGGAGGATAGGAACTAAGTAGCAAAGAGCAGTGTCATTATTATGTTTTCAAAATGAGTCCTGTTTGTGTAAGACTGTTGTAAACCCGTGTCCTGCTGAATCTTCTGTCTTACTCTGTTTGTTAATCACATTAACCTTACATTAACTCTATCAACCGCACAGTGCCATGAAAAACAGAGCTGAGTTCGTGTCCTGTTAATATCTCATTACCAGGTCGAAGCTCTAACAATGTTCATGTGATCCCTGAGTTTAAGTCTGTCTTAACCTTTCAGGTCACTGGATTTAATTCTGTTATACACATTTTTTTCTAAATGGAACATGTTGCTTATTCAAACATACCTGTATCATGGTCATTGTCACCTTTTTGGGACGCTGAATGCAAACTATCCACTGTGATGTATGAATACGTTGTTTTTTTTCAGGTAATCCTCTCTTAAAATTAAACATTATACAAACTCGTTTCAGTCTGCTGGAAGTGAGGAGCTAAGAAAATAGAGATACTTGAAAGAATGTAAATCTAATGCAACTAAGAACATGTAGATGTTCTTCTGAATTACTTTTTAATGTTGATAACGAAGTATCATAAGACAAATCAAGTTGTTCTGTTTTTCAATGTTTTATCAAAAGCAAAAAAAAGTTTTTAGAATGTATTCAGATTACGATTAAAAATATTAAAAGGGAGTTCATTGAGCAAAGCATGCAAGAAAAGTGAAATTTGTGTTAAAATTGATAAGAATGACACAAGAAAAGTAGTTCATTAACTCTGTGCTCTGATGATGAAACTGATCCCTCAGCATAAACAGTAATAATCTCTTGTTAAACATTTCACTGGATGAGATCTGCATGTTTCATTTGTGGGACTTTTGCTGATTACTTATTAAAAACACAAGTAACAAATCTACACTTTAAAGCATCATTTCTTTTTTTATTAGACCATGTTTCACATAATTAAACAACTTTTTTTCTCGACATCATCTTTCTTCTTTTACATTTATCATAAGAGCTTATAGTGATTGAATGATTTATTTCTGGTTCACCCTGACAGATTTACTGTTTGTAAAAGAATAAAAATGTGTTTTTGCATATGAGTTTATGGGCCCAAGTAGCACTCTCTTTCTACCAGTAATCCTCTACTGTTTAATTTTATACATCTTACAGTATGACAGTGCCTGAGGCTCACATTAGCATTTTTTCCTGTTGAGTTGAGCTTTATAGTTGGAGAAGTTTCCCCCTAAAAATACTTTCTTAAATGTGACTGTGAGGGGAAAAAAATCAGGTAACAATGGTGCTTATGTGTGCCCATGCAATACTTTATTCAATTTAAAAAAAAAAGTCATGGAGCTACAATGCGGCACACTTGTGCAATGTCAGTCAATTTCAAATGGCATGGTAATGTGTTTTAGTTCACAAAGCATGCTTGTACATTAAACACTTAATAAATACAGCTATAACTCTTTGTGGCCAACACTTTCAGGGTGAAATAGTAAAATGAGTCTTAAAAACACAAAGTGATGGTGGGGTGAGGGGGTCAACACAGGAATTCTCCAGACCAACGCACTTTGAAATACAAAACTGATTTACAAACAATTAGGTAGGTAGCATGCATACAAAAATAGACATCTATTCTGATCATTCTTTTGTAATTTACAATACTGGTTATCATTATTGCCAAGCGTTCTATTTTTGTGCTCCTGTTTCGAGAAATAGCTCCCTACCTGTATCATCTCTTGTCTTTCTTTGAAAAGTACAATGTACATTCACAATCACTGAGGCACAGCACTTGATTTACAATTTGTATAAGTACCCCAAAACGTTGTGTGGACACTGTAGTGATGTAATATTAAATATTTATATAAATGTTCAACATCCTGTACACTTATGGAACAAACATACCTTTAAATCAGAAACACATGCTTAACAAAATGTTGTGTACATCCAAAATAACTTCTGCCTACTGAGCAGTCGTACACAACTCCAGCATTATGTTCAAAACAGAAGCAAGGGGAGGTGGCCATGCATGCGAGCAATGATTTACAAAGCTCTTCAACAAGTTTTTGGACACAAATGCAAAGTGCTTAAACCCTGTCATAAACCCTGTGAGTCTAAGAGAAATTTGATCAATCAGGACTCTTTTTTGCCTTCTGTAACAGCCCTATTATTAAATACATATATCTAAAGAGAGAGAGAGAGGGAGATAGAGAGATCTGGCGCAGAGGGAGAACAAGTCTTTGTGCTCCTGCTCTGTGTGTGAGGTTGAGGCAGCAGGAAAAAGCAAAGGGTTTGTAGAGCTGAGCAGGGGGAAGAGGGTTTGTTGTGCCTTTTATCTCCAGCGGAGGGATGTCGACTGTGTGAGGCACAGGCGGAGGCAATACGTTTGAGGTTGAATCGACACAACGCTCTTCAGCCTAAGTAACCCAAAGAGCGGTGAGTGTCTTGAAGAGGGACATTCTGTGGGAAAAATAGGTTCTCAGTTAGTTGTTAGTAATGAGTTATTAAACACCTCTGTGGGAGCATGTTTAGGCCAAAGATGAGTTTTTATACCTTGAGTGAGCTATTGAGGACCCGAAGGCGATGAAGCTTGTCATTGAGTAGGGGGTCGTTGACTCGGCGGACAAATGAGCGCTTATATTCAAGGCGGCTGGCTGATCTGTGATCAGCTGAGGTGGACAGGCTGGTCTGCTCCAGAGCTCTATACAGATCTCCCAGAGAGTCTGCCTGCATCCTGCAATCTCGTCCACGGCCTGGAGAGACAGAAAGCAACAGTTTTTACACCAAACTGAGGTACAAAATATGAGGATTTAAAAAGAAAATTCATTATCAACATAACAAATACATTTCATAGACATAAACCTCTCCACGGTCATGTTAGCAGTGAATATCTCACTAATCCAGCACACACAAACCTGTAGGCAGACTGTCTCTGCCCACACACTCACACAAACTGACTGTTACCTGCCCAGCAGGAAATGGCAGAGAGCCGAGCTAACAAGTGGCTGGCGAAGTGACTCAAAAATAAAGCTGACAGCAAGGTCAGTGGATTATCCTGACTGACATTTTCCTGGAAAGAAATGTAGCTGTTGAGTTTTTCTGATGAATTTGTTTCTTGATGAGAGTGCCAGGGTTTAAGTGGGTTCAGGCCACATGCAAGAACTGAAATGAAGCTCCGTTTGTGCGCAGCAAAAAGATGTAGACTGAGTGTCTAGAATTGTGTACTTCAGTCAAACCACTGAGATCACACAGCAAAGACACTTCATTACAAGTTAAAATACTGCCATGCATATATGATTCAATATGAAATTAAATATGTTGACCATTTCTTTTAATTTGTTTAATCAGTAATTTAAATAATTGGAATTTTCTGTTACCGAATCTTCATCATCAAATCATTTCATATCTATTTTTTTGTTTTGAAGGCAAGTCACTAACGATTGATCACATAATAATAATAATAATAATAATAATAATAAGAATGATAACATGGCAAAATGTCTAGTAAACAGTTTACATGTTGCAGCCTACACAGGCATTCCTCAGCTTGCTGATGAAGCATCGATGAAGGCCCGTGTGGGCTGCAGCACACCAGCTATTTCTACGATATTTTGCCATCTAAACAGGAGCAATTTTATTTTCTGCAAGTGCAACAGCCTGCCTTTGAGTGTTTTTTTTTTTTTTCAGCGTCAATTTTCAGCTACATTTTAACCCATGAAAGCACCCTTTTTAGGAGGATTCATATTAAGGTCAGATGGTTATCTACAATATTTTTTTCAAGGCAAGACCAGCAGGTGAATCTGTGTTTGTTAGGAAGGTGAGACTCTATTGGCAGTAACTTTAACAGTAAGACAAAAGGGCACAAAACCTCTTCACAGAACAAAATAAAAGTTTTTTTATTTTTACTCTATTTTACATTTTAGTTTATTTTTGCTTCATGACGTATTTCTTTAAATTCCATTGATATTATACTTTGTTTCTGACTCTGTGAGTTGCTTCGTCTGAATAGTGCTTTATAGTAAATTTAACTAGTCTTTTTATTTTCAAAGACATCAAAGTTTTTTTTACAATAAATCTGACTGAATTTTAAAGGTAAGCATAATTTTCATAAAAACAATTTTATACATTAGAAGTCTTGAACAACCTCTCTGTGTTTCACTTGTTGAAACCTGAATACAAACTTATCTCTGTAACATTTTCCTCCAATTTGTTTTCCTTTGTTACTTCTTTTTTTCATTATACCATTGCAGACTTTGTCCCCTCCTATTCTCAGACTAGTAATATGCAGATTTCTTAATAGGCTCACATTATGCATGTTCATTTTTCTTTTAATGCATAACTCATGCAAAGAGCACTTCGTTTCATTACAGTTAAGTCTTCAAGAAAAATGAAATTCTTACTGCGCCATTCATTTCTTTCTCAAAAACTGCCAGGGCTCCACTTTTCACATGTTTACTCACACTGCCCTCTGTTGGCATGAAACTAAAACTACACCAGGACTCTGGCTATGTTGGCCGTCTCTTTATTTTGTGTTTTGGAAGTAGGGTGGTTTGTCTTGAAGCTTTGGGGCTGTGCTTTGAAACCTATCATGCTTTATTTGTCGCCTGTTTTGTTCTCCTTTCTTGTCTTTACGGGCAGTGGTGGAGAGAATGAACGGTGCACTCGCACTAGCACTAGATAAATGAGGACAAGAAGAAAGGACCCCTAGGCCTGCTTCTTTATCCTGTTCAGGATTCAACACTAACATGGGCTGAAAGGATTCCTCCTCGCTCCACCATTCAAACACTGCCGAGAGGCACAGTGACATCTCGATCGAGCAAGAGAGAGACAAGAAAAGAGAGAGAAGGAGTGAGCGTGAGTGTGTAAGAGAGAGTGGACTGCCAGCATAAATCACGATCAAATAAGACACTAAATTTCATCTCACTTAGACAACTGCCCTGGAGGTCTCAGAGGGGCTGAAAATGGGCTGGCTGCAAATCCAATCCAATAAAGCAATAATAGCGCATATTCAACCCCTGACATTTGCTGGCTCTGACTGCATGTTAGCAGCTTTAATGAAATAACCAATGACAAATAGGCTGACTCGCTCAAGACTATACTGGGAAAAACTGATCTGCATGTAACAGTGGACTGCAGAGGGGCCGACTGAGAAAACACCATAGTTCACTGTGCGGCACTTTCCTCTCAATCAAAGCTCTTTAGCAAAGGCTCACAAGCTTTTTTCTTTTTAGCAGTTTGATCAGAACAGGAGAAGAAACCTTTGCTATAATAAACAATACCTGTTTTTTCTTATTCCCTTAAATGAATGATGACGGATCCTCAACTTCTACATTATGATAAAATATGCCAGGCAAAAAAAAAGTATCACAATAGTTGTGTGTCAAAATCAGCATACTGTCTTTCTGGATGTTGTACTTTCCATTGTCCTTCTCTGCAGTATGCAAGTCAACATGCCTCTCTGGCCATTCCGACCCATAATCCTTTGCACAGCTGAAAACATGTCATTTCATCCGAGAGGTAGAGGGAGCTGAGACTGATGGGCTACAGATTGTGACGGGTGCATAAAAGAGGATCAAAGTTCAAGATGCAATTTTTCTGATGAAGTAGAAAGTATACTACCCAACAATGTACTGCATGCAAAGTTGAGACGGAATAGGAGCAGCTGAGAAAGCTTGTGTTTTGGACTGCAGTGTCGGTCTTTTCTCTTTTTTATTTTTTTAAATATAAAATTCAGTAATATGTAAAGTTGCCAAAGCTCGAACCAGGAGCAGGTTATTCTTAGCTGCAGTCAGTGATAATGACTTCTTTATTTATCTTTAAATTCATCAACATGCACTCCTAAGATTAAACTTTTCATTGCTTTTTAACAACATAGCAGGGATTTTTATCTTATTAGTGTTTTTTCACCAACGTATTTACTATGGAGATGAAAAGTCTAAGCTACCAAACCAAACCAAATCTGTCTAATAAATTTATTTACAGCTGTCTTCCATTTATCATAATCATATTTAAATTACTACGTGTTTGTTGCAGCTTCATTGTTTGTCTGAAACTTTGTTACAGTGCTGCCGCCTTTCTTGACCAGGACACTTGGAAAAAATGACTTTTAATATCAATGAGTGAAATAAAAATCAAATTGAGGTTTATAAAAATGTTTAAAAATAAAATCTGAAAGTTGTTCATCTATTTCTTCTAATCTTATGGTGATTAACATTATTGAAAAGCTAGCAGAGCTTTTCAACATATCTGCAAGTGCCTTTTTAGAATACATCAACCCTAAAACAAGTGAGTGATAATAATCTTAAAAACATATTTCCAATTATCCATGTCTGAGTTTTCTCTTTATTTATCCAGTTTTCGAGGAAAGGTGCAGAAATACTTACATTAACTAACCCACTGCAGTTTGAAAGACCACTTAAATATTTAAGCGGTAATCAGAGTTGTTAGTGATGAATGTTTTTTGAATAAATTACTTCAATAATTTGCTTCAAGTTTACTGTCAGCCTTCTTTAAACCTTTGTGCTTGTTGTTTGTTTTTTTCTTTAAATTTCTGTGCTTGTCAAACATGTAAAGACATAAGAGCTCTGATTCTGACCAGTGTCCCTGGGCCGCTCCAGTTGGTAGTGCTGGGGCTCCCACTGATCTGATGCTGTGGCGGTGGCAGCAAGGATGGCGTGGAGCCCACTGTCTCTTGGTAGGGTGAAGCTGCGGGGTTTCCCTCCTGTGTCTGAGTCGATGCTGGCCCTGAGCGGCAGAGGTAGAGCCCTGTACTGCTCCTGCAGCAGGCTGCGCTGTGCTGGCAGGGTGGACTGTCTGCGGTACTCCATCGCTACCTGGTCCCTGTCCTCGGAGAGCAGGCTGTCCTCTACAGGAAACGCCTGCAGATAGTGCATCCGGGCATTACTCTCCATCTGGTCCTGCCAGGAGTTTCTATGGCTGCTCGACTTCGGCCCTGGAGAGATGCCGTTGTTGTTTCCGCTGCCGTCCAGAGTCTCAGAGTGGAAATCGTCATGAGAGGAGCGGGACTGGAATGTGTCGGAGGAGGAGAGATGGCCACGTTTCGGTTCCAGGTAGGGACTCACCTACACAAAGACAGGTGGTTTAGTCGGTAAAGTGGACAGGTTTGTGCCCTTGGGATGACATCTATCTTTTTAATGTGACAGACTCACTGAGGATGCTCTGGGGAAGGTGTCATAAGGGGGTGGAGGACTGTCCTGTTTGGGCATAGAGGGCATCTCCATGTCCTCATGATCACTCTCACTCCAGTAATCTGTCATGAATAAAGAGTATCATGTTCATTTTTCTACAGCAGAATAAAAAACAAATTCTTTCAAATGCAGCTGAAAGGAGACCTTTGATGGCTGCGCCAGTGAAAATGGCTTCAATTTGCTTCACAACCTGAACTCGAATAAGGCTCATAATAAACGATGAGAACTTAGGGTGCACAGAAATCATACACATCCACATTTTATAACAGCTTTCACTCTCTCACTCCTGCATTAGGTCTCAAAGATTATCACTGTGTATGACGCATGAGGATTCTGAAAGGTGTAGCTGCAGCGTCGGTGTGGTGTAGGTGTGAAGTCCGCGTCTGACTGCTGTTGAGGCTGAGTGTGAAGAAGGAGGAATCTCAGAAGTGAGAACTTCCTGTTAAGTCTTCTGGAGGTGTTAAGGATCCAATTTAGCAACTTGTCTGTGCAGTATGAAGCCCCCTCGTCATCAAACCGACGACAAAACCTTATCTCACCCAACACCCACTTGACGTGTGCTGAGTTTCTTTCCTGGATAGTTACAATATTTCCTGTCCATTTTAGGATGCCAAAAAATGCCGGAACATTGAAATAATAAGCCCTCAGCTCCTAAAATTAGCATTTATATTCAGCTCAAAGCAGCGACGCTTGAATTAAATGTGAAGTGCAGGTGAAGAGGACTGTTGTCAAAAGTCCTCTGGAAATGTGTTGTAAAATTTTTCCCCAAGGACTTGTTTCAAAACACTATTTTGATGTATTGATGAATTTAAATTCTGTATTTTTGCCTGAAAAAAATACCAAAAAGAAGAGTCTTAATGCTAAAAGGAAGAGTTAGAACCACTTTTTAAAAATTCAGCCAAACTGATTTGATATCAAATCAACTACATGTCAACAAGCCTACTCGTAAAATTTTTCAAGATATAGGTTTTCAAAGGTGAGAGCTGACTTAAGTTTTATGTTTTGTTGAAGGACTTCTACTTTGTGCACTTTGGTGCCCCCTGTAGACAAAATAATACCTCTTATCTTTTGCTGACTATATCTATCACATGTGTGATTAGTGTTAAACAGTCAAATGTGCCACTTATTCATGATCTTGTGAAAACAGGTTAAAAAAAGGTTTCCCTCTGGATCATGCAGTTGATTACTTCATCTGAAATTCAACTATTAAAAAGAAACCAAATAGAAATATTCAACCTTAATGTTGAATGTCTTTCTTTGCTTAACAGAAACAAAGATGCATTCATATATATTTTGATATATTTCCTAAACATCCAAAAATTCCAAATAGAGGGTTGAAGCTTCCAGGTCAAATAATGAATTATGAATTCTTCAATCTACCATTTGGTAAACATTATTTTTTTCTGAAGACATTTTCAACGGGGAGTCAGTTTGCTGATTAGATTTACGTTTTGAAATTACAGGGCCCGTAGCCCAAGCTTCTTGTTCACAGCAAGTTTAAAAATGGAGCAGATGGGGAAAAACTTTAGACAGCAAACAGTGATGTTTCTACCTATGCATTTGGTACAACATAAATCTATATATTTCTTCAAGTATACAGCAAGATTATTTGTGTAGTGTCAACAGTTTTATGTAAAAGTGCACCAGAAAAAGACAAAGATATCCCTCACAAGAACACAGACATGAACACAGACAGAGTCTGTGACTAATCTCACCTTGGTCATGGCAAAATTTCTCCTGCTCTGAGTATCCAGCTACAGCCATACTGAGACGACTCAGCCACCTGTGGGAAAGAATCACAGCCATGACGCACAGCAGTTTGACATCCGTTACATCATTTTGTGCTTATGAGTGTGTTTGTGTGCGTGGGAGGAGTGCGGTAATTATTTCACCAAACTGCTCAATTTTGAGGAGAGTGGGTGGTCAGGTAAGGTGAGGAGGGGATTTTCAATCGTCGGCAAGCAGCATTCAAATGTGGCCACACGTGGGTTTGGGGGGAGTTTACAGTCACAGCCTCTCATGAACTCACCGGGACATGTCGTCTACATTTTCCGCCGCAAAGTAGAAGGTCTTTATCTTCGGATGGCAAGCCTTAAAAGCACTGAAAGGGAATCGAGGGTTTGTTTAATCGGATGTAGGCACAAGAGGGGGGCAGAAAGCGCACATTTACATATAAATACAGAAGCCTGTCAAGATAAACTGGTACTAATCATATATACAGTAATTCAGACACATGCAAAAACAGCAAGACCTTGCATGAGCAGATAAACTACTTTCGGAGGCTGTTTGAGAATCTGAGTCACTGTGTGTGTTCATGTGAACAACCCTGGATCAAGAGGTTAAGAGACAGCATTATGACAGGTAAACCAATGTTCGCTTAAGTTCTTCAACCTCTATGTGCAAGTATTTCAGTCACTACTAAACAATAGACTCATCATAAATGCTCATAGCTACTTTCTTAAAAGCTTATTGTATAAAGAAAGACATTTGCTTAAGAACTGCCGAACAAAACATCAGCAGGAAAAACTGTCTGTTCAGTATGAAGGCCCCTCTCATGAATCAATGACGACCCCAATCTCACCCACCACCCTCCTTTGTGGTTTTTCTACGTAAGCTTCTCTAAATATTACAAAGGTTAGTCACATTACTTTCTGTCTATTTGTACGGAGCAAAAGAAAACGAGAGAATGAAAATAACAAGGACGCCTTCAGACCCTAAAATTAGCATTTATATTCAGCACAAAGCAGAGATGTAAGAATCCAACATAAAGTGAAAGTTGTTGTTTGGGTTCTATGAGATTGGATCTTTTTCGGAGTTATTTTCGGAGCGGTTTTTTCATTTCATGATAGGACAGCTGGAGAGAGACAGGAAACGTGGGGGGAAGAGAGAGGGGGAAGGTAGGCAGTGTAGGATCACATCAGGAAGTTGAAGTAGGGACTGCTGCAACGCGGATTACAGTGTCTGTATATGGAGCGAGTGTTTGAACTGTGAGGCAAACCGGCTCCCTAAAGACTGAAAGTTTTGACATGAGGCCTCAATTCACCTCAACATAATCCATGTGAACTGCTAATGATAGGAAAGATCATTTTCAATTTTTTGTGTGTTTGTAAAATTCAGCACTCACTATTTCCTTCTGCATTCAGTGGCACGATCAATCTTAAATTCTGGGAGGCTGACAAAACCTTCTGCCTTCTCATCCTGCGGAGAGAAAAAGCAGCATTAAATCATGGCTTTATTAATCTGCTCGGGGATCAATAACTTACTTATCTTATCATCGATAAAAGCTTCATGATGTGGATTTCAAAATCCCATATTCACCTCCTCATTCATGTACCAATACAGGCATGTGTCTTTCAGGATGAACCAGTACTTCTTCCACTTCTGCGAGAAATAAGTTTTAGCATCTTTTTTCTTCCACAGCCAGCCCTCGCAGTCACCCTGGCCCAGGTCCCTGCAGGAAATCCTCCGCTTACTGATAGACGACAAGGGACTACCAGCTGCAAAACACCAGCAGGGAAGCAAAACCCCCAAAAAGATGAAACAACAACACTCTTATAGTAACACCTGTTCATGTTAGGTTTGAGTGAACAGAGCACCTGAGTTAAAGGTTACCTTTACTCTTCTTCTTTGACCGGGAGAGCAGCGAGGATCTTTCAAACACCTGCAAAATAAAGGAAAAAAAGAGTCATTACAAACAAAGGATTGATTTGTTGGTTTAGAGCAGAAAAATGTGATTTTATGAGACTAACATGGTAAAGGGAGGCTGAGTCCGAGCTGGATGTGGACAGAGGGACTTCCATCTGTAGGGCGGGGACAAGTGTGTAATGTGTGGGACTGGCTCCTCTCTCTGTCTTCCTTCTGTTCTGACTCAGACTACGTCCCAGCAGGAAGTCTTCCCCCGGGGCTTTATCTTCACTTGCAAAACGGAGCAGGGAATTCTCTGACGAGACACAACAGAAGAGAATCTCAGAGCGGCACAACATTTTTAATTCAAACACCATTATTTTCAAACGTTAATTTCTCCAGCATATTGCTCAAATAAGTTGCCAAAAATGCATCTGAATAATCACATACTCCCATGTTCTTGTGGGAATACATCCTGATTAATAGAGCGAGTAATTTCCAACCCATCCCAGGACTTCTAATCACATATTAACTGCTGCAATCGTTCACGATCAAACTTTGTGTAATCTACTGTAAGAGCGATGAGCTGTCTGTGATTTAATGATGACTGTGTGAGAACAGTGAATACTGATGTTTTCAAAGACCTCCTGTTTGAAAAGCATTAATAATCATCAGCAGAAGACTGTTGTCAGGCAGGAGGCCCTCAAACTCCCAAATACGGCCTCTTGTAGATAAATATAGCATCATCACTTTTTCTGAAAACAGCCCAAAGGAGCAACATATCACCATTGTCCCCAGAGGAAACAAACACATCACTCAAATCTTTCTTTGAGGCTGAAATAAAGCAAATCATTTCCCTCCTACTCCATTCACCACCTTCTCGACAGTCCCCAACAAAATGTGAAAATCTCTGGATGCATCTCCACGGTTGCCAAAGCAACAGTGTACTTTTTATATCCAAACAGAAAGAAACGCACAGCTGAGAGCAAGAAGAAAGGGATGGAGGGAGAGGGGAGCAGAGAAAGATGATGAACATACGGAGGAGATAGAGGTAAGAACTGATATCCAGCATGTTATCAGTTTTGACAGGCCAGCTCATCCCTCTACTTCCTGGCTCAGAGATCTGAGAGGGTGAGGATATTATGAGATATCAGCCCACTCACCTCAGCTTGCTCTCCGTCCCTCTCTGTCTCCCTTCTTTTCTATGCCTCCCTGTTTTTTCTCTCCCTCCCACGGCCTCCCACTCACCTCTCCTGCTCTCTCTTTTCAGCTTGGCCAGGTCTTCGTTGTCTCCCACCCAGTTGTATTCCACGGGCATGGAGATGGGCCTGAGCCTGCCTGGAGGAACGGTTAATATCTACATTAGTCAGCTACCTTCACGCCAAAGACGCATAGACGTCTTAAAATGTCTCCAGAGCACATGTCTCGTGAACGCTTGGCGTCAGGGCAGCAGGGAGCTCTCAGACGAGGTCAAGGCCTTACCATAGGTGGGGGTGCTCCCCCTGCGGACTGATGAGACCTCCTGATTCTGGTCGTACTCATAGCAATAGAGTATGGTGTCCTCCTCCACCATAGGGAATTGTCCCCGGCACTCCTGGTCCAGATAGGAGTTTGGTGACTCAGATCCCTCAGCGACATGAACATCCGATTGAGAATCATCACCTGGCAGGTTTCCCTTGTCATCTCTATGAAGCAGACAGAATACGTCATAAAAGACTTGAATGATGTGAGAGAAAACACATGAAAATGGGGCCATCTAATGTTTGCTCTTGATAACAGCTGTATATAATCAAAGATACATTCAAGATTTCATTTTCTATATTTAGTCCACGATCAGAAATGGATTCCAGCAGTTTTGAGTTGAAGGAATCATGTACTTGGCCTATTCTGACTTTACAGACATAGAAACTGTATTGACTGGTATTTTATTCCTGACATGTCAGTATCACCTTAAAGGTCTGAACTGCAGCCAAACTTCTTCTCTTTCAATTGTCCCTCTTTCATAGTGTATATCTATTCAAAAAGTCTATTAATCTTACTTTGGCATTGCTATTATTGTCTTAAACAAAAATTGATCCAGTGAGGTGGTAGCTCTGTTAGCCTCAACTCTGATATATCTCTTGAATGAATGAACTTCAAGAAATACACCTAATCTTGGATTATTCATGAGAATGAAAGTAGTTCAAGTAAGACATAATTTCTTAAAACAGCACAGCAAATATAAGTGATGTTGTCTTAAATCAAGATACCAAAACATTCTTATTAAATCTATATTTTTTATTCCACAAGCAAGCATGTTCTTTGTTGTTCTTTGTTGTTTTGCAGTTTTCATCTGGTCATTGTATTATGTTGTGTGTTGTACAGACTAGCCTACTGACATCTTTATATGTCAGATAATGTAGGAGGCAGCAGATTCTGTCAGGTTCAGATGACTGGAAATCTTAATTGAAAAAAATCAACTGTTCTTGTTTCATGGCATTCTTAAATTGAGAAGTTGTACATATGTTTTACTCTTAAAATGAGAAGAATGATCTTGTTGCTCCGCTGGATTTTATTTTAAAACATTTTTCTACTTTATTTCTGGTTCATTCCATCTCAAAATTAGCTGGAATATCTTATAAAAAAGTTACCCATTTTCTCTTAAAATTAGATAATTTTTCTAATGCCAAACATGCTTGATAAGATTAGTATTCTTTTTGTACAAAAAATAAGACTTATTTCCTTGATACAAGGCTATTTTCCTTTCTTGAAATTCCCTTTTTGCAGTGCACTTTTCCAAAAGTGTAGAGATGACATGAGGCTGTTTTTTTATTTTTTATTTAAATGAACCAAGATAAGAAGGGTCCCCTCCCTACTCAGCTCATCATCTGTAAATGGACAGGTTTCATTGTCATCTGGATGAGAGCGCACAGCACAGCTCCGTGCAGCAAAGAGTAGAGATGCTCACAGCTCATCTTAACTATCAATCGCAACACAGAGCAAACTGCACAGACTGCAAAACTATATTGGTGTTTTTGCATTTGAATATTAGTGAAACCTAACAAAACAGAAAGAAGGGAAAAGATGCACAATTCTTGGCACAATTGTCGATACTAGTCCAGTCTTCCCAGAGAAAAGTCAATAGACTGTTCTTTTGCTATCACTAATTATCACAGTTTTTTTCTGCACATTAAATTGTAAACATTGTAAACAAAAAGGGCAAAAAGAAATTCTACAACACGAACTGTAGAAATACACTGCAGCTTTCCTAGTGATGTACATTACAGCTCTGCACGGTCAGTGAAAAGAACAATAAGAGCATCCAAAAAAGGTTTAATTTATCAAGAACATAACTTTTAAATATTGTTATAATTTGCCAAAGTCGTCAAGCTGCATGGTGATCCATTCTATAGTTGTTGAGACATTTCAGTGTGCCCCCGAGCAGGTGATACAAAATATAAAAGGTGTCACTTTTTTTTGGTTTGTTACTATCTTCAGTCAAGTTTTCACAGTTTTACACGCTCAGCTGCATCCTGTGGATCCTCTTCATTCCCCAGAAAACACTTGTGAAGCCAGTCTTTTAAATATTTTAATATTCTAAATCTTGCATTGTTTGTTTCACTGTTTTCTGGCTTGCTATGTTTGTCTTCTTCTCCATTGTCTTTGTGGCTGCATTGCGACACTTTGTGTCACCACCACGAAAGGTCAATCTGTAGAGGAACATCAAGCCTTTGGCAAGAAAGTGTACGGAGCTTACTTGTGTGTATACTTGTCCTTTATGTGTGCAGAAACGCTGCTTTGAGTGTGAGAAATTGTCATAAACTCCACGTGGGATTGGCAGGGTTATTTGTGAAACTGTGTGTTCACCTGGGGGTGTAGGGTTCTGCAGGAGGAGGGGGGATGTAGAGGTCCTGCAGGGCACAGCTACTCCTCCTGGATGGAGTGCTTAACGTGCTGGTGGGCGTGGCCACGCTGCTGCTGGGGCTCTGAGGGAAGATTGGCTGTGTGTGAGTGAATGCGAGTGTGTGTATATGTGTCAGCATGTGAAACAGAGAAAGAGAGAGAGAGAGAGAGAGACAGCCGGACAGGGAGGAAGACAGAGAGAGAGAGAGAGGGAACGGTTACAGGAATGGACACATTGAAAATCTGAAGTTGAGCATCAGCTCAGTCAGTCAGTCAGGCACCATTTGTTCAGCTCAGACTGAGCTGAGGAGTATCTCGAGCATGAAATGAGCAGCATGCAGCACGTTTCGGATGCTCCAGTTCGAACTAGTGTGCAAAGGTTGGTGCACAGTCGGGTCATCCCTCTCATTTGGGTCGAGGAGAACTTGTTCGGAGTCTGCATGGACTAACCTGAAAATAGATAGCTCCTTCACTTACACATGACACCTCATCGAAAATATGTGTTTTTAATGACTATCCGTTGACAAATTTATGATCAGTAGAAGCGTTTAGAAATCCATTTACTCAATCTGAACTGACAGCAGATGTAATCAGTTTACATGATTCCTGTTCTGAGGAGATAAAACATGGACTTCCAGAAACGCCTGAGAGCTTGTTAAACGAGTGAGAAATTCTCCCAACAACAGAATACTAATTTGTCACTGCTCAAACTATGCAAATATGTTACGTAACTCACAGCTGACTAATATCTGAGATTTATTATCAGGAGATGTGCTCCATCATTACACCATTATGTGTGACAGAGTTACTGCAGGGCCTCCGCAGTACCACATCCTTTAACCTAACAGAATAACTTCTTCATTTGAGTCACATCATAGAACGAGAAAAACTACCGCTTCAGTTTTTTTCCCTTTTCTGCCTTGAAAAAAATGCCACCAGGGGGAAAGAATTCGATTCAGGCAAAGGAGAAAAGGTATGAGGATGTGATGTGAAGTGTAGAGGGGTGGGGGCTGAGCAGGACTGCGCTTCAGGGCCTTGAGGGGGGAGAAAACATTTTCTCTGGCCAGCGACTCAAAGAAAGGCTGGGCTACATTAATACTCATCCCTCTTATTTCCACCCATTCTGGCTTGGGCACACAATCCTAATATTGTTATTGGCTTGGCCGAAGTAGGACAACAGATGCCACTGAGGGCTGAAGTGTCAGTGTGGGAATGAATAATCCTGAAACCTTCAAACATTTAGTAGAAAATCATGGTGCAAAAAGTAGGTGGACACAACAAAACTGTGCCTGCAAAATATGGGTCATACACACAGCAACTAGGCCTCAGAAAGAGCTTCAAAAAGTGAGCATTTTAAGTCAAACTAAGTGAGTGTTTGGCTCATCGCTCTTGTATTAGATTGCATCCTACCTCCATCCTACACATTGCACATGTGAGGCTATTTATAGTCTGACAAGGGATTTTATCCTTTAGCATCCATAGTCTGTGCAGTTGTATTTTTAGCACAAGCAAAGACAGAGGCACACGTTACAGTACAACTGCATATCAACACAAATATAAATGTAGAGAAACACAGACGTGCACATACATATTCATGGACAGAAGTAGCCTTTGTACCTGCAAAGCCAGTGGTTTCCACCTCATGTTCTTGAGCAGAGCAGGAGTGGAGGTAAGTGTGCTCTGTGGGCGTTTCTTCAACGTCAGGGTGACACCTGCAGGGTCACCACGCAACAAGTTCACCAAGTTCTTCAGCTGCCAGCCCACCTGACAAACAACAACAACAGCTTGATGAGAGTTTCCTAAACACACAGGCTTCCTCAAGATTCATACAGCAGGATTTCACAGCTAGTGTTTTGATGTGGATTACAAATCCAAGGCTAGGTATGGGATTAAAGATATATCCAGTTTATGCAGTATTGGACATATGACGCCTCTTGGTTCAAATCCACATCCTTTTACCTGGTCAGTGGGGGGTACTTGAACAGTTACATGAATAAATTAGATTGTACGTAACCAAATCAGATTTATACTCGATTTATACTAATGTGGTTGTATGATATAACTGATTCAAAAACAGCTTCTTTCCAAAAGCCGTAACCACGCTGAACTCCAACACGCACTGACTTCCCTTTGTGCAATACCTAAACATGTGCAATATTCCAAATCACTGATGGACAATATACATTCATCTGCACATTACATTTATTCTATTTCTGTATATTTACCATATTTATTCTGTTAATAGGATCTCAGGACTGTGCACTTTATATTTTACACTGTTACATATTACATTTATGCATATCTGTACCATATTATCCTGTAAAAAGAATCTCAGGTTCATATGTTTACATTGTATATACTTCATATTAATCTTGTTTCATACTTTCTATATTTTTATATTTGCACTGATATGGGTGGCTTTAATCTCATTGTACTGCGTATAATGACAATAAAAGGCATTCTGATTCTGATGAGCTACTTGTCAATGGTAAGTGTAATACCTAGAGGATCCTGGTCAGCCCAGCCCATTTGTTGAGAAACTGTCTGGAGGTGCAGAACAGCAGCTAGGCTATCGAGTGCTTCAGACAGGTCATCCACAACATTTAATTTACAAAGCACCATTTTCAGCACAAGTGTACACTCGATCGGGAAATTTTTCAGCGGTCTACTTCGCTGTCAGAAATCCCATTTGCTTTTGCAGTATTCTTGGACACAGCATGTACATGCTCCTCTTCCCCCACCTGCACCTCCACACTTAACCATGACGAGGTGTATGCTAGGATAGAGCATAGGATACTCCTCATTAGGATACAGGTGTATGAATGTATTTCTATCCTGTTATCGAAACATGGTCACCTTTTGCCTAAAAATACCAAGATTGAAACCACCAAAACCTGCAGGCTTCAAACCGACAAATCAAAAACCAGATGATGACGAGGCTTTTGTGCAGTTTACTGTTACTCTTCCACATACCATAATGTCTTTCTGCCTGACTGAGCTCAGCTTGCCACACATGATTTAATGCAAGGAGCTGTTTTGGTTGTTAATTTAATACAACTTGTGGATCTTGATGGTTACGAGATGATGAACAGCCTGCAGCTCTGAATCGAGTGCGAGTTAAATGCCAAAGGGCATTTTGCACACCTCCTGTGATGTCAATCTGCAAGCACTGTCATGATGTGCTAAGCCCCAATGTGCTTTGTGAACAGCTGCATGCCTTGTAAATAGTCTTTAACCCAGTTTTGATGACATTTGGCACATAAAACATCCCGCCCAGAGAAACACTGACTGCTGCTGAACCAAATATGCCAGGTCCAGTTTAGAGAGGAAATATCCCCTCTTGCTTGGAAGGCCGCACTGACTTTCAGTACAGCCTGCGTATTTCAGGCAGCCTGAGAAAGCGGGCATTTTTCAGGCACTGACCTAGCAATCACTTTCCAAGTAATTTTTCACCTTGACAGCCGCTACACAGAAATTTTTCACGCAGAAAGAGCATTAAAGAGACAGACAGGCAGAAACAGATACTGTTATAATCCAAAGCCTGCTTTGTTCTGTGATGAGAAGATTTTTTTGGCTATGTCTGGCCTGAAAATGTGGTTATTTAAAGCAGTGAAACCCCACTTTGGATTTTTTTTACCTATCTGCTGCTATGCAACAGAAACATTTGGCTTTAAGCTGTTTCTAATAACACATGAAGCCTCTGGTTTCTTCTTGCTGCCCCTCTCTCCTCTCTGAGATGCTGCTCACACTCCCCAGTGTTAAAATATACTGTCCTGCATGGATTTGTTTTATGGGTATGAAGCCTTCCCTGTTTATTGACCTGCATCAAAAAAATCAATTTGTCATTGCTGCCTCCAGTTATTTATTCCTGACATAGTGTCGTTAATGTTTTACAGCCTTTCGATCTTGTGGCGCAGAAGCACTGGATAATTTGCAATTTTTCCTTCACTGTTGGGTCTTTCCAGACTATTCTATATATGTTATAACATTTAAAAGTGAATCTCAAGGCAGTTTTTTTGCCTCTGAGGATTTCTCTTCTGGTCATGTTCTCTGACTGATGTAACTCCTGCCCTGGCAGCCATTCTTACATCTGCTTTTCAATATAAAAAAGATACTCAGAGTCTGAGAACTTTGATCCTGGACTTCTCCCAGTGGCTTTAATTATGGATCCTTTAACTATTTCGAACATTTCTTTTTGCCTTAATGGTATTTTTGAAACCTTGACGTCTGTGATACTTTCTCTTGAGCCTGGCTTTTTCATCTATAGCTTGAAAAACACTTTTTTCTTGTGTGTCTTATCATCTTGTGTTAAGAGAGAGAGACAAAAACATTGAGTGAAACACATTTAGCTCAAAGCAGTATCACTTCACATCTCAAAAAGATTCATCTCTGCTAATCATCCACTTCATTAAGAAGCAACCATCATGAAATCGCCATTTACTATATGGCCACTTTAAATCAAACATATTTACAGCATGTAATCTTGTTATGGCCGTCATTATGAGTGACAGTTAAGTTTGACATTAGCAGACACAGAGTTCACGGGTTGCTTTCACTCCCTTAAGCTGTCAGTCTCACTCAGCTGCTGCAGCACGACGTGTCTCCTTCACTACCACCTCCATACTCGGTGAACTCTGGGATTGAATGCAGCCTGTTCGCACTATAGTTAACAAACTATTAGTTATCCTCACCTTTATGTACTTACTGTAGATATGAAACACAAAGATATGATTAGTAGCATCATCACGTCTGGTGCTGTGCATGCTGATCTATCATAAATGTAATAAATTATAACTGTTCCTGCTATAAGGGGGTACATATCTGCCATGAATTTCTGTTGGGTAACACAGCACTTCTCTCCACATGAGAATCACGCACCAACACCGCCCAGCCCTCATTTTTGGCAGCCTTTAAACTTGATGCTTCAAAGTGCGATGAAAGAGTCTTTTTAATGGAGTCAACTCTGTATTTGTAGTTATTCTTTCTAAAATGGCTGCATTCACTGTGTGAATTGACTGACTGAAATGAACCTGGCCTGAGCTGTGTAATTATCATACGTCTTGCTGTTGCACACACAAGTAGCAATTATTTCAGACAAAGGATGCTATATTTAAACTGAGAACTGTGAGAAGTTTTTTGCTTTTATTTCCACTGAATTTGTGCCACTCTGTGTACCCTTCTGAAATACACACTTAGCGCAGTTTTAGCTTCACAAATACAAGCGAATCAACAGCTATTGTTGTCTGACGCCTTCTCGGGCTCAGTTTGGAGTAAGGAACAACTGAGATTAATGCAAGGTGACTAAACTTCTTTGTTCGCATAAGAAGGATAAATTCAATTGTGCCCAGGATTTCCAGGGGTTTGAGGCATTCAAATCCTCTATCCGAGACCTCGGTGAACATGACGAACACGACATCATATTACCCTACTTCCCCTCTTTGCTCTGTTTTATCTTTGCTGCCTATTGGTTGACAATTACTTTAATTGGAGGTATTTTTTTATCAGGTTTATGATTTTATTCAGTACAAAAATGCAACAGGCAGTTTTCTCAACCAAAGAAGTGGCTCCAAGCTTCAAGTACATAAGCTGAGACATGTTTGCTATTATTTTTGGTGTTATATGTTTTATTATTATTATTACGTTTTAATTCCGGGTTTTTAGGAGGGCTGGAACCAGAAGTAAAAGTACAGTTAAGGACATTTTACTTCAGTGGAAGTAAAACTGTTGGTCTGAAAATCTTCTTACGTAAAGAGTTCATGAATTTGAACGCTAGATTTGGAGTGGGGGAGCAAGTAATGGCCCCTGGATTGTGTAAAAGCATATTTCTAAAACTAATCACTGTAAAAACATCTGATAGTGTGAAGAGATTTTGACTCTATACTGATCTTCGATGAAGTTACTGAATACTTTTGCAGCCTTTTTGTCAGTATTAAACCTGGTGACTGGTCAGTAAATCAGCGTTGACATTGACTGTCTCTCAATCAGAAGGTCAGGTTCGATCCCAGACCCTGCTGTCTACATGACGTGTGTCCTGGAGCGTCCTCAGGCAAGACATTTAACGCCAAACTGCTCCCACTGGTTGTGCCCAGCAGTGCATGAATGTGGTGTGAATGGGTGAATGTGGTATGCAATTTAAAAGTGCCTTGAGTGGTGAAAAGACTAGAGAGAGCATAAAAACAAACTCGCATGCATTAGTCATAGCTGGTTTTGCATAAAGTATTATTACTGCAAGCAAACAATAAGTGCTGAACTGATTGCTATGAGGCGGTCTGTCTTTAAATAAGTCAAATTCTATAGAGAAGAATTGATTTATTGCACCCAAATTGGTCCATCAGGATGATTTCAAGTCCTGGGATCAGATTGAGGTTGATGAAGATGGTTTTTAAGCTGTGCCATGTCATCACTGCTCTGGACATGGACGCCATAATGAGACAAATCTACGCATGACTGGACAATCCGGTGAAGGTTGAGAAGTCCCATGGCGTTAATAACACCCTGGATACTGAGATGGTCCCTAAGTCTGACAACGAGGAGGAGGAGGAGGAGGAGGAGACTCACACCCTCATTGTGGAGGGCTTTCTGCTTTTCACCTACAAGCCTTTGATCAACATGCTCAACCAATGTTACTTATGTCAATGCCATATGAAGAACGCAAAAAGAGGAGGTGCTCCAGGAACTACAAGGTGCCAGATTACCCTGACTTGTACGATGGTCACGTCTGGTGTTGAAGGTGTTGAAAGACTGATAAATGATCATTAATAAAAATACAGGAATATCTATATCTCCCAAAAAGGACATAGAGTGCGTAGCTTATCGAGCTCAGACAGGTGCAACACAGCCAGCAGCAGGTCAAGTAACATGGTATTCAAGAGAAATCCATGACCTTCCCTGGAAAAGGCCTGAATAATTCAGAAAAAGCAACTGAGTGGGTTCATGAAACTTAAATGCCCTAAACCCACACTGAAGATGATGTATGTAGTTTAGGATTCTGAGCAGGTTCCTGCTGATTGACTGAAGCACTCTTGTGAGTTTAATGATCTGACTGAGTAAAGTAACATATTCACCAGGTCAGAGTTACATCTCCAATTCATCAGAAAAGACCTACAAGAGGCACTACAGCCCACCCTTTAAATAGTAACAGGTGCAGAAGTGCTGCCGGGGCTGACTGTGGATACATCGCAGCATAAGCCTTCATTTAAACTGCATACACATTCACAGCACGCAAAATTTGAGGCAGCTGTTTCCTTCAGTAAAAAACAAGGATTAGACAGACATCTGCTTGAACATTATTCAAACTGCCATGAAAAATGCAAATAAAAACTCTGTGCAAATGAAGGCAGCAAACAGGACAAAAAACATGAGTAATAATGATAATGTCTTACCACTGTTTGATGATTGACCTGAATGACTTCATCTCCAGCATGGATTTTCTTGCAGCGGTCAGCCAGAGACTAAAGGATAATCAGAGAAAGAGAGTTGGGATTGGCTGCTTACTGTGTTACCTCCACCTCCATCTGAATGTACACAAAATAAAAAGCTTGTACTCACTCCTTCTGTCGTCCCAGTGATTACATGCAAACCGTCGTATGTTGATTTGATATACATTCCCTGTGGAGTGATAACAGAGGGAAAAATTACAACCTCATAAAGCAAACACTGAACGCACACATTTAAACCAGTGCAACTCAGCGCAGCCACACAGAACAGATCAGGGTCATAGCATATTTACCAATCTTGGTATTTGTTTTAATCAGCTTGGAGTGCAAAAAAAATGAAATAATCTCACTTTTTCTGAGAAACAGTAAAACAATTTCTTTTTTTTTTTCATTGATCGTAGATTTTCCTGAATAGATAAAAGTTAAAGTCACTACAAGAGGGTTCATAAATATCTAATGGATGTACTTTTGGAAATCTCACACACACAGCACAATCTGATTTAATGTCACATGGTGGGCCACACTCAAAAGCTCCCTCAAGCAGACTGAACCAAATATTTTCAACAAAGAACACATTTGTTTTGTCGCTGGAAAAGTTTGAACTCAAAATGGTTCAAATGGCATTTTTAAGGCACAATCAAAAACACAATTGCATTAGTACGTCGGCTTTCTGACACAAGAACACACAGATGCACAGAAGCAGCATGCCAGTCTTCGAGTCGAGTGAAAGAGGTTTATTTATAGGCCACTCGGCCCACTGTTGTGTTCAGGTTTCACTGAACGGATGAGAGAACTTCCATGTCCCCCTGCTGGCATTTGTGTAAGGGGGGGTGTGTCTGTAGGGGGGGTGGGGTTTTTATTGTGGCCCCGAGCAGGGTGCACACTCGTGCCTGAGTGTAGGTCAGTGCAAGGACCGAGTCGAACGATACAGTGTGTGCAAAAGTGTCTACAAGAAGTGCTTCCCTGCCTCAGCTGTAACCATGGTATCCAATTTATCTTAGAAGTTAGTTCACAGACTGACATTTGTATTGAAACAGTTTGTGTTTTGCTCATTTCTACAAGGACGACATGCTGTTTTCATGTTGCTTTTTGTTGGCTGACTCATATGCCCACGAGCTCAGGAAAACCCAGTTCTGGGACAGCTGCAATGAGCTCTAAAGACACAACGGCACATCACAGTATTTATGCTTTAACTCAATATTCCTTTACCAAGGGTAATGTTTGAAAAAACAAAGACAAGAAACAAGGTTCTGGGCAGCGCATTGACCCCAGAAACAGGGGGAAAAGGAAAGATTTGTGTTTTCACTTAAAACGCAATTTTTCAATGCAATGAACTCCTGCATCTTTAAGGATAAATAGGCAAATTTGTGTTTAGTAATTAGAATCGACCAAACCTAAAAGTATCTAGTTTTTGTATTTCATGTGGTACATGAGCCTTCATGGTGCATGAATCACAAGAATGAGGGAACAAACTGTGATATCACGAGGAAGAATATTAACTAGAAAGACATAAATTAGGCAGTGTTAGTACAAGTGATTGAGAAACTGCATTTTGCAGTGAGTGGGATACATGCCACGAGATAGTTTGCTCATGCCTTATTAGCATCAAACAGAAGTCAATATGCTATCAAAGTCATGCCATTTCAATCTCTGTAATTAGTAGATTTTTCCACCAGCAGCATCAGAAGTATTTGTGAAAATGTCGTACTTTACTTTTGAAAGCCTTTTCCTGTTTTTCACCAAACCTGGAAAACAATTCAACAGCTTCATATTTCAACTACAATGTACTGTTTTGGAGTGCAGATGCATCATGTGTGGTGGTTGTTTGGCTTGTGCGCCTCTCACAGACGGTTGTGTTTACCAGGGAGGAGAGTTTGCAGAATGACGCCGCTGAGTAAAGAAAGCCAGCATCAACACTTTGGTTGATTCATAAAAGCTACACAGCATGTGACTGGAGCACCATACGTCAAAATACCTTTGGTAGCATATAAATGAATATATTATCCAGCTGTTTTAAATACCTGACCTGATTGGAGATTAAGTCTAATGAGTAAAAGCAGCTCCAGGGACAACCTTATCACACCATGAAAAACTTCAACCATAAAATGAGTCAATCTTAACACCTCTGCCTGTTGACACTGTGGCAAAAATGTAAGTTTGGGCCGCAACCATCTCTGATAGAGCTGACTCAGTACATCTTTAAGCTATAAAACACTGCGAACTGATTGAAACCATGAAGAGTAGTGTTAGCAACAGTGATGATAGATGTGACATTTGCCCTGTTTATGTTTAAAGGTGTCGAGTAGAAGGGAAACTGAGAGAGGACCATACCTGCAAACATTTGGGTTATAAAATCTGAGAGATTTTTGCGGCGCACACCGGGCAGTTTTGGGGTTACCTTGTATGGTGGATATGAGCTAATTATTAGAGTATTTGTAATTAGATTGCTCATTCAAATAAGTACAAGTGAAGCTGCACACTTGTTTGTTTCAACAATAACAAATGGTAATGAAAAAAAAAAGCTACGATATGCCTTGAACTTATTTTTGTCCACTAATATGAGTGTTAAAGTCCTAAAATGTATGTGTGCAATACAGCACTATTTTATCTGAGGCTGCCCTGAACGCATCACTCAGAGATGGTGCAAGACTATCAACGTAAATATTTTATCTCGCGTTTGTTTCCCTTTCATTGAAGAGTTCATTTTGCAACAAACACTGCTTAGATATAGTTTACAGCTTAAACCGACCTGAATCATCCCAAATTGTAAAATAAAAGTATCAATCAAGTGTCTGTGAGTCTCAGCAGAAACACAGGAGAATCTTCAGTTGTCTGGAAAGCTGGCAACTTTGGAAAAATATAGTGATCCAATTCATGAATGAATGTGGACCATGCTAACTACGGGAGATTCCCAGGAGAAATGACAATACAGGAGGTGGGCGGGAGATAGATCTGAGATACGGAGGAGTCCTGGGAAAAACGGGAGTGTTGGCAGGTATGGAGAGGACCAAAATGACGATACAAATATTCCTGCAGTAGCCTGCTTCACATAACTTTACCTTCAGCTGATATGTTCAGTTTCATGTAAGTTACAACAAGTGGTCTAATGTTTCAACTTGACAGTGATATAAGATACTCAGTTTCATTTGAACTTATCCAACACGTTTTAAGAAAAGTAATTTTGGGTTTGTGATGAAAAATTTCAGTTGAAGTAAGGTAATAAAAAATGCACATATTTCTCCCCTTTGCATTTGCCAGCAGGTATAACATTCATTTCCTAACACTTCAATGTTTTTGTCAAATGCTTATAAATTGGTTCTCGCTCCTTCAGTGCAACTACAGATGCTTAGAGCGTTTCTTAATGATGAAGCCCCAAAATGTGGGTCTTTCTTAAAGGCTTACTGGGGCTTAGTCTTACCAGTCCCTCTGTTGATTTGATGTTGGCAAGCTGCACAACCTCCAGATGTGCAGCCTGGGACACCATGGGATCAGAGGACAGGGAGATGATGTGGTCGCACACTCCAGACAGGGTTTTACACTGGAGAAGACATATCAGATATGAATACAATCCTAAAGCGTGAGTACTAAAGGTTGTTTTGTAGTTGACAAAGGGGAATAAAGTCATGAACTCACCACATTAAGGATTTTGTTTTCTGTTTCATACACAGAGCAGTCCTGGGGAACATTCAGAGAGCACTGTTACCTCAAGAGAACGTGTCAAAATGGAGTTATTATTGGCATTTCTGCTGTAGGTGGATATAAACAAAAAACCGAGCAGCTTGGCACCTATAACCCCCAACACTCCCACACAGCCATGCACAAACACAAAACAAATGAATCACCACTGCGGAGGCACGTCCCTCTCTTTCTCTCTCTCTCTCTCTTTTCCTTTGCCAGTCTTCCTTTCTCTGCCTTCCTCTCTCTCTCCTGATCGCCCTCTTTCACTCCCACCTTCAATTTTTCCCACTTAGATTTTTTCTCTCAACTGCACATAAACATTTCCCTCTGCAGAGACTGTCCTACAAACAGTTTAAGCATCACTGCTGTCATTGTTTTCTGGTCTTCCAGGTTCAAACAGGGTTGACTGTGAGTGTCACCATCCACAAGCTGAGACAAACAATGAAGTCTGTCTTTTTGTGAGAGAATATCCAACAAATTGGAAAGAAAAACATAATTGCAGCTTATTGCTTTTGGGCAGCAGTGTTTTTTTATGTACAAAATTAGAGTGTTTGTGCTTAAAATGCACACTTCATCTCCTGTACTGACTGCAGAAATCTGTTGTTTTTGCAGGGAAACCTTCTGCTGTTCAAAACTTTATCCCACAAGGAAAAAAGTCACGTATTAAAGCTCCTGTGGGGGATTTTAACTGGTCATGTAACCCAATGAAATAAAGACTGATGCCTATTTATGACCCACAAAAGTAAATGAGGTCATTATAAAAAGGGATGACCAACCACCTCTATATTTTCAGGGGGTGCAAAAATAAACACAAACATAAAGTTCCTTACAGGAGCTTTAAAGTACCATTCATTTAAAAAAAATAAATAAATACTTGTAAAGAGCCGCGGGGATATTGGAGGCTGGATGTTTTTCTGACAGTTTTTCCTTGATAGTTTTATTGTGCTGGACGGTTTGTTTACCTGTTGTACAATTGTGGTGAGCTCAAGACACAGCTGGATCACATTGTTTCTTGTCACAGAGTAATCTGCGACTGCAGCAAACGGAGACCTGAAAAAGAAAGAGCACCTGAAATGAACCATTAGACCATTCTTCCTCTGAGACTAAATCATTGGTAAATATGTGGTAACATTTCTTAACACATAATGTCTATTTCACTACATTATACATCGCAGTTTGGAATTAGTGTGTTTTACAAGTAAGAGTTTAGTGAACAATCATACTAGTCTTAGAATGACAGAAATATAAGAACAAACAACCTTAGTAGTAAATACAACAATAAAATATACGACTAAAAACAACACTGTAATTCATCCAAGCAACAGAAGCTGACACAGGTCAAAGTTAGTCACAAACAGCCTGAAAATTTTTATTTTTTTCATTTCCCATCTGTCTCCCGAGCACATTTACAACACCCCCAGCATCACACTGATACTACAAAGTGCAATTTGTCACCGATGATGCCTTCTAACATGAAAATGCATTGTTTGATATTGAATTTTAATTAGCGCTGACGTAAAAGATTATGCAGATGACGATTTCATGGGAAAAGAAAGACTGATTCATTTTGTTATTTCTGTCGAAAGCTGTCTGCTTTGAACTTCAAATTCATCAAACACACATAAACACACACATTCACAGACACAAACACATTGGCAGAATCCCACAGAGAAGGAAGGGATAAGGAAACATATAAATAGACTTGCTCTGTGCCTTTTTGGCCACCCTGTCAAAGTCTTCTTATATAAGGCCTTTACTCATCTTTTCTTGTCAGCTCATTGGGCATGGACATAACATAAAAGACAAAACTGGTCTGTAAGAAGTAAAGACATGATAAAATCCTTCAGCCACACCAAATAAACTGATGAGTGATGCTCGATTAAAACAACATATTAAAGAAAAATGGAAAACCATTCGTTATCTATAATCAGCTGAAATGTATGGTTGTGTTTTTTTTGCTAAAAAACACAAGGATGCCTTCATTAGTTTAAAAGATGACAGAAATTACTGGAAATCTGTTATAATTGTTGTTGCTGGGCTTCACAATTTAAAAAAGGAACTTAGTTGATGAATTTATTTGCATGCAGGGGCTTTGGTTGTATTAGAAAGTCAGGATGCAGTGCTAAACAGTCATAAAAATCGATTGTCATGGTTTGAAAAACGTTTAAAACCTAAATGAAAATAATGCAAAGACAACAAATCAAACTTTGAAACTGAAAGTATTATTGTTTTATGAAAAATAAAAACTTATTCCTGATTTGATGCCAGCAACACGTTTCAAAACAGTTGGGAAAGGGACAACCAATTACTGAAAAAGTTGTGTAATTCAAAAACCTTTTTTTTATTAAATCTATGCAAAGGAACATTTCCCATCTGATGACATTTAACTACAACAGCTTAGCAACATTACAGGGCAGAAAGAGGGGGCTCCAGAGAGGCTGTCTATCAGAGGTAAAGATGGGAAGAGACTCAACAGTCTGTGAAAGACTGGGTGGGGAAATAATTCAGCAAATCCAGAATAATGTTCCTGAGCATATGAGAATACAACAGGACATAAAATCAGTAAAAGAGAATCTGGTGAAATTTCTGCACAAAAGGGACAACGCTGACACTAGATGGCCACAATCTCAAGACCCTCTGCCAGCACAGCATCAAAAATGGACATGGCTATGCACTGGAAATCTCTGCATGGGCTAAAATCTCTTCTAAAACTATACTGCCAATGCATAAGTTTCTCATTGTATATACATACAGGTTAAAATATGGTCCAAAACTGTCCTGAGGGTATGCAAAAGGGCCAAAAGCATGGCAAGTTTACACAAGTAGGAAGGCACAACCAGTGCTTAACAATATATCCAATAATATATCCAACACATGCTGCCTTTCAAACCATGACTCTTTCGGGGAAAACTGCAATCAAGAGCAAGACAGTGCCAATCTTGATTTTGCACTTAATTCAACAATCGGGTCTGTAGTAGAAAAGTCTGGATGCTAAGCTGGCCTAAGTCTGCAGTCTCAATTTGTTACTGACTTGAAAATATTTGCCTCATCATGATACAGAAATTTAACATGGGGGACCCTGAACTTTTAAGCAGTTGAAATCCTACATCAGGCAAGAATGGATTAACATTTTCCGTTCAAAACTTCAGAAACTTGTCTCTTTTGCTCCAAGAAAAGGAGATGATACAACACAGTGGTAAACATGCCCGTCGCAGCTTTGTTGAAAACATGGCATTGCATTTAAAATTAACATTTTTTAGATAGAACAAAAACAGTTTTCTGTGAAAACATTTGATTTATAGTCTTTGCACTATTTCCAATTCAACGATTTGCAAACCATCAAGTTCTGTAATTGGGGTTGAACAATGTAGAGGCATGACTTGGGTTGAAATCAATTCTTTTGTGATAAGCCTCTGGTGGATTTCTTTGCATTTGAGTGTTACACATTTTCTTCTGTTTTCTCATTTCTGCACTATTTCCATGTTAACTTTGAATTTTCTGAGTAGTTGTTGCCTCGGACACAATTTTTAAGGCTTTTTGTAGAGGATAAAAGAGTTCATAGAGCAGGAAAGGGAGAAAAGAGTAGGAAACATGCAGAAAAGGAGCCACAACCATGCAGGGCCCCCTGTGTGAGGGATGGGTGCCCGCAGCCCCCCAGACAAACATATTTTTAAGTTGTTGGAGAATGAATACTGAAAATTTTTGTTTTAGTACTTTATACAGTTAAAGATGGTTCAGTAAAACTGAGTATCTAATAGTGTAAGTTGTTTCAGCGGACATGAGTGGACTCAGAAATGATAATTAAATTACATTTACTCGTGTTTGTGCACAGACTTTATGCCACCTCTGCATGACTCAGCAGCTCAGTTAGGTCACCCCAGTCAAAACATCTGGACATGTCTCTGGTGTAGTGGTCTTGATCCAAAGAGTTTTATATAGGGATGCACGATATTTATCGGACCGATGAAATATCGGCCGATTTGGGGGGGGAAATTACGTCATTTTTTATCGGTCCGATAGGTGCATTTTTCCGATAGAAAGATCCGATATATTAATGAAATTACGAGTAACGTTTGCAGGCGGAGTAGCCGCCCGTCCAAGACTCGCTGGTCACGTCGTCTATCAAGCCTTACTCGCAGGTCCCAAGCCTGACCCCGTCACTGCCTGACAGATAATAAAATGTCTTCACCAGCATGGTCGTTTCTCTCAGTGGCAGAAAATGACAACAGCATTGCTATATGCAAAACCTGTTCAGCGAGGATTTCAAGAGGAGGAAAGAAGACGTCAAGTTTTAACACAACGAATCTGATAGCTCATCTGAAAAGTCGCCATCGCGGCGAAGCGGTATTAAAAGAATATGAGACAGCCGCCGAAGCTGCTAGCGGTACTAAAGCTAAGACAACAACACTACGGAGGATCGATGTCCCCATTCAGCAGGCGTTTAAAAACTGCAAAAGCTTGTCAAGAGACAGCGAAAAGGCTAAAGCCATTAACGACAAAGTGATGGAGTTCATAGCGGTCGACGACCAGCCTTTTTCCGTCGTTGAGAACCCGGGTTTTCACAAGTTAATAGCACACTTGGAGCCACGTTACACTCACCCAAGCCGCCGCTTCTTCTCGGATGTGTCTCTTCCTGCACTCTATGATATTGTCGCCACATACATTCACAACCTGATCGACAAGAACGGACTGCACGTGAGTTTTACCACAGACATATGGACGTCAGATGTTAGTCCGGTCAGCATGCTAAGCCTAACGGCTCATAATGGCTCCTTTACAGTTTACAGTTCTGTTGAACAGTTCAGGGGATCAAATGAAGTTCTGCTTTTTGCTCTGTTATTGTTATTTATAGCAAATTACCACATTTGAAGAGCCAAAAACTTTTGTTTGTTGTTCTAGATAGGCGAGAGCAACAAAAATATCAGTTTTCAATCGCTGCATCCTGCACAAACTGCAGATTATATGAAGATTATAATAAATGTAAAAATATGAATTTATCGGTTATCGGTATCGGCCGTGAGAAGAAGAAAATTATCGGTTATCGGTATCGGTTGAAATTTTTCATATCGTGCATCACTAGTTTTATATTCTGATGAATGTAAACCACCTAAATAACAGTCCCCTGTATGTTTAACTTATGTTTAATGTCTGTATTCAATGCTTTTGTTGTAAACATTGAAGTGAATTCCCCCCCTGTGAAGTCGACCCCCTAGTTTTTCTGTGGACCCAAAAATGTCCACACATAGGTTGATTTTTCACTGGTTTTACTGTAAAATACATGCACCTTTTTGCAATTCTCACCTGTCCAGCCAAGCTAAAAGGCTTTTGGCTGCAGCAATCAGGTCCACCACCGAGGTCAGGAAGTCGTTGGGCAGCTTGCGGGTGGCTCGGCCGTCGTAATGCCCACTGCGCCGCCTGCCTGTGATGAAGTTCTGCAGGTTCTTTGCAGATGCATTGAGCTTGTGAGAGAGAGTCTTCAGATTCTCAGTCTCCAGCCCGTAATTCTAGAGGAGATAAAGGAGAGTAAATTCCCTTTGTTTGACCAGTTTGTCTCTGTGTGTTTTAGCTGCGATGCCTTCCAAGAATTTCTGCAGCGTGGCGCTGTGCTCTGTGAATTAAAGAGCACTGACAGGGGAGCCCACCTTGTGTCAATACAGTGGATGCTGCTTGTATGAGGAACATGTGAGGATGAGAGCCAGTGACCCATCCACTTGGCCTGCCCCCCCCCCCCCCCCCCAAGCTGTCTTTTTTGCATGGGTAGAAAAAATACAACACTCATTATTCTGAGCGCAGAGCTGCACGTGGAGGCCTGTGGGCGTCGTCACGTCACAGTTTCTTGGGAGGGGAGAGCACAGCAGGAGCGCCACTAATCATATTTAATACAGCAGCGCCGGAGAGACTTTAAACTAAATCCCAGTTACATAAGAAGCTTTGGGGCTGAAGCAAGGCCCCTCCACCCCCATCCCCCTGTGCAGCGATGTGGGATGAGAGGACTTTAGATTCAGATTGCATCTGTGACCTCAGTCCAATAAAGCTCCATCCACTCTGTCTATGTTTCTCTCACACATCTTCATCTCTGTTGTTTTCTTATTCAACCCTTTACATCTTCTCACGGTATTATATATTTACACAGTCTAAATGATTCCTTTTAACCCCACTCTAGAAGTATTTTTTAAATTGATTAAATCTGTGAAGGGTTTATCAGGAAAAAAAAGCCAGTTTCAGCCTTTTCCAGTAAGGGATTTGCAGCTTTTTCCATGTTGATTGCTTTAAATGGATGATTTGACACCACTTTAGGTTGTACTGTAACAGATTACTTTATCAAGATCATCAACAAAGTAATCTGCAAACTGATGGATAAAGGTAATAGTTGTCAGTTTCATTTCTTTTCTTAATTTGATTTCAAACAGACATAACAAACTTTTAAGATCAGAAAGTGTAGTGTGCAGATGTAGTGTGTAGTGGCTGAATCACTTTAACAAAGAAGAGCAAAATGAAATGGGGTAACTTTCTGAAGAGCACTTTACTGTCAGCCACACTTAATCTCCATCACAACAACAACAACAACATTTGGTTGTTGCTCAACCACATGTCATTCTCACTGGCTCTAAAATACAACACCACATTACCCCCCTTTTAGCCTCACACTTTGTCTCCCTAAAAGTTTTAGAATTGATTTTAAAATTGTAATGATCAATTTTAAACATTGTATAGGCTTGGCTTCAAACTGCATTAAAGGGATATTCCGGCGTATCATTTTGCCCTGCAGAACGACTGCAGACACCGCGTCTGCCGTGCAAAATGATTAATATGATGATTATTACCTTAAGGAGATGAAAAAGAAATGATCATAAATGTTCTTCCTTGAGCTGCGTCACCCCGCTGCAGTCAGTTTGGACTCGCCTGAGGTCTCGATACAAACAAGTGGCTGCTGGAAGCGAGTGGGTGAGTTGTGTTTAGTCTCTTTGCTAAAGAAATCAGGAGAAGCTAAAAAGATGTTTGGTGGCTAGTGCTGTGGCTGGGACCCTATATGTACTGTTGATGAAGTTAGGTGCTGTTCTGAGCATTATTTGTGGCTATAGAGTGGCTTTTTGGTTGAGCATGTGGCTCCTGTGACCACTGTGTATTGCAATTGTGGGGTTGTTACTCAAGTTGGTGTAACTAGAGAAGCAAGTGATCAGCAACATTCCTCTCTTGAGGGGGTTGTCTAACTCGGTGTCGCAGTGTTTTTGACCCTGAATTAATTTTACACCGGAATATCCCTTTAATCTGAAATGTTGACCCCCTGTGAACCAGCTCCTCAGGCAGGGCCCTTCTGGTTGTTAAGATAAGATTTACCACCATGTTTATGCAAATTTTGGGGCCAAAAAAAAAGGTTTATACTGCGTACCTCTGTAAATAAAGAGCAAAAATAAAGTTTTGAAGAGGTATGTATTCAGAAACACGAAGAACTGTGTTCAAGAATTGAGATACTTGATAAAAACTTTCCTCTCAGAGAAAAAAAAAGTTCCACTCTTTGTGTTTTTGGACAAGTTACATTACATATTTATCAGTTCTCTGCAAAAGTTTCTGGATTATGTATCCAGAGTAACTTTGTTTTGCAGAGGGGGAAAAAAAGAGTCTCCTGATCTAGGAGTTTCAACACAATGGGCTCTCTCACAGAGCCTTGATCCAGCTGACCCGAATCACATTATGCCACTGTTTGGGGCTGGCAAATTTGTGACCAGCTGTAATAATATTAGCCTTTGACTAATTTCAGCAGCACATTACCCCGATCAGCAGAGCCCCAGTACGCTGTGCTGACACACTCAAAAGTTGTGTCTGGAGACTAAGAGCAGAAATGAGTAGCAGAGGAGGCTGTAATCCATGTCAGCACTAATGACAGCTGGAAGGATCGCCTGTAGAGGAAATCTCAGCCAGATTATTAACTCTGATAGATTTACTCTGATGTTTGAAAATTGAGAGAAATTAAATCAGTCTCCCTGTTGAGAAGTTTCAAAGTCTTAGATATCTGCAGGAATATTGGGTTAATTTGATGAAACACCACATATACGCACTAATTCCCCCAAACTGTTGACAACGTTCCCTGATGAACAGATTCATTAATGATAAATTGGTGTAAAAGGGAATATGAAACATCAGCTTCTTCCTCTGATATCTTATAAAACCAAAGACATCCAGGTTGTTGACACCTTCTAGTGAATTATTATCTGATAAGATGAGTCGGCACAAAATGTGTGACAGATATTTTATGCACAGACAGTTCTGGGACACTCTGGGAAGTGGTGGTACAGTGCTGTGGGAAGACAGAGTGGGAAGTTTGGACTCACCAGAGCGCACAGTAAATCCACTGCTTCCAGTATGAGCTCTTGGTGGCCAATCCTGGACACCCCCAAATCCTCCAGCTCCTGGTGGGTGATCCGCAGCAGCTGGTCCCCCCCTACTTTCTCCCTCTCGAAGGTTTTGATGTACTGCTGCAGACAGTCATCCAGCCCTGAGGACACCACACAGGATGACAGGCAAACTTTCAGAACAGCATGACAACAAGGTGAAAGTCTTGTTTGCTGGCAGCACAAGGCTTCCTGATATCTTGCAAATTTACATAATGTGTTCAAATGGAGCTGAATTTTCCCTGCCAGAATCTGTGCTGAAAATCTCTGAAGTGTGAGCACAGGTTGTATTTTGTTATGTCCTAAAGTGTGAAACAGTCCGTGTCAGAGAAGAAAACTGACAGGCTCCCCCCTCCTCAACAGTACCGAGGTGCACTTAAACTCAAAGGGATGTTGTGTGTCTGAGCTCGGCTTGTTTTACATCTCTCACTGCAGCAGCAGGTGTGAAGTCGCTCAGTGAAGCAGTTGATGGAGAGCAGCAGAGTAAAACAAACTGACTTATTCTGCACCTCCAGTCTGAGTCTGGGGTTTGCAAACTAAAACCTGGATTTTGAAACTAAAAGTAGACCTACTTGTTGGCTTTAAATCAATTAATCTTCTGAGTGCTTTTCGAGCTTAATACCAAGCAGTCTAAGTTTGTCCAATGTGAGGATTTTCTGCTTTTCTCTACTGAATGTTGTCCTTGTAAGCTTTTACTGTATCAAGCATTTCCTCCTATTTTTATACACATTATATGACAAAGGATAATCAACAAAAAACAATAACAATCTGCAGCTTTGTTGGTACCAGTAATAGACTGATTGATTGGTTGTCAGGTTAATTAGGCCTATTAACGGCCTTTTGGTATAATCAGCAAGACATTTATTTTATCATAATGTTTATTTAACAGGGACAATACATAAAACATTGCCACAAAAATGGAAAATGTGATGCATACAAGATGTCTAGCTCAAGCTTATTTGCAGCCCTCACAAGGCCGATATCACTCTATCTCCAAAGACAGCAGATCTCCTGAACGAAAGCTCCAAACTCTAAAGAAGATTCAGCTGGACCAATCCTTAACACAAGTCTCCAGACATGCTTTTTCCCTGCACTACAGGTTTTTTCTTCATAAGGTATAAGCAAAAATGTTGTGTAAAGAGATACTCCAGCCTCCTTTCACAGCTTAAACAATGCAAAATTATATTCATACCTTATTCATCATGAGTTGTTTTATCAATTAGTGTTTCACTTTCATACCACAATAAAGAGCAAGCATAAAAGTAAACCAGTGAAGTTTCCATTTTGATTTAATTTTGAAGTTTTTGCTTTTTATTTAAGGTTATGGTTGGTATGCAAAATGTGGTGAAAGAAATGTTTAGTATAGTCTTTAAGAGACCTATGAAGTCCACAGTCATGAGGGAATTCATTTCATTACAAACAGCTGAGAAAACCAGGGGAAACTGACATTTGGGATGCTGTGAAACTGCTACTTTGAGGGCATTTGTTGTAGTTTTGGTTAAAAAAAAATCCCTTGTATACTTGAGTAACATTCACCTGAGGCAAAACTTTTATTAAAGTTATTGAAAGCTAGAGCAAAAATGAGGATTTTATCTTTTTAATGAATAAAAACAAGAAAAAAATAGACCTAAAAGGTTTGTCGATGAGTATTTCTTCTCTTCATAAACGCATAAAGGGACTTAGCTTGCTTAATCACAAGATAGTTTTCTTTTTCTTCAAGGCAATTAGGTCGTCATTTTTGTATCTTGTAACTTCTTGAAAAGAGATTTTTTTTCTAGACTTGTCAGGTCACTTTGGATCATGATAACAGCAAGTGAAACAAGGTGTTTTGACTTTATGAAACTGGCTGAGATTTACGTTTTAGTAGATAGGCGATTGATTTATCTGTGGATTAACGACTAAAAATCGGGTTAATTCTTTCTCCTCCCACTTACTCATACTCTCATATATCATAACTGAATGTCATTTAAAAGTGCTCTACATGCTAACCGGCTCTCCTTTCATCATCACAGACAGAGAGAGTAGCCTTTGTGAGGCTTTTTCTATACACTCGGTCTGTTTCCATCTTCTCAGCAGGAGAGGACACACACACACACACACACACACACACACACACACACACACACAAACACACTAACAGCTCTTTGCTCATCTCTTCTTTTCATCGCTGTGGACCAATCATGTACATGTGCCTCAGTGCTGTGTCTGAACCTGATCAGGCATTCAGAGCGGGTTCAGCTGGCCGGCTAAACTGTGGTGAGGAAACATAGGGAGTTTGGTGGTTTTGCATAAAACTTAAAGGCTTAACTAATCAGCCTCTTTACTTACTTAATTGAGACTCATTATGTCAATGAAGTATTCCCTGTGTTGCCATAGAAACCATGAAGCAAGGGTTTTGGCAGGGACTCCCTCCAAACCACAGGAGCGAATAAAGAAATAAGTGAAGAGAGGACATGACGCTTTCTACAAAGTGACTGTGTGGTAGTGTCTGCAGATTTTATTAACTCAATAACTCCTGCAGGATTTCAGCACCATGGCACTGTTTTAACCCTTTGATGCCTTTTGTATCATATTCGATGCATACTTTTATATACTTCTATCAAATCAATATGATCAACAAATAACAAAAAAAAAACACCTGAATGCAGTCCGAAAAATTATAAAAAATATCCTCTTTTAGTTTATTAGTTTCCAAAAACATCTAATGTATCAAACGAGATAAATAAATATATTTGTTAAATTTTAAGGACATTTTGATTTTTTTGGTTTTCAGTAGTGAGTAAAATAAACATTTCAGCTCCAAAAAAACTACAATTTTCTGACCATAATTTTTAGTGTCAGGCATTAAAGGGCTACAGGGTTCTGTGGAAGTCTTGGTTCAATGAAGACTTCAGACTCACTTAAACAAATTTAGATGAACATGGATTCACAAATGCTCAATTTTGGTGGATGTCTTCTTTAAAAATGAAATGCCTTATCTTATTTCATAGCATCATGTCATTGACAGCCCCTTTAGACGGGGTCTTTTTCACTGATTGCACTGAGTAATCTCTGTTACATCAATTTCCCTGTCCATTTCATGCTGGGGTCAGATTATCAAGCAGGCTGAAGAGAAATTAAAAGCACAGCACTGACACATCCTGATCTCCATGCTAGATAATCCACTGGTAATGTGAGGTGAGAGAGAGACGTTTAAGACTGTTAGCATTGTAAGAATGGATTTATGCTAATCTGACTTGTCATTGATCACTGTCAGAGTGTGTACGTGTGTCAAGGAGAGAGAGTGTGCAAGAAAGAGCGAGCACAAGGATAAAACTGATACACTTGAAAAAAAAAAAACGTGAATTATGATAATGCACACAGTCAGAAGGAGAAAAGAGATTATACTAAGCCTGGGCATTTGGTTTGAGCTTGAAAAACACACATTCAATTTACAAAACAATACCAAAATGCACCCCATCGTGTGTTTGCATGAACAAATTTCCTGTCAAAGCCAGAATTCTTCCTCCTTTGTGACGACGATCTCCTCTTTAAAGCGGCTTTGTCACAGCTGGGAATGGGGCGTCTTGCTCAAACAAAACACAAACGGCAAGGAGGGGGTTGGAGAGTGGGATTGTGGGAAGGTCACAGGGTGCCCCTGTTTGGCCTCCAGTGACATCACAGAGGGGCAGCGCTAATAACAGAACCTGTGAATGCAAATGACAAAACACTGCCAGGTCTCGGGAGCAGAGAGTGGATGAGAAACAAGAATGAACCCCCTCCCTCCCTCCCTCATCCTCTTCCTCCCCCCTTCCTCTCCTTCAGTGTTTCCCAGTGCCACTCTGTCCCTCACTTTAAATTACCATTACCGGGCTCTGGGCGCAGAATCGTCTCTGCTCCACTTGTCAGATGTGGGACGCTGAAGAGCCCTCTCTCTCTCATATCCAATCTCCACTCCTCACTTGCCTGTGTTTCTAAGTCGTGCTCTCAGCTTATTTACACATAGTCTCAGATCTCATGTGAACTGTTGTGGTCGTTCTGTCTTCACCCTTCTCCACATCCTGTCAACCCCGAGTCTCCTCTGTGTTTATAAATCCTCTACAAAGTTGCGCCCTTGCTTTTTCTGTCAAAAACCACCCAGCCTTTCCGAGAACCAGGTGAAATTTGTAACACACAACAGCGACTAAGACTGATTTTTTTCTATCATGATACGTCTGAGCCAGCAGAAAAAGGCCTTCAGGCTTATAGTTATGAGTAAGGGTGTGTGTGTGTGTGTTTATGCGTGTGTATTGAGGCAGTAAAGATGTATGTTTCATCTGGAGCATCTCTGAAGGGCTTTGCCCCTGACACGTGAGCACGTGGCTCTGCAAAACAACACACAAAACAATTACAGAAGTACAAACAACCAGACAAACAGCAGACTTGGATAGCATCCTCCAACTGAGCTGAACACATCCCCTTACAGTTTGTACATATTTGATAGCAGCAGACTGCCGGTGGTAATTACTTTGCGATTCAAACAGACGAAATAATGAGTTATCTTTGCCCTGAAAGTCTCCTGATAGGCTCATGAGGGATATTTATAGGTCTTAGGAGACTGAATGAGCAGACAGTTCTCCTATGAGGGACCTCTCATCCAGCACAGACACTAAATCTAATGAATCATTGACTAATATGACAACTACATTTTAATTGTATTATTCTGAAATAAAAGTTTAAGGCTGTAAAAACGTCGCTGTCTTTGCAAGATTGCATTCAGTGCCTTATTTATAACTGGATCCTTCATATGCATGAGTATTTTGGAGTCTAGTCTGCAGGATTTCCACCAGATTTGGGATGGATCCTGCTAGTCAAAATAAAACACATGCGATCTTCACCATATATGGATGAGTATCATTTTGTTTTTCGGTGCATTATGAGTTTAGAGGCAGAGTTTCATGATGCCCTTTGAAGTCAGCTGTGACTTCTTAACGACTTGGGGCGTGTGTGGATGGACATATGGCACAGATGGCTGCACTAGCTCTGATATTATAGGCTTAGTTGATGCTATTTCATACAGCACACACACAAATAAAAAACCTTTCATTTAATTGCACCTGTTCCCTAAACACAAACTCCATCCCCAGAGCCACAGAGAGGGTTGGTTTTATGTGCGTAATTGCTGAATCTCCGCTGTGTTCCCCAGCTTTCCTGCGAGGCAGCCCCGCGTTAACAATAACCGCAGGGACACAAAGAGGCGCTTTTCACCCGTTTGGTGATATTTAAAGGCGTAATGATGCCAACAACGTGTTGATCTGAGAGGACAGGTCGTCTCTACCTCCAAGTGCCTAGCAGGATCTATCTATCGATTAGCTGTTGTGATTAAAAGCCTCTTGCAGCCTCACGCCGATGAGGCAGAACCCCGAGGCTCAGCAGGTGTTTTTGTTCTCTTTTGGCATCTCGACTGAATCCGGGTTCATATGCATTTCCACTCCCATTCAATTTGTTGCGAAATCATTATTACGCATTTAACTGAAATTGTGCGTGAATCTTTGCTTACCTTTCATCCAATCCACCACTTGACTGGAGCTCCACTTGCTCACTGGCTCCATAACCAGTGCCATGGTAGAAGTTTGTCTTGTTCACGCTTCACAAAAGAAAAAAAAAACACTCCCAGAAAACGTCACTCCAGTCTCTAAGATTTGGGAGCGAAAAGAAGAAAAAATGGAAAATTCAAAAATAACAGAATTTAAAAATCTAATCTCTCGTGATTCGTCTCTGCTGGGTGTTTACAAACAAACCGAGGTAGGTCCAAAATGTCGCTTTGAGGAGCCTGAGTGCAGCCCAGCAGACTTAAGCACATTCCTGTGCTGTTTGCTCGCTTGAAAGAGCTCTTTTACTTGTCATTCACGTCAGGCTCAGTGGCGCTTATGCTGGTGGGTCGCTGCTGCCCGACCCCCCTTTCCAAAATACATCCCAGTGAGCATCCAGAGCAGAGAGAACAACGCACGGACTGTCACTTCATTCTGCTGTCTGGGAAGGCTGGGTCCGCTCTGAGCATCCTCCCTCATGCACACAGACATGGAGTCACAGCCCTCACCGTGCGAAGTGTGTTTGTATGGGGGGTGGTTAGTGCCACAGGGAGGCAGGCAGTCGAAGAAAAGGATGAGTCTTCAAGGGAATTTATCATCATTGGGATGTAACAGTGCTTCAGTGCTGGGAGATTTCCCAGTACCTTTGTGGAAGCTGTCTACCAAGCAAGAACAAGTCATCCTAACTTTAAAGGGATATTCCAACATAAAATTAAGTTACGGTCAAACACACCGTAACAACTGTGTTAGACACCCTGTTGAGAGATAAATGTTGCAGACCGCTTGCTTGTCTACTTTAGTAATGGCCACAGATAGCAATACAGAGAGCCACACGCTCAACCAAAACGCCACTATATAGCCACAAATAATGCTCAGAACAGCACCTAACTTCATCAACAGTACATATAGGGTCCCAGCCATAGCTCTAGCTACCAAAACATATTTTTAACTTTGCCTAATTTCTTTAGCAAAGAGACTAAACACAACTCACCCACTCTATTCCAGCAGACGGTTGTTTGTACAGAGACCTCCGACTGAGTCCATTGACTGCAGCAGGGGGACGCAGCTCAAGGAAGAAAATTTATGATCATTTCTTCATGGAATTGCAATCAGACAGAGATGCTAAGGCAGAGGAACAACCCCATCTGGCTAGGGTCGTGGCTAGGATGTATGAAAAAGGGGGAAGTAATGGTTATTTGGTGTTTAAATCATAAATAATTAACAACTTATGATACCTTAACTTTCTTTCAGCCCCAGAAATTCATGCCTACAAAAGTTGCAAATGATTACTGTCTGTCAGAAACCACAATCCAAAGCCACCAATCCCCAGGAAATAATAAAAAAACATTGTTTTTAAAATAAGTGAACACTTCATCAGATTCAGTCAAAAAATGTTTTGACACTTTTCATCACTTTAAATTTTCAAAAGCCTGCTGACAAGGGTGACTGACGTGAATTTGTGAAATAAAAAAATTACATGGAAAAAATATGAGAATAGGCTACAAGACAGTGATGGCAGCAATGCTCTAGCCCTGCGGAAAAAAAAAAAAAAAATCTGACCTTTATTTTTAGGCGCACCAAGACATGAGCTATAGCCATTATATTTTATTATAAACACTTTGCTCCCCTTTGCTGCTTTAAGATAACAATTTTCAATTAATTCTCACTCCTGCATTTGATAACTATGTTCCAAAACAATAGCCTGTCTACTAAATGATGCCTTTGCTTAACCTCCCCGAACTCCCCGGCACTGATCACCCCTCATACATGCCAGTGTTTCCTCCTGCTGTCTTTGTCGCTGCTCACGCTTCCATCACACAAAGCTCAGCGTAGCGGTCACTAACGAGACAAGGATGCTTACAGCGCCTGGCTTACAGCGCCTGGCTTTCACCATGTCGCCCATCGGCGTAGCCTATTAGTAAACAGCTTCAGGGTGTCAGCATTACTCTCTGCATGGACAATCAAACTCTACATTTTAACAGCATGTCATTCCCCTTGGTTGAATATCTAAAACAATGTTTTTATGTGTGTTTGTTTTTCTTTCGGGGGCTAAATATGAATAATTTTTTAACCTTGTTGACTCTCTCTGAGAAGTTTCAAAGACACTTCAATTGTAACAGCCTCCAGCGTACAATAATGATTAGAATATGTAAAGAATCAAAAGCTCCTGCTCATCTTTCACATCAAATCAGTATGGGACATTAAACTATTAAAAAAACAAGTAACAACAGGATATGACAAGAATATAAAGTCAAATAATGATACATGCCAGTAATAATTAACTGATATTTTTCAAAGTGTTGCAAATAATATAAAACAAGCAGGTGGTTTGAATCAATACAGCAGAAACTCCAACAGTGCCAGCTCTGACATTTAATATGATCAATAATCATAAGTCAATACAGGCACCAGGACTCATTGTGCAGTTAGATGATGTGGCTGGATTTCACCAATAAATGTTAATGAAGTCAACATAACATTAATGTCATAGAAACAAATAAACCAGCGGTAATGATTTTTTTATCCCTTATGAATGGAGTGATCACAGTATAATAGTGTCAATTCACATGAACACAGAAGACATACAGTATCAGAGCAGAGCTATAAAACAAGGCGCTTTACCAAGCAATGCTACACACATGAAAGAAAAAAACTAACCTTACTGCTGAGAGGACTTTCCTGAGCAAATAAGCAGCAACAGCAAACATGATGTAGGCTATCAGTCCTCTCCTTTAAAGGGATATTCCGGCATAAAATTAAGTGAAGGTCAAACACACCATAAGAGTTAGACACCCCCTTGAAAGATGAATGTTGCCAACCTCAACCAAATGCAACTCTTTAGCCACAAATAATGCTCAGAACAGCACCTAACTTCAACAACAGTACATACAACAGTCCTAGCCACAGCGCTAGCCACCAAACATCTTTTTATCTTTTTAGCTTTGCCTATTTTCTTTAGCCAAGAGATGAAACACAACTCACCCATTCTCTTCCAGCAGCTGCCTGTTTGTAGCAAGACCTCAGGCCAGTCCATTATAGACTGCAGCGGGGGGGCAGCCCAAGGAAGAACATTTTAGTTTGGCTTTTTGGTCGAGCATGTGGCTCTCTGTATTACTATCTGCGGTCGTTACTAAAGCTGCTAAAACTAGACAAGCAAGCCGTCGGCAACACTCATCTCTTGACAGAGTGTCTAACTTGGTGTTACAGTGTGTTTGACCCTAACTTAATTTTAGAAACTTAAAGGAGAAATCCATCTGTTTATTTCTTGTAAATCTCTATATGCATCGACTAAAACATATCTGGATACAAACATTTAAAGCTGAAGCCTGTTGTGGCACCTGAGGGAGTTAAAATAATGTCATTTGCCTCAAGTGACGTGTTTTTGGTCAGCATTACTCGAGGCTTATGATTAGAAATGAGAAAAAATAATAATTTGGGATATTTCAATCAAAGATGAGGACTTACTTAAAGCTGCCTTTTATTGATGTATTTTTAAACCTTGTTGTAATATCTAACCAAAATAATGACATTACACTTTAAATCTGATGTTTACTCATCTTATTTGTTACCTGTTATTGTATTTAACTTTCTATCTTTGCCAGTTTTATCCTATCTTCTTGTTTTTTTTAATGATATATATATATATTTTAAATTTCTGTATGAGTAAGACACTTTGAATGTCCTTGTTGCTAAAATTTGCAACATAAATAAACACCGGCTTTCCATCCTTTACACCCAGTATCCTCATACCAAACTGTAAATCTTAAAGGGGCATTTTGAACGACTGTTTTGGGCAGGCTTTTGGCATGACATTAAAATGTATGGAATGGAAAAGACAAAGTATTTTTGTCTCTGTTGCATCAATGTTGCATTTTTTTTAAACTGACAACAGTAAAACAAAATATTCCTGGAAAGTAATGTTAAACCGGAAAATAAGTCTTGAAAGGAGACCTATCTATAGATATATAGGCTCATTATAAGTTGACAATATTCAGTACACATTTGGGTGATTATGTGCCAATATAAAAGAGGCCTACTTATAAATGTTAAAGGCTATTCAATTTCCACATTGTCTGTTCCTATGGTAGACAAATGAGTCAGTAGGGTAGATCATCAACTCAGAAGAGACGGTTTGAAATCAGCCTTATGAAATAAAGAAAACTAGCTTTTGACATTTTAATCATAAACTCTCGAAAAGATACGTCTTAGAAGTTGTCTTCAACAGCTGAATTACTTTTCTTAACTTCAAATTTAGTAAGAGTTAAACTCTAAATGTAATCCTCTCCAGACCTGTAGGGGGCAGACGCTCCTGCTCCTTCTGTTATGTCATGCAATCATAGAACAAGAACTTCCGCTTTACTTTCAAAAAATGACGACAGGAAGTAAGTGTATTTGTCTTTATGTCTTTATAAAGTGGGATTAAAGGTCGTCAATAACTCCGAATTCTCATATTTTGCCGATTTAGTAGTCACGCTGTAAGTCTGAATAGGACTCACTGGTTGTGTTGTTAGTTGTGTACGTTAAAGCTAAGTGCGTAGGCCAACCGAAAGTTATGAAGCTAATGCTAATGTTGATGTGTAAACACAGCGTAAATAGATCCGAAATAGCTTTAATTATGTTGTTTGACTCTCACAGCGATACAATATTACACGATTAGTTTCAAAAGCGGGAGATGGGTTCAAATATGTATGTATGTATAATATATACACACATGTATAATATATGTGTGAACTTGGCCATATTACAGCTAACTATAAACACGGTCTGTGAGTGGAGCTGAATCACACTCAGCTGATGTTCTGATCGTATTAACACATCAGAAACATTGGTGATGAGATGTAAAGAGCAGAAAAGACAAGCTTTAGTGAGTTTTTTTATGTACGTTAATTTGCGGATCATCACTTGTTACTGCCCCCTAAAGTTAGATATAAAAGCACATGGTAATGAGTAATATGAGGGGGTAAAGTCCCGTTGACAGGTCGACCTTCAAACTTGTCAAGACGAGAATACGAACTAAAAAAATGCATCTCAGAGCAGGAGGTTTTCAAGTTCTCCTGTTTGAGTCTGATTGTGTTAGTTTTCTATTGTTCTGTATCTATAATAAAACTAGTGGTGCCGATCACTTCATATTAAATTCAAATTATTAATTATACATCAATTGTGGTATCTATGAGCTACAACATAAAAGTCCACCATTTTAGCTTAGAGGACTAATAATAAAGTCATAATAGAAGTTCAGGGGTAAGTTGAGCCAGTGGATCAACTGAGAAAGTAAAGGAGTCTGATGAGAGGATCAGAGTTTCAGTTCAGATTGTTGAAATGTGTTACTTTTTCTTTTCAAAAATACAGCTGTGAATGTTCTGAATCACTCAAAGACATTCTCATGTTAAAATGGCTTTTTACAAAACAGCTTTTTAGCAGTTATATGCAGTAATAATAACAATAATTATTGTACCAGTTGAAAAGCGTATAACAAATAAAAATACACATGAATGTGAAGAAGTGACTGTTATTTAGGGAGAGAGAAGGTGAGGGTTGGGGGCTTGGGTGGAGGGGGGGGGGGTGTAGGGATACGGCTCAACTTACACAGGGTAAGTTGACCATAGGAGACCACTTTTTGACATGCTACATTATCAAGACAGTTCTGTTTACACTCATTCTGTTGGTTTGCAGGGATACAAAACATCCTGAAATATATGCAGATACACTAGTTAGAGACAAAACTGTGATTGCCTTGATGTAGAGATCTGAAATATGAAAAATGGCTCATCTTACCCCACTCTACCCTACTTATTTTTTGGAACTTTGTAGAATGAGTCCAAGTTTTGTGTGTTATACGATGACACCAGATGTCAAAGTACAGTCTGCTTAAGAAATCTTATATCTCTTTTATGGATTGAGTAAAACTATAATATTATATGGAGTCGACACGGGCTGGATAACAACCCAGTGGAAGAAACTTGAAAATCTGGTTTGTCATTGACTCTATAAAACTTGTGAGAGAGTTTGAGAGCTGATGATTTGTACTTTTGTCACTTTTGCTTTTAGGCAGGTACAGATAGGTTGTCCTGACCAGCCCTGGAGAAGTATAATATGTGTGTTCTCATCCAATGAGTTGGTTGACCCTCTCTACAACATCATGAACGACACTGAAATGGAAGCTGCAGCCTTGTCAGGCATCTCCTCCATAGGAGAAGCAGTGTCTGGAAGAGGAGAGAATGTTCATTATCAACCTCAAGATCAAGATGAAGATGAAGATGACGATGACGATGTTTATTACATCCCACCAAGGAGGCCGTCTCTTGACCTTGGGAACGGTGCAATGGACATCAGCAACTGGTACTAAGACTTTTACATACTTCTTTATATAACTATAGAGTAGTAGTTTTAGAGCAGGTTGTGCAATGTCCATGGCAGAAAAAGATAGCTTTCTCTTTAAAGGATCCAGTACAAAGTGAAACTACATTTCTCAGGAATTCTGTGAAAAAACAGTAGTGAAAACAGATCAGGAGCTCCCCCTGGAGGACTAAATAGAACTCTACTTGTCTTGTTTGATATAGTCAGTGGTCATATTGAATAACCGTGTCCTGCAGTAATATTAAGGTTCTTGATTCAACCGACCAGTTCAGTGACCGATACAGAGTTGGAAGTGAGCCTCTTTATGTCGGTCAACCTTCTTTAGACCTTCTCATTTTTAATTGAAATACAAAAGACTTGAAGGTGCTAGAGAAAGTGCTTTAACATTAAAATGATCTTGTCTAGCATATGTTAGTCTGGCCTTCCTGAGTGGCTAAACTGTAATCCTGTCATCCATTTTCTTCAGGCATCGTGTGGACCATGCCGTGGCTCCAGCTCTGAGCTACTGTTCAATGAAAAGTGAGGAGAATGCAGACAACATGGAGGACATGGAGGATGAGGATGAAGAGGGGTGCTCCACAAGGTTCAAAAGATTTCAGAAAATAACTAGAAAAGCTACTTTGCCTGTACCTCAGAGAAACTATACCATGATAGTAGCTATGTTAAATACTCATAAAGCGTGGTTGTCTTTCTTGTTTTAGGATCCACCTGTACAGAGCTGATTCATTCTCTAGCTGCTACTCCTTTGACAGCGATGACTGTGAGAAGAGAACACCAAAGTAAGAAATGCAACCAGTGCATGTCATTTCTAAGTGTTAAGCCACCTCCTCACATGATGTATGCCGGCTGCATAATGCCTTGATTTTAATTTCAATGTGTATGTTAAAGGATGAGACCCTCCACATCACTGGAGTGAGCAGTGGGTCTTGCATAACAAAGATGAACAGAAGAGAATAGATTTTTTTTACTCAAGGTCAGTGGTGCTCAAGTCTAGTCCTCGAGGCCCCCTGTCCTGCATGTTTTTGATGTTTCCCTGCTCCAACACACCTGATTCAAATGATCAGCTCGTTATTAAGATCTGTAATGGCTAAATAACGAGCTGATCATTTGAATCAGGTGTGTTGGAGCAGTGTAACATCCAAAACATGCAAGACAGTGAGCCTTGAGGACTGGACTTGAGAACCACTGCTCTATATGTACATGGATCTATGCAAAAGTGAACAGAAAAACATTAGTCGAGGGTTGTGTTGGCTCTATATCAACTGTGTCCAGGTCACAAGCATGAAAGGTGTACTATGACCTAACTTCTTGAATAGATTTCAAAGTAAACGTCTGACCTGTTCTTTCTGTGGAGAGGCCCCTTGTTTTCACACAATGCTCGTATTCTGAAGCTGTGTCAGGGCCGTTATTTAGTTAAAGAAGGGACTAGTGTGGTCTAAAATCCACGTCAGCTGCAGGAAAGCATGGGTAATTATCAAATCTTAACATCTGGTTATGGATAATATAAAAAAATTTGCAGACACTCTTTCATGAGTCTGCCATCTCTCTTCTCGGCTGATGTCTGTGTGAGTCTTCCACCCATTTTTGACATAAGTGATCCTTTCCCGATAGTATTACCCCCTAATACTGTTATAACACTGGAAAAAATGCCCTGACACAAAAAAGTAAAGAAAATGAGGCCATCATTTATCATGCTCTACATTATGTGCTTAATCAAGTGACACCTGGTTATGTGAGTCTCTCTCTTTCTCTGTTTCCTTCTGTCTGTGCATAAAGCACCTGATAGTTGAAATTAATTAGTTGAAATGGCGTGCATCATGGGTGAAACTGGTGTTTTTGTGTGTTTACTTATAATAAAAGTGAACCCTAAAGAATGTTATTCTCCTGTGGCCTCACCAGGGATAAAGACATAGAAGAAGATGTCCCAGAGCTAACTGACAGGCCTGAGTTAATCACAGACCCAAATGAGATAAGGCATCCCTCTCTGACAGTCGCGTTCACTTTTAAGGTCAGTATGCGTTACCTCTTCTGTGTTTTAGGTTCGAAGAAATTAAGCAGAGCATATCTTCTTTTCTAGAGCAACAGCAGTGATTTTTGTCATTTTGCCATCAGGCTATCTGTAAAACCCTAAAGGAGTTGTCTGATGAGAACTTGAAGACCGTGAAGATGATGCTGTGGAATCGTTACCCTCAGACCTTTACCACTCCTCCACATAGTATGGATATAGTGGACCTTGTGGACCGACTGCTGGAGTGTTACAGCCTGGAGGTGTCTTTGCAGATCACCAGAAGCATTCTGGAGGAAATGGAGCGAAAGAAGTTGGTTGATTACCTGAAGACTCTGTGCCTCAGAAGTATGTTGATTTTGTATCTCTGTATCTCTGAAAAGCTTCTTTTAATCTCTGAAAAGAAGAAGCTAAATTTAGAGGACTATTGACTGTGCAACAACAATTGGCGAGTATTTTGACTCCTGTGAAAAATACTGACTGATTATCAGATCTTTAGAAATAATATTTATGTGTTTTTCTCTTTCCAGATGAAGTACGCCATGATCTAAGTGAGACTCTGAAGAAAAAATATGGCAAAGTATGTGAGGGTTTTACTACACAGGGAGCAAAAACGCCCATAGATGATATTTATACCAATCTTTTCATCACCACAACATGTGATAATGGTCCAAATATTGAACATGAGGTAATGACCATAGAAAAGCTGGACAGCAACCGAGAAGAAGGGACCCGGCTCTCTATAGATGATATTATGAGTGCTAGACGGCTGCAGGACATGAACATGAGGTCTCTGTTGATCACTGGTGTGGCAGGATCAGGAAAGTCTATGGCAGTACAAAAATTAATATTGGATTGGATTGAAGAGAAGTCGCACCAACATGTGACTTTCCTGTTTCCTTTGCCGTTCAGAGAGCTCAAACAGTTTGAGGGTAGCAAGGTCTCTCTTTTGGAAATTATACAGACTCTCTACCCAGAGACCAAGAGGCTGAGGGACGAGGATTATAGATCTGATAACTGCAAAATGCTGTTCGTCTTTGACGGGCTTGATGAGTACAAGGGGAACCTTGACTTTCAGAACACTGAGCTTCTCTGTGATCACACTGATCCGACCTCCCTGAACATCATTGTGGTCAACCTTCTCAGAAGTAGGTTGCTCTATCGCGGCCTCTTCATCATCACGACACGCCCGCAAGTGAAGCGCTGCATTCCTTGGGATGCGCACTATGACGAGATAGAAGTGCGTGGATTCTGTGACTCTGAAAAAGATGAATACTTCAAGAAGAAATTTCAGGATCCGGATCAAGCAGCTCGAGTTATTGAGTACATCAGCTCTTTAAAAACACTCCGCATCATGTGCCACCTGCCTCTGTTTTGCTCCCTGGTGGCTGAGGAGTGCCAACGTCTGTTTACTGAGCAGGGAGCAGATGCGGAGCTGCCGCGCAGCATCACCTACATGTACACAAAGCTTCTGCTAGCACTCACACGTCATCATCGCATGTCGAGAGCTCCAGAACTGAAACCGGAGGACGAGAGAGACTTCCTCATGAAACTGGGAAAGTTGGCCTTCAACATGCTGGAGCAAGGCCAGTTCAAGATGATCAAGTCTGACTGGAAGGAGGTTGGAATCAGCGACGAGGAGGCAGTGGTTAACAGTGGCCTTTGCACACAATATGTCACAAAACCATTTGTGTTGTTTCAAGAGAAAGTCATCAGCTTCATTCACCCCACCATGCAGGAGTACCTGGCTGCTCTGTATGTGTTTCTCTCCTATAGCAACCATGGTAAGAACATTTTTGAGCAGCATCTGAAGCAGAAGGTAAGGGGGATGTTAAAAGGACACAAGAAGATGGACCTCTACAAAAGTGCAGTGGACAGAAGCCTGCAGTGTGAGGATGGTAAACTGGACCTTTTCCTGCGTTTCCTCTTTGGAATGGCAACCAAGACCAACCTGGAGCTCATCCAACCTTTTTGCACCTCCTCTTTAAAGTGGCCAACAGTCATCAAAGATGCTATGGCACTCATCAAGAAGAAGCTGAGTGAACATCATCCCCCCGGCAGAAAAAACAACTTGCAGCGCTGCCTGGAGGAGCTGGATTGGTCAGCCTCAGGGGCAGCCGCAGCATCCAGTTGATCATCAAACTCAAAAATACAGATGCCAAAGTCATTAAAAACAAAATACACTTGTTCTGAATTCAAAGTGTGAATGTCTCAGAACTGTGCCTGTCTTCACAAAGAAATGTGTCTCTGGCTGACATAAATGCTCTGATAAAGCCTTAAAGGAAAACACAAGAACCTGTAAAGCTGCACGAATGTCAAAAGTGCAGGAAACAGAATATTGCAGAGAAGCAGAAGTGTGTTTTGATATAGAGAACTGATGTTGGGACTTGTTTATTTTTTCAAGAACTTTTATTCATTATATTTTTATTTTATCAACTTTATAAATTTATATTATCAGTTACTATGATCACAAAAGAATGCTACTAAATCATGTATTTACTCAATAATCTGGCACTTTCTGGCAGCCAACTGACTGATGGCCTTTAATTTCCTGTCACCCACATACTAAGTGTATTTAATTTGCTTTTCTTTAAATGTTGCCTTAAGTTCCTGTAAGGATTTTTTTTTTAATACACTATTTAACAAAAAATTCAAATTCATACCAGGATTTTTATCATCTACAAAAGCAAATGAGACCCTTGGTAAAAAGACACTTTTCATGAAGTTATTTTGTGATGCCTAAACCGCAGTCGCTACATCGCAGCTTTTCTTTTCTTTTTACATTTTCAAAGTCAAAGATCTGAAAACTGGGGCTGGAATGGTAAGGTTTTATTTGTACTCACAGGATAAAAATCAGCAAAGAAATAAGTCACACTTCTGTGGCCACAGGGGGCAACAAAGTAAACACAAATCAAAAATTCCTCATAGGAGCTTTAAATCATATCAAAAGTTTGTCTACATTTGTGCCTTATCTCTTACAAGTGTTGAAATTATGAAAGGTTTACAAAATCATAGTATTGTCATTTTAAATTTGTAAACTTTTGTTGACTGTGTATAAATTCTTGTTAGTTGCTTGAATTGATAATCTTGAGCAGTACTAATATAATGCTGTGGTAGATTGCATCATGAAGCGTTGAGCTTAGTGTTTTTTCCTGCTGACTTCCTGTCTGATATGTCAAGATTTAAATTGAAAACCGGAGGAAGTCTTTCAGCAATCCATCAGCACTGGACGCTTGAGTTTGTAAATAAAATGGATTAAGGTCATTATAATGGGAACGTTTTAATGATGATTTTAAAACATAGACACTATGATGGCATACAAAGAGACAGCAAGTAGGCAAATTGCTCATACAGTTTTACACATATAATCTGTTCATTTAATGACAAAAAGTAAACAGTTGTAAAAGAAAAAGAAAAAACTCCACATCATAACTGCCAAATGTCATTTTAAAGTATTTCTTGGTTCCCTTTCAAGAAGAGTAGCTGCACCCAAATTTTTCACACATTGCCTTTTGAAACAGAGCTATCAGAGAAATATCTGTAATAATGGAGCCAAATGCAACACAGACTAGATATTTTCCATCTTTGTTCAATGTTTCCTCACTATAGATCTTCGTAGTATTGAAATAACAGATGTTGACTCACATGAGTCCCTTTGCAGAGATTTTCACTTTGCAGTAACATTTAGTATTTTCTGTTTTTTCCTACATTGCATCTGCTTCTTTTTGTTGATAATGTCGTGTGTTTCATGGCTGTTCCAGCAGCATTGGTAACCACACATGTGAAGGTGGATTTAAGATCCTCTGATGTGACGTTCTTCAACAGCAAACTCCTCTGAAGGATTTCACCGTCCTCTAATGTGGATCTAAAACATTAAGGATGCATTATTTGTATGTTGGCTGGCAAAGTTTATTCAGGATTTCCTTCTTCTCTCACTTGTAAAAATTTGTTAAGTAAATTTCACTGAAACAACTTTTTGTTTTAAGATGATTTTGATTAAAGTAAAACTCTGTTTTACTCACTCCTCTGATTCGACCATTCTGCCGCTGCTGGGCGTGTCCTCGGGAAAAGAGTCATTCACAAGCCAGTAGATGACCGTCATATCAACTTCACAGTTTGCAAACGCTTCACAGTTAAGAACCAGCTGCCCACCTGCAAGAAAGGTAGCATCCAGATCTGTTTGACCATATATAGTTTAAATTCATGCACAGATTGTAAATGGTTCACTGTGTCATCATCTATGAGATGTTCCACAGTAGCGCACCTGAAAAGCTATAGTTATCAGAAAACTTAAGGGGTTTTTTTTGTACCTGGATGAGCTTTTATTTGGACATGGTCAGGTCCAATGATCTCTGGGGATTTAAACTCAGAAGCTAGAGAGAGAGAGAGAAAAGAAAAAAGTTAGTAAAAAAAAATGTTTTCCACATACTCCAAAACCAAAACATTTTTTGTTCACAAAACATACTGTACCTGGAAATCCATCTGCACACAGCAGACTCAGAGAAATCAAGGCTGTTGCAGAGAAACAGCACAATCACAAGCAATGCCATGATACAGTTCAAAGTACTGCCAGTATAATGAATTGTTTTTACCTTGGACAATAGGCGACGACTTCATGCTGACTCCTTCAGTGAGAGCTTTGTGCCTCTGACTGCAGCTTTGGGCTATATATACTCACATAATGCACTTCCCCAACTGTACACCCACTCAAACTGATACAACTCATGGGGATTTCCTCTAAAACTTGCCCACTCATTTTGGAAAGAGATGGTGAACACATATTATGCCAACATAAATGAGGCATGCTGACTAATCCAGAGATTGAAATTATGTCAAGACATAGTCTCAGTGACAATGACAACATAATCCACAAGCATGCATGGATGAAAACACAATCACAACATCTGAGTCATGTGACATTTATTAACGGATTATGATCAAAGTAGAGATAAAACAATCCTATCGGCCTGTGTCCTCCTTACACTGTGTGAGATTGAAGTATAAAACAGCAGGTGATACTGTGACCAGAAGCTGCCAAAAGAACCGACTCTCAGCACATTTCAGACCAGAAAATGGACAAGTTAATGGATATCAGATTAAAAAGACCAGCACTGTCCCGAATCCCTTTGTCTCTGGATTCAAGCTCCTCTTTATGCTCAGTTTTAGTTCAAAACAAAACAAAAGCGCAAATGTTTAGATGAGAACTATTTATCCAAGAGGGGAAATTCAATAAAAGATAGTTAACTAACTAACTGACTAACTAACTAACTGGTTAACTCTTTCTGGGTTGTCACCATTTCATAACACAATTTCAGAGTCTGCAGTTTTTATCGTTCATGCTTTGAAATATTTATCCCTTTGTTTTCTGCTGCCATCGTAATTCAACAAAGATGAATGAGTTTCTTTGAGGAAAACAAATCATTTCCAGACAATTGAGAAAACAAAATAACAGGCTGGTCCCTGATAGGCCAGACCATGACATGGCATGCAGCCACTGTCCTCGCTAATGAGGTGAGTTGAGCCTATTTCTGTGCTTCTGTTCTGTTAGTGCAGCACTGGAGCTTTGAATTGTGATCATCTTGTATTTAGAGGCGATCTCAAGAAAACATGTAGAATAAACTGGTAGCATGTTAATTTGGGGCTTCAGCAAGAAACAAAACTATCTCTGTGGCTAGACACATTTTCAGGTGATATTGTTATTGCTGAAAATTTGGTGAGCTGACAGTCTTGAGCAAAATCAGAGAAGCATGTCCAGCAGACAGAGAGATCCCTACAATTTAAACCACATTAAGTTAATGAAGTGAAAAGTATCAAGGGGAAAGGTCACAGTCTGCTGGTAAGGATGAGTGTCTATGAAAACAATGAGGCCATTTTGAAATCCAGTAACACTAGAAGTTCCATGATAACATGTTTGGTATGAGGAATCCTCTGATTTTAAAAGAGCACCGTTCCCCTCATGAGGAAGCCTCAAGTCACATGACGTGTGACTGTGAGCGCTAAGGAAACTGTCGCTTGTGTCACTTAAGTCCAAAATGTGGAATTTGTAATAAAAAGGTCACGTAACTGTTGAGTAAGAGATCACTTTGAATGACGTGGTGGCAAAACGACTCCAGGGGAAGTCTCCGAATTCTGTGTTTGTGGGCGTAGAGGCACAGGGAGCTGGGGAGGAATTACTCGTTTCATTTAATATTTATTACTCATGTTTGAAAACCATCAGACATGAGGATCAAAAACTCCAGCCAAGATCTTTGAACTAAGTATCAACAACATTTAAGACATAAATTAGTAAAAAGCACCTCTCTAATGATTTTGACAACCGTTTTACTAGACCAGAAAATGCACAAACTGATTAATACAATGTAACATTGTGTAGCAAATCCTGGGAAATGACAGACATCCAAATTCAAATTACCAATAAAATTCAAATGAACTGTAAATACAGATATGTGCCTATAAATATGTACAAAAAAGTATAGACACTTTTTAATTGTGTTTTAGTTCAATGTTAGGCTCTCAGTCTTTTGAGCCAGTGCATATCTTCTCTGTATGGCGTTTATGTCCATTGCCTTCGGTCCCAGGTCACTCCAGACCCAGGACGTAGTTGATACCTTGAACAAATCCAATAATGACAGGCTGCCAGGCCACCAGGTAACGAAGCCAGTCTAAAAGTTGTCCATACATGACATGAGGCCTCTCCCAGCTACAAATATGTGGGTTAAGGAAACTATGATGGTCCAATCAATAAATAAAATGACTGAAAACACAGAAAGCTTTTATTACACATTCTACCACCGGTAAATGACCAGGAGGACACAGAAACTGCTTTCAGTTTCTCTAAAGGTAATTACATAATTTAGCATTTCATCTATCAGATGTGTAATCTGTGAACCACAAGAAGGAACAGGAACTTGGTATTCAGCCTATAAATGTCTCATCTGCTGTTCCAGACAGCCTGAAAAGAGCAGCCCAAAAAAATCACCTAAAACTTCACTGCTGAAACTTCCTCCCTGTTACAGGAAAACTGTCTTTCTCAACTAATTTGCTATGACTGTGTTTCCTGGATGTTAGTTTGAGGTCAACTGTAAAGGTCCTTACACACCAGCGAATTTGCGAAGCGAAAAAGCGAGACGAAAATGCGAAAATATTCGCCGGTCCGAAAAATTGCTTTCACTTATACACACCGGGCGACCACTCTGTGGTACACACTCTCTCCCATCGTTGCTCTTGGTGCCAGTGGTGGTGTATGTCGTGTGAACTGCAGCTGCATGGGTCTGTGACGTCATAAACAACATGACTTTTGATTGGCCAGAGGTCTAGCAGGTCCAGATATTCGCCTGCGAATCTCCGAAAAATTCGACACAAGAGTGAAGAAATAAAAGACGCTTTTTGCCCCGCGGAAAAATCGCTGCCGGTGTGGAAGCTTGCATTGACTTTATGCTGTTTAAAAAAAAAAGCGAATAATTCACCTGGCGAATGTGTGTGTAAGGACCTTAAGAAGGCCAGATTTACATAAATGCAGCCTCTGCATGCACATTGCCATTTAAATCTCTCAATATCACACCAATTTTCTCAGTTTCATTAGACACTCTGTGGAGAAACATGTCCATAAATGAAAATAATACAACAAATAAAAGTGGAAAAAGCAGTGGCGCTTGAATGTGTGAGGTGTATGACAAAACAAAAAGGATACGGGTTACTGAACATCCTCTTCAGATCCACCTTCTCTTTGCAGTACGGGCACATCTGCTTCTTTCCCACGATGCACCATCCTCTTATGCAGAACTCATGGAACCTGAGAACAGAGTTAAGGCTCTGCACAGCAGTGTGTTAGCAGCAGTTCAAACGTGTACCGGCTCAGAAAGAATCACTCTGAAGAGACTGACGTTTGTTGAAATACCCAAATGCATTATACTGAGTGTGTATGTTGGCTGTAAGTACCAACTGTTAAATCGAACTTTTCAGACATTTTATAAAACAATGTGGGAAAACATCAATTTTAATTGATTCTTAAAGTTACAAAAAGACAATCTGTAGCTCAAGGGGACAAAAATGACCTTTACAGATGAATTAGTTCCAAAAGTTTAGGAATTTCTGGCTTTCATTTGACATTTACAAATTTAACTGAACCCAATCAAATACAGGTATTCACAGAGAGATATTGAAGTCTACGATGAATGTTTTGACATATACTTCCTGCGAAGGACCTATCTGTGTAATTTTGGGGGAATTTAGCATTTGTACATTAATTGTATTATCAGGTTTGAAAGTAAAAGTACGCTGAATATCACAGAAAATTTAAAGCAAAATCAGGGAGTTCAATCGCTATAAAACACGGGGGAACTATCTAGAATGATTAAACATTTGTGATATATAGAAAACAGTATCAAGTCAACAGAAATGACCAATAATACTAAGATGTAACGAAAAATTAGTCCAGCCACTAAAGTGTAAACAAAGAGACGTAACATCAGTCTGCTGATTAAGACAGGGGCTCCATCTAATAACCCATGGCCCAGGATTAACAGCACTGATCTGTAAGCAGAGTTTTCAGTTAAATGTGATCCAATCAAATGTAAAGGTGCATATTATGAATAAAATTATTAATATAAAAAAATAACCTTTTCATGATATTCTACTTTTTTGATGCATCAGGACTAGAGGATTTCTGAGACAGAAAACAAGCAGACTGAGCTGTTCACTCAATAGGCTTGTATGTTATTAAAACTGCACACTCATGGAGGAAGTAATGTTTGTTCATGTCACCACGGTATCACTACACTAACAGTCTAACACAAAGGTTAAGTTAACGCCACCAATTCCTCTTTAACTGCTTAATGAGTACACAGCACAGTTATCAGTAAAAACCTACGACCTTACCTTTTATAGACATGTATGAATTTCTCACGTTAATACTCATCATAAAGCCGAACTTCTCTTTTACTGCTGACGGCGGCCGTGAACAACCGTCTCAAAAGGAAGGATACACATGGTTGCAGGATAATCTGTATGTGTTCTCAATAATCCCCTCCTCGCTGACATCTACAAGAATGGGCTGACCGCACACCGCACAGATGTTGTCAGAGAGGTGCTTGGTTGGCATGCCAGATGCACTGTAATACTAATAAAACAGTGGAAAAAGGGAGAGTTAAATTTGAATGCAAGCCACAGTTATCATCACTAACAGCACTCAGAAACAAACAGTGTCTACTCTTTCATCTTACCCCGATAGTTGAAGCCATAAAGTCTGCACACATCTCTGCAAAGTCTCTTCCTAATACCCCGTAATACAGCCCGTAGAAAAGGAGTGAAACACCAAAGTCCATTGCATCTTCTGGCTTTATCCTGTTAAGAGACGGCACTATCATGATTCATCTTCTAGTTGGCTCATAAACAGCCAGACAACCTGATAAAGAAGACTCCTGTGGTCTTCAGTGAACTACAAACAGAGAGTTCTTATGTGCAGTAGTGAAAGTCAATATGTGCTGAAATTTTTGTGTAATGTAGGGCTTACGTAGCACCACTGACATGACTTCAAACAATACATACCTGAATATTAAGTTGATACCAAATAGTGTAAACATGACGACAGTGTAGCCAACTATTCCTGTGGCATAGCTGATCTTGTAGAGGAGAAGGAACCACTTGTACACCAACCTACAAAAGCCAAAAAGAAAGACTCTCTCAGAGTATGTAGGAATGTTTCAATGTTCACTCACTGGAGTTATATCTTTGTATTTTTAGGACATGGTGGAGTGCAAACAGGGGTTTTACCTTGGTGTGGTGCATGCCAGCGGCTTGCGTGTGGCACGGTAGGAAACATATGCTGTGATGACCGAGAAGATAAACCATGTGCTAAGGAACCTCCACCAGTGAAGTTTGGTAGTAAAGTAGAGAGGAACTACCCACATTTGAAACAGAGTCACCAGCTACGAGACAGCAGAACACAGACAAAGAGTCAAAAGAGGCTTTTTATGCTGTTTAAAAATAAAAAAAAGAGACAATAAGAAAAAAACACTAAAGTCACATATTGAACATGTATTTATAATCATGTGCCTCCACATAGGTAGAAAATTAACTTTAAAAATGTAATACAAACACATACACATTCATGTTGTCTTATCCATCTCTGCAAATATACAGACTTACACTAACACACACCGAGTTTACAGACATAGTTTACCTGGACCCAAAACAAATATGGAGGCTTTTATAAATGTTTATCTTGTGTGTCTTACATTGTATGACTTTGGATGTCTCTGTTTCCACTGCACAAGAACAAGCTGTGCAACAACAAGGGTGACTATGAGGATGAGCACCATCTCTGCGTGCATGGCCTCGTGGCCTTTGTGTTTGGCATGCATTCTTGCATGCTCCACCCTGTACAAAACAAGAGGAAAAAAGGAACGTACTCAATTCATGTTTCATAGTGACACATGATCTGTGTCACGAGTCACAACAAGAAAAGGTGGACGTGCAGTTTAAGGTGCGCTGACCTTTACTACTCTCTCTTTGAAGCAAATTTATACAGAAATGACATAGGAGTAATTTAACCAGTTCATCTGAACAAAGTGTTCTCTTAAAATCACAATTCAAGCAGTATCGAAAGAATGAATGCATGATCAATTAAAAGTGTTGTGAAGATACTGACCTCCATTTCTCTTCTGGTGAAAGCTTCGAAACATCCAACTTAAAAGAAGGCAAAAAAATAATAATAATAATTTCAGAATTGATATTCTTGTTACTTTAAACAGGTCCAAAAACTAAATAACTTTATCCAGCATCGTGTGTCATGTGTCTCCTACACCTTTCATTACATCATTACTCTGCATACCAAACGCAGAGTGTCAGTAATGATCTGAATTCAATTGTTGTTTAGGATGATGAAACAAATTAGCCAACCCTTCATGAGCATGTGTCTTTAAACAAGGATGAAGAAGTTATTACAAAGTATGTTTAGCAATTACAGTCCCTCCCAGGTTGTTTAGCTTGTGTAACAACCTCATTATGGCTGAAGTGAAAAGTTGCACAGCAAGAAAGCCGTACTAATTAAAAGTCATACTAATTAAAATTTCCTGAGAATTTTCCTCAGAAAACAGCGGGCGGACTGGTACAAACATGTTAGGGCAGCAAAAATCAAATAAACCAAAATAAACTAACCACCAAATATTTTGATTGCAGATGACTCACTCTGGTTAAAATGTCAAACATCAGATCCAGTTGCCACATTTTGATCATTATATGTCCAAAAATTCACTCGTTTTAAGTTATTAGTTTCTAATTTAAAGCTCTTTAAAATTTAATTATGAGCTTTTTGAAATGTGATAGCTTTTACTTTTGCAGACCAAACTAAAATGATCAACAGATGCAGCCCTACTATCTAAACTGAGATGCAGAGGTGTGCCGGCACAAAGCAACTGCGGGCTGTGTGACCATAGACCAGCAGTTTTAAACTGGTGGGTCCCGACCCAAAAGTGGGTCACGGACATGTTCTGGATGAGTCACGAACAGCCATTTAAAAAAGAAAATATTTAATGTGATTTTTATTAGATATTTGATATTTTTTGCACATGCAACTTCAGTAGTTGTCGTCCTCATGTTGTCCCCTTCATGTGCTCTAAAATGCACTTCACTCAATAAAACACGTGGATTTATGTTAAAGATTAGAGTCTTTAAAGCTTATATATATATATATAGAAATTAACTTGCTTGGTCTGAATTCTATAAAAGTGGGACGCGACTTAAGGACCATGGGAAAATGTGGGTCCCAGAGTGAGACCAGTTGAGAACCACTGCCATAGACCGTAAATAGTCTATACAGTCTGAGTGTGTGTGTGACATCTGCTCTAACACCGGCGTACAATCCACAGTGTTTGACCTGAGGCTTGAAAGACTACAGGAAGTGGTTGAGCTGCTTCCCCTGACTGACACCGACAGCTTCACGCTCGCTTGGCCCTTTGCCTTTAACCTAAAGCAGGCGTGACCATAAGTGACCTTTGACCCGTTCAGCCACATCAGCTGTAATGATTTGTGTAGCGCTCATAAATCAAACTGTCAGATAAGCTCTGCAAAGCATGTAGAAATCGTGAATGTGTCAGATTGGATTTAATTTAACGCTTTAACCGGTTAGCTACTTCGAGCAGATTGGAGGTTTAACATGATTTGGACAATACTCGGTTAGCTAACGTCGGCTAGCGCAGCGATACTACACAACTATCGGGTTTTTTCTTTCTTGTTGTGCTGTTTTTTGAACAAAAAACGTCAAACGACCTTTCATACAATCCAAACAACAAACTCAGTCTGAAAACAGATGGTTAAAATAAGCTAGATGCTAACATTGGTCTAAACCTATGAGTAAAGCTAGCACATAGTTTCGTGTTCGTGGCGTGCAGCACGGTGAGAATTTACCGGCATCTGATTTTTCTGTCACAACATTATAATGTGTCTCTGGCCTCTTACCTGCTGTGGTTCATCATGATGCTCCAGTCCATGGTCGTGCTCCACACCGTCCACCTCCACATCGAACACCCCGGCCATCTTCGGAGTGTTGCCTTACCTTTCCGGGTCCATTGGCATTAGCAACAAGCCCGATGACCTCACATCCGGTGTCCTTATTCACAATAATCTTCACGACAAATAGTAAAATGCTCTTTAACTTTGTATGGAAAAATAAAACTCACTACATTAAAAAATCTGTGATAATGAATAACTATGATAAAGGCAGCCTCAACTTTTGAGACTTCCAAACTTTAAATAACACTTTCAATATTAATTGGCTGAAGCAATTTATAAAAAACCCTTCCTCAGTTTGGAACTTTATACCAAACTTTGTTTTATTCTGAAGTAGGTGGCCTACATTTTCTTTTACTCTGCAATTACAAAATCGAAAAAATCCCATTGAAACTATCAAATTTTCATAAAAAGACGCTTCTTTCATGGTCACCAATATATAAACACAACTTCTCTCCACACATATATAAAACATGGAATAATAAAGACATAACACATTGAAATAAATTCCTTATTTTACTCTGCATGGTTTTCTAATAATATACTCCTGGTTCACCAGCTGCTTGATTCAAACGGTTTATTACTTGTGAAAATTTTACTTTCCTCAGATGAGTTCTTTGAAGATTGTTATGTACTTCATTTCGAATTGAAATGTACAACATATTGTTAATTCAAATAAAGTTTTTTGGGAAAAAATAAGCATAGTTACTGGCACCCGATCAATAAGATTAGAAAATATTCACAATCTGAGTTACACTTTAAATACCAAATTACATATTTGATTAACAAATCTTTATTATCATTATAATTATTATTATTTATTTTTGCTCAAGTGGAGTAATGCATTTCTTGGTCAACCTTTTAAAACAATACTCTGGTTTGAAGCCTTTGCATGTGAGGACTTCTTAGATGGCGGAGAAAAGGTCAAATTCGATACCAATGCCTTTTTATGAACTTTGTAATGTAAATAAGAACATCAGTAATTAGATTAAGAATTTCTATATTTATATTTCTATATTTATACTATATTTTCTATATTGTAATTTTTTTTAACAGGCTACATGAAACTGTTAGAAAAGGGTATAGGCTTGGTGTCATACTAGGTCATAGACAGCACACTGAAGATGCACCTTTAATCTATTTTTATTTTTTAGCATCACACATACTGCACATAGGACTGTTAAAAATAACAGGATATGATTGTCAGATACAGAAAAATGTTGGAATTTGGACAAGACCAGACAAGTTTTGAGCTGTAGTGTATTTGCCCACAGGGGTCACCAAAATTGATACAGACAAAATTCTTTGCAGCTTCTTTTACATGGAGTGCTTGATCTCAGGAATCACAGAACCTGAAATACCTTTTAAATACCTACATTTTCATTTCTTCCAAATACATATGGCATTCAGATCACTGACATTACAAATGATCAAAAATGTCATGTTTTCATGCTGATTCGTTTTCTAACATATTAACGTATTAGTTTGTTAGTTGGGTACAATTTTTAATATTCTAGACAATTGGTGTGGACGTCTCTCCTTGTTGTACAGCTTTGATGCAAACATCGACTATTATAGGTTGTTTCTAATCTTGTACTCGTCCATATTGTCGATTTTTTACACATAATCAAAAAGTTTAAGTGTGGTCATATCCCGTAAATTCTGGGAGTATAACCGGGTTACTAACTCAGAAACATTTCTATGCAGTGTAATTCCTGAGATGATCTTTAAGTCTCATCGCTAAAAACAAATAAAATAGACCTCGCTACATCTCAACAAACCTGTTGTTTGAAATATCCCGCCTGATCAGACCGGAAGCTGCGATGAGCTGTTGTAAAACGCTGGCTTGTGATTGGTCAAAACATCTATTTCCGTCTTCTCTGATTGGCTGGACCGCTGACTCAATGCAACGTAACCGGCTTGTGACTTGTTGGCGCCCTCAGTTTGAGATTCAACTGTGTCTGTGGGGAGAATAGTCGGTAATAACAACTCTATTTCACAATCATTTTATACTTTTACGGTCTCCAGCCGAGAGGAATACAACACCCACTTCTACGAGGAAGAAACTATCTGCCTTGTTGTCAATATGCACGTCGTGAAGCGAGGTAAAGTAGCTTACTTTAATAATGTTGGTGCGAAAATGATGTTATATGACTGCTGGGTGATGGTGCAATAGAGGTGCAAGTTTGGTAGAGCCTTATTAACTAATATAAACGGATGTGACTGTGAAAACACTAAAGAAATGCAGCACTGAATAATTTATCAGACTTTTGGGTTAAAATTTGAGTTAAGTGGTATATACATGGGTGTTTCTTTGTTTGGCGTTTTTCTGTTAATGTGCTAAACAGACTACTTAATTTAAGAACAAAAGCAGGCAGTGTATCTTCTTTTTTTGACAGGGTTGTTGCCTGTTTTGTCTTCATTTTGAATGCAACTTCACTCTGTTTTCTGAATGTTTTATATTAAAAAACAACAACCCGACATAAAGTGTCCTGATACCTGGTTTGCTTTCGATATTTCATTTTCCACTTTGCTGATATCAGGTGTGTTAAAAGGTAGTAGAGTTAAGGAAGTAGTAATAAGAGGGTCATAACAATTATCTTTGTGTTAATGGCGCGAAGAAGCAAGGTGCACTTCCTTTGGTTATCATTAGAACTGGATGGGCAGGTGTTAGGCGCGCGGGTTAATTAGTCAGGAAAGGTCATCTGATTACAGCTCGAGCTCTGTTTGCATTGGATTGTTTACAGCTGAAGTTACTTTTATCGGGAGAATCGACCTCAGATGTTCACGTAGTAGATTTATGAAACTATAACGTCTCCTATTTTCCAGACGGACGCCAGGAGGGAGTTACATTCGACAAAATCACCTCTCGCATCCAGAAGCTGTGCTATGGACTCAACAGTGAATTTGTTGACCCTGTAAGTTCAAAGCACTATCAACAATGCACGACTTTTATACTTTCTTTGTGGTGTGTGAACTCCATGTCAGCTGAGTGAATTCTCTGTGATTGCAGGCTCAGATCACTATGAAAGTAATACAGGGTCTGTACAGTGGAGTCACCACTGTTGAGCTGGACACCCTGGCTGCAGAGACTGCTGCCACCCTGACCACTAAGCATCCTGACTATGCAATCCTGGCGGCACGAATTGCTGTGTCTAACCTGCACAAAGAGACCAAAAAAGTGTTCAGTGGTAAGTGTTAGATTTAAAGTGAATAAATAATTCAAAGCATAGTTTAAAATGAGTTTAGTTTTTCTCATCTGAATGTAAAAAATGTATTCACAAATATGACTTAGACAGGAGAAACACCAGTCTGTTGATTAATATCTGTAAATGACTTAATAAGGTCAGTAAATGTTAATAAAGCTAATGTTTTGGGTGGTTTTTTTTTCTGTAGATGTGATGGAAGACTTGTACAACTATGTGAACCCATTAAATAAGCGCCACTCTCCCATGATCTCCAAGGAGTTGCTTGACATTGTTCAGGAAAACAAAGCTGTAAGTCACATTGAAGAGTCATTTTTCTTTGTAATAAAGATTCAGTAAATATTTACAGTACAAGCATTCTCAAATATATTTTTTATCTGCTTTTTTGCAGCGCCTAAACTCAGCTATTATCTATGACAGAGACTTCTCCTACAACTTCTTTGGCTTTAAGGTATTTTAATCCCATTTTGTATTTATAAACTCAGATTGATGATTCTTTTTGATTAACTATTTCGCCTTGTTGCTCTCACAGACTCTGGAGCGCTCTTATCTGTTGAAGATAAATGGAAAAGGTGAGCTGATTTCACTTATTTGCAAGTGCAGAGAGTTGCTGATTTGCCACTTGAAACCTGCATATTCTTAATTCTGAAATTACCTTCTTTTTTTCTCTGTAGTTGCTGAAAGACCACAGCACATGCTAATGAGGGTAGCAGTTGGGATTCATGAGAGAGACATCGATGCAGCCATTGAGACCTACAACTTGCTGTCAGAGAAGTGGTTCACCCATGCTTCACCAACTCTGTTTAATGCTGGCACCAACAGGCCACAGCTGTCCAGGTAAGGACAGTCTTCTAGTTTTTAAGCAGAGATACCTCCTTTTAGCTTCTCTTACTCCATAATCAAATTCGTTTGAATCTTTTTGCAGTTGTTTCTTGCTATCCATGAAGGATGACAGCATTGAGGGCATTTATGACACACTGAAGCAGTGCGCCCTGATATCCAAATCAGCTGGAGGCATTGGACTGGCAGTTAGCTGCATCAGATCAACAGGCAGCTATATTGCTGGGGTGAGAAAAAGCAGCAGAGCAGAAATTAAAATCATACAGATGTGGGCAGGCTTTTATGTATACTCAGTCTCCTTTGTGTAACTCACATTGGTTCTTGTTTTTCAGACCAATGGCATGTCAAACGGGCTGGTTCCTATGCTCCGTGTGTACAACAACACAGCACGTTATGTTGACCAGGGAGGCAACAAGGTGAGACTTAAAAGATCGACTGGACACACTACAGTGGATCTTGAAATTTTTACTCTTGAAACGTCTCACTAAGTTAGATAACCTTTTCCTCTATACTCACTTGTGCAGAGACCTGGGGCCTTCGCTGTGTACCTGGAGCCATGGCATTCTGATGTGTTTGACTTCTTAGAGCTGAAGAAGAACACAGGTAAAGAGGAGCAGAGGGCCAGAGACTTGTTCTTTGCTATGTGGATTCCAGATCTCTTCATGAAGCGAGTGGAAAGCAATCAGGTAATAACCATAGATGGTAATAACAGAAAGAAATCTCTATGTCAAGCAATTTATTCATATTTATTATTTTTTTATTCAAGGCTCTTCTGTAGTCTTATTGTCTTTATCTTGGTCTTGTAGGACTGGTCTCTGATGTGTCCTAATGAGTGTCCTGGGTTAGAGGACTGCTGGGGAGAGAAGTTTGAGGAGCTCTACACTCGGTATGTCCTCCCTTCCTCACTCTTCCACAGTGAAAACACCTCATTCTGTGCAGCAAACTTGTCTCACATTTCCCTGTTTGATCCTCAGATATGAGAAAGAGGGCAGAGTTAAGCGTGTGGTGAAGGCTCAGCAGCTGTGGTATGCCATCATTGAGTCTCAGACAGAAACTGGTACACCATACATGCTCTACAAGGATGCTTGCAACAGGAAGAGCAACCAGCAGAATCTGGGCACCATCAAGTCCAGCAATCTGTGCACAGAGATCGTGGAGTACACAAGCAAAGACGAGGTTAGGGGCAGCAGACATTGCACTGAAAGCTAAACGATAGTCTGTTCTGAAATGAGCGATGACATGATTTGTGATTATTTATGCTTTCTCATCACTAGGTTGCTGTGTGTAATCTGGCGTCCATTGCCCTCAACATGTACGTCACTCCAGAAAAGACCTTTGATTTCAAAAAGCTTGCATCTGTCACCAAAGTCATCGTCAAGAACCTCAACAAGATTATAGACATCAACTATTACCCAGTCCCTGAGGTTAGTTCTCCTGTACAGTGTTGCTTCCCTGTGTAACATGCAGCCCAGTTTTGTTGTTCTCTGTGATAAAAGTAGCTCCCTGGTTCTGTTCTTTACAGGCTGAAAGGTCTAACAAGCGACACAGGCCCATTGGAATTGGTGTTCAGGGTCTGGCTGATGCCTTTATCCTGATGCGTCACCCGTTTGAAAGCCCAGAGGCCCAGCTGCTCAACATTCACATCTTTGAGACCATCTACTATGCTGCCCTGGAAGCTAGCTGTGAGCTGGCAGCGGAGCACGGCCCTTATGAAACATACGCTGGCTCTCCTGTCAGCAAGGGAGTGAGTGTTTTGTCTTTTTTTTTTTTTTTTTTTTATATATATCATGAATCCATCATTGGTATATAAGAATAAGAATAATTTTATTAATCCCCGAGGGGAAATTCAATTGTCTGTTGTACATACTGGGTTTAAATTTAGGCTCCAGGTTCTAACTAGTATTGTTTTCCAGATTCTTCAGTATGATATGTGGAATAAAACACCAACAGATTTGTGGGACTGGAAAGCACTGAAGGAGAAAATTTCCAAGTAAGTCTTCCTGAGTGTGTACTTTGTAGTTGCTTTTATTGATCTATTATGTACTTTATGTAAAGATTGTAACGTATTGATAATCCCAACTTTCCCATCATCCCATGTTTCTTCAGGCATGGTGTGAGGAACAGTCTGCTCATGGCCCCCATGCCCACTGCCTCCACTGCCCAGATCCTGGGCAACAACGAGTCTATTGAGGCCTACACCAGCAACATCTACACCCGCAGGGTGCTCTCTGGAGAGTTTCAGGTCAGCACCCATTGCCTTTCCTGTCTCTCCAATTGTGTGTCTCTGAAAAAAAGAGAAGCTAACAGTCTTCTTTTCTCCTTCTACCAAAGATTGTGAACCCTCATCTCTTGAAAGACCTCACAGAAAGGGGACTGTGGAGTGATGAGATGAAGAACCAGCTGATTGCTCAGAATGGCTCGATACAGGTAAAGGGTCACTATAAATGAATTTGTAATGAACTTATTTCATTCTTCAAACATGTAAACCAACATTTTTTTTTAATTGTTGAACATTTTTTAAAACCCATCTGGCTGCCTACAGGACATTGCAGAGATCCCCGATGACCTGAAGCAGCTGTATAAGACAGTGTGGGAAATCTCCCAGAAGACTGTCCTGAAGATGGCAGCAGATCGTGGCGCTTACATTGACCAGAGCCAGTCTCTGAACATCCACATTGCTGAACCAAACTATGGCAAACTAACCAGCATGCACTTTTATGGTTGGAAGCTGGTAAGTCATGACTAAGGGAACATATGTGTGACGTATGTGACATCATGATACCTGGAAAATGACGCAGTACCTGTCTCGCTTTCTCTACAGGGCTTAAAAACTGGCATGTATTACCTACGGACAAAGCCTGCAGCGAACCCCATCCAGTTTACCCTGAATAAGGAGAAATTAAAAGATGCCCAGACAGCCAAGAGCGAGGAAGAGGAGACCAAAGAGCGTAACACTGCTGCCATGGTCTGTTCCTTGGAAAACAAAGACGAGTGCCTGATGTGTGGCTCCTAACTGTAATGTTTTTACTCAGACACACTTCCTCTTATCAACGAGCTTCCCTATAATGTTTGTATTTTTGGAAACACTTGATTTTTAACTGTAAATGGTGTCGTAACAAGGGTTTCCTCATGCCGCTGTCTTCAACCCACAAATCTTTGAAGTTAATATTTTATGCCTTTTTATCATAAGGAATGTGTTTTTGTATAGAAATGAAGGGTAAGATAAATTAAAATGTACTCTTTTTTATCTGTGGTTTTGTATTATGTGAGAAGCATTAATAAACTGTGTTGGTGTTTGAAATGGGATATTAAACAGTTTTACAATCATATTAATACATCTTTTTATTTTTTCAAAATATGTGAATCTCTTCATTGTTGATTCGCCCGGAGCATTCTGTATATTCATGCTACTCTGCCAGTATAACATTTGGAATGGGTCACAAGAGAAACACCACGTCTCTTACATTAATTGGGATAAAATATGTGATACGTGGAAAAAATAAGTAAAAAGTAGAGCTAACAAAGAAATTAATGAATTTCTGCCTCTAAGATGCCCAAACAGCTGCTCTAACAGGATGGTAATCAGATGTTTGTTTCTGTATGTCATAGTTGTCTGGTAAAGCTTGCAGATCAGAAGTCTCAAAACAAAAAAATCCAAGTGGAAATGGAGGGAACGGTGCAACAAAGAGCTACGTGCTACAGTGTTTTTCCACAGAGAGAGTGGAGCTTTGTTTCTTGAGACAGGTGATGCTGCAGGTGGTGAATTAATGAACTGGTGTGTTCCTATACGCAACCTCATGGGAGCAGTACATGTTAAGCAAGCTGAGGCCTGCACTGTCACAATGAAGCAGAGTGGATCTGTTGCATACAGAAGAGAAACACTGAGGCATCACAGCATTATTCAACCCAGTTCAAGGTCCAATGCAGTAGGTTAATTAAAAAAAACTCACAGAGAGAAATGTAATTTTGGAATGGTTTAATTGCGTTACAAAACAACTGTACTGTATGACATTATGGTTGAGTGCATGACCCTTTTTCTATGATTAAATAATAGTACAAACTGGTTTAACTTGAGAATGGTTCACTCATCATTTTTAAATGCTGAATTAAACCTGTGCAGTGCAATGACAACAAGCTGTTTCTGTACAAAAGAAAACTAAAAAGAAAAACAGCATTTTTAAACTGTGTTCTGTAGCTGATAAGAGACTGAAAGATTTGTCAAAAACGCAAGGTGAACTAAAACCAAAAGACACTTCAATGAGTTGAGGTGACAGTTCTCCCTTTTTTGGGGTTCCTGTTAAAAAAAGTTGAGCGAAATTATACATTTCATTTTCGTTTCAGTAGAACTAAATTGACAACTCTATGTGAACAATGAATAGACATTTGCTGTACAAATATAAAGGATGAAGTTACAGTGAGAAAAGCAGCGAAGGAATTGTTTGACCACTCAGGGAAAGACTTTTTTTTTTGGTGAAAGTTAAAAGAGAAGACATATCATTCTTCCTGCACAGAAACCATAGGGCTCAAACCAGCAGGCTGTTTGCTTAGAGCAACTGGAAACCAAGAGATAAACTAGCAGGGCTTTCAGGCTAATGACAACAAAATTCACCTGAACAGCTCACTTTTTCACCAGCAATGTCTGGTTTATTAAAATGACAGATGGTTAAAAAGTAATCATATAAAGGTGTGAAACATTGATCATTTATCAAGCAGACAAACCTTGGCTACAGATCCATCTGTAGCATATTCACTATATATTCAAAAAAAATTAGCTCAATCAAATTCATAAAAACCTTTCATAGGTTATGAAATATCTTTGAACTAAACTCACATTTTATTTGCTGGTGTTACAGTTCAAGATAGACCTACCTTATCAAGAGCCAAATCCTTCAAGTTTTTCATTAGAACTTTCAGAAGACATAGTTTGTCAACCATGCCTGTAGCTTTCACAATAAGTTGCTTAGCTTGGACCAATAAAGATGTCTTCAGCTCTATTTCTCATTGTACCTTTACACTCCATTGAACCAGGGGCTAAAGTTATCACAGATTTTGTTTGACTAGCGGCAGAAAGTGTGAAATGAACAGTATGGTTCTGTTTGTGGGACATTGCTACAGTTAGGGTCTAACCAGTATCCCATCAATGGATCCCTCCCCCTCCTGAGAGCCAAAGCCTGTGTCCTGAGAGCTGCTGCTGCCTGTGGGTGAGGGGATCGTTTTCTTCACTCCAGCTTTGTCTTTGCTCTCTCGAACCCCAGACATCTCGGGTACATTATAGTCAAACTTTCTCCCCAACCTTTTTGCTTCTACTTTCCTTTCTTGCAGCTCTATATCTTTGAACTTGTGCACCACTCTCTGTGTCTCTTTGTTTTCAATGTTGACTTTCATCTTTGGAGGTTGTTTGGGGGTTGTCTCAGCGTGTTTCTCGCCCACCTTTGCCCCTGATGATATCTCTTCTTCTTTTGTTTTTTCTGCCTCTTCTTCAGTGCCCTCATTTACTTTTCCCTCTACATTATTCAAGCTTGTCCTTCCCACCACCTCTTCCATTACTTTATTACCACCATTTTCATCTTTGTCTGATTCTACCTGCTCTTTTTTCCGATTTTCCCTCTCATCCTCTTTCACTTCTTCAGCTCTGCCTTCCTCCATTTTCACCACATCACAGTCTGTCACCGGATTTGACTCCTCTGCTCCACTTTCGCTCACCTGATTCTGCTGAACGTCTGACTGCTTTGTATCCGAGTCAACCTTTTCCTTTTCCACCACCTCCTCTCCGTGGTGCACAGTCACTTTAAGTGAAGTGTTTTTCTCATCTTGTTTGCTGTTAAAACCTCTGAAGTTGTTCTTGGCACCAATGATGTATTTCCCCAGAATGGAGGAGCCATCCTTGTTCAGTGCATCATTTACAGTGTGTCCATCATCTATGATTAGCTGCTCGATTACTTTCATTTCATTGTGCATCCTGGAGACTGCTTTGCTCAGCTCTGTGATCCGATTACCGACATCTGAGTAGAGAAGAGACTTCAATCACAACACCGAACAGACACTTTAATGATAATTAAGGCTAGTCATTTTCAGCAGGCTGTGGGTTCGGATAAAGGACTTTTTGTCAGAAAGCTGCAGCAGTGAATAAATGCGACAAATGAAAGACACGTGGCAGGGTCACACACTGATGAACATAATAATGCTGCATTAACTTTTCTTTCAAGTGAAAAGTTTACCCCTGTATGTCTATATTTGGTCTCACACATTCCCCTAGTTCAGTATCATTTTTTTGTCTTTTAAAATCCTAAAAGCACTTATTTTGTAATGTGACCCCTTTTTTTGGTCAAATCACTCATTATTTCCCAAAACTGAATTAACACTCCAACACTATATGGTTTCATTGAGGAGAGTTAATGCACCTCATAGTGACTATATTATAAACATTTCATCATGATAGTACTTCAAGCTTCTGTGATAATTTTTTACTTGAGGACTTCATCATTTCAGTCTGTTTCTTGAAACTCCTCGCTCTAGGTGTAAACATTTCACTCAAAAGTATGGAGTAAATCTAAAAGATTTTGATCAATAGCCATTTTCAAACAGAAGTTGGTGTTTCATAATGAGCTCTCATATTTTCAAATGGAACTGGTTTTATAACCGTCTCTATTTCATAGCCCTCCAAGCTAGTCATGAGCTCCCTCTGTTCCCTTACCCCACCCCAGCAGACTGAAACCACCGAAGACTAGCCAGTTTACAACTGCGACAAAACACCACTCATTCTGAACCAAACATCTATCTACTGTAGTAAATTAAAAAAGTAATTAACAACAAAAACTCTTCTCACTTGCTTAACAAAGCTGTACAATCTTACCTCACACGCAAACTAGCTAGCAAACTAGGAGTTATGAGCTAGTTTATTACTCTGCTTTCAAATGAAGAAACAATGCTAGCAGCAGAAGTTAAGTTAATTTAAAGTAAATTTAAGGAAATCTGAAAAGTTGTGTAGTCAACAAAGAAGCTCTTGTTGGTGCAAGACTCTGATTTGCTAATCTTCACTGTAAACCCAGGGTCACTACTGTGTAAGGTAGGTTTACTGAAGTCCTAACTCACCAAATGGCTTTCCAAATCAGAGAACAGTTAATCAGCATGAGCATTTTAGTTAGGATTGGCCTAAACGCCTGTGTTTCCAAACTGTAACGACTTGACCCTGAATAGCTCTAACATTACTGCAACAAGCAGAAGCTAACAGCTGATGCTATTTTAAGTAAACTTATCTAACATGCAGAAGCCAAGAGTGGCTAATGTTTATCTTAATTTATTTCTTTTGATGCATTCTCTATCATTAAAAAAAATACAACCTCTGTTTTTTCATACTGAATTATTCTATCAGCCTTTGCTCTCCATGTCATTGCTTTATTGGTGAAGGCTGTTGTGTATTTGTGTCTGTAGCCTACATGGAAAGCTGTGTAAACCTGTGTCAATCTTTTGTGTACACATGCTTGGCTTATAAAGCTGAGCTTGACAATAATTAACACATGGAAAGAAAGAATGCTGCAAGCTGTTTTTCATGGCCTCTACATTGATTAAAGTTGCTGTTTTTTTTTATATAGTGATTTTATATAGTGATGCCACATATTCATGTTGTATTTTTTTCTGGATAGATGGATGTTTAAGATACTAGCATCACCTTAAGTAGAAAATAGGAGTCAGTAGTAGAAAAGACAATTATATTAAAAAGGGAGAAGGAGGCACACAGAAAGTCCAGATTTGTGAGGTGGTTGGAGTTTGAAATGAATCATTGTCTGACAGTACAATGGCAGATTTGTGGTTACCTTTCCTCTTGGTCTCCTCAAACTCTTTGCGAGCTGACTCAATATAACGCTGCACCAGAGCTCCAATCACCTGCTGCCTGTATGGTACCTGGCTGCGGTTAGACCCTTTATCATTGGCCTAAAACACACAAGAATATAAGATTTTTCTGTTGTTTTCTGTTTTTCATTGCAGTCCTACTACCTTATCTATACTATACATCATACGACACACTTACCATAGATGTTATTGGAGGGTATTTATTTTCAGAATTACATGAGCAGCAGCAGCAGATTCGCCTGAAGATACCCCTGCGACATAATTTTAAATGAATATGTTCAAATAGTGATAAACACTCAGGTATTTTTTCAGGTCAGAGAGGTTTTGAATGTCAGAGCTTACCTTAAGATGTAGAAGACAGCTTTGGGCGAGGGAATGATGTTGAAGGGCACAGGCATGGTGAGGCCCTCTCTAAAGTAACTCAGGTATAACTTTGACCTGGCAAATTTCCACTCAACATCAGCATCATCCTTAAACAGAAGCATCCAGATGTCAGCTCAAGTATTTCACATGTGTTCAAGATGTGACATCGAAAATAAAAAATCACCTCGATTTTCTGAAAGGAGTTGGTGATCATAGCAATGAGCATGTTGAGCAGTACAATGACGATGACAAGTGTGAAGATGCCGTAAAGAATCCTTCCAACGAACTCTGCCAAAACGAACTGTGGCATGTCCACGTAGTCCTGGTTTGCCACTCCAAACATGGTCCAAAATAAGAAATGGAACGTCTCATTGAACCTGCAGCAGAGCAGAGGAGTGGGTTAGCATGATGATACTTCCTAATATCTTGACTGGCATTGGTTATTTTTACTGTTAGTGAATAAAAGATCATAGTACACAGGATTTTGCCTTTCATTAATTGTCTGAATGAAACAAAACCACCTTTGAACATTCACAGGCATTTCTCTATTTTCAGCTATCATGCAGAGCTACATACTCTGTGTGAAGCTCATGCTAATCCCTGGAGCCTCATAAATTATTATCAGATGAAAAAACAAAGTGTCCAGTTGTTTCTTTATAATTATCATAAATCAGTGTAGTTGAGTTCAGCCTCAAAGAGTCACTTTGTCTCCAGGTTGGTATCATCTCTTGAGTTCATAGACCTAAACACTGTAAAAGTCAAGATCTCATGTTCTTACTTGCCAAGATGTGGGGAGACGACGTAAGGCACATAGATATTATTGATCCCACAGAGGAAGGCTGTTCCAATGATCATCAGAATAAACATGAACCTTTGAAAGAATAAAAACAATTTGGCTCTGTCAAAAACTCATCTTCCCTTTCAGGCAGTGGTCAGTTTTCAAATATGCAGATGATGCAACAAAAAGAGCTCACACCTCATCATATCATCAATCATCTTCCCGATGGAAATCTGAAGAGTCCCCAAAGACTCATGAGCAGGCAGGATGTACGCCAAACGTGTGAAGCTAAGCATGCTGGTCACTGCAAACAGGATCTCTGCAATTAACTGGGGGTCCTCCTGGTGCCAGTCATCACGCACTGCAAGATGATTGTACAAAATCTCTTGGTCAGAGAATTTCTAAGAGCTTCAGCAACCATTTCATATTGACGACTTACCTGTTTGGGTGAAGTAGATACATTCCTCTGTGCCACTTTGATCACTGCAGAGGAAGTATCCTTTCAGCATGATAAGCACACGCAACGCAAACGATGCCAGGTACATGCTCAGCACCATCACGTCCAAGCAGTTCCACCAGTCCAGAAAGTAACTTCTAAGTCCCTCGATCCACACTTCCTTACACTCATACCAGAAGAATCCTGCAGGAACAGCAAAGAACAAATGCAAAAACTTTACTGTTTCAAGGACTAAGTTTCCTGTTAATGCACAATAAGACAGGAGTTGGAAAGAAAGAGTTGACATACCGACCACCCACACCATGTGGATGGAGCTGTGCAGCATGTTCTGCTGCCGAGAAGCAAACTTGTCTCGATACATCTCCATTGTTATTGATTCTCCAAGTAAGGTAATGAGGAACCACAGATATGAGGCTGAGTGGAGAAGGAACTTGATCACAGGAATCTTGAGTATCTTTCCTACCTGTAGAAGCCAGAAAACAGAGAGAAAGTGAGGGCAAGAGACACGTTTGTTCATTATTTCCATCATATTTCCTTAACTTAATCTGATCTCAAATTGGTTCAACATGACCTTTGACTTTGGTGCGACCCAGTAGACAAGGCAGAGAAGGGGCATGGTGAGGAAGATCCCCACAGAGACAAGCAACTTCCAGGCTGTTCTGCTACCTCTCCAACCTGACAGGTTCCCACACCAGATAGATGACAGCACCTGCTGGCAGATTGGGTGGGCCACAAACTGGGAACACACAGCACAAAGACACATTATGTGACAAGAGTATGTCTTTTTGCCCCGCCTGTGGGTTAATACCTGCATCTACTTACCTGCTTTTGGTTGTAGTTTATAGCGAGCCTTAGACGTGAAAGGTTGGGTATGTCCTTCTCAAACGCCTGTTCGTCCAAAGCCTCCTGGCTTTGATCTCCGCAGCTGTTCAGGATTGTGGTCACCTCACTTTGGTTGCGACACATGCCCAACAACTCCACAGCAAAGTCCTGACAGAGCTGCTCCAGAGCCAGGTACTGAGGCTGTGGAAGAGAGGCACCAAACCTTATCATGTAACAACAGTGATACCAACATGTTTAGAGCTAATTAATGTATTAGGACATCTCACCTTGAACTCCGGCTCTTTTTGTGAGAGTTTGCGCAGCTCTCTGCTAAGACTAAAAGCACTAAGCATGGCATCATCAGAGGTAATGGACAGGTAGGCACGGCTGGCAATGCCACGGTAGGTGTTAATACGAGACAAGGAGAACTTGAGCAAGTCATACTGCCGACCGTTACGGCACTCCAGACAGGCGCAGGATATCTTATGGGGCCATGGGATGATGTGACCTTTTTGGGTGAGCATGGTGACGATGTCATACAAGTCTTTCTGGCAGGCCAAAGTCAGAGGAGTCACACCTGGGGCAAACTGGGAGTTGTCAATGGAGCGGTCAAAGATGGCCTGAGAGAAGGAGCGTACGTCCATTTTGTTGCCTTTCTCCTGGTCCAGTCGATCCAGCAGACGCTTTACAACTCTGGGCTGGTTGGTGTCTACAGCGACAAGCAGGGCCTCATGAATCTGTCGGAAGTCGAACTTCACCCCCTGGAGGAGGGCATCCATTGCATCTTCATTACCCAGGCGGATGGCCAGGTTGAGGGCTTCCCTCCACTGACGATCCTCAGATTCATCCAGCTGTCGGATGATGCCATCGCCAGTCTTTAACAATCCACACAGCAGTTGAATTTTCCCCTCCTGGATGGCACTGATGAGCTCTGGGGGGAACCTCATCTTCCTGTTCATGATCTCGCGCCATTGCTCTGGCTGAAGGGCAGGAAAGGACAAGCTCCATTATAAGATCTCCAATATCTAATCTGATCCAAAATTTTACAGGAAAAGTTTTAAGGTAAAAATTCAATTTGCAAAGACAAAAACAAACTGGGATCAGATTTTGAGAAATACTTAGATGTGCAAAGGTGTGGCAAATTTGACCAACTAGCACACAGTCACAGATTTCTAATGAGAATAGCTAAGATCAATCATCAATCTTTATTAGTATGGCATTTTTCATACAAGATAATGTAGCACAAAGTGCTATACACACAAGAAGAAAGAAAGAAAGAAAGAAAGAAAGAAAGAAAGAATACTCGACTGTTCCCCACCCAATCTCTGTCCCCTTATCCCCACCCTGCAATCCAAACACAACAGCAGCGAGTTTTAAAATGCATTGATTTGAAAAGAGCTTTATTTAGTAAAAGCAGGAATATGCACACTGAGGAAACGCCATCTCAAAGTCAAGATGAGGAAATGCTGGAGGTTAGGTTACAATTTAAAGACCTATGAACATAAAATAAAATTTAAGTAAAAAAAAAAAACAAAAAATGAAAATAAGAGCACCAAAATAGCTAATAACTTAAAATTAAGTTTATGATATAAAATTTAGTTTAAACCAAGACTAAAAAGGTACGTCTTGAGTTTGAACCAGTTACATTTTAATTGGCCTGGATACAACATGTGTTGTAGAATCTGCTTAAAGAGGATATCCTGTAAAGCCAGTAGTTTTTGCCTCATTATATATCCTTTTTTCAGGCTGTTATCTTTTGAATGAACCGTTTCACAAATAATATGTGAATAAAACTTCACTTACTGTGAGATTCTCCATCCCAGGTAAAAGGCAGTCAAGTTTTGATCTCTAATCCTGGAGTGAAAACACAATCATACTCTCCAGAGACATGGAACATCAATGTGATCCAGCTATTTTAAACCTCAGAGATCAAACTAAGATCTCTGCACAAGTAGTATCAATAAGAAGAGAACTGAACACTTTGGTGTCTCACAATCATGTGCTACCGGCTGACTGCACGGAATCAGTGCCCACAAACTCAATAACACACTGCAGTCCCCCATGGGGCATGGCCAATTAAAACGTAACCGGTTCAAAGTTTCATGCTCGGCTGGCTTTAAACTAAACTGTTTCTCATCTGCTCTTCCCATTGGAAACAGAGCCACAGCACAATTAAATAGCTGTTTCTGAGCAGGCAGCAGCTGTCATTGTTTCTCCCAGAGGGCCTAGGAGGAGTTCATTGCAAAGGGACAAACAAGAAGTGGCAACAAGGATACTGTGATTACATTCAGTTCTCTCATTTCATTCAGGAGAATTACTAAAAATAAAACATTTTCATGTCTGTTGTGAAACCTCTATGGTTCTCTCTGCTGGGTCTTTGTCTCTTTACTTTTCCGCAGGGGTGGAAAGTTACTGAGTAGAACTTGGGCAGCACTAAATGATGACTGTCGAGAAACTGTTTTTACTTAAACATATTTAACTCTTTTTAAAATTACAGTGCCTTTTCCTTTTTCAAGATTTTTGACCATCTGTTCTATTTATTTTGGGGTAACTAACTCTAGACAAAATCGTTCTCAGTCTCATAGAGTTACACGATAAAAGCAGAACTTTTAATGCTAATCAAACATTTCTTATTACAGTTATGGTAACAAAAAACGATATTATTAAAACCCTCTGTTTGGGGCTTTTGGTTTCCTGTACATTTTTGTAACAGTCATTTAAAATCTCTGCATATGTGATCTGAGGGTGTGTATTCAGTGCACAGTAAGCTGCCTCGTCTAACATGCTTTATAATAACTATGTTGTCACTGATGGCCTTGTCTGCTTTTTGGTCATACAGGCTTTTGAACTTAAGTCTATTTACAAAAAATTTACAACTTCTCACAGTGGCCCTAAAATATCCCCTAATGAAAAGCTCTTCTTCACTGATAGTGTGTGAACAACTCTTAACAATGTCACTACATTGTTAGCTGAGACATTTTTAGGAAATAAGGTTTTTGCTACTCTTTAGACTACAAAAATACATTTTATGTTCAAAAAATGGCTGAATATGATTTCCACAGGGCAATCTGGGAACTACATTCAAATTTAATAAATTCTGAGCTGTCAATAAGCAAGTAAGCAATTCAGTGACTTCTTTGTGAGAAATTTTACTTCAAAGGTAATCATATGAAAAAGTAGACTGAGTCCTGTAAGTGAACCTCAGCCCAACAGAGAGAGGAACGGAACCACATACAATATGACTTTAGTTTTGTTGTTACTGCTGGTCATTAGATACACAAAATAAAATACGTCTGAAACAAATTAAATTTTTTTTCAAATATTTACTTTTATTGGTTTGTTGTGACTCCTGAAGGTTTTTTTTTTCAACTATGTGGGCCCAGTGATAAATTGTAGTGAAGTTTCGAAACGTCAAAAGGGTTACTTTACGATTGGCTTCTAACGGTTGATTAAAGGAATAACAACTGTGGCACGATATTTCTGAGAAAGAGGAACTCAAGTCAATGTGTTGAGGTTTTGTTTCATTTTTACCTCCAGAACTCAAATCTTCCTCAGGAGGAAGCACACATAAACATGCATGGAAAAAAAACATCTGACACAACACAAAGCAGTCCTCTGAGTGTCTATAAAAAAAAAAAAAAAGAAAGAAAAAAAAAGCTTAATTCCCAAAACTAAAGCTCTATATTTCAGTCTACCAAGTTGTTAATCACTAATACTGCTGCTGAAAAGTAAACAAGTGACTGGTAATGAGGAAGTAAGGACCAGTAAATCTACTGTACATGAAGTTTATCTCTGCAAAGAAGCCAAGAACTAAATTACATCAAATAAATCTATCAAATCAAAAAGAATTCAATACAAACACATTTTAATTGAAAAACTCTGATCGTTGACATTTCTATTTTTTCCTCCATATTTGCATTTTTTCCCTGGAGTGAGGTCCACATCTTTATTTGCTTTATGTGATGTGTGTTCACTGCTGTCATATTGTCCTCTTTTTCTGTAGATCCACTGAAACCTTTAAAAAAAAAGTTACTTTAACCAACACTGTATTTCAAAAATCTGGCTGAACACAAAGAAATGTTTCCTGAATTGAAACAAGTGACGGGAAATTTCAATTTGATGTATATGAAGGTTTTTATGAATCACTGAATATATCATTGAAAAATGCACTAAAGAAAAGCACGTTCTGCAAAGATGCATGAATTCGACCTGAGTGGAAATCATGCAGGACTGATTCAAAAGAATGTCTGATCAATCCACGGCTCTATCTTCATGATGCAAAACAAAACTTTTCTCAGATATTATGGAAGTTCTCCACCAAGAGTTCACTCTAAAGGTTGAATCACTCAATTTTTCATGACATTTGATCCTTTTTAAGGACAGAAATTGTGACTTAACACAAAAAATGCTGCATCATGATTGAAACCAGCTGTAAAATAAAAACAGAGTCTCAAATTGTGAAGATCCGGATGCTGAAAAGACCTCAACAAGAGCACCAGTGATGTAGCTCAATGATGCAGCAGAGGTCGTTGGTTCGACTCTCAGCTATGAACTAATGCTGCATGCCTTCCCCACTCCCAGCCCCCCGTATTTCCCCATCTCTCTCATTGTCCTATCAATACAGGCAAAACTGCCAAAAAATAACCTTATAAAACGTTCTCTAATAACACCCAAAGCTAAAAATGCTCCTAAAACCAAAACATTAAACCCCAACAAGTCCACTTCAAATAAAATTCACCATGAATCATTATTCAGTTACAACACCCAGTTAAAACACACTTAAAGCATCAACAAAAAGAGGAGCAGGAGTCCTCTATATTCACATATTATTAATCATAGACAAAGTTAAATACAAACTAAAATCCAAATCTAAATGTACACTCGGGTTTCTTATTGTTGCAAACAGTGCAGGTCAGTTCAGTGGCCCTCAGAGACAATCCTTCCTGGACTCTGCGTCTTCCTTCATCTTCTGCTCCTGCATACGGCTGCGAGTGGAGCCTGCAAGAAAGGAGTCACAGGGTTTCAATACGACATGAGAAGCCAACTGAAAAATACAAAACAGCAAAAAAAAAAGAGAGAGTGGATGTGGAAACTTTTTTTCACTCACTCATCTCTGCAAGCTTCTGAATCAGTGTTGAGTCTCCTCCAGATTTGCTGTTGATGAAAATAAATCATATCACTGAATCAAGTGTCTCGAGTTCAAAATGTATCAAATATATACACAACACCATGTGACACCACCTACCTGCCATCAGCTTCATCCTGTCCGTCCACATCGAATCGTAACCTCTTCAGAGGTTTTGGAGGGGAGCCAAACTCCAGAGTCCTCTTAAAGGAGCGATCGCTGCTGTTTACCATCTGGTTGATCTTCTGGAACCGGTTCGACAGCTGCAGACGATAACGGAAAGATGAGTAAGTGAGTAATAAAAAGAGATCTTCTTTTTTACTGTTATGAAATGCAAAGAAAGGAGGATCATACCCCGAAAGATTCCCCGATCGACACCAGCATTCTGTAAACAACAAAAAAAAGACACTGTTAAGAAAATCATGTGGAGCAGGAGTACGATAATGATCTCTCATGAGTTTACAGGACCCACCTAGAGCGAGGAGTCATGATACCCGGGGACATGCGAGAGCTTTTCAGAGGAGAGATGTAGACATTGTTGCTTCCAGGCACACGCAGAGGCGAGTTAGGGAACTTGTAGGGGCTGCGAGGGATTTGTGGGATTGGAGAAAGGGTGGGAGGCTGCAGACACAAGAGAGGCTCCAGTAAGAGAGAGGGAAGAAAACACAAACTTGTTTATTAAAGATCGAGTCTACATAGAGACGTCTCTCACCCTGGTGGACGCATACTGTAGGATGTTGGTTTTCAGCTTCTGCATGAACACTTGGTTGTAGAAGACGATGATGGAGTCAAAGTGGCCCTCGGAGATCAACACATGCTTAAAAGTCTGCGAAAAAAAGAGTGTGACACAAACAACGACGTACGAATTAAACCAACGTGTGTCATCATTTCATACAGAGCGTGGTGTTTCCAGTAAACAGCGTAATAAAAGTTACAGAAAAGTTGAAGACGTCACCTCCTGGTTGGTGTTTGGCATGTTCTTGTACGCTGTGACGATGGTCTTGAAGCGCAGATCAACACTCTTCACTTTACATATGGCATACATGGCGGACATCATCAGCTGAAAGAAAGACAGGGAGTAGTTAGACGAACATGTGCAAAAAGAAAAGAGTGAATAAGAAAACAAAGGGAAAGAATGGCTAGTTTGGTGTGTAACCTGGTCAAGGTGGCGGTCCCTCATTAGGTCATACTCGTGCTGCAAGGTGTGCTGGAACAGGGTCCATATGATGGGCTCGAGTTCAGGGTGGGATGATAGCAGGTAAGAACAGAGCATCTTCAGTCTTAAATAGGCCAGGCGGTACACTAGAGGAGGAAACAGGTGGAGTTAAGGACGACCAGAACAGAAGGATGTAAACTGAAGGAAAAAAACTGATTATTTGTATCAGATTTATTATCTCAAAGCCTTTACTCTATAATGTCTAATTGGATTATCTTATTCATTTCCAGTTTGTCATTAAGTAAAGCAACCACAGAAATAAATATTGTAGTGTTATGAAAAATAGTTTGGATCATGGCGGTGTCGTATATCTGTATTATGTGTGAGCTCAAACAGCCGCTCACATTTTTTATAGAAGAGGCTGAGAGAGTTGGATTTTGGAAGTCTTGGAGTCTGGTTGGCTGTCTGGGCAGGGGGCTGAGAGGAAGCCAGAGAAGTGGGCGCGGCTGGAGACTCAGGAGGCAGGATGCGAAGGCCTGGACGCACAGGAGACAAATACCTGCAAAGAAACCCATTATAGTGAGATAAAACGCTTGACAATGAGGTAGACGAGGATGCTCAAAGCTGCACAAAGGCTCATGGGGAGAATTAGTCATGGAACTTTACAGATACCTTCAATTTCAAGGCTATGATGAAGGCCCGCTCGCTATGACTCACAGTTGTTTTGCACAATACCATTAACAGTTTCTAAAAACAGCAATGAGACACAAACGGTTAAGTAGCACGCTTAAGACACTCACAGGTCGGCTGCAGTGTGGTTGTGCTGTAGTGGTTGGCTGAAGCTCGCTGGAGTTTCCACTTGCTCTGCTGCACCGCCATCATGCTCCTGTTTCAGCAGCTCAAACAGAGGGGAGCCCTGCAGAGACACGCACATAGAGGCTGATGTTTGACATTCACAAAAACACTGGGGACTCTTTTTTTTCTTTTACATTAAAGTTACAGTTTACTGGAGATTACTTTGGAGAATAGTGAAATCCTACAGAGAGCTGTTATAGAAAGGCAGTTTTTCTAAGATTAGACTTCCTCTTAACTTCTGAGTCGCACGATTATTTATGTTACCGTACAAGCACAATTTCAACCCTGGCAATCTCACTGGAGTTACTGCTATTTGTTCATAGATCTGATTATGCAACATCAGCAGGGCTTAAAGAAACCTCCGGCAGAATCAGAATTATTGTATTTTTATGTTGTACGACGGTGAATCTTACTGGAAACATCCATGATGAACAGCCGCACTACACTCCCACAAGCCCTTTCTACACAGAAACAACTTATCACAACGCTTCAATAATTTGTGCAAACTGTGTAATCTGATGACTCAGCATTTACATAACTACCTCTGACAACTATTCATTAGTGCCACAGCACATCGACTAACCTGTCATTTGTTGTGTATTATATCATTTGCTGCTTTGTTTTTGCATCGTATAGAGTTTGTTTGTCTGTTAACAAGCGTCATGGTATATCAGCATGTTAGTACATCAACCAAAAGTCTTCCTCTTGTCTCTAAATACAATGAGAACAAAGCTTCCCACCCTTTTCTTCTGTCCTAGTTTAATAAGTGGCAGGTTGAATGGTAAATGAGTACCAGTATATTTTCGATTAAATTTTGTATGCCAGATTTATCTGCAACAAAGCAGAGGTTAATTTATAACCACAGACTGATAGTGCATCTGTTCATGGTTTTTTGTTGACTCTACACCACACCCTGCAATATCTTAACTGAAAAATGGCAGTCATTGTAGAGATCAGCCTATAATCTGGTTATTGAAAATGCATTATACCTGGGAACCAACTCAGCAATTATCTACACCCAACAACTTTTTTGGTCCAAAATACAAGACGAGCAGAACGCCGGTGCACGTGACTATAAACGTGCAACACACCAAGGCAGAAGTGAGCTATGAGATCATGCAGGGAAGTGGGTGTGGTTTACTACTCAGTGATTTACACAGTAAAAGCAGGTACAAACCTGCTGTGAAGACATTCTTCATGACATGCTTGCCACGCCTGGCTGACGCCAGACACATTTGAAAAGTACACTTGAAAGCCTGAGAGCATTTATTGATAAAATACTGATAAGGATGCTGCAATATCTTATTGCTTTTTTGGTATTTAGTGTCAACTATGCATTCAGTAGCTCTGAAAGTGTGCTGCAGGTTGTTCAAGCAGGTAAACAATCCAGTGCCCTGCTGAGTACACACATTTCTTTGATGTTTTGAGAGATGATTGAAACGATTTTTTAGCAGTCAAGAAGAAGTAATCTGTAAATGAAATTCATGAGCCACATCCATTTCTTACAAGATCTCATTATTCAAATTTCAGGTAAGTGCAGAAACAAAGGCAGTAAGGGGAGGACTTTGGCTCTGAGAGAGACTCCTCCCTCCGTTTCAGTGTGTTCTTTGTGGCGGAGCCTCTGACTTTCCTCTTGTTACGAGGTTAAGAGTCAGTATAGCTGCTGCACCTCCTTCTCCTCAGAGCTGCCACAGGAAAAGGCAAGAGAGAAATCAAGAAGGGAAGAACCACCAGGCCGCTCACCAGGCTGAAGAGAAGCACATGGCTCTTATCTAAAAAGAGGAAACATTTCAACATTTTATCTGTAAAGGACAGAGAGAAGAGACTACAGAAAACGATCCCTAACTGTGGATTATTGGACATAAATTGGACATAAAGGACAGCTGCTGCATACAGAAGTTCACAGTGTTTGGATTCTGGTACAGGTACTCTGTGGAATTGCTGTATACTTTTATTTTTCAGTTTGTCCCACAAAGTGAACTCCTGCCACTAACTTGGGACTTTTTTTTTTTCAAACCCAGGTGAAATGTTAATGTTCCCTGTCTGCTGCACATGGCTGTTTCAACACGCTGAGCTTGAATCTCTTGACTGACAAAAGACCACAACCGATGAGATTTTTTATTATTCACTCTTCGTATGTTTGAGACTTTCCAGAGGGGTCTAAAAATGTATAACAGCTCAATGCAAATGGGGGTCATGGGTATCAATCAAAATCACATGGTCTGCAACAAGAGTGATGAGTTCAAGTACCCCCTGTACAGCTCTGTTTTCAGTATTGTGTTTGTGGTCGGACTTCTTTTCAACATGGTGGCAGTGTACATTTTTTGCTGTACACTGAAGCTGCGAAATGAGACCACGACATACATGATGAACCTTGTTGTTTCGGATTCTCTCTTTGTCCTCAGTCTGCCTTTTCGGATTGTTTATTTCATCAAACAGGAGTGGATGTTTGGAAGCGTGCTCTGCAAAATCTCTGTTGCACTCTTCTACACCAACATGTATGGCAGCATCCTCTTCCTCACCTGTATCAGTGTTGATCGATTCCTGGCCATCGTGCACCCGTTCAGGTCACAGACTATCCGCACAAAGAGGAACGCTAAACTGGCCTGCTTAACGGTATGGGTGCTGGTTCTTTCTGGAAGCATACCCACTGGGTTTCTCTTGGATACAAGTTCACCAAAAAATGTAAACTCATCTGCACACTATTGCTTTGAGAACTACTCCAAAAAACAGTGGAAAGCCGAGCTCTCTAAAGTGGTGGTGTTCATCGAGACAGTTGGCTTCATCATCCCACTGATGCTCAACGTCTTCTGCTCGATCATGGTGCTACGGACGCTGAGGAGACCCCAAACCATCAGCCGAGGAGGGAACCTCAACAAGGCCAAAATCCTGAGGATGATTGTTGTGCATCTGCTCATCTTCTGCTTCTGTTTCATCCCCTACAATGTAAACCTCATTTTCTACGCCCTGGTCCGCTCAAATATCCTCAGGGGATGCGACGCTGAATATGTGGTCAGAACAATCTACCCCATTGCTTTGTGCATAGCAGTGACCAACTGCTGTTTTGATCCGGTTATTTACTACTTCACCTCAGAGTCCATTCAGAGCTCCATCAAACGCAAGTCCACCGTGTGGCACAATGGTGCCAGGCTGTTTGACAGGCTGCAGATGGACAGCTCACAGAGCAGTCCAAACACAACACCCAAAAGCCTGACGCTACGGTCTATGAGACCCAAAATGTTTGAAACTGAGTCTTCAGTCTGACGGCGACTCCGTTATGTAACAGTATTTGTAATTCAGTGAGTATTGCTGGTAAAACTTGATCAGTATTGCAAGATGGAGGTGGAAACCGAGTGACCTTGAGGATCATAACAACCAATAAACACGATGGTTACTAAGGAGTCACTCTCTCAGCGACAGGACGCCATAAAGACTTAAAACCTTGATCCCTTTAGTCAATAGAGTGGAACAAGTCAGAGAGGAGGCGTTTGCAGAAAACAGTGAGATGCTGAGTAAATCCCTGTTTGAGTTTGGACTCTTTCATTTGTACTGAGACACTGTAAGTGTGTAATGCTGTATATCAGTACAAGCCACAGGTGCTAACACCAGAGTCATGGACATGGTGCGTCAAACAAGTCTGAGCTGATGGTGTTTGTGTAAACGTATTCCTCTGAGCAGATTCTCTTTCTGGAAAATTAGGCTGTTCAACCAGTATTAAATTATGTTGATGTTTTGAACTGAGTGGAGTTTAAGTAACTGTGGCCTCACCGAGACCTTTGAGCACTTTATAGGGCAGTCTGCTCTATATGAGTTTTTATCTCCTCTGCTTAAAGCTAATAAAATTCTTGTGCTTGATGGAGCAGGGTGCTGTGAGTATTTTTACATTAATCCATATTTTACTGTGCGAGTGCAACAAAACATATTGTCTAGACTTCTTAGTCATAGTGAACTTTGGCTGTCAAGTACCACAAGTGCAGGATGAGTCAATACGTTTTAAAATGTAGATTACAGGTGTGGTCAGTATCTGGCAGCTATGTCGCATGGACAAACAATGGCAACCAACACTGCCTCTTATAAAAGACTGCTCGATTCTGTATGTGATTTTGGCCCTTACAAACACAAAGATGTCAGTAAAGTCCTTTGTTTTTGTAAAATTCAACGTGTTAACTAAGAACTACAGTAAATCTTTGGTTATTTATCCACAGGACTGATTTAGACTCAGTCTCCAAAAGTTTATGAGAAAATCTGATCCACTAAATACGTTTTTTAGGAATCAAACACTAACGCAACAACGCACATTACCGTATAAATACAATTTGGTGAAGCTGGAATGCATGTGAAATATTTTGTCCCTTCTTGTAAAAGCTGTGTGCTGCAAGACTGAGCGCTACTGCATTCCTGTTGAGAAGCTTCGCCTGAGGGTCTGTGCTGACATGGGTAGACTCATCACCGGCACTGCGCTGAGGGGAAAGATTGTGAAACCTGAGCAGGCGAGCGACAACATGCCTCTGAAGAGAAAAGTACGTTTACAAAATAGAGCACAGTTGTGATTACAGCAAACATAAGACCCAGTGGATAATACATAAAATTAACTGGACACTGTGGGTTGAGACACTTTTGAGGCTGTTTATTAAGTCTGAGTTTGCCCCGTTCAAGTCATAGAAACACTTAGATATCTGATATTGCGCTGTTTTAGATAGATTGGCTTTGTTTACATCAATCTGGATGACTTTGAGTTGACTTGATTTTGTAGATTGTATTAAAATTAATAATAAAGATATTATAATTTGGTATCCAAATAATGAGATTATTGAGTGAAGTTGTCAGACTGTCACCACCACCTCTAGTTTTTGGCCAATCCTAATGTTTTGTTTGAATATGACAAATGAATTACATCTGTGATTCAATGTTCTCACTCTGTTTGTTTTAATAACACTATTTCATTCAAATCTTTTCACAAGGGTGAAATGATGAGTGACTTAGTTGTTATGTCAGTATTTACTGAAATCAAAACCAAAACCTTAAGCATGTCAGAGCTGCTGTGGTTTAACTGTCTGATGAGGGTTTGTTTAGAAATGAAGCGAGGTGTGGTTTAGGTGAGAATTAGCACTTCTCTGTAGATGCAATAAAAAGCATTTAATACTTCTGCCACAGTAAAGAGACTTGATTTAACCCTTACAACTTAATATTTGATTAATAGAGAAATACAGTGCATTAAATCTGTTCTCTCTTTGGCTTCGACATCCACAGTGTGGGACATATACTGGATTGTTTTCCCACTGGACCAAGTACCGGTCCAAAGGCTGCAGAGAAGGATGCGCAAAATACACAGATGTCTGATTACAACACCTTGTTGTTGGTTATTCCTTTATCAGCTGACGGACAAACAGAGTTAACTATTACCCACAATCACTTGTAGGTTTATAGCAGGCAGCCATAAACATGACTCCTTCCCAAAAGGTAACGAAACAATCTGCTACTCAATTTGAAGCTGACGACACACTACAGTTCAATAAAATGTAAAAAAAAAAAACAAAAGGAGGGGAACCTACTGGAACAGGGAGACCATATTTTACATACTTTTGACTATAAAGGCAAAATATAAATAAATCAAAAAGTGTTTGATAAAAGGGAGAGAAAAGGGAAGAAAGAATGAAGGAAAAAAGGGAAAGAGAAAGAGAGAGAGAGAGAGCGAGAGAGAGACAGAGACGTGCGTGAGTGTAGGCGTGAACGGTTATAGCATCCTTACAAGACGTCCTGCTACCGAACACCTGCTGACTGGACAAATAACTTCATCACACGCTCACTGCGTTGGCGAGATCCTGATATTGGTGAGTTTTTCTACTTCTACTTGTTAATACTTTCCTCTGTTTCCCTGATTATGCTTTCATATAATCTCGTGTCGTTAATATACACGTAAATTTTTGTACTACATACATATGAAATGAAAAATGATTTATCATCATCTTATCAGGGTTTGGCAGAAACATTTGAATTCATGGGATTTAAATAAGAAGACTGAAAGAGATTATCTGAAGAAAAATGTATGAAATTGAAATGTAACAATGAAATGATGTAAAAAGATCACGTCACAATGAATTCGAGAGTTACAAATGATCAGACACTAACAGCTTAGTTATTTTACAGCAGCTATTATCAGATGACTGAAGTTTACGATATTGAGTATTGAGAAAGAAGATGAATTTTAAGTCAGATGAGAGAAGAAATATGTGGAAAAAAATCTGACCTTTCAAATGCCTTTGAAGAGACTTAAGCAATGTTGAAAAACCACATGCAAGTTAAGTGACCTGGTCAGTAATGTCTTAGCCAGCTTAGTGGCTCAGGTGTGATTCCTAAAGAAGTGGCAATATTGATGAAACTCAAAAATCATTTATGTTGTGGATTTATAGATTTATTTGTGGATTTTTCCAGCTGCCTAAATTTTGGGCCAAATAATTCATAAGAATTTCAAAGATCAGAGCTACAGAGTCCCAAAAATCAGGATGGTATGTACCAAACAGTACAAAATACGGAATAAAAGAATGCTCACTATCAGAGATCCCTAAATCTGACAGCAGGATACATATTTATGAGATATTTACTTATGCAATAAAAGGCACACATTTAGATGAACACCTTGGACCACCTCAGTGAAAGAGACGAGCTTAGCTGACTGTGTGTGTTTACCAGTGGGCAGTAGCATCGCAGTGACATCTTTGCTTTCCTCCGCTCTGCTTGTAATGAAACTAAATGTTTGCTGTTTTTATGAGTCAGGAATTGCCTGTTAAACTTTATTGTCAGAATGCGTCGGACAGTCGTCTTGCATATCAAATATTAATTTAGCTGTGTTGGCTTATGAAGTGTATTCAAGTCACCTCAGTATATTTACTTTCTATAAAAAAAAAAGCAGACATTTCAGGTTTATTAAATTCTGACTCGCTGCAGGTTTGACGGTTCCAGGAGAAGCACCTGTGCATCTTCTTTTATTGCGTTTGAAAAGGCGCCTGTCCTCGGAAAATGACAACACTGTGATTTCAAGTGGAAGAGGAGCAGAAAATCTCACGGGAGATGGAGCTGTTAAACACAACAGATGAGCCACAGAAAGCACTGTTACTCCTGTCAAACTGCACTGTGGACACCAGCTACCGCTTCGTCTTCTATCAAGTGTCCTACAGCGTCATCTTCCTGCTGGGGTTGGTCACCAATGGCCTGGTTCTGCACAGACTGTGCCACTCTCAATGCACGATGAACAGCACGAGCATTTATATGATCAGCCTGTCAGCTGCTGACATGTTCTTCGTGATCTCGCTGCCCCTGAGAATCTACTACTACAACCAGAAAGCCAAAGCCCCCATGAGCTGGACTCCTGGGGTGGCTTACTGCCATGTGACCTTCATCCTCAAGTACATTAGCCTATATGGAGGCATCTTCTTCCTGGTGTGCATTGCTGTGGACCGTTACTTGGCTGTAGTGCACCCGCTGGCGTCAGCTCTTCGAAGAAAACGTGCTGCACAGCTGCTGAGTGGGGGTATCTGGTGCCTGGTGCTCGGGCTCAGTGTGGGTCTGCCTCTACTGCGCTCAGCAGCCGCTCACCCGCACCGACCCTGCCTGCTGGACCCGTCCTTGAACCGCCACCGCACCATCATCTTGGTAGCCCTGGGCTTAGTCTTTGGGTCATTTCTTCTGCCCACTGTGGTTCTTCTCTACAGCTACTGCAGAGTGCTAAGTGTGCTCCGCCAGCCGAGACATCGCTCCCGCAGAAAACGTCACAGCCGCCAGCACACGCTCAGAATCATTTACTTGGTGCTGGCGGTGTTCCTGCTGTGCTTCGTCCCCTATCACCTCAACCTCCTGGGATACACACTGACACACGTGGGGCTGCTGCCCCATTGTGGCCTGGCTAAAGTCACTCGAGCTGTGCACCCAGTTGTGCTATCATTAGCAAGCTTCAATTGCTGCCTCAACCCACTCATCTACTATTTCTCCAGCAGCATGGTGCAAAGAGAGACACCTGGTGGTGGAGGCAGCAGCACCCACTGACACAGATCAGACCACAGAACCACCAGGAGAGTGACTGTCTTGAAAAAAAGAGCAAGATACCTACCTTAGGAACATTATCTGACTTTGAAGAACTTTACTCACCCAAACAGAAAACTGCTTCTGAATAAAAATCTCTTGTGTGTGTTTAACACGTCAGCGTTCAAACAGCGTTCACTTGAGCATACTGCTGCAGAAAGCAGAGCCTTTGCAGCCTGTTTAGGGTTCAGTGCTACTCGTCTTAATCCAGCTTATTTTGTCAGAGTCACTTCAGATGAGTGTGTGAAATCTTAAAACATGATGATTTTTTAAATTGTAAACCAAAGTGAAACATGCCAGATTTTATAAAAATGCTCTTTGGAGATAATGGAGCGGTAAATATGTTGATACCTTTTCATTCGCCTTATTTTTGAAGAACAGAAACAGTCTGTGTAGTAGAATCTTTCCATACATTTAGGTAAAGAAATATAGAGTGATTATCTTTTATTAAGGGGTTACAAATAAGCTGGGTTGGCCTACTTATGCAGCCTCATAACCAGGAGGTTGTAAACAAAGCTGCTTTTGCAGGGACTAAAACTTATCAGTCTACCAGAACATTTAGAGCTCATCTCTAAGAGGGTTAAAACTAATCTAAACAAAGTGGTGAGTTTAGGAACAGTACAACACATCATCATGGGTAGCCTTCTGGAGGATAGATATGATGTACCCATGATGACGGAAGACTCACACCCATACACACACATATTTGCGATACAAGCAGTACACAATGATTGTATCAGAGGTACAAGCAGTACACACTGACTGTATTCAGATACACACCTGACAGCTCAGGAAGGCTTTCCTCGAGTTTGGTCAAGACTCTGTTTGTCAGTATACTCTGTTTACTGAGTATATGTTGATTTTCCATAACATCTGTAACTTAAGCTTTATCTGATACAAGTGTTTTCTTATTATAGGCACATACGTGTTAAAAAGCTGCATGTGTTCAGAGTGTTTTCAAGTCTTCGTGGGTTTGTACATGTGACATTTTAACTCTATATTTAAAGACAAGAAATCAAACTGACCGTTCTCCATGAAATCCTTTCCATGATGAGGTTCTCACAGGTCTCCAGGTGTTTGACGATGTCCTTGCTCAGAGTGGGGTCGGCTTTGATAAAACTCTCAATAACTTTGTAGAAGTCGAAGGCAGTCAGATTGACCACATCCAGTATCCAGGGGAAACACATGTCTGTTTCAGTGGTGTCACCATTGCCCCGGTTGTGTCCTCCAGTCTTAAAGCTGCTCTCTGATGGAGAAACAACCAACATCGTATAAACTTGTATCCAAACCACAACAAGCGCACTCAGTCACTAGTACTACTAGCAACAAAGATACGACAGATAATTCAGATCAAAGAAGACTGTGTGTGTTAGTGACTTGCGTGACATACCTCCATATGTTGCCATAACTACCTCCAGAGCACAGGCCAAGAGGGATGTGTGAAATGTGGAGTCATTGAGGAGTTTACTGAAACAGAAATCATGTGATTTAGCCGAAAGCAGTAAAACTGAACTATAAAGACACATGCACAAGGTTTACGAAAGAAAAAAAGAAAACACTAACAACTTATTCTAATTTTGCACATTTAAAAAAAAAACACAAATACCTGAAATTTTGCACGGACAGCCGTTTCTCTTCCTAAAATGTAAAAGCAAGAAATCATTATTCATTATTATATGTAACTTCAAATTCTTCTTATTTACAGGTTTTGTATTAAGAGCATACAAAGTGAACAGAAGTTCAAAGAAAACTAACAAACAACAGATTGATCAAATAAGCCTAAGTTTACCATTCAGTTTACCCCTAAGATTTCATGAACCTGAGCCCCTAAAAAGAAAATCAATGAAAAACTTCATTACTGTACAAGAGTGGGATAAATAAAATACCGATTTCAGCATTGCCTCCATGATTTTGTAGTATAGTCTGACGCCCAGCGTAAATCTCTGAAAAACAAAAAGACACAGGAAACAGACCGTTCATTTCTGAATATTATCAGTTTTCACTGCTGCTCATTGTTTTATGAGGATTCTTTCATACCTGTCTGCCAAGTGCAACACAATGCGGTCCCACTGCCTGACCAAAACTCTGACTGAACGCCAGACCAAGAGTCTCTAAACGCTTCAACACGTCCTGTGTCGGGTCCACAGTGCAATTCTGATAACAAGAAAAGAAATATTAAAATCAGGTAGTTGGAAGCACTTCCATACATTTTTTTAATATGAGTTGAAAAATTATGTTCTTCGCCTACTTTAAAATACGTAGCCAGGTTCGTGGATGGCTGGTCTCCACTGGAGGTGAGGTCACCTCTCAGCTGTTGAATGGAGGTCATGGCAGCTCTGATGAGACAAAAGAGAAATTGTAAAGAGCAGGAAAAAAGCCACAACAATCTCTGATGTTTGAAAATTTCAAACTTTAAACAGACAGTGGAAATTCTTTTTTTTTTTTTTTTTAACATCTTTAGGGACAAAACTTCAAATTTGTCATAATTCAACATCTTTTAAACTAAGTTCACTCCACACCCAAATTATCATTTCCTTAATCCGCTGACTGTGACATGAGGTGTCCTTTGCTAATACAACTCCCAAGGAAATATATGGCAGGTAAGCCAGCCAACAGGTTTGAATCATTTTTTACTCATTGATTTGTTTTCTGGGAAATGTTAGAGTTTCTCTCTCTTTATTTCCAATTTTCATACAGCTCTGAACATTCACATAAATCACAGACAAATGCAGCAGTCAGCCACCAGTCTACACTTAGAAAGGAAGGTTTGTATCTTTTTTTTGTATTCTCAGTTAGTTAATCAGTTCTTTTAGTTCTTTTATTGAGTCTTTTGTTTATTCCTAAGTTTGTTTTCAATTTTGTTTAGATGTTTTGTTTGCTTGTCTTAAACCTTGCTCATAAATAGGGGTTTATATTGCGATACTGATTTTCTATTAACCAAGCAATTGATTGATGAAAACGGTGCATTTAAAAATAAAGGTATGTGCAAACTTCCAACACAACATATAGAATCAGCTGTTGACGGGGTGACCGCTATCTACTCACCTGATTGGAGTCTGAGGGGGAATGATTATGGCGTCTTCCTCTAGAAGGTTTTTCTTTGGCGTTCTCTCCACCTGTGATCTAAAGACAGGGTTCATCATTACACTTCTGTTTAAAACAAGCATCAGAACACTGAATCACGGGGAAGAGAGGACATTACATCTCCACTTTCGGTGCTTGAACAGTCTCATCCCCGTCAAAAAACAGCCGGCCATCAAAGTCTCTACTCTTGAGGTAGTGCTCTTCATACTGTTGGTTGAGGTCAGACACCTGTGGTGCAGAATTAATAACAATGTAAGTGTGAGGTCACTCATAGTAAATCTCACACACTATTCAGAAGGAGAAAATCTAATTAACTCTGACCTGTTGTAAAAGAACAGGAACTTTATTACAGACTTTGATTAAGACTAACTACTTTTTGTGCCGCTGGCTGAACTGACCCAAATAACAGCAAATCCATCAAAATATGACATCAGGGAAAATGTATGTGTCTGAATAGATCTGTTTAATGTAAAATAAATGGACATAGTGAAACTCCCGCTTATCTGCAGCTACATGAGAATCCTAGACTCCGACGTGTGTGTTATACGGTCACCTTTTACGGTCATGTTTATACTCCACTGTATCCAGAACAATTAATTCATACAAACATCCACAGAACTAAAATGAGACATTTGTGTAAACAATGTAAACCATCTGTCCATTATGAGGGGAAATGGAGCAGTAAAACAAATATGTCCTCCACAGAAGTGTGATGGTGTCAGCAAACAGGAGCTTCCTGTCTCTGTTGTTAGTATACTGCCCCTATGTATAACGCCCTGACACGCTCAGAAAGGACCCTCTGCTTGAGAACACATATTCCTGACACCATGTATGTCAAAACAAACATGTCTGACCAACAGCTGTCGGCCACTCAAACATTCACCTCTGGCAACAGCGAGCAGGAAGAGATAACCTATGGCAACAGTACAACAAAGGCTGGCAGTGAGAACAAACAATAGAGCAAATGTAGTAAAAGAAAAAACCACCTGAGGAAACTCCTGAGATCTTGGTAGATCTAGCGAGTCCAGAAAGGCAGAGAAACTAGTCTGGTAAATATTCTTCACCTGCAAACACAATGACACAGAAATTTAGACCAAATACAATAACAGAACAGGCAATACAGATATGTGAGTATACAGTGACTGTAGGAGGTGTGTTATGAACGGGGCTTCACCTCTTCTGTGTTGCATTCGTTCTCATTGCACAGAGTTTTGAGAAGCTGCAGATCCACCTCTGGCTCTGCAGGTCGGGATTTGGCTTTGCTCTGGTTTCGACGGGATGTTCGTGTCAAGGGGCTCTGAACTTTGCTGATGGCTGATTCTGAAGAAGAAAAAAAAACAACAAAATTTGTTCTTGATTAAAACGCTCCATTTTGGCCATAGCTGGGAATGTGGAAGTAGAAAATCCTGATAGTATTTTAGTCTCGTGTTTCAAGTGTACCCTGTATAATCCTATTTGTATACCTTTGTTAAAACCTTGTTATAGTAACATCTAAAGTGTGGACACAGATCTCTTTGATTAAAACTTTAGCCAATGTATTGCCCAGTGAAAACTTCACTTCATTTATCCTGTCTGCCTTTTGTCTTTATAATACCAGCGTCACGTCTGTATGATCTGTCTTACCCAGGAACCCAGAATTCAGTCTACCTTTTGTCATGTATTATCACGTACTGAATGTATGCAAATCCACTCAGACAGACCTGATCCCACCGTGGGTCTGATGTTGAATACATCACGTAGGTGTTGCTGACTTCCTGTAAATAGTATTTAAGTCTGACAAGGAAGTCACTCTGGTTAGATCAAGTTTTACATCCCTCATTTGAACTTCCGTCTCCACTGATCAGTGGGTAAAACTTATGTGAACCAGCCACAGACTTAGACCAGAATGAGTATTTATTTATACTTCAAATACCTTTATAGTGAACAACTAGTTTGGTTAAAAGACAAAGAATTCTGCCGCCATTTTTACACTCTGATTCAAACATGGGTTTTGTCTTATATGGGGAAATCCTTTGTCTTAAAACTTTTGAGGGTGTACAATGACAGGTATAAACGAAGAATCATTTGAGGTGGTGGCAGATGTTGTAAATTTTAGCTAAACTTACTGTAAAGAGGCTGCAGATGCTCAGGAGGACAGCGCTTGATGCACAATTCCAGTGTACAAAGCAGCAACTGGAATGATATGACCAGGTCATCCTCCAGCTGCAAAGCCCTTCCTGCAGACAGAGATACAGCACATTGAGACACAACAATACTGATGCAGACTGAGAAACTAAAGAACTGTGACATAAGAAGTTTTTTTGTTTCTATCTTAATTTTATCTCTAAAATAAAACATAAGCATGAAGGGGAAGAAGATGGGAAGACATGAGAGTTTGTTATCAGCCTGATCCGCCTTGTTTTTGTTGTTGTATTTGTAAGGTTTGACCCACCTTTTGCTAGAAGAAACATTGTCCAACAGCTCCGCATGATCTCCCTCTCCCTTGAAAGAGGAAATGAACCACTAATCACGCAGCTGTATTACACTGAGGACATTAAAAAAATGATGTGTGTACTCGCACTAATGTGATAAGTTTGTTGCCAACTCACTTTTCTTCTGACACCAAAGCAAAGATTTTCTTGCATGTTCTGAAACAGGGGAAATATCAAGATTTGCAACTTTTTCCAAATGTTTCTACATGAATTAAGCACTTGCTCTGTATTCATGAGTTTACTTACTTCTCGAACCTCTGGTAGAGAGCCAACATCACATTATACTTGTTCTCCAGTCGTGTCAGAGCTGAATTCACCTTGGTGCTTATTGTGTCTAAGTTCACATCCAATTTCCTCACCAGAGCCACAAACTGCTTTACACTGAAATCAGAGAATGTGGGTGAGAGATTAGATATGTTCACTTATAATCTAAAATTGTACACCTAAAAAATTTTATAAATCATTTTGCTGTAATCGCAAGAAACAAAAGAAAAACTCTTAAGAGATTTTACTACGAGCAGTGAAAATGACAGCTATAACGAAGATTATTGTGGACAGCAAAGCTACACAGGGATTGCTGATGATCATTTGCCAGCATCAGAGATCACACAGTGTGAGTACATACAGGATCTGGTACTTACTTCAGACTGACTTCTTTCAGAACCTGAGTAACGGTGAAACAGGGAACATTCATGTCTGTGATGGACACAAACAGACAAGCACCCCAGAGCTTTTTCTGGCCGTCCTGAAATGAAATTAAAAAGAGTTTAAACTTATACAAACTTGATAAAACTTAACACTGTTTCATTACTAACATCCTGAGAGAGATTTAAACAATTAAAAGGAAGGTTGAACCCACAGTCCAGTTGAACTGAAATATAATCCCAACTAAAACTAATATTAACCTCCTTCAAAATATTAGTTCCTATAAGGGCTTCTGTGGGAATACAAGACTAAAACAGTAAGTTAGGAAGGAAAAGGGTTCAGCATAAAAAAGTAAAATCAACATTTAGCAGCGACACAATCACAGAAAATCAGACATGAGTACAGGTTTTTTGTTGAATTATTTGGTGTCTGTCCTGAGAAATTGTAAGGTTTACAATAAATTTTGTGTCATCAGATTATGTGATCATTGCCACCAAGAGATTGTTGGTGCGAGTATATTTTCATATAAATAATTTTGGTCTAGATAACACAGCAGTCTTTTTATGTTGAACAAACCCAGGAGAAAGAAAAAAAACTATTTCTAGCATTGTAATACCAACAGTACAGTGGCCGAGAATTCTAATGCTGCGTATAAATAAGAATGCAAAACAAAAAGAAGCCACAACAGAAGTTACCGATGAAAAAGAAGAAACTGAAGCCTGCTGCAAAAAAAATAAGAAACGGTGCAGATTTAAAAAAAAAAAAGCCACAACTGAAGTTAATGACGCAAAAAAAAGTGGTGATTCCAAAAAAAAAGATCGTAAAATACCGGTGCGTCGTCAACGTCTGTTGTGTGTTTTGTTTTTTTCTCTACACCGTTTCTTTTTTTTTACTTGCAGCGGGCTTCGGTTTCGTGTTATGTTTTTATTTTTTTACATTGGTAACTTCTGTTATGATGTCTTTTTTCTTGCATTCTTTTTTTATTTGCAGCAGTGGCAGTTCTTGGCCACCGTACAACAGCAACCCATCACTTGAGAAGAACAGACATGGTGCACACAGTGTAATACATACAGCGACTTCATCCATGGAGTCTTGAACAGCTTTCCACAGTTTCCAGGCGTGGTCACACACTACATCTGTCACATGTAGACCTTTACAGAGACTCATGAACTCAGCATCCTTGTCTCTGTGTCTGTAAGATATAGAATAAATCAGTATCATGAGTGGCACACAGTGACCGGAATCAAAACATGCTGCACAGATGAGAACACACCCTGCCTTCAGGACCTCCCTGACTGTCAGCCAAAGTTTATCTGACTCTAACTGTAGTTGTATGTAATAACAATATCAGCTCAGGTTAGTCCCCGAAGTGAACAGCTCTCAGGATTTCAGATTTTACAGAGGTGTTGGCTTTAAGGACTGACTCGGCTTCATGTTTGCGAGAAAGCTAGTGAGTACAGCTGCTAGCTAGCAAAAACAAAACACAGGGCACAGGGGAGCTGTGTTACAAACACTGCCATGTAAACGCATTTTACGGTAAATTATGACTGTTCTCTTAATGTCAGCAGTCTGACTGAGAAAACACAAGTTTACTCACTTTTTTAAAGATAGCTCTGGACTCTCCTTCTTGTCCAGTGAAGCACTTTCAGCCCCAGACTTCAACTCCTTGTTCGGTGTCGTCCCCGAACTACGTTTTTTAGGTGGCATTATGGTGTCCACAGACCTTTAAGCCAAATGCGAAACTTTAAAGTACAATTAGGTTTTGTTGGTAACAAACTGGACTTTTGATATTTAAAGCCCACTTAAGAGTTCCGTGGCAACAACACAAAAAGCCCGACTGACTTCCTGAAACCGTGGTGAGGTGGATGTTCGGTTTGTGACACCGGTGTGCGCCGCCGGATACCGCTGCGGCTTGAGCCAGGACATTTAAACGCGATTTAAACTGAATATCCACACCTCTATATGCACTAACATGTTTACGTGGGTTTTTATTACAACTTGTGACAGATTTTAGAGCGCTATTGTCAGACTATAAACTCGTATTAAGGTAAAAGCTTTACACTTATCCTCCCTACACTGTAACTACAGTCAGTGCTGTTTTCTAGCACTGGAATCACGTGATCAATCGAAAACGAACATACCCTAACTGTGAGGGCGAAAACGCGGGAAAATTTATACGCAATATCCGCTCATTTGCATTTCTACAGCCCGCCACTCAGAGGAGATACAAAGCATTTACGAACACTCCTGTAATACAGTATATATGAAAAGGTTACGCGTTGTTTCAGCGTAATTTCTGTAATGTAGCCGATGGACTTTTATAATCTTGCCCATAATTGAACATATTTTAAGTTGTACCTTTTGCATTTTTATTTGATTTAAGGCACGTGAGTTTTATCTTTCAGACTAACATGCGCTGAGCTGCTCTTGAGTGATGGCTGAATGTTGCATTTGATCTAAAATACACTGGGTTTTACAGACTCTTTATCATGTAGACTGTAGTATACTGTATATACTCTTTATCATGCGTATGGGTTTCAAGAAGCCATAGGTGTCACGTCTCTATCCTGTGTTGTTTTTGCAACTACTGCCCTCTTCCGGTTAAAGTCACACTTTGGTCATTTAAATAACTAAAGGGTTGATAACACTTTATTGTTGTCTCAGTAAAACACTAATCCAGAGCCGGCCCAAGCCTCTATGGGGCCCTAAGCAAAATTTGATATTGGGGTCCTCAGTATATTGATTGCTGATCATTCACACACCTACTAAAGTACAAATTTAGAGTGCCTGACATGTCTTTACATATTTAAGGGGGTGGCCTAGGTAATAACATAAATAACACCAATTCAACCATACAAATAATACCAATGAATGGCTGATGAATGATGTTCAGGGTGCCACATATGGTTTTTAATCTCAAAATGTAACACATTCAGCTACAAGAGCAGCCTGGGGCTGATTTTCACAATATTCCAAGTGATAAAGCATTGTGTTTACTGTAAAAGTGTAATCGACAGTAAGAATCATAGGCTTACACCAATAGCAGCACTAAAACGTTTTTACTTTATTTTTACAATAATAAATATTTGAAAAAAAAAATTCAATTTTTTTTGTTTGTTTTTGGGGCCCCCTACCGGCCGTGGGGCCTTAAGCAGGCGCTTAGTTTACTTGTGCCTTGGGCCGGCTCTGCTCCAATCAAATCAAGTCTGATTTTTGTTTTCTTTCTGTCATGTTCAGAGCATGTTGAACCTCACCAACAGCTACTATTATAAGTATTACCACACCGTAATTTTAAGGATGCCTCACTCTTTATTTTCATTTTTAGATACTGGTTCAGCTGGTCCAAGCACAGATACATTATTTAAAGACTATTTATTGAAATACTTTTTTGAATTGACAAAGTATAGTACAGTGGTATTTTTATTTTGTCTTTTCTGAGTCGTTTTGTTTTATATGGGACACTGTATGGAATTGTGTATGTGTGCTGTCTGTGCATGTCTTAAACTTACTGCAAATGAATTTCCTCACGGGGACAATAAATTCAACCTACCTACCTACCTACCTCTTGTGCTGTTACACTGTTGTCTAAGCATCAACTATGAATTTAACACAGTATACCTTTGGGATATGGGTTAAGTAAAACCACAGAACTACTTCCACTGTGCGTCTCAGACATGTCATGACCGTAGTACAACCGACACTCAATCACCATGCTACATTCACTAACACTGTGGGAAACAATATCACTCCACTGAAAGCATTAGTAACGTTAGAGTGCACTATTTTAAAAAATACTAAACTGAGACAGAATACAATTTCATCTCTCTGTTGTCTCTGTTGTTGTAGTTATCTCCAGCTCAGAAAAACAAGGATCGACAAACTTAACAAAAATAAATCTCATTTCATGTTTCAAAAGCTAGAACAAAACTATTATACGGAGAGCTCTCAATAAGTCAAACACATGCCATAAGCAGTTAAATAGAGACATGGAAAAAATGTTTTATTTTTTATGCACAGAATGCACATATATGACAGGGCATCAAGGTGTACAAAGGCAAGAACAGCTATAAAGTAAGAGGACTTTTCTTACAAGGCAAACAGTCATAAAGTAAAAGACTAGAATGCTAAAACCAAAATACTTACAAAAAGCAGTGATCCAGTGGTTTATTTAGCAGAGTCTGATAGTAAAGTATTCTGATAATATTTTTGATCGTATGTCAAGTTTGCCAGCTTATTAAATACAAAGTAAAATTAATGTCTTGTTTTAGAGGAATTTTGGCAAGTTTTTACCATGTCAATAACCATCCTGGTTGGACAAAACAACACAGTGTCTCAAAATATTATACATTCAACCAGAGATTTCCAGTTCCTCAGGAGAGGTTTCATGTATAGAAACATAGAGGGAGATACATCTACTACAGATCTGTCAAAGCCAGGTAACAGTAAACATCATAACCTTTAAACTACACTTGACTTCTATTGCTTTTTTGCCTAAAACAAAGGCCAATAGTGAGATACTCTGAGCTAATTTTCAAATGCCCATCTATAATACATAAAAACTATATAAGGCAGTTGTTTCAATTACAGTGGAAATGTTTGGTAAGTGCAAACCTTGCTTTATACATTCTCTGCAAGAGCTAGCAATTTAAAATCACTCAGACAAGATATCTGAGTGGTAACTGTCATAGGGACACATGTAAAGTCCATTTGGTATATATTATAAAACTTAATTCATTTTCGCAAAAACCACTTTAAAACATTTGTCATCCCCACTGTTTCACCTGTCAGGTTAAAGTGCTGAAGTCATCTCACTGGGCCCATCAAAGGCTGTTGGATTTTACAGTGAGAAATCAATACACTTTCTTGTCCCTCCTCCTTGTACATGATCAATGAAAACTGGTCCTTCGGCTGTCGCTGTCTTCTGTCAGTGGATGTTCAACATGCTCGGCTAAAATAATAAATAAAATCAGTAGATAAACGGCAAGATTATCATCCTCTCAATGTCCTGGAGGTGTCCTACTATAGGAGCTTTAACCTTATGTGCTACATAATGTAAAAAAAGAGTTAAAAAAACTTTATTTCAAATATACATGAAATAAATAAAGCAATAAATCCACAATGTGCTGAATGACACACAGTCTCTACAAAAACACCACCAGAGCCACGCTGGGGTAAAAACAGAGAAATAAATTCCTCTGTTTCTGGACAAAAATAGTTTGCTCATCACTGTGCATTTGCTGCTGCTCTCTGAGCTGTCACGCCTGGCTTCCTACATCCCACCTCATCGCAGTAAAGTCCATATCTGTGAGTGTGACAGTGAACGGTGCATCCACCGTCTCAGGCCCCTCCACTCCTGCCGCGCTGCTCAAAGTGTTCACCCGCCAAGAATTAAGAGGACGAATCGATTTCTGGAAACGCTGGAAATAAAAAATATTATGAGTGTCATAAACTCTCTTAGAGAAGCCATAAAAGTGGTGTTCAATCAGGTCCAAAAGTGCCAGTCAGTTTGAGTTGTAGCCTAGTGTTAGTGCGGATGTAGCGTAACCAGACCCCACAGTGACAGAATAACAAACCAGTGACACTCACTTCCTTCAGTGTTCCAGTTTCTTTGCTGATGGCCACGATGGCCCAGATGAGGATCTGCAGACAGCAGGTCGCTCCTATGCACACGCCCAGTGCTTTACCCCACCGTGGATACACGTAGGACCCATAGTGGAGTGGCGTGTTGTACATCTCAATGAAGATGTAGGTCAGGATGAACTACAACCGTAAGAATAGACATGCAGAGTTAAGTGCAGGAACAAAATACAAAGCCACAAAGGCAACAGAAGACAAGTGAGTGAGAAGGTCAGCAGAGAAATGCTTACAGGGGGTACTCAGATTGAATGTCAGTTTCTCCTCCTCAATTATTCATAACAGTGGTTAAGTAGATTTCTGTGGCTTCATTTCAAAGTTGTAATGTTAGTTTAGTTTTCTTGATGAATATTTGACAATGATTTGGAGCTGAGTTTTTAAATTGTTCCTTAGTTTGGTCATCTAATGGGATAATACGGCTGCACTGTGCCGAAGCTCTTATCAAATTACCATTTGACTGCAAGTGAAACATCTATTATGGTAAAAGGTCGCATCAAGTTGCTATTTCTGTATAAATCATCCCAAAGGGTGAGTGTGCTTCAGGTGACAGTAGCAGCACAGATAGGGAGTGATGTAACATGAATTGTGTAACTGATACAGACAAACAGTAAAGATGTTATGCTAGCCCAGCAAAACAGTCCAGCTTGTAGGCTACCTTGCGTCTGACCATCATTCATTTTTGGCTATCAGCAGGAAAATAGTGTTCCTTTTTCACCCAGAACAAAAAAAGGTAGGGATTTTTCCATCTTTAGGTAGTTCATTTTGGATTTAATTGGTAAAGAGGTTTGAAGAACTAAATCACCTCAGGTTTATGTTCCAATATATTGCAGTTTGAAGTTGCTCTTTTGTTTGTCTCATCCTTTATAACAAAGTTGCATATTTGCAAGGTTGTATAAACTGTTAAATCCAGCAATTATGAGATAATGCACACACGCAACATTTGCCCAAAATAAAAAGTTTGTCACAATATCCCAAACTTCTGCTAAATGAAACGAAATAAGAGTAGATAGGAACAAAAGAAGGAACTGGAGATAAGCACATGACTCCTGCATTAACCTTCCTGTAAACCACCCAGTTAAAAACCAATACCCTTGAGGGTTTTTTTACCACTGTCATTGTTGTCAGCAATAGTGAATTCTTTCACACTTCTCAGCACTGCACACTATTGCACTCAACCTATTACTTCTTACTCAAAAAGAAAGGACACACAAGTAAACAATTTAGAACCTTCCAGCAGAAAAGTGATTAACTACAGTGCATTCAGATTTTAGGAAAGATATCAAACACGATAAGCAAGCTACATTTGTGGTAGTCAAAATTCTGAAGGGCATTTGTCATATTATGCCCAATGCTTCTCGGCTCCACTTGCACCCCTGCATTGCACTAAAAACAAACATCTGTGTCTATATACATGTGTGAACTCACCAGCAGCAGAAATGGAGTGATAACAACCCAGCATGCTTTGAAGTAAAGCAGAACTTTGCTGCACCAGGGAGGGCAGTGGCAGATCATATCAAGGATGTCCTGACAGAACTGGTTCACTCCTGAGAGAAATTAGCATGTTGAGGTTTGTATTAGAAAACCAGGAGCCAAAAAGACATCATCAAGACAACACTGACAGTATGGCAGGAAGGAGAATCTAAAATGGTAAAAGCTGGACAACAAATGACTTGCAGCTGAAAAAATGAGTAATTTTGATATGAGTGCAGTTGTAGAAACAAAAACTGTGTTTAATTTGTAGGCTTCACAGCAATGCTAGTGTATCTGTTTTTCTAACTTATAAAAATCACATTTTCTGGGTGCTTGGGGAAAGTGTTAGAGGAGTTTGATGCAGTGGTTAGGGGTATGAAATGGTTCACCATAGAAGAAGGAGATGCCAATGCACATGAAGAGGGTGATGATGATGAGGCCGAAACTAGTGCTGAAGGAGTCAATGAGAGTGAACCAGTAAATTCCACCCTATGAACACACACAGCATGGGGTAACGTGAGAAGGATCACAGATAAGAAGCAAACGCAGCTGAAATGATCACCTACTGCAGCTCATTGAGAACACACTCACATCGGTCACTAACAGCAGACCCATCAGGTAGAAACAAAAACACAGAGCGCCCAGGAACAGGGACTTGTGTAATGTGTTTCCTCTGAGCTGTGGGAACTCGTCCAGCACAGCTGTAGTGATGCCCTCCATGTTGCCAAACTGCAAAGTACAGTAGGTAGTAGTTATGTAACATATCGACTTGCATATCTTTATATCTGCTCAAGTATTTGAGTTGTGTGTTGCCTTACTAATGTGTCAATCCCCAGCATGAAAAGCATGAGGAAGAACATAATGGACCAAAACACAGAGCCTGGCAGCAGAGCAAGGGCTTCTGGGTAAGCAACAAAGGCCAACCCAGGACCTGTAGTGAATACATGAAGATCAGTGAAGCAAAATAGAAATCACATTTAGGTGAAATAACCTCAGTTCAAAGCAGGTGCGAACAAATATGTCAGTTGTATCCAGATAAAAATATGAGGACATTAAAATGCTTCAAGAGAAGAAATGATTGTGGATCAAAGGACTAACCTGTATCAGCCACCTCTCCTACAGGCACCCCCTTCCTCCATGCCATGTGACCCAAGATTGAGAAAATAGCAAATCCGGCAAAGAAGCTGGTGCTGCAGTTTCCTGTGGTGATTATCAAAGTGTCCCTGAAACAAAAAGAGCGGGGATTAAAAGTCTGAATCCATCAAGGCTGCAACGACAGAGGAGTGAAAATAAACAGCACAAACTGAACTCACCTGATGACGTTATTGTCAAATTTGTTGTAAGAGGCCATAGAGAGCAGACCACCTACGCCTATACCTAAAGAGTAAAAGATCTGTGAGGCTGCATCGTTCCAAACCTGAAATGTATCAGAAATATGATTTAAACACTGAAACGTCAAAATACTTCCTTGATTTGTTCAGTCAAGTATCAAAACTAAGGATCTCTTCTTTACTGGAGTTGCTGAGTATTTATTCAAGGTGGTTTATAATCAAGATAAGTTGATGTTGACTAATAGGTTTGTGCCTCTAATAAGCTACACACACCCTAATACACTTTGTGCCATGTGCTCTTGACTGTACCAGGAAATCATTTGAATAGGTCGAATAAACATAGCACTAGGGTGCAGCATAGCAGGCCAGCTTTGGTACAATGATGACAATTTTTGTTATGATTAAACTTAAGTGAATATCATCATAAAATAAAATAAAAACTTTGAAAACATCTCATGAATAAGACAGCATTAAAGTGCTATGTATCTACTGTCTGACATACCTGTGCATTAGCCAATCGGCTCCAGTCTGGTGTGAGGTAGAAAGCAACGCCCTGCAGAGATCCTTCCAGTGTGGCACCTCTGATGATCAAAACAATGAGCACAAAGTACGGGAAGGTAGCTGTTACATAAACCACCTAAAACCAAAACACAGTGCAGACGAGCATTACGTCAACAAGACATGAAAGAAGGATACCAGGATACTGCGCGTCTGTGTAGTAGGAGCTAACAATTATAACATTGTGTGTTGACTCACCTTGCCAGAGCTGCGGATGCCCTTGAGCATACACAGGAAAATGACGATCCAGGCAGCCAGCAGGCACAGAGCCAGGGGCCACCGGACAGGACCGGGATCGTGGAGACCCTCACTGTGTACTACACCCAGGACACGCTCACTACAAGACACATGTTGGACACAAACATGTGAAATTGCCCAATTCTTATCTTACCACACCTACCGCCCATTATGAATGAAGTTGGGCTGAAGTATTTATTTAATTTTGAAGGGTTTTGTCTGAAAAACCACTATGCAAACATTATTCCTTATTGCTTTGTGTCATTAAGAGTTGGTTTGGAGCAATAGAGCCATATATAGTGGTATTTTTCCTGAGTGCTTAAAGGGACAAGGGTAATTCCAGCACCATTTAGGTAGAGCCTATATCCAATTACATGTTCAGTGCAAAGACTGCACTAGCAAGGTACTGTCAGCCTTTGCAATGTATAAAACAAATCATGACTACTACTGAAGGAGGTTTAACACATGGTCACACTGCTTAGATAAGTAAAAACATAAGATAAATTTAATTTATGCATTTTCAAGGTTTTGTTATTGCATTTCAATATTTTGCCTCGATGTCTAAAGTCACTACTGCTCAAAACTGCCTCATCTATTTTGCAAGAAATTTTATCAGGTACTGTATGTCAAAGAGTAATTTCTGTTTCTTAAGTTTGGCAAGCTGTTGCACCTTCACACGTCAGTTAAAAACGTATCAAATGTTGCAAAAAGTTTGAATTAGGAGTAAATAGTGTTTAAAGTGTTGGGTCCACTATAAAGCAGCAGTTTGGATGGAAGCCTCTCATGAAAGGAGGAGGCATAGTTCAATAGTGGCCTCTCTCTGTGCCCCTGAATGCCTGCCGTGACTCATTGAGGGAAGGCTCTGTGATCGGGTCAACAAACGGTCTGACCTACATGCTGTAGCCTTCCTCACTCTGAGGCCTATGGTGTGTTTGCTGTATATCAGTAAACTCATACTTTTATTTAAAGCTAGCAAATGCTGTTATCAAGTTGTTGTGGCTGAATATGCCAACTTTTTCAACACATCAACAACACCTTACAAACTTTCATGGGAAATTTCAGAGATCTGTTGAGCAAGTTTGGTGTTTTGATTGCGAAGTTTTACCACCATGATGCTGAAAAACTGTTGTTAAGACATCATAAGAATTATACTTGCAAAGTTTAATGTAGAAGTTATAATGTAAAACATATATCTACATGTAAAGCTACAACACAGACTTGATTTTTAAAAGTAGTAGGTGTAAATGAAAGGGGTCTATGAATTTGCAAATTTACACTTACTTCCAGAAGATCTCTGTGGGGCTGAGTCTGTTGCTGGAGCTATTGCCAGAGGTACCATTACCACACAGAGCTGCATTGGCTATAGCATCACAGGACCAGGGAAGGGGGCTCTGGAATGAGCTGCCCAGGTAATAAAACGTCCATGCTATGATGACGTTGTAGTACAGACAGACCAGAGTGGACACACAGAGCATCCCAATACCGATACCTAGACGAAGAGAGACAGTAGTATTAAAAATAGAAAAATACAGATATACTGTAATGCAAAGATATTGTATGAGTATCAGCAATTTAAAGAGGTAGCCTGAAGCCCCATAATATAAGAGGTGGTGGATCTATTTATCTATGTGATTTGATGAAGAATTCACAGTGCAGTATCTTTAAAACACAATGTTCAAAGTACTAAATGTTCTTCCTGGTAACTCAACTCTTCATGTCCTTTTGTAATAATCGAAGGAACTTCTTCAAAATGCACTTGTGACTCAGCCAGCTTAAAATAAATTTACCTTTGATAAAACCTGTTTTTCAAGTTCTATTTGTGGCTCTCAGACAGTTCCTAGAGGTTTCCTCATTGGATGTTTAAGTGCAGCCGTTAAGCTGCAGAGCTCCAAGGAACATTTAGGGTTAGCCACATGATGTAAACTATTGTGGTGACAAATTGATGTGAATGAGCCCGTTACTTTCCTAGACAGTGACGCTGAATGACTGGTGACAAAGGTATTCTGTCATCAGCCTGAGATCTTGCTTACTAATTTCACAACTGGATTCCTTAGATGAATGGAGAACTAGCATAAAGCTGTGATCGGATATTTCTATACTATTTGAAGCTGTCAAGCTAATTACAGTTAAACATCAATCCACTTTGAGTCTGACATAATACCTCAAACGCTTTTAAAGGTTGTGTCCTTGAATAACAGTGTATGAAAGTGTGTTATTATTGGCTAGGCTGACAAGCACAATGCAGGTGCACATTACCTTTGAGCAAAGGGCAGCACTTCCACACAGTGATGGGGCCAGCTGCTCCATACTGGCCTAAACTCAGCTCCATGAGGAAGAGTGGGACGCCAGTAAAGAAGAGCATGATGAAGTAAGGGATGAGGAACACTCCTGTGAAGAAGACGAGAAATACCCACTTGAGGAGAAGTTGCATTAAGTGTGATAATCTGCAGTGTTTTGTGCAGCTTAAGTGGATATCTTGTTGAGGCAGGTTAGCTTATAAGCTATGTGTAGGTGGCAGCTTTGCAGACAGATGTGATTCTGCTTTAGTGTCGGTCAGGCTGCAACATGTTAAATTTTGGGCAAAGGTATACACTGGGTTCAAAAATGACCTCAAGTCTGATGTGTAATCAAGGAATATGCTGTCTGTACTCCAAGGATTAGTTAACGTTTGGTGTTTTAGCCCCCAGTTTGGAGAGCTGCTGCCTGAGTGTGCAGAATAAGCCAGCCTGATTAGATGAATGGTGCACACCCAAGGGCAGGGCAGAGAGTGCCTCTTGCCCAGATGGGTGTAACAAATCATTACAGACATACATCCTGGCATTTGAAATATCTGAGACATCAAAGAAAAGTGAGATCAGGGAAGCGTATAGACTCCTCACCTCCTCCATTACGGTAACAGAGGTATGGGAACCGCCACACGTTCCCCAGGCCCACACAGTACCCGATACAGGACAGCAGAAACTCATACTTCCCTCCCCACTGTTCACGTGGGATAATCGGGGTGGGAGTGGGTGTAGGTGTAGGACTGCAGGGTCGGGAATCAGCTGGAGGTGTTGGGCTGTGTCCATTCTGAGTTACAGTGTGCCCATTCAGATGTAACGAGTTCTGATAATAGAAAAATGAATAAATTGTTAGATTAGTGCAGTAACAATCCACTTTCTATTAAGTTCTCATGAAAAAGAAGTGTGCATTATAAAGACCTGCAGAGAAGAAAAGATAGATTATCACCACTATTGAATCAAGTCAAAATACCAAACAGCTTCAGCTCAGACTTATTTAAGCTGTCTTACATACTGTGATATGTGTTCACTCAGTCTGTCTGTATGTTTCATGCATGAGGTGTTAAAACCACCGAGTTAACCATTTGTCCTCTTCCTCTCTGCACGACAGAGGAACCATTTTTCAGGGCCGGTTACAGTGAGGAAGTTACAGCTTAGCTTATGCTTTATGAGCTTTAACTATTATTATGTTTCTAAAGATGAATAAATATTAATCGCTTAATCCAATGACACCAATTCAGTCAATTAAAGTGGTGATTATGCAAAGTACTGTTTTTTAAATCCCCATGTTTCTCATGCATTGTGACACAGCATTATGAATATGGTTGAACATGTAAACAAAGGATAGGCCTAACATGATTCAGGAAGTTAAGGAAGCTTGTGTATCTGTGCTGACATGATAACTTAACAGAGGATTAAGTTAAATCAATGGCTATGCTGAGAGTGAACCTGAATGAATGAGTGAATTTCATTAAACTTTGACAACGACAACAGCTTTTTCACCATCATCTTAAGACCATTTGAAAGAGGGTTTTTTAACAGCAACATAAAATTAGATAGGAATCTTTATATAACTATTAAAGAGTAAATAAACAAAATATTAAAACCTTATGTTAGCATTTATATTATAAAATAACTGCAAAAATTCAGGTAATTGTAAATTCTCAAGCATTACTTTGCAATGATCGATTATTAAGTGATCCTTACACTGAGGATCTTAACTTTCTGACACTGAAACCACAGTGAATAAATAAAGCTTGCTGATAAAATGTGGTTTTGTGAGTCTAGTCAGCATTATCAACTAAAGCTACACCGGAAAAACTCCAATCACAGAGCCTCCGTCAGCCCGTCATTGTGTTGAAAAGGTGAATTTCACCTCATTGAACCAGCAGACAGCAGCCTTGTAACATTATGTCCTGTCTGTAAAACTTGAGAAAAGTCTAAGCAAACACATCTGTTGAGCTAGTGCACGGAGTTCAGGCTTTTATCTCCTATGTATAAATATATATGTGTTTAGCTGAAGCCTCCGAGGTGGGAGGGAGTAATGTAGACGAACAGGTTAGACCGCCTCATCCAAAGACATTTTACCTGACTTACCACCTCCGGGAGCAGGAAAAAGTGAAATTAATTACTCGTGTAGAAGTCTCACTTGGGGGTCTACTTTGTTTCAAACCCAAACAAAGTGAAGTAATTTGTGAAATGTAGTAAACCTGAATAACAAACCTCCGATGCCACCTGCGCTGTGTTTGCGGGGCTCCCTAGAGCTGCTTTGCCGCTTTCGTCCTGCATTTCCCTCCCGACGCAGGTGGAGCCTCACTGGTCCTTTTGTTCCTCGTTAATCCACATTTTACACGGGAAAGTAACCTTGGAAGTACATCACGTTATTGAAGTTAAAGAGGCAGTTGTGGGAGTATGAACGGCCGTGGTTATAGGCGAGTGAAACGCATTCACTAGGGAGACATGTACGATGTTGGGAAGGAGGCAGGCCGGTGGGCGGTGAATTGAAGGACAGAGAGGCAGAGCGCATTTAAATGTAGCACTGTCATGGAGGAAGCTAAGACACCTCCTCCTCCTCCACCTCACCTGCTTTATTTAGAGTGAGCTGAGGGCAGGGTTGACTCAAGGATGTGTTGGGAGTGGTTACTTTTTAGTAGAGGGACTTACCTGTCCGTGACAAACTATAAAATAGACATAAGCCGTCCTCAAAATAAGTATTCACATCAAAGTTATTCAGAGCAAGTAAGTCCTACATTAAAAAGCAGCCTTACACTTCATTGTTATCTCTACCAAGTACTAACCACTTTGTGATTTTGCTGCTGTAATTTTTTTTTTTTATGTTACTGATGGGTTTTGTAAGAGTTTTGTTGGATTTAACAGAACAACAACATTACTCCTATAAAAATTATAATTCATATTGTCTCCTAGCTAATGCTAACTAGGACACTTAAGACAGGATCTAAAAAATATAATAAATGTTTGTAAAAAAAAAAAAAAAAACAACAACAACAAAAACTTGGGGGGACAGAGCCTTCTCCACTGCCGCCCCACCCTCTGGAATTCACTCCTAGACCCATCCGACACTCTACAGACCCCCATACTTCTAAATCACTCCTAAAAACACCTTTATAAATTGTCTTTTAACCTGTGAACTGTTCTTTTGTTGTCTTCTCATATTGTTTTTTTTTTTTTTAACCTTTACATCGTTGGTTTTATTTCTCAAAATTGTCTGTATTTTAAATTGTGTCTTTATTAGATTTTCTTCTTTTTCTTTTTAAGGTGTATTGAGCACCTGTAAAAGCGCGTTATAAATAAAATTTATTATCATTATTCTTCTTCTTATTGTTAAAAAATCCAGGATACACTAAAATATACGCACAATTTGGCTTCAGTAAAGCCCTTTGTGTGTCCTGTGGCTAACCCTACTTGTCTTTTCCATTCAATGAAATGTCCTCAAAAGCTCAACCAGGTAGAAAATTAGATTTGAAGCTATAATAAAGAACACGCTTATCCAACTTTTAATGTAATTTTTTAATGTCGAGTGTCTATATGAAGATACAATTCTGTATTACATGCATATTTTGACTGCTAATATATCTAATAAAAAAACCTGTAGCTCTTGATCTCTGACATTTGAATGACAGATGTGGGGAATTTGTTGGAGGCTTTTGGTAATCTGTTTGTGTGCTTGTTTAAGAGAGACAGAGAGGAGAGGAACAACACCTGGCACACTTCTCAATATGACTTCCTCACGTTTGATCAGTGTGAGTCTACAGTTTAAAACAATCAACCGCACACAGTCAGCAATGGTATTAAAAGTTAGAAGCCCTGTGCAGGAAAGAAACATAAACTGTATGGTCACGAAGAAATGAAGTGTTACATCTACTAATAAACACTGGTCAGAGAGAGATTTATTTTTTTGAGCAGGAAGAGTTTTTAAGTCTTGGTGTGCTAAAATCTGATTCTACACATGACAATTTGTAACTAAACCAAGGAAGCAAATAAATAAAAAAATTTAAAAAATACTCAAAACTACGAGTGAATTCTTTATACGACCTGATGGTGTGCTGTTGAAGGCCTCTTATTTTTTCCTCAAGCTACTGTCTTTAATCCAGGTAAGCTCATGATGCTAAATCCATCCAATCTGTTGTGTGTCTATACTTAACAGCCCCACACAGCAAATGTGGGTCAAAGATATGCAGGGAAGCTGAACAGTCACCAGTCAGAGAAAAACTACCATATCTGGAAACTTTTATGATAAAGGAGTAAAACTAAGATATACCTGGACAAGAGCTTGGAGAAGTGAGAAGGTTCGAGGACTTCAAGAAAAATGGAGCTCCATCAAGGCCAATTTGAGAGCGCTCTGAGTCGCTATTTCTGCCGTCAGCCAACAGTGGAGTTTGACACAAATTCAAACCTTCATCTTTTCTGCAATGACTTGAAAATCAGCTCTGCAGGACAGGAGGAAAACCCAGATTCACACTCCAGCATCTGGTTGCACGCCAAGCAAGCAGAAGTCAAGACTTGTGGTACTCACTCATATGCAATGAATGCTAGAAAAAGACTAGATAACTTGAAGGCAGGGTGTAATTCACCTCAAACTTTACCTGCTGTGGACAAAATTTTGTACAATCATAATTGTCAAAAAGATCTCTGGAAGAAAGAAGAAACAATGGAAAAAGAGTCTGCTTTGGATTCAGTGGAGCTTCTGGATGTAGATGGCGATGTGAAGGATGAAGAAAGCTGGTAGGTACCATAAGAGCTCTGAAAGTGGGACTGAGTGTGGGTTGGATGGAAATATTAAACCTTGTTATTTAGAGCCAAATTAAAACAATATTTATTCTCTGATAAAGAACAGATTTGTTATCTTTCGTGATCATATTTCCTATGATTTACTTTACCTCACCTTATTGTTTATAGAATTTCCATTGTGTCTCACTTTTCAAAGGTTGTATGAATCTACAAAGAAGCAGGTATTCGAAGAGAAAACTGAATCTGCTCTGAAATGGTGTCGACAAGTGCTGGATAACCCCGGTCCTGATGTTGAAGCAGCATGTCGTCAGCTGATACATAGACTGGATGACAGTAAGCAGGCAGCTCAGAGTGAATCTTTTTATCTTTTAAAATTACCGGCAAAAAAATGAATGTAAACATAAACTATAATATAAAATTAAATGTAGCAAATCATTTTTTTCCTCTTAGATGGGAGACAAAGTTGAAGGGTGTCACAGCTAATACTCTGTATTCACAGGATCAGGCAGTCACTCCTACAGACGTCCTGCGGTTTTCCAACATACTGCTGATGTCTCGATGGGCCCTCCTCTGGACAAAACATCTGACAGCTTAACTCAACATACCTCAGACAGCCGAGGTAAAATGCTAATAAAGGCTGGCACTGATGAGTAAATCAAATCAACAACATAAATAAATATGGACACCCTTGATGGATATTCATCCTTACATTTATTTTTTAACTTTATTAAGAAAGTGCATGAGTAATTTTCCAATGTTTTCTTAAGATACACTTAATTTATCTCTTACTCTAAAAAAAAAAAAAACACATTGGTTTTCGCATAATGACAAGTATTTCTAACTTGACTTATTTATCTTGTTAGTTTGAGATGACTACACTGGTTTGCTCATGGTTACAAGTCAACTTCCTCTAGATTCCTCTAGAGCCAAATTTTCCAGTGATAAAGAGTAAATTTTTGTTGTTTCCCTTAGATTTCAACTTATTTTTCTTCGTATCTTGGGATAAAAATGCTGGCTATCCAGCTATGACAGACTCAATTGATATGAAATCCTGATGATCTAGAAAACAAAACAATGGGCTGGTCACTCTGATCAGTCAGATCCTTTAATTCCATGCAGCCACTGACCACATTGACCACTGCTGCAGCTCTGGGGAAACCAGTTACAACCATCCGATGTTTCTCTTGTGCAAATGGATCAAAAGCTTTAAGTCTGAAGAAACAAGATGAGTGAGTTGAAATCTTGAGGAAACAACTGCAAATTATTCATTGTCCTGGAAAAAGGAGATGATAAGATATCTGGCTGAGTGTCCACCTGGGACTTCTGAAGAGAATCTGGCTTCTGCAGGCAATTGATAGGTTTTTAAGTGTGTTTAAAACTGTAATTTATCAAATATATTTAAGATGTTTTTGCATGAACCTGCACAGATAATCAGCCGAGCCCCTCCCAGGACTTCACCACTACAAGCTACAGACTGCAAGACATCACAGATGTCCGCACTATGGCTCGCTTGCAGGAAGCCAGTGAGTGGAGGAGGTTGATTCTGATCTAGTTTGCCTTTAATGCTCTGGCAGGTGGGATTGATAAAACTTTGGTCTATAATTTTCAGGTTTGAGGCAAGACTTTGTTTCCACACCAGCCACTGCCTCACCCAGGAGAGGCCCTGAGTCATTACCATCTCATGCTGACATCACCTCAGACAGCGTTGATGATCTCACTCCAGGAAGTAAAACGGAGGCTCCCTCTTCCTCTTGCTGGCAGTCCGGTCCGTCATCGCCTAGTTCTTCCTCTTGTCAGTCTCCAGTTCCAGGAGCAAAGCAGGGCTGCCAGAGTCCAAGACTGGCAAGACTTCAGCAGCAAGTCACCCAGTTTAAGCTGCTAAAGTTAGCTCAGAATCAAGGTACACAGAGAAGTCACACCAGTTTACATCATATCTTTATCTTTGGAGAGCTTTCAGGCAGCTGAAGAATTAAAACTTCTTTGTTTTCCAGAGGCCCAATAAATGTCACCACTTTATGACTTGGAATCAATTCCAAAAAAAGGACACTTAACATGAAAATGTGTCTATTAATGAAATATCTTTGACAAACCTTTGCTATTTTTTTAATTGAAAGCTCATTCTAATAGATTAAGTATGTATTCATTAAAAGTCATTAAGGAATATTTTGTTACAGTTAAAATTGTGTTTGTGAACTAGCTGTGACCCTGACGTGTTTTGCAGCAACAGCATCAGACAGGACCAGATCCCCTCTGCGGACCAGCCTCCGCTCTCTGCAGGCGGTCAGAAACAGCCGAAGTTTAGACACCGACAACGACCAGCCTGCGGACCAAATCACTCAACCACCATCAGGTTTGGATTGGTCACACGTAGCAATCATTTGCAGACTAAACTTTGCCATCCTTAAATATAGTTTATGTATTTCTGAATGTTTTTCATATCAATTGAAATGGGTCTGCTCTGGTTGGGTGACCTGTGATTGTAGCACTAGAACTTTATCCATTTAAAAGCCTTAATTCTTTCATCAGGTGCATCACCCGTCACTAAAGGGTCAACTTTCTGGTCTCCATCGCTATCTGGAGCATCTACAAGCACCAGCGGTTCAGTGGGAGACATCTCAGCTCGGATAAAGAAGCTGCAGAGGTCTCAGTCTGCCAGCCCCTGCAGGATCCCCCATTCTGCAAAAGGGTACCTGTCATTTCGCGGTCGTGTTTTTGCTTCACCTGACAGGTCAGCCTCTTACGCTTGGGGCAGAAATGTGACATCCACTCGGAGGTGAATGTTTTTTCACCTGGAGACCCTGATCGTAATATTGCAATGAATTGCAGTAAAGGAAAGTGTTTTGTTTAGATGTTCTTGAACAGTAGCCTGTATTGTACAAATAGCTTTTGATTGTGAGGGAATGTTGTCTGGAAAAGGAAAAGTCAAGTTAAGAAAAATGTTTTGAGGTTTATATAAGCTGTGTTTAAGCTATTCTTAAATATGTGAACTTATAGGAAATTAACATCAGAAGTCAATGTTAATTGCTCTTAGAGTAGGATTTCAAAGCCTTAGTTTTGGATTTCAGCAGGACTATTATCTGACATTGATATGTGACACTGAAGTGGTTTAAATATGATCAAATGGAGTTTTGAGGAAGTTTAATGCAAGAACCTTTCGAAAAACTTTGCAGACTGATAAAAACAACATTAGCACCACTTTATTTTGACTAGATTAAAAAGTAGGCAAGTTCTGGCTGTGGATCAAATAAACAGTGAAATATGGACACTAGGAAGAATTTATATTGAAAAAATCAATGCAAAATGTTCACGTAACAATCATATAACTGTCATGTTTTTGAAGTGCACTCAAGTAGATTTCGATACCAGTTTGAGTTTCGAGATAGTCAGTATGGGTGCACTGCAGGCTAAACTCTTTTCTGCACAGTTGTTGCAACAGGAAGTTTGCAGTTTCTCATCATGTATTAAAAAATGAAACAGGTGACTTTTGTGCTATAGGTGGTGCGTTACCAAGAAACAGAGGTGTGGTTTTAGAGCAGCTTCCTCTTCAGATGTATTGACTGATACCGGGGCAGCTGCTTCAATAGTTTTTTTATAGATGGTATGATACTTAAATGAAAGATTCATAGTTTCAGCTGCTTCTACATATTCAACAGATGAAGTACTTTATATCTTATAGTCCTACTATCACCTTGAGGGTTTGTGTTTAAAGAAAAATAGTTTTAAATGTTTTATGTAAATATAGGTCCAATATCATCTTTCCTGATGTAATGTGTACCTCAGTAATTTTTTACCTTTCTTTGATTCATACTACATCCACCAAAAGTCATTTTCTGCTCACTTCTGCTTTATCTGATCTCTGTTCTACTCTCAGTGTCTGTATGAGATCAACACTCAGTATGCAGCACAACTATGTTTGCATTAATGAGGTTGTGGTAAAAAAAAAAAAATGCTCTTCAGGGAAAAACAACTCCGGTAACAGTTTTGTCATTTAAGCGAGAGACTGTTTTCTGTTTTTGCTGTCTAGAATTATGGATTTTAGTTTCTTTAGAGGAATGCGTCATAGTTTTCACACTGGACTTTCAGTTGGTGCCTGGAGTGCCCCCTTCTGTTCAAAATATGTAAAAATTAACTCTAGACAAGAAGTTTCCTGCTATTTTATTCTTTACACAGAGAATACTTTTATACTCTGAATGTCCTCCATCACTTACTTTTATGTTTCAACTGTAGATCTTCAAAGACAAGCATAAATATAAAGCAAGATCTGCATTCTTGTTCATATTCTTAGATTTTGAGGTGTCGTTCAAGTAATAATTTCATCAAAGCCAAGCAAATAGAAAACCTGTTCATGTTTGACCTTGTAGTGTTTGAATCAGTGCTGTTTGTGATTTTGTTTGTATCGTTTTACTTCAATCTACAAATAAACTGAACTTGTCTATAGCAGTTTTTCTAGTCTTGAGGGAAGACGTTTAAAATTGTTCCAAAAAAAAAAAAGATGGCATGATTACTGTAACTGACTTTTAAAAGTTTAACCTACTCAGAAATGTTGCTACAACTACTGCTAACTTTTCACTTCACACAATAAAAATGATAAATTAACTGCATGACTCGAATTGATTGTAAGTGTATGTGGAGTTTTACTGACTAAGCAAAGGGAGAACTATATCATGATCAGAATATGTTTGTTCCTTCTTTTATTTTTGTTGGTGGGGTAGAAAGAACAGAATTGTGGGATATGAAGAATTTTAAAAGAGTACAAAACATCTGAACACACTTCAAAGTCAAAGAAGCATCATGGTTAACAATATTCACACAACATAAAAAGGGAAACTAAATTTACAATGCTCTCTACTGCAGGTACAACAGTGGAGGACGAATCTATAAACATCATTTACAAAATTATATATTCTGACGGCAAACTCCTTTTCCGCCTCTATAAACACTGATCGTCTTGATTTGAAAATCTGCACACCTCTAGCCGTCTGAGTCCATGTCGCTGTCGCCTCCTATCGACCTAAACTCTTCGCTCTCCTCGTCTTCACTGAGCTGAACCTGGGAGAGCACAGCTGGACCTCTCCTCCGTGCTTCATCTTCTTCATCTTCCTCCTCCTCCTCACTGATGCCGTAGTCCCCATTTCCCATGCTAGATGGTTGCATCTGACTGCGGCTCTCTGTCTCCTCATAGCTACCGTAACTGAGAGGGAAGAAGAAAAGCAAGCAGATCAGAAGGAGATGTGGAAAATGAGACATGGTTGGCATAGCAACAGGCAGCGGGTTGATTTCATTTCACACAAACTTCTCTTTTTAGTAGCTATGATAGCAGGGCCTCAACAGTCAAGCCTAAACTAACTTGGTGCCCTTACAAGTTTACCATTTTCAACTTCAGCTAACTTCTACTGACCAGTACATGAAGAAGGTAATCTCATAGAATCAGTGCATTTATTCACACATACTGACGAGTAGATATTCAAAGAGCCTTCTCAAGCAGGAAAAGCGTTTTTCAAAAAGTGAGTTATATGTTTCAGAGCTCACAATAGTAAACAAGAGCTATTTCTAAAATAGTTTTTGACAAAATTTTCAAGGTTTCAAAAACTTCAACTGCTTTTGTTGGAGGCAAGAAGGATATAGAAAAAATTCTACCCTCAACAAATAATTTTAAGGAGTCGCTTTTCAATATTTGTTGTTTACACAGTGAAAAAAAAAAAGAAAAAAAAGCTTTCTTTATTATGGTTATTTTTACAGTTATATCAATTAGCTTTGTCCATATCCAGCTCTACCTGACATTGCTGTCTTCCATGTGAGGCTCATCAGGCCCGTCCCCTTCATACGACATCATGCTCTCATCCTGCTCCATGCCCATACGAGCCGTCTCTTGAGTTCTCCGTGGAGGAGCTGGTCGTACGTCCACCTCTCGGTCAGAGTCGCTGCCGCTCTCTGACAGGTGTATGGCTGCAGGAAACACATGATGAGGAGTCAGAACAAGACACATATAGTTTGTGGAGTTCTGATCTGTGGTACTGCTGTGACACCTACAGGAGAACGGGTTGTCGCCCTCCTCTTCACTGGCATCATCTTCTCCATCAGACATGAGCAAGTCTTGGTACAGCACGCTGGCCTGGGCTGGGCGGTTGGACCGTCCATCTTCATCATCGTCCTCCTCATCATCGTCCTGGTCATGTAGCCGTCTGCGAGGTGGCAGCAGCATCTCCTCATCATCATCATCGTCCTCCAGATCTCCATCAGCATCCTCTGCCTACAAATTAAAACAGGACAGGATAGAGCAACAGCTAAAAATAAAGAATACTTGGATATAAAGCGGTTGGCAACATTCATCTCTTAAGGGGGTGTCTAACTCAGTGGTACGGTGTGTTTGACCCTAAATTAATTTTATGCCGGAATATCCCTTTAACTGCAATAGCCAATCAAACCACACCACTAAGGACTGGCACGCATATAGCCCTCAGTGTATCTACAGCAGTGGTGATCTTGCACCATTCTAAATCCTTTCAGTAAAGATGCTCTGCTTACAGGAGCAGGAGTCTTTGGTTTGCCGTCATCATCCTCCTCAAAGCCTTCAATGTCCACGTCTGACTCTTCCTCCCCGGGTCTCCTCATGTGGCGACCCTGAGGGACCAAAAGATAAAAGTCTGAGATCAGTCTGTGAGGAGGAGAGGCAAGAAACTAAATCAACTCTCTTCACACTGTGAGGTCTGTAATGTTCCAATGAGTCAACGTTAACATAAGTCTGTGATGAGTCTGGGTGATTAAAGGCTAGTTTGAGGGAGAGATGGCATGTGGTCTGGTCGCAGCCTTATTTCTGTCTCTCTCCATACCTGCCCCCCTCTCTTCTCTGGAGCAACCACTAGAGGTCCCTCAGAGAAAAGGCTGCTGGTCTCTCTGGGCAGTGTCCCTGAAGCCCCACTGTCAAACAGATCAGCAGGCTGGACAACACCACACAAAACAACACACACACAAAAAGGGAGAGACAGGGCAAGAGTGAAGGGAATAACAAGGGTGAAAAAAAGGAAACACTACAGTGAGGAAGAAGCTAAAGTGTACAGATGAAAATTGAAAGTCTGGAAAGGAAAGTTAGTGCAGAAATACACGGGGCAGGAGCGCTACAAGGTGTAGAGGAGACTACTGCATGTAGAGAGGTGGACACTGCCTAATGTGTCGCACTGTAAACAGACAATAAGCGTCTGAATGAGAGAGGCAAATATCCAAGTATGAAACAAAACTCATCCCAGTGCTCTCCTACCTGTGGTGTGTACGGTCCGGGTGTCATTGGGTCCAGACACTCCAGGTCTGCTGCATCCAGAGCGGCCTCTTTAGCGGTGGAGATGTCTTTCTCCAGCTGAGTCAAGTGCTCATCGTACTGAAGGAAAGCGAACATCAGTGAGACTTACAAAACATGTTTACCCTGATGAAAACACAATATGGCAACTAAAAGATAAACCCAATCTGTTAACCTCTCTGAGTGAATGATCAGCTGTGAGGAAAGTCAATAAAATCTGTAACACTACTGTTCAAGAAAAAAAACAAGTGTTAGGTCTATCTTCAGAACTACTTCCTAAATTAACATTTGTAAGAAAAGCAGATAGAAAGCTTTTCATTACATTATAAATAGGCATTTTTACAAGCCCTCCATTGTAGCCAACATTGCTCTCCAGCTGTTAGCACAATAGGCTGACCCCTGGTCCATTCCAACGAACTGTTTAAATACTCATTAACATGATCTCCCCTCGGTCATCGTACGAGCAAACTAAAGGGTGAAGAATCAACAAACCTCTGACAGAGTTTGCTTGCACACGTTGACAATCTCCAGGGCAGTCTTAGTGTAAGGACTGTCGGGACCTGTGACAGACAAGCAAACAGCTCTTGAGCTTTATCACTTTTTCTCTGTGACACTTTTTGGATCGGAAATCAATGCAGTCGACTCCTTTACCATTGTACTTGATACTGTTGGCGTGGATGAGACCGACGTCTGAGAGGAACACCTCTCTGTTCTGGTATTTGTGTTTGGAAATGTTCTGTGAATGAAAAACAAATCAGAAACAAAAACATCACATAAAAATGACAATGTCAAATAATAAATAAAAAATTGATTTCATACAGCTGACTCCTCATGTAAGTCTCACCTTGCGGATGCTCTCCAAGTCCATGGGGTTTATAATAACTTTGTAATAATCCGGCACAAACTTTTTGTTGACAGGGTGGTGAAACGGCCATGACTACAGTAAAGGAAGTGGAAATTCAAGGAAGTGGATTAACAACTTGGCCTGCAAATGAGCAGATTATTATGAACAAATGCACGAGGATTACAAAAAAAAAAAGGAACTTACATCAGGAACCACCATCATTTTCTGGGTAACGATATTGTCCAGGATGAAAGAGAAGGCGACCTGATCGTCGTCATCCAGCAGGGGGTTGATGGCTTTCTCCAGCCTCACCAGCCTGTCCTCTTTCTACAAACAAACACGACAATAATAGTTTATGTTGGAAATAAAAGTAACTGCAGTAAAATGATAAAAACATCACATCTCACCTCTTTCAGTTTATTATCACAGAGGTCCAGCATGGACTGCGCAACCTGTGTTATTGGATGTTTTGCCCCTGTTGGGAATAAAACACAAATCCATTTAAAACTATTAAATCTAAATGCCTCAGTCTACCTTCAAGAGGTGGTGAAACTAGGGCTGGGCGATAAACCGAAATTTACAGATACCGAAATTTATGACAATAACCAACTTCATTTTGCCCTGTGTCAAAAAAATAAACAAGAGTTGGTTTTGGATGTGTGTAGGTAGGCTATGGTCTCATGTCCCTTCCTATGTCGGAGAGGTGACTCCACCCCATCCAGTCCGTAACAAAGAGGGAAAGACAGGTGAGGAGATGGAGGACGGTTCAAAAGATGTAGCGGCTAGAGCGGCGAATTGAGTAGACTAAGTTAGTGTGGGAGGGGGTGAGCAGCTTGTGGAGTAGTTATCATCCATTTATCGTTATGGAGGTGAACTGCTCAAAATATCGTGATATTTGTTTGAGGCCATATCGCCCAGCCCTGTGTGAAACACATTTTTGTAAACACTCTACCGTTGTAGGTCGCGCTGTTTTTGACGATAACTTCCACTGCTTCCCTGAACTCCTCCCTGGATGGGTACATCCGCTTGCGTACGTTCTCCCTCAGAGTCTGCAGGTCCATGGGCCGTGTGATTATCTTATAGTAGTCCTTCACAACCTTGGCATTTACCGGAGTGTGGAACGGATATGTCTTAATAGAAAAAAGCAAATTTAGTAAAGATGAGGCAGCAGTAAAATAAAATGAACACATCCCTGAAGTAGGAGGGTGCGTCCCTGACAGTCTTACATTGGGGTGATCCCTCATGTCATTGATGATGCTCTCAAGCACAGACGACAAAGTCACCATCGGGTCAGTACGCCGCCGGTGGATGGCTTTGTGTGGTTTCTGTGAGTAATCAAAGCAAGCAAAAACATTATGTTAAGAAGCCAAAGAGACTCTTCACAAAAACAGTAAAAACTTTGAGATAGAGACTAAGAAACTCACATTGAGATAGTCACAGTGTACAGCGCTGCCCACGCGTCTCTTCTTCTTTGGCGGGAGCTGCTGCTTGGGGAACTTGAGCACCAAAGACCTTCTACGCACCTCATCAGACCTGGAGAAGAAAAGAAGTTTTAGAAACAAAGGGAGCAGGACCCAAAGATTGTGCGTTCATTCAAACAATCAGCTACCTCTCGATGAGCTGTTTGCCCAGCACAATCTTGGTGCCCTCCACCTTGATGAGCTCCTCGTTATCATTGTGAATTACGGTTTTCTCCAGCTCCTCCTCCTGCTCCTCTGTCATGGCCACGGGGTTGGAAGGAGGGGCGTTGGTTTGATAGTATAGCGGGCAGAACTTGTTGGTCCTCATGTGTCCGATGGCTCCACATGCACCGCACTTTAGCTAGCGGAAAGAGGCAAACATTAAGGAAGGGAAAACTAATCGGTGTACTCTGTATGAAAGTGATGCAGAAAGAACCACACTTGAAATAGGTGCAAAATCTCAGTCAGTAGAAGCGTCTTTGCCATGCTTGCGTTTAGCTGGTTACTGAAGAGCTGAAGAAAGTTAAGGGGATAGAGAGTATAATACTGAGTCAGCAAGCTTACTTTTACCTTGAGGTCTGGTCTCTCCTTGACCTTCTTGGCCTTCTTCTCTGGAGGTCCCTTGATCTTGTCTTTTTCTTGGTTTCTCTTCAGCCTCCTCAGCTGCTCTTGAATTCGCCGGCGCTCCTTCCTCATTTCTTCTCTGTGCTGCTCGTCGAAGAGGGCGAACTTTCGTCTGCAGCCACAAAATCAGAGTTTGTTACCCTCACTAGTTTGAAAACCATCAACAAGCATGACATTTATAAAGAAATAATGTAGTTCTGTAATCAGACACAACAGGGTAAATATGAATTTTTATTTTAGTGTTAAGCTGCATCAATCAGACCTGGAGCTGCACTACTCCCAGGAATTGAAACCCTGCACTTTGACTAGTTTGAGACTCACATGAATTCATCGTCCTTGGTGGTTCTGATCCTGGTGTAGGCGTCAATGACGGCAGCCTTGCGTACAGTCTCACAGCGGACGTACTCCTTGCCGTCCTCATCTCTGAAGGTGCGATAGATCTTAAGTCTCCGCCCTGTGGCGGAGGAGTTTAGGCTGGTGACAGAGGATGTGTCATCATCCTTGTGGGAGCTTGTAGATAAGGAGCTCGCTAAGGAGAAAAAAATCAAGTTCACAGTTAGAGACAAAAGCCAGTGCAGAGAAGTCCTTGGTGTACTTACAGAAACACAGACTTACATAAGCCTTTTCGACGCTCTTTACGTCCCTTATTGTCTCGATCACTCTCCTCCCCCATCAGCATCCTCTGCAGCTCTTTCCGCTCCTGCTCCTCCCTCTCTCGAGAAAGCTGTGAGCTTGTTTTCTTGTTCTGCAGCATGTTCTCGATGTTCTTTCCCATCTCCTCAAAGTCACTGTCTTCTGCTGAGCTGCTGTCTGTGTCTGTGGAGAGCACCTCTGTCGACTCTAACACTCTGTAGTGGGTGAACGACAAAGAAAACAATTTAGGATGTGCTTGCATAAAGTCCTGTACGAGGAGATTTGACACTAAAGAAGAGCCTCACTTGTTCTGCAGATCAAAGATCCTCTGGCACTCTTCCTTGTAACGCTCCTGATGTTCCGCGACAGAGAAACGAGAGCCTCGGGCAAACTTGCTCATGGGTCCTTCGCCTGAACGAGCCTGCTCCGTGGACATGGTTCTCACCACGTCAATCACCTCCCAACGAGAAAGCTTCTTGATCTACAACACAAAAAACAGCTTGTGAATATCTTGTGTTTTTCATCAACTATGTGCCAGTATTTGGCTAAAAATAAATCATTATGAATCATCTATTTATCAAACCTGAAATCTTGTTAGAGGACAGTCTCTTTCCTTCATTTACTTCCATGTTACCGCAGTCTTACCTCCTCCTCAGGAACACCAAACTTGCGCAGCAGCTGCTTGGCGTTCTTCAGTGAGAGCCTCCTCAGATCAGCATCTGTTCCAGTCACTGTTTTCTTGGCGGGTTGTGGCTCTTTGTCGTCCTAAAGAAAAAGAAGCACAAAGAATTTTCACCCTCTGCACTTGAACTAAGCAGAAAACGGAGTGCCATACATCCACCGAAGACAATCAGACCTTCTGTTGCGTCGGCTTGTTGGGCACTTTGACGTAGGAGAAACCCTCTCCACAGCCTGTGGGATCTGCCACACCTGTCACCTCCAACAGGCATTTCCCTTTCATGGCAGCAATAAAGGCCCTCGTAGTGTTCCAGGGAGCCGTCCGTACCTAGGAGATGAACAACAAAGATCAACTTCTTTATTATCTCAACTCAAGTGAGGTTAACCCCATTTATAAGAAGCAGCTGCATCATTACCTCATCATCGATCTTCATTTGAAAGTCTTCCTCGTTCTCCTCATCTGGAGCAAAGAAGGATTTCTCACCGTATCCAGCATCCTTGATAGGTTTTAAAATAAGTATTAGTGCAACATTACCCATCAGTCTGAATCATGTGACTCTAATGAGAAACAGTAGCTGTTACCTTGAGCCTCTGCTCTGCCACCTGCATGCTATAGTATGAACAGCACTGCTCTGGAGACACCATCGCCCTGATCTCCTCTTCTGTTGGCAATCTGAAGTCAGGCTTCAGCACCCACCAGTTAGAGTCCATCCCTGTTAAGAAGTTGTTGTTGATACTTTATTTCATTCTGTTAGTATATAAAACATTCAATACAAACAAGGAGAAATCTCAAACATGTGAATAAAAAGGAGCAGAAAGAAGAAAAATCTTACAGAGCCTGCCCCTCATTCGTCAAATTAAGACAGTAGCTGCGTTTACATGGGCACAAATAATCAGAGTAAAGGCCCAATCAGAATAAAAAAGCTTCATGTAAACATATCGACTGGAAGATTCTGATCCACTTTGGCTCAATCGGAAAGAAGTTGTTTTCCAATCGAGACCGGTGGTTTATGCCGATTGTTATTACGAAACACGTCCATGTAAACACTTATTCTGATTGTGACTCTCTTTCCTGACTCAATCTTCACTCTTTAGCCTTTGGTTTATTTATTGAGGTCAGTTCAGGAGGTTTCATTATTAACACTCTGGCATAAAACACAACCACAGGTGCTGTGTCTGCTTCTCCGGTAACATTACAAGGCAAGAATACAGTGCAATGATGTCACATTTGCACTCACCGCACAATCCTTGAAAGAACAGTCAAATAAGTACACAAGGGCGCCATCTAGTTAAAATAATTAACAGGAGGAAAACTCCTGAATTGGATGGAGTGAGCCATTACCACGTTTGTTGGTTTGTTGACAGCACAGGCGTAAATACAACTCTTCTTCTGCGGTTGTTTAAGCGAAATCAGACAACTCTGCACATTTCCAAATCTGAATAATCTGAATAAAGCTTGGTGCATGTATACACACGTCATGATCGGATTGTTTGATTTTGCGTCCATGTTAACAGCGGATTCAGATTATCGGACCCCTCAAATTTTAAACAGATCAAGAAATTTTGCACATGTAAACACGTCTTAAACTCAATCACAGGAGCAGCATTCTCACTCTGCACGTATTTTATGTTAGACTTCTTGTTCAAGAGAAACGGAAAAAGAAAATTACAAACTGCTGATGTGCATGAGTATCAAACATTTGACCCATGTGTCTTTGAACTTTCTTTATTCTAGATCTGACATTGACAATACAATCCACAGAACCCTGCTCAGACTCCTTTCTGTCACACACACTGCAGAGGTCACACAGTCTGAAACGGACCTTTCTACAACCCTAAAACTGCCCTGTCACTGCCTGCTGTAACACAGCTGCGTTAAGTTAGTCTGACAAAGTGATCACTTAATGACGGACAGAGAGGGTGAGTGGGTAAATGAATGATCGTGGCCTACCTGTACGTTTGAAGTCAGCACAGAGTTTGAGCCGTTTCCTGATGCTGCTCTCTGAGTGTGAAGGAAAAGCTTTCTTTATGTCCTCCATGCGGATTCTGCGAGGTCGATCTTTGCTCTTCCAGAAGAGTCGGTAAATGAACACCTAAAGAGAGCAGATGTAAAGCTCAGCGTCTGCAGGAACGGCAGCTTTTTGTTCTGTAGGATGTCAAGCAGCTAAACACACCTGCAGGAAGTCTCTGATGTGAGTATTAGCTCGCTTGGAGTTTGGTCCAGGAACCTCGAACAAAGGGCACTCCTGACCCACGACGATAATGTCCACAAGCTCTCTGATGTAGTAGCCGTGTCGTGTTCGTATGATTAAGAAATCTGTCTCTGGCATCTTGTGCACGTAGATCGGAGCACGGAAAAGGTTGTTTTCAAAAGCCTAAAGGAAAAAAGACAAAATATGTTGTTTTTGTCCGAAAATAACAGCCCAGTGGAGCTGTGTGTAACACCTCCACTCTGAATAGTTGAAAGTGCTCGTCCTGACCTGGAGAAGCTGTCCTGGATGCAGAGAGCCAAGGAAAGGGGACGTGTGGCAGTATATGGTCTCTCCGTATTTACAGTCAGGTGCTCCAGGATCCTTTCCAGGTTTCTGAAGAAAACAGTGGATATGTTATCAAGAGCTTTAACAGCTAAATCAAACAATTTGGTGTCTGCAAGGTTCATCAAATTAAATAGAAAATGTAGAAACTAGTCAGTATTGAATAAACGCTAAAACCATAGTTATACATCAGCTTTAAATCAGTCTGCTTTTATGGTCAATGGAATGCAAGTTAATATTTAAAATAACAAAAAAAAATACACAGATTACACTTTAAAAGGTTTTTCAGAGTCATGTGTAAAGAGCAAATCCTGACTCACCCTTTTGTAGTAGTTTTTGATCTTCGTAGCCATGCCCACTTGCATGATAAGCGGTGGATATTCTTCACTGTACTCTGCCAGGATCAGATCTCCATCTTTGCCTGTCAGGTCCTGAGGGGTTCTCATGAAAAACATGTCTCCTCCCCCGGATGCCTGACGCTCCTGCTCTCGCATCTATACAGGAGTAGGATAAAAAAAGACATTCAGCAAACCCGTAATGCAGCTAATCACTGCAGGGTTAACCTGAGAGTGTTTGCTGTGAGCGAGGCTGCACCTTGGCTTTTTTCTTGATGTGTTTGAGCAGAGGCTGGACGGCATGAGGACCCGGCTGAGCTAAAGCTCCAAATGAGTACTTTTTCAGAGTAGGACGGTGAAACTGGCGTAGCTTCATGGGCCCCATGTGAGTGGGGAAAAAGGGTTGCCTCAGCTCCAGAGCTGGGATAGAGTGCTGTTTAAGACACAACAATTACACAATCAAATTACGTGACACGCTACTCTTTCACTGTTTCAGGCTAACATTTCGAAGGTCACAGCTCTGTGCCACCACATTAATCGTGTCTCACCTGGATGATGTTCCCACCAAAGGTGGCTCTCAGGCCCTGCTGTTTTGGATAGTAAAACTCATCATTGGAGAGGTTCCAGGGGTCCTTCACTTCAGGCTGCGACATGTTCTAAGTTGAATTAAAACACATTTGTCATGTAAGTGACGTTAAAACATTTTCAATAATTTACCTGAGGGTAAAATCCTGACTGCTCACACAGTAGTTCCTGTCATGGTCGCACTGACCGACTGCACCATCCTCAGTTTAAAAAAAAGGAAACTTCTTTGGCAATGAACACCTTTAGCATCCATCATTTCAAATGATTAAACCTCAGCTCTGGTCTGCCCTGGTGAGGCTTTGTACCTGCTGTGGCTCCTCCTTTATCACACCCGTTTTCCCCAGCAGGATGCGGCTCTTTTTGATTGCCGTTTCCTTCTTGTTCTCCTTTGATGGAGAATGGGAAGTCATCTCCTCCTTTTCATTAGGAATTTCTACAAAAGACAGCAACATGCCAATTTCTGTTGAGTAAAAATAAACAGCACTGTAGAGCCTTAAGTCCAATTCAATAATGTATATCCAGTTTGGAAAAAATCAAGCAGTGGTCTATATTGAGCCAAACGAGATGGGAACTTTGATTTTACCCAGGATGATATTTTCATCATTGGGATCCAGAGTAAGAACAGGTGGCATCAGCATGCGATCCATCTCCTGGTCATCCCAGATGATGTTATCTTCCCAGCGTCCATAAACCAGCTCCTCACTGTCGATGGGAAAAATGGAGAACCAGGGAGAGTCTTCCTCCTGAGAGGCTGCGCAGGTACAAAAACAAATAAAGGGAACACAAAATATGAGAAGTTAGGTAAGATCAAAAAGCTGCAGTGTTTTTTAACATTTGTATCTTGACCAAAAAGAAAAAAATATTACCGTGGTTATCGTGGCTGTTTTTGTCCCGTTTGGAGCCAGAGATGGACGAAGCTTTGGGCATAGGTGGGGGCGTCGGTGGAACCAGCTGTGAATTACTTCTTGTCAGACCTGTGAACAGATTATTACATTCCTTTCACACCCACACAAATATCACCCACATCTTTGAGTGCTGCAAAGGTTGATATCCAAAGCTGTCTTACCCTGCTGTGCGTTGTAAGCATTGGCATTTCGGGTCATGCTCGAGGGGAGCCATCCTGCCAGGCTAGCTCTCTGGGTCTTTGTGCCTTTGTGTTTGACTTCCTCGCCATTCCAGATGATATCATCCTCCCATTGCAGTTGAGTAACCATCAGGAAGAGCTCGTCTTCAATGGTTCGTCTGCCCTTTTCTTCATCCTCATCATTATCATCAGTACTGCCATCCACTTCCTGTCTTAGGAACTACAAGTACATGACACAACATCAGTAATGAATAAAGCAGAACTTTTTAGTGTGTGGCCATATTTTCCAGATTGGCATACCTCATGTGTGGTCTCGGTTATTTCTTTGGGTGTGTCATCTCTCTGAGACTCACTTGACTCATCTTTTAGCTTGAATCCATAATTAAAGTTGCTTCCATCTTCAGAGACACAAATCATGTCATACCAGAGCTGGGCCGGACCATATCTCCATTCTGCAACCTTCGGCCGAGACTCTGCCTCCTTGTCCCCGTCACCACAAGTCTGTGAGAACTTTGATTCGACCGGAGCCATCATGGTAATCTAGACGCCACAAAGGAAAAAAAAAAACGCTTATGACAATGAAATATAACTGGGTACTACAGGTCAATATGCAAACTTTAATGGCCATGACAATGTGAGATTTACCTCATCATCAGACAGACACTGCTCTGGGGGAGGAGCGGCGGCAAATTCATAAAGCCATCCTGACTTCTTCTCTTGGTTCTGCTCTGTGGACTCTCCCTCAGGAGGAGGGGTCCCAGGCTGAGGGTCTCTGTGCTTCCTCTTCTTCTTTCTGCGAGCGCTCCTCCAAACTGAAGGCATATTCTTTCCAGGGCCGAACAGTCGCAAGAACCTCAGGACCTGGTTAGACATTTGAGACAGAGGGGATCAGCACAAACCTTCACTTTGAAGTAGTAGCAGGTCTGATTCTCAACAGTTGGGATGCTGATTTGTTGTGTTTGTTCTGTTTTTAATTAAGTATAGGCTCTAAAAGATTTGCAAAAAATCAAATTCTGTTTTTATTGAAGGGTTATTCTGGCGTAAAATTAATTTAGGGCCAAACACACAGGATGATCATAAATGTTCTCCCTTGAGCCTGCGACACCCCGCAGCAGGTGGTGATGGACTGGCCCGAGGTCTCACTACAAACAAGCGGCTGCTGGGAGAGAGTAGGTGAGTTGTGTTTACTCTCCTTGCTAAAGAAATCAGGCAAAGTTACCGCTGTGTATTACTATCTTGCAGTCGTTACTAAAGTTGGTAAAACTAGAGAAGCAGGCGGTCGGCGACAGTCATCTCTCGAGGGGGTGTCTCGATGTTACAGTGTGTTTGGCCCTAAATTAATTTTCCGCCGGAATATCCCTTTAAGCTCCTACACAGTGTCTCAGCTCTTATGGAATTGGAGTTGCAAAGTAAAACCTTAATCAAGGACAGACAAAGGTGCTCTACCTTTCCAGGCCTAAACTCTGGGAAGAGTTGTGTGACACTTGGTAGAGCTTTAGCAGCATCTTTCTGCATGATGCCAGCAAGAGGAAGGGTGAGTCGGTCTGGGGGGCCTCCAGATCCCAAACCTTGGCAGGGCCGGTCAGTTTCTGACTCAGAGTCCGAGGAGCTGCTGAAGTCAACCTTATCACCCGTAGAGGATGGGGCAATAATGGAGGGAAGGATGATGCCATCACCTTCTTCACCAACTACATCAAGAGAGACAATGACAGATTACAGCAGCAGAGACAATCACTCGTCATCTTTAGGTGATGGGATATTAACCTAACATGGGTCAATACTGAGTTTATATCTATATAATTATCTAGTTTCTGCTACATTTCTCCATGGGGTTTTCTTACGTACCACTTGCGCTCGGAGTTGTGGGTTCATCTTTCTTGGCAGCCGTAGGGAGACTTGGTGGGGGTGGAGGAGGCATGAGTTTTGAATCGATGTCTTCACAGTCGGCATCATAGTCGTCCTCATCGTCTATGTTAAAGAATAATGACCATTTTCAATTACACACGGTAAAAGTTGACACAAATCCACTTGTATTTTTGGGCCTGAGTGAGGCCGTATAAGTCGGAAAACTTTAAATAAAAAATATCTGTTTTTGTTCAAGTTCACATCAGTTTTGACCTCCTGGAAAAAATATTGGTGTGTTTTTATTTGAGGGTGACAAAAAATAAAGAAAAGTTTGCTTTTTTTTTTTAGATGAAAGTTGATCACCTGTTTTCCTGCAGGGCTGCAAAGTCCCCATAGCCTGACGATACTTCTTCGTCTCATCTTCTGCAACCTCACTGATGTCAGAATAATCGACTGCATCTTCAGTACTTTTCACCCAGCCTGGATTAACAAAATACAGAAATTTAAAAGCCATTCTGTTCCTGGTTATTTTCATGCAGAGCTCATTTCATATTCAATCTAACCGTCTGAATCCACATTTCCACTTCCAGTCCCTGACTCTCTGCTGTCTTCTTGATCCTCTTCATCATTTGCAGTGATCTCTGTGATGAGTGAACCCAGACCCAGAGTACCCAAACCAGCCAGATGCTTTTTGGACTCCTAGGTGTCAACAAACAGCAGAAATATCAATGGAAGACATAATTTCCAGAAAAAATATTAGTCTAACATACAGCCATGCTTGTACATTGTATAGGGGAGAGTGGGGTAAGTTGAGCCACCCCCTGTTGCTTGGAAATGGTAAAAGAAATTGATCATGTGACCAAATATTTAGGGGTTGGAGTTTATTTCCAAAACAACATTTTTCACTCTTGAAAGTGAATTTATTCTGTCATAAGTTTTATTAGAATTGTGTTCAGAGTGAAAAAGATCATTTTAAATTTGTTTTACACATCAATTGTTGTATCTATGAGCTACAACATAAAAGTCCACCATTTTAGCTTAGAGGACTAATAAAGTCATAATAGTAGTTCTGGGGTAAGTTGATCCAGTGGCTCAACTGAGAAAGTAAAGGAGTCTGATGAGAGGATCAGAGTTTTAGTTCAGATTGTTGAAATAAGTTACTTTTTCTTTTCAAAAATATAGCTAAAAAATAATATAATGTTCTGAGTCACTTAAAGACATTTTCATGTTAAAACAGCTTTTTAGCAGGTATATGCAACAATAATAATAATAAAAAGAGTGATTGTACCTGTAGAATAGCGTATAATAAAAATAAATAAAATAAAAATACACATGAATGTGAAGAAGTGACGGTTATTTAGGGAGAGAGAAGGTGAGGGAGGGCTGGGGTGGAGAGTGGGGGGCAATAAGGATACAGCTCAACTTACCCCGCTCCTATGGTCAACTTACCCCGTGTATGGGGTAAGTTGACCATAGGAGACCACTTTTTTGGCATGCTATACTATCAAGACAGTTATGTTTACACTTATTCTGTTGATTTGCAAGGATGCACAACATCTTGAAATATATGCAGATACACTAGTTCGAGACAAAACTATGATTGCCTTGATGTAGAGATCTGACATGTGAAAAATGACTCATCCTACCCCACTCTCCCCTATAATGAACAACAAAATCGTGATCATCTTAGTTGCAGAAACATGTAGTACTTAGTTTTATCTCTTCATTTGTTTGAATCAAATGTGTTTAAAAACACCTACATTGTCCAGGACACTGTCATCCTCCAGCTGACCATCTTCATTGATGTTTCCAAAGAGAAAGCCAGTAATGGAGAAAGGACGATCCTGGTCTTCGTCACTGTCTGAGTCCGACATCCTGACAGATAAAGAAGAGGTCCCAGCTCAGAAATCAGCCTGATCTTTTTAACTTTAGAGACACTGCGATCACTAAACAACAAGATGATAGAGCTCTTAATATTTTCAGCACATCATAGATTCATGTTTATTAAGGCGAGACCCTGCTGAGTTTCCAGACACGCTTTTAGCTCTTATACCATCTTCTATATATGAAAAAGTACCGGGATTTGAAGTCGCTCAACTTTAATACTCAGCTCATTAGTGTCAGTATTTGTGTTTCCTGCTATTAAGCGAAGCGTTAGCTGTATTGGCTCACTGACTACATAAAAGACAAAATATAAAGTGTGTTTATACTCACCTTTCGGAACCTTACTTCCAATTCAGTCGGTTTTGGTAAAAGCCAGCTCCTATTTTCTATGAATGCTGCTGACAAAAACACACAACTCAGCCCTGCAGAGTAGCTAAGCTAGCATGTTTGCTAAACAGCCTGTATCGTAATACAGGCTGAACGAAATTATACAATAAAAATGTTTCCACTGAACCTGCAACAGTTATGTTAGTTAAAAATATAATATCTGAGAGACGGCTTAAAAGGCGTGAGTTTGGCCAAAACTTGTTTTTGTTTTGTGTTTCTAGTTGCGCTGCTAAATGAAGCAGGCAGCACCGCCGCCGCCTTCTGCTGCAGCGATAGACCCCAATGACCCGGATGGAGAGAGTGAGGCGTTCAGGCACCTCATCCAAACTCGGAAACTCTTGAGTTTAGTGTAGAGCCGGGGGAAAATAGTTCTTAACCGTGTTTGACTGGAAAACGCAGCCCGTTTAGCTCTATCCAAATAAATTTCGCATCAGACTGGAGTCTTTCTAACAAAAAATAAATAAAAATGGGGTGGTGGATGGTTAGTGGATCTCTCTCCTGCAACGTGGAGGTGGCAGGAGAGAAACTCATGGAGTGACCCCCATCCTCCCCTGACTTTAACCCTATTGAGAACCTTAGTTTGGAGCATCCTCAGGCAAAACAGCTATAGGCAGTTCAGACCAGAACAGCAGCTATGAGAGGCTATTCTGACAAGTTGCAAAGAAATTCAAGCAGAAACTGAAGTTCAATGGATGCAAGAATTGTGAAGGTGATTTCAAAGAAGGGGTCCTTCTTAAGGGGCCAAGTTACATATTGATGTGTAACTTGGCCCCTTTAGTTGTTTTGATCAATAGATATGACCTCCTCATGTTGCAAATTCAACAAATGACCATATTCAGTTCTTTACAACCTTTAAAATGTTTTGAAAATTTGTTGTGTGAAAGAATTTGGAACAGTGCATAATGGGTTTTATTATTTTTTTTAAAGATATCATCTGGAGGTTTGTTCAATAAACTTTGAACTGTGCTCTAACAATTGATGACTTGAAAATTGTACTGACTGTCATTCGCACCAAGTCTTTCGGAAAATCAGAGAAAAATAATGTTTGCATAACGATTTGGAACATGGTGTATGTATGCATATCTATGCCTGAGCATACTTTGTATTATTGTAATGAAATACCACCCTGACAGGCTATGTTTACCATTCAGCAAGAGTGTATCTCTACTTTATCAATTAATGTGTTGTAATCATACCAGCAAGGGTGGTTAGTTAAAAAAAAAAATTGGAACATGAATATTTATTTAAATGGAAATGTTGACTGCATAGTTCAAAACTAAACTGAAAATGTCTCAAAATCATGAGGAAGTGTAAGTGACAACTTTTACTCATATAGCCTGGCTTTATATGGCAGTTAACTGTGATTCACTTCTTGGAGGATATCCACATCATTACTCCTGGCACAAATAATATGCCGTTAAAAAGTTCTTTCAAATTCCAGATTTCTACAACTCCACCTTTATTTATGCAGTACATTTTAGTGAGGGAAAATCATCTTTCCTTTACAGATTGTTTCTGGTCATAATGTCTCGCCATGACTGAATGAATGTAAATAAATATGTAAAAGACGCTCTTAAGATATCTGCTCTTTAATATTATTTTCAGTTAGATTTCAACAGTTGAAGGCTACAATTGCATTTTTACTAGTAATGGCTTTTCATCATTTGTCATGGCTCATTTTTTGGTCCGGGTGTTTACCATTTTACTCCAGTACATTGTTTTTTGATCAACAGCATTTCAGACTTTCTGCTGAGATTTATATCATATTAACAGAGGTATCAGGTTTCTTCAGAAATATTTAATAAAAACACAAACAAGAACAGCTTAGCCAGTTTTAATAGTTTTAAAACAGTTGGTTTGGAAAAAAGTACAAAAGTGATCCTGGACGCCACAGTATGAAACCAGCCCAATAATGCAAGGTGAAAGGTGTGTTCCTGTAAAAAGCATCATCTACACACATGTTAATTTCAACTGGCCTTACCATACACATACTGTACTCACTAAAACAGATACAAGCAATAGTTTAAATACAATGGCTGACCCCAGTATTACATTTACAAGTGATTCTTAGAAAACTAATTAAAAGGGAGAAAAAAGAAGAAGTCTGACCACAATGCCAACCGGTGTCTGGCAGTAAAATCATGCAGTATTACAATCGTTCCATTTAAGAGAAACAGCAAAGCACTACAGCTGTCACACAGTGAGAGAGAGGGCAGCCGAGAGGTGTCGCTCTACCAGACAGCCTGTCCGAGTGTTCATTGGTTGATTTATGAATTGTTACTGAGAGAGTTCTCTCCTGTTGAGCAGCAGCTCAGTGGTCACCCTTCCCACATTTGCATACATCATAAAGTTGCACAGGGCCTCCATGAAGGAAAACTTCTCCTTCACAACCGATTTATAAAAATAGAACTAATCCCTATGGAAGAAAACCCCAAAATGTGGGATATTCTCTCAGTATGTTGTGAGGAAATAAAAAAGCTAGGAAATACAGTTGAATAAATAAATTGCATGACATCCATAAAAATTCAGTGGATACACTGAGTCGACAGAATGATATCCACATATGCACACCATGCTTTTTTTTTGTTTTGGCCCGGCAGTGTTAGAAACAAGGGCTCCATCCTCCATCCAAAGTCACATCCTGTGATCCGGTGGAAAAGTCGCCGTAAAATATCTAAAATAGGTCGATATTTAGAGAAAGGTTTCTTTGATTGAACAGTTGTTTCACCATGTACAACATGGTTTCCGGCTTTACCCAATTAAGTTTTTATCGATGTCAATGGCAATGAGGGAACACAGGAGGGAGACTTTCACAGTGTTAAACAATGAAGCCGCTCTGTGTTGTTACCCGCTGGCCGGCCTTTTGTTAGGGGAGCAGCAGAGAACTTCCTGTCCGGTCAAACTTTTTTCCTTTGGAGAGGGCAGCTACTTGTTTCATCAACTCCCTGTTCTTGGACTGTGGAAACACAAGAGGGACAGACATGAAAAATGAAAATTAGCTTTAGAACAGGTTTCATAAGATTGGCCATCCAGATTCGAGCAGAAGAGTCTTTACCCGCATGACGTAAGTTTAAATATTTTCCCTTCACTAAAAAATTCCCCTTATTTATTGCATAAATCCCCTACCACAAAGTCACAACAACAAAATCAAAATCAAAGCAACACCAAGTAAACCCCGTGGAGTTTAACAAGAAATTGTTCAACTTGTGCACCAACCATATCCTTAACAACTGACAACAAACTTAAGCGACACGTGACTCATCCGTGTATCACACTGGCACATATATGGTCAATGTAGTGTCTGTCAGTCTATAAACTGGTAAACACTTATTTCAAATAGTAAGAGAGATACAAATTTTTAGTCGACTCTTTCTACAGATTAGATAAACCGATGTGAGAATACACTGTCCTGGACAAATGTGTGAGACATCTCTTCGCAGTGGGAACAAAGTAAATGCCATGTACACAGGTTTCTAGCCATGGCTTATTTGTAGCGAATTTAGTATTTAATTACCATATTATTCTAGATTTTAGATCCTGCTAATGAGCAGGAGTCCATTCAAAGAAAAGGAAAACCAATACCTGCAAAGTCTGCCACAAACAGTTCCACCCTCATGATGTTGAAACTGTCAATCAAATGCTCACTTTTACACACTTTTGTGGCATCTGTACACACACTCTCATACCTGCTGTTGCTCCATTGACTCTTTGTGCGATTTCTCCATTTGGTTCATTTTCACTCTCATGTTGGACTCTTGGTACTGAAAGTCAGCTTTGAGCTCTGTGAGCTAAAAGAGGATAACAATCAATACAAGGAACAAATACAACTAACCACAAGTGAGACAGCTTTGGTAAGGCTGTGGGGACATACCTTTCGGTCCTTCTCTAAAATCGTCTGATCCCTTTGCTGTAGAAGTCTCTTCAGAGACATCACCTCCTCTTTCAGCTGGCTGATGAGGATGAAGTTGTCTGTTCCTCCAGAGTCCATTGACTGGGTGATGGAACTACTAAGGGGAGAAAAATAAAAAGGTTAACTCTAATTTAAGTTATACATAGTTACATTTAAAATACCATGATTTGGCCTTTTCCCAAATATGACAACACTTTCCACACCTGTCCCCGTTTGATGGCTTCATCTCCAGTTTTGGTTTCTTCTTTGGAGTCTCCTTCTGGATCGAAGACGACTTATGGCTGCACAGAAAATCAAGAGCTACAATGAGAAACATGTCCCCAAACTCAAACACAATATTGTTCTCAGATTTAGTGCAATGATGGTGAATTTGGTATGAAAGTTTTACCTCTGCTTCCACAGTCCCTGCTCTTGTTCTGGACTCAAGCTCCCACTCAGCCTGTGGAGAAAATGTACTTGTGAGTCTAGTTTTCGAATAATCGGTTTTGTTTAGACAGCAAAATAACTCAGACATACACTTTTCCCCTGTAGTGACTGGTTGCCTTGGGGATTAAACAGTAAGAAGTGACAAAACTGACATACTTGTGATGAGAACTGCTGTGTCTATGTTGGTGGTGGTGGTGATGATGGTGAGGTCTGGAGTGGTGGTCTTTCTCATTCAGGGATGAAGAGTTGGAGGAGCCAAAGCCCTTCCTCTGCTCCTTGGTCTTCTGAAGGACGCGGCGGTAGGAGAGAGTACAGAGCCAGCACAGCAGTTTGCCATCCACCTGTGACACAGGGCCAAGTCAGTGGTTTTGAAGGCTCGCTGAGAGATACCGACTGTTGAATAAGACTCTACTGTCCAATCCCAAACCGCCCCACACACACTCCCCCTCCGGAGGCTCCGCCATATTGAAGGTCATCCCAAACCACAGAGTGCAGAGGGGGAGTGTTCCCTCTGCACTCTGAGTGTTTAGCCCTTCACTAGCGAGTCTGCACTGGTGCACACTTCCGCACTACAATTTAGCTCCCGTCACTGTGATGGTTGCTGGATTTATGATTTTACTGGGACAATGAAAAAACGAGGCAGCCAGTGCGGCTCAGAACTGTACATGATGCCCGTTTACTAAGAAAAGAAACACTGCCATGCACAGGACGCTCTGCGTGTTGCTATGGTGAAGAATTTTTCTGTTTTCCGGTGGAGTGAGGGGGCGTCCCATACACGCCCGTCTTGTTTATACTCCCCCATTTCAACTGAGGCGCACTCCTTAACTGCAAGTGTAACTTCATTACGGGTGACACTCGGTAGTGAAGGGCAAGTGTGTAGGGGCGGTTTTAGATTGGACCTCTGTGTGTGTGAGATTTATACCTTTCTTCTTCCCTCCTCCTTGCGATCAAAAGCACACTGCTGTTTGCACTGCTCACAGGTCTGTGGAGGTCCATATTTCTTCTCTGAGTTGGTACAACGCTGACACTTCGTCCCGATGAAAGCTGCGATGATGTTACAGTACTGACAGGGTTTGGGCTTGAAAGACAGCAAAAGACAAAGTTCAGACGTGACTCAACATTAAACGGTATCAAGTGAGTACAACTTATTGACACCTAAGGACAAAAGAAACAGGAAAAACTTGTTACTCACTGTTCCAAACTGTTTGACGTTCTGAGCACATTTCTTGCAGATTGTGTTAGTTTTACTATAAAGACAAACAAGGTTTTAATCCACAATAAATGTAAAAAAAAAAAAAATTTAAATAAATTGTTTGTTGTTAAAATTCACATGTGTGTTTTATGACAGGGTGTATATATCTTACCTTTCCTGCTGAAACTCAGACCTGCAGTATGTGCACTTCACTATTGGATGTGCAATGCGACACTCCTGTGGAAACAAAGCAAAAAACCATCAGTGCGTTCAAGAACATATTTTGAACATGTGTAGGCATAATGTTAACATCAGCACAACTAGATATTGGTTTGTCTGACACCAATTGTCTCCAACATTTGCAAAAAATACCAGCACCTGAATGTTAGGGTGTAGGCAAGAAGTCAAGAAAAGAAGGGACAAAGATTTCTTCCTGTCAGTTCAGACATTTTCATGCTGGGGTTTGGCAGTGTGTTAAACAAACAATTCAATAGAAGAAATAGATCAATTAAATCGCCACTGTCTGATTGGCTATGGTCATAAGGCCAATACAGACACTTTGTTTTTTAAGATCACACTTTCCCCCATCCTGATTTATGGCATATTAAGAGTGTACATAAACCTAAAGTTATATATGGCTTCTGAAATTAAACAGGATAACACAGTTTATTACTGCTTCAGGCATAAATAATAGTCCTGTTCTGAGATCTAATAAACCTCATATATTTCTCTATTTCATAGATCCATAAAGGAAATATGCATGAAACATGTTATGTGAATGTCTTTAAGGAATTTAACATGATTATTTTAATCATATAATTCAGCTTGTACTTGATTATTTTGATCGTTATAGATGGCTTAGCAGAAACCTAGAAGCCCCTAGTGGCAATATTTAACCAAGCCAAAGTTTTCGTGTTAAGTTAATATGATAAATTGTTAATTAAGTAAAATACATTTGTTTCTTTTTTGTAACTGTAATATGATTGTATCTAGGGCTGGGTGATATGGGAAAAATTTTATCATGATATATTTTTTTCATATCAGTCGATATCGATATATATCAAAATATAAAAAAAATGAAATTTAACAGTGCTTATTGGTAGCATGTCTTTTGCAATACAATAAGCTACTGCATCTGTGAGGTGTCTGTGTCTCTTCGACATTTTGGTGTAAGAGAAAGCAGACTGAGTAGTAGGCTGTTTTTAGCTTTAAAGTGCTATGGTTTGCGTGTAGCTGCTGCCTGCTACTACGCAGTTGTTTGCTACTTGGTTCTAATTCAGCACATGATTGGTTCAACGCAAAGTGGACCTACAGAAACTATCGCCCAGTCCTAATTGTACCATATTATCGGTCGACCACTTGTGAATGATTATTCCTCTCTATTCAAAAATCCCAGATTCACATATATGATCATTATGCCGTTTATCAGTGATGACTGAGAGCGGTTTGAAGACAAGTGTAAACAGAGGGCTCCAAAGACGCCTGCCTCCCTCTGTGCACCACGATCAGAAATTTGGAGCTCCGTCTGAGCAACAAGTTGAGGAGGAAATTCATTTCTTGGTAATCTAAAAACTGGACTACCTCAGACTGAACAGATATAGAGACAGTATGAAAGTGTATTTAGTATACAAACGCGGCTAGAGTTGCTGTATTTGTGTGTCCAGGTTGGAGAGATAAGAGCTGTTACATAATCTGAGCCTGTTTAACTAACACCATCACTCTCAGTCGGCAATAACACTGGCACGCTTCCTCACTGTGTAAACTCGGGATGTTAGTGTCTTGTCTGTGGTCATCCAGCATCACATCTTCACATACCTTACACAGCTGCTGGCCCTGCGACAGCTCCTCGAAGGGATATCGCTGGTTACACTTGGTACAGGCGTACAGAGCCGATGTTGCCATCCTCGCTAAACTACTGTTTTTCGGGCTAGCAGAGGTTAGCGGAGTCCAGCTGCAAACCGAGCGGATTAACAACGCTCTAGTCTCTTTCTAGCCGCTTGCTAATTTTGAACTAAGTCCACACACTGTGTTGGCATCCAGCGTTAGCTAACGTTAGCTAGCACGGCTAGGTAGGGCAGCACAGAAATAGCTTAGCTGGAGGGAGCAGGCGAAGAACAATAAACTCCAAATTTCACTAATCCGTCACTGCTCAAACGTGATCAGATCACGGAAACTTGAGGTCAATCGGCAGTTACACCGCCAGACGAGCAACCCGATTGTGTAGGTATATCTATTTAGATTAAGTTTCCAGTGTTCTCGCCAAGAAAGGTATTTTCCTGTTTTCCTTCTCTCTTTTTGTACCGACGCCGTCGTCGTCATGTAACCGGAAGTGGCATACGGCTCCAAGAGAAAGGAAACCTATCGCGACACAACATCCGTCCGCGGGATTCACAGTTTGAAATCAACAGAGCCAATCACACGTCAGGGTTCATTCAACACAATTCAAGATCATTTTATCGTGACATTAACTAGTTTATGTTGTAACTGCGTTGGTCACGAGTATGAGGAGTTCTTTTATCAGTAATGTAGTTTCATAAACAGAGAAAACAATTCGGTCACAATGTTTTCTTTATGTAATTTTTTGTTTTTTCCCCTGCCTGAACATGCATTGTCGCTTTCACATATTGTTAAGTATTTCTCACTGATATGTTTTTTCAATATTGAAATTACTGTATTGAACTGATTCTGCTATGCTTGGAATTGTGATTTTGTTATAAAATATAGAATTTAAAAAAGAAAGAAAGAAAGGAAACCTATCGCGACACAACACCCGTCCGCAGGATTCACAGTTTGAAATCAACAGAGCCAATCACACGTCAGGGTTCATTCAACACTACTCAACACTACTCATTTTATCGTGACATTAGCTCATTTATTAATATATATATATATTTTTTACATTAACTAGTTCATATTGTAAATACTGTGGTCACTAGTATGAGGGGTACTTTTAACAGTAATTAAGTTTCGTAAACAGAGGAAACATTTCTGTCACAATGTTTTCTTAATGTAGATATTTGAATTGTACTTTTTATTTTTATTTTTTTACAAAAAGTTTGCAGACTTTGTGTTGTTGCTACTTGTGATTCATTTTTAACATCCAGCAGGATATTGAGCATTAGATATTATTGATGGATACATTGAAGGAGGTACAGGGGGGAAGACGGGCATTAACTACCGGGTGTTTTCACAAATTATTAATATATTATTTATTCTATTTTTGTTGTATTTTTTTGTTAATATAATTTTATTTTGCTGGAGACTTATTGATTTTATTGAGTAAATAAGAAGGGGTAGGTTTTTAAAAAAGCATAATGCTTCATCTTACTCCTTTGCGGACGTGTCGGGTTCGCATTATCATTATTATTATTATTTTTTTTTTGTTCTATTTTAAATTTTTTGCTTTGATTATTGTTATTGTTGTATTCAATATTCTCACTGGTAATGTTTAATTTTGGTGTTGTACGCACATGTTTGAAAAAAATAATAAAATGAAACAAATTAAACTGCACTGTATTCAGACTCCAGGAATAGAACAGCTGGGTCTCCAGAGGAGTGGTCAGTGTGTACAAGAAGGGTGCCCTGATTTACCCTGGTTCCAGGCCATATTCTGTGCAGAGCCTACATTAATTTTAGTACTAAAAAGGAAAAAATTCAATAATAAAATTCAGTTTAGTCAATGTGGTATGAAGCAGAAGCTGGCATGGTCAAATAAAGCTGTGCATAGGCCATAACTTATTATAGCTTCAGAAATGTCGAAGAGTCAAAAACTGTCCTGCTTGAGTTTGCATGAATAAATAAACACATATCTTTATATATCACATAAAGTTAACACATCCTGCTGACCAATCATTGTAAAAGTTCCACTTCCCTTTGCTGAAATAACCAAAAAAGGCCGCCATTTGAAATTCTCTATACTAAAAGACAGACACATTATCAGTGTATATCCCTTAGAGTTTGGAATTTCCCCTTAAATACAAGCAGTAGGTTTAATTCCAGGCTTAGCTCATCTTTCTGCTTGTATGAACCCTTGGCTGGTCTTGAATCAGTTTAACCCCCCACAAACTTTGTTTACAATACAAATCATCTTTAATCAGTTATACTTAAGTTATTAGAAAGTCACAACAAAAGTTTGGGAAATGATTTCTCTTCAGTTCAAAATGTTTTAAACCAAACTCACACTTGCTGTCTAATGTCAAGTTTAATAGTGAAAGATGATGTTTAAAGATCGATTCCAGGACAGAATTGCCCCCAAAAATAGAAGAGCTAAAATCATTTCTTTTGTATCACTCCATACAAAATGTTCATACTTACTGGTGTATAAGCATGAACAAAACCAGAGATAATTGTCCCAAATGTCCTGCAGGCTCTGCAACTATTTGGGACACTAAGCCGGCAGAAACAAAGACGATTACTGTTGTGTCTAAAGTAACAAACAAGGCTGACACTCCTGAGTTCAGTCTCATGTTCATTGCAAGTTTTTACAAGCAAAGAGGAAAGTTTTACCAACTCTTTATTGGTCATTTTTCAAACTTTTAAAAAACTGTGCACACTTTTCACGCAGTCATTCAAAGGAAGGCACAAATGTCCCATCAGATTTGTCAGACCAGAAAAAAAAAACACTCAAAAAAGTTATAAGTAAGACATTCTGCTGTGTATAAAAAGAAAATCAGCTGATGGCTTTAAAAAGCATCTGCAAGAGATGTCCTCATGTTAACCATTTGAGTAACTGGATCGAACAAATGAACTATTGCATATTCTGTGTTGCTTATTAGTGTTGCATGGGAACATATTTAATCAATCCATGACATGAGACAGAGTGTGCTTGTGAGCCATAAATACTAGTCTCACTGAAGGATAATAAATAATGTTAACCGGTTAAAAAAATGAAACTATCAAAACTTAACTCACTCAATGAGAAAGAATGCTTATTACATTACATATGATGTATTATTAAGAAATATTTGGTCACAACAATCTAAAAGCACAGACTTTTTTAATGCACTTAATCTATGACTACTTTTTATTATAAGAGGAAGCTAGCGTTACAGCCCTTTAGCTACATTATGACACAACTCAGGAGCCACTAAGGCCGTTTTAGTGCTCGTGTTTTGAGCTCAAGTGTTATTTTTGCAGCAATCTATATCTTTGCAAATACTACTGCTGTATTGCTTTCAAATTAAAATTTAACAGTCTTAGTGTGGAGGAATAAAGCATGTGTTTCAATTAAGTGTATAAGGCATTCTTATTTCACCTGCATAATATTAGAGTATACTTCAAAAACACTGATTGTAGATGTGTTAAAAAGTACCCCCTCTGAACCGTGGCGAAAGAGTACAATATGGCTGTAATGAAGAAGTCTGACACACACATGGACTCTAACCTGTGATATAGGCAATTACAGTGATCTGCTAGATCAGGTTTTTTTTCTGAAAGGTGTCGCCAAAAAATGCACACAGGCTCTTTATGGTGTCTACTGTCACCTTAACTACTGTATATCAGCTGCTCACAGACAGGATCCAGCTCCTGTGATCTGCACTGGGATCATCAGGTGTCAAACAAAGGTCTGCACTGGAGTGATGGAGCGTGTCGGAGAGCCTGCCCTCTCAGAGGAAGATGAGGCTGAGCGATTGGTCACCTCTCTCTGTAACTCATCGACTCTCTTCTGCAGCTCTGCGCGCTTCGCCAGCAGCTCCTTGTAGCGCTGATGGACTGGTTCCTGATAAATGCAAAACTCAAGCTCAGTAACTTTGAAGGGATATTTCGGCATAAAATTAAGTGAGGGTCAAACACACCATAACACTGAGTTGGACACCACCTTGTGAGATGAATGTTGCCGACCGCTTGCTTCTCTAGGTGCTGTTCTGAGCATTATTTGTGGCTATAGAGTGGCTTTTTTGTTTGAGGTTTGTGTGTGGCTCCTCAGACTGCTGTGTATTGCTATCATGCATTATTAAAGTTGGTATAACTAGAGAAACAACATTCATCTCTTGAGGGGGTGTCTAACTCAGTGTTACGATGTGTTTGACTCTAAATTATTTCTATGCCGGAAGATCCCTTTAAGAGGGATTGTACAGACTGCAAGCATTTTCTATGCCATGAAAAAATCATCAATGACATCAGATGTTTACCCTGAGACAGGATTCTGCACATACCTGAGGTCTCATGCGAGGGTTCCAGCGAATGTAGTAGCCAACCCAAAGCTCCAGATGACGCAAGCTGACTACAGGGAACAGCACATGGTTGGAATAGTTCACATACAGAGGATTGGTGAACTCCTCCAGCTGGCTGTTTATGTAAGACCACAATGACACAGTCCTCTTGGGAATCTCCTATAAAATAAAAGGTGCGACTGTAAGACGCTGAGCACAGCAAACTGCCATACAAGAACATATCAGCCTCATGTTCATACCACGATCATCAGGTGTTCTTACCTCCTTCAACCTCTGCTGTTCACTGTTACACAAGAATGTCCCAAACAAGCAGCTGTACAGGTGGTCCAGGATGGTGACCAGGAAGTATTCATTAAACTCGAATGCTGCAGGAAACTTCGATGAAACCAGTGCCATTAGTGTCAAAGAAAGAGCATGTGATTCAGAGTTTTTCCATATCAGCCCATTTATTACTTACCTGGCGAGTCAACTGCCACACACAGTCAACGAACTGAATAAAAACAGGGGAGCGGTCTGCATCTGTGTGGTTCTTATCCCCATGACCAATGCGCTGCAAGAAACAAAGAAGAGAAAAAGTGATGCATCTGGAGAGGCCACCAGACTTGATAGTATTTACATTTTAAAAAATCGATGAAAATGAAGATTTACCAGCTGGAAGCGGTGACCAAAGCTCAACCACTCTTTCTCAAGCAGCACCTCAAAGCCGCGGATGGTGCGGTAGTAGCCGTCTAGCATGAGCATGGCCAACGAGGTGAGCTGGGCTGTGCGGTCCCAGCCGTCGCTGCAGTGTACAACCACGGAGGTCTTCCCAGACTCCACCTTGTCTGCAATCCTCAGTGCTCCTGCCAGGATCAACTTAAAAAGAAGAAACAGACACACTCAGCTATGTCTGATTGCAACAGACTGTTATTTTGCCACCTCTACCAGGGAATTATCAAATTAAGGCGAGGTGAAACTGACAGCTGATAAAGCATAAAACTTCAAATCAGGTGCTGCAGTGATTTATATGATTTCAGCTCCTTGTTTTACTCCACCACTGGTAAAGATGTTCACTCATATGGGTAACAACAGCTAGTTTTGCTCATTCAGTGTAACAGAATATTTTCAATTAAAGAAATATAATAATTTTCAATCAATATTTAGTGTAAAAATACTGATTAATTGAGTAAATGACTGTATTATAAGGAGGATCATGTAAAGCAAGCAGGTTGTTATACCTGGGGAATCCATCCAGGGTGAGATAAGACCCTTCTACTTAAGGTTCTGCTCACCCGGGTTTTAATCCTCTGTTACACCCCACTCTAAGTTTACATTGTTCCTCACATGATGCTTACCTTGATGTGCTCCAGCCAGTGAGTGGACTCCAGATTTGAGAGCCAGTGGGAGTCCTCAATGTTGGGGTAGACCACATCCTTCAGCTTGCGAAGTGACTCTCTCATCACATGGATGTTGTGGATATCTAAGAACACCAGCTCGGCGTTTTGATACGCATCCTCGCTTTCATATCCGCCCCCTTTCATCTAAAAAAAGAACAAGGACAGATCGTTCTTAGCAATATGCATAAACATGATTCCAATAACAATAAAGAGATCTTAACAATTCAAAAGACCTTGTTGGCAGCAGCATTGACACTCGGCCTTGCGTCAAAAATGAAAAGCTTGTGGGACTGAGCATTAGCATCCATGATGGCCTGGAGGTATTTCTCGTCCTCTTTGCTCCGTTTCCCGTTTACTCCAACCATTGGCTGGCTGCAGCGTGTTACAGTTGCCTGGCTCTCTGGGTGGATCCATGACAATACCTGCCCGAATGAAATAACAGATTACAGACATTACAAACAGTCCATCGCACGTGCAGAGCAGAGGAGGAGTTTTGAGCTGTGAACTTGTCACTCACAGGAATCCTCCCTTTCGCTCTGAAGGCAGCCACTCTCTTCAGCTCCTCATCCGGCATGTTGACAGGCACGGCCAGGGTGGATGGGTAGGTGTCACAAAGTTCATAGTGGTCGTTAACTTTTGTTATCCTCCAGCTTTCATTGGGTATACCCTTTGACATCAAGCAAAACAAACCATGTGATGCACTTTTCCCACCAATAAGCCCAGAAGTTTGGCCTTGTTCATTCAAATACCTGTCTTTTATATTCAGAGACAGCGTCATACACCTTCCATCCGTTTTCAGGAAAGACTTGCCCGTAATCAAAGGCAAAGATTTGCTGTGAAGACAAAGAAGGCAGAAAATCATGAGTGGACTGACGGTGCAGAGCTACACTGACACAGAACGTGTGGCTGAGGATCACTCACCAGGCTGTTGGAAACAGGAAACGCAAATTTCATCAGCACTTCAAAAACGGACTTCCTCAGGGTGTCATCCATTTGCTTGTGTGCAAATCGCAGATTTCGCATATCCTGCAGAAGGCAAGCAAAGCAGCAAGTCATGGCCAGACTCAAGGGTCAACAGCTGGATGTGGGTAGGATTAAGCTTGTTTTTTTGGTTTTTTTGTCATCTAAAAATGTATAAGAATCAAAGTTTAAAAAGCAAATCAGGTCAAGTCAACCTGGATCATTATAACTCTCTTCTCACCTTGCAAACTAGCCCATAGGACAAGTCACCACGGCTTGAAGCACTTCCAATTTTTTCCACACGACTTATCACCCCAAGAGGCAGATCCAGCACAAATGCTGGCTCCTAGAAATTAAACACACTTGATTAAAAATAAAAAAGGCTCCTCTTTCAAAGTTTTTCTGAAAAAACTAACTAACAAAAAATTATTAAACATACCCTGTCCATGCATCTGAAGAAAAGTCTGTAGTTGGTCACTGTCACTGTTCCCCTCAGTGCTCCAATGAAAGGACAGAAGTAGGTGATATCTTGGGCTGGAGAGTAAAAATGGAAAAGATGATCAAAAAAACTTGACTTAGTAGAGTCAAAAAGTGATTTCAAATGGTTTTGATGTAAGAACAACTATTTCATATCTATTGAATCAAAGCTATTTGTGGATGGGTGACTGCAGCACAGAGAGAACTGACCCATGTCCTGCACAGTCTCATTTGGAAGCAGCTGTGGTTCCTCTTTGTCTGATTCTCTGAGCACCTTCTGCAAGAATGAAGTCTGCATTAGACCGACATAAAGAGCAGCTTCTCAAGATGTCAAGTTCAGAGACACATTTTGAGTTTGATAGTTGTTATGACTTGATGTACCTTTGCAGAAGCTTTGGGCTTGACCTGACGGGACAGAAATGAAGGAAAGTCATTCACTAGTTTATCATAAGAAGGAGCAGGATCCAAGGTAAATAAAAGCAGGTTACTTACTCTCATCTCTGGGGAGAGCTCTGTGGAGGTGGCCACAGAATCTGAGGACATGGCGGAGGGTGGTTTTGCCTGAGCGGATCGGTCAGAGCGAGAGGTGGAAGTACTAATGAGGGATAAACAGAAGAGGCAATGACAGGAAGTTCAAGTCTTAAAGGGATTTGTTAACCACTACTTCTTCATTTGTTCCAAAATCACAACCTGATGAAGTTATGAGACGAACCAAACCACTGATTTTAGACTGAATATGCTGAATAGGAACATAAATGTTAGACTGGTTGGTGCTTAATCTATCATCTATCACTCCATTGAAAACTAATCATATGCTTCGTTTCTCTATACACTGATGATCCATAACATTATAAACAGCTGCTAAATCTATTGCAAGCCAACACAACAGCTCTACCATGAGGTCTACATGTCCAGTTCCTGATGTCATGGTCAAGAACTGAGGTGGTATTTGTTATTTACAACGCTCTCAGGGTCCTGATGAGGGTGCGCAAACATGAGCACATCACCCCCATCCTTCCCACTCTGCACTGGCTCCCCGTCCACCTCCACATCAAATTCAAAATCCTCCTCCACACCCATCACTGTCTTCACGGTGCAGCCCCCACCTACCTCACTGAACTCCTCACCCCACACACGTCTGCACCCGCCCAAGACTTGGCTCAAGACCATGGGTGACAGGGCCTTTGAGGCTACTTTTACCTGTCTGCGGAACACTCTTCCTGACTACCTCAGAGCTCCACAGAAAAGCCTTTCTGGGCTGGTTTTATTTTCTGACTGTTGTTATTTTTATTTGTTGTTTTTTACAATTGCCTTTTACTGTATGAACTTTGAGATTTGTTTTCTCAAATGTAAAGCGCAATATAAATAAAATGTATTATTATTATTACTTATCTAAATTGACTGTTAAAGTTGTCCAACGTGCTGATGGTGCACTGGAGAACACCCCTCATGTTTGTAAATGAAGTGGACAAAATATATAAATATAGGAAAGAGCACCTGAAATATGATACTCATCAGCACACCACCAGCACTCACTAGGTCTTTAGTAACAAATATGAAGTACAATAATCACCTGCCTGATCATGTCGACGATTAGACCTTTAAACACCTCCAGGCAGTAGACATGTATTGCTGTTGTATTGAGCTGCATTACACTGCCTGTAAGTACCTAATGTTGAGGTAGATGAGTGTCTATACAGCAGTATATTTGACTCTGGTAACTTTAACTAAGCATTTATCTTTGTCTTCCAGACCTCGGGTTTGGCTCACAATGACAGCAGCCATTAAATGATGCCCTCATTTACTGTCAGCGTCGGTGGTCTTCTTCATAATGGCAGTCAGTACACAACATCATCTATCGAGGTTAAACACTCACTTCTGGACAGAGTTATGAAAGCTACGAGGACAAGACGTGTGACTTTACAACCAAACTACATTAGTATACCGCCATTTGTAAGTTTAGAAACTTATACATAGCTTAAAACGCGGTGTTTTTGTGGGTGTTTGATCCTACCTGGACAATGAATCAACACTTGGCTGACGTGAAGAGGAGCGTTTCGAGCCCAAACTGTCGACACTCCCACTTTTCTCCATCTTTTCCAACTCACAGTGATTGTTTGAACCCCAACTGTGTGCTAGAGGTCCGTGTGTTCGCTACAGAAAGTGTTCAAGTAGCTCGTCGGAGAAGCGTAAATCCCAACCTACAAAAGGAAGCTGCCATCTTTTCCCAGCAGCCTCCCAATCCTGTCACAAGAACGCTATTGTTCGAGATGATGCCCCCTGCGGGCCGTGCATGGTGTCGCACTCCTCCCTCAGTGAAGTTGAAACACTGTATATATACTGTATATATAATTCAGCCTGCAGACTTTGAGTCGCAGATTCATCATGTATCACAATCAATGGGGGACGATATTTTTCCCCACAGGATGTTTTAAAATCATACCTTCAGATAGTTAATCTCATAGAGTTATATCAATGTGACTATCAATGTGGTTTTGTACGGTGACCGAGAACCGCCACTGCTGCAAATAAAAAACAGAATGCAAAAAAAAGCCACAACGAAAGTTACCGATATATATATTAAAAAAAAAAAAAGACACTGAAGCTTGCTGCAAATAAAATAAGAAACGGTGCAGGTAAAAAAAAGAAAAAAAAAAAAGCCACAACGGAAGTTAATGACAAAAGAGATCATTATTGGTCCCCGACAACTTACTTCTGTAGGTAACTTTTTTTTTGCATCCTAAACTTCTGTTGTGTTTTTTTTTTTTTTTTTGCATCCTTTTATTTTCAAGGTAAGTAATTATTTTTTTCCATCCCCATTTTTTTTTTTTTTGTGTCATTAACTTCTATTGTGGCTTTTTTTTCTTTTTATCCGCACCGTTTCTTTTTTTATTTGCAGCGGGCTTCAGTTCCTTTTTTTTTTACATCGGTAACTTCCGTCGTGACTTCTCTTTTCTGCATTCTTTTATATTTGCAGCCGTGGCAGTTCTCGGCCACTGTAGTTTCGGTTCTGTTTATCTTGTCCAAGTTTAAGGATCCTTTGATACCACATATATTTGGATCAAAAGTTCAGTTCATAAAAGCATCGGACGCAGGATTAACATTTCACTCCTTAGTTTTTATATTTAACTGTACTTATAAACTCATTGTACAACACTGCATCTTTAAACTTCAGTAGTTTACTTAAAATATGTAATAGAATTAATTTTTGAACAATCTTATGATAAAAATTGTTTTTTAAATCAAAGGTTTGAATGGATTGCTTTAAAATAATGTCACTTTATTCAAAAACCACACAAGCCATTTACGACACAAGCTTATGTTTATTGAAATAAAAAAAATACAGAAAGACTCAAATGTTGAATCACATTAAACAATGCCATCCAAGTTTCAATAAACTTTAAAGTATGTAACTTATTTATGTACAACATTTTGGGGGGTTTTCTGTTTAAACACAAAATGCATTTTAATACAGAAAGTATGTGAATGCCGTTTACTATTGTTAGCAAAGAGGAAAACAGAAAGGAAGAAAAAAAATTCTAAAAATAAAATAAAATCAAGACACATTCAGTCCTCTATTTTACATATTTTTCCATAAATTTCTTGTGAAATTCAGAGCGCAGTGTGTCATTCACAAAACGTTTCTCTTTCCGTGCTTCATCCACTCCTTTGGCACAATTCTTGAAGACAACATCGTCATCCCACCTGGAAAGATTTTCACACATTAATTTTTAAAGTGTAATATTATGAGAACAGTATTTTTTTTTTTCAAAATACAGCAATCATTGTGTTTGTGTGTGTGTTTGTACTCAGGTGGGATACCTTCTCTTGACCCTGAATGTATTCTGAGTCTGGGTCATTTGTTGCTGCTGTCCTGCCAAATTAATCAGTGGATTGCCACTCAAGATGTTCTCCATGCGAATCCTCTCCTCCTCTGCCTTCTGCTCCCGCTCCTAAGACAGGGAAAGAAGCAAAATCACACAACACAAAGAGGTTGAAATTTACCCCTTTCATCCATAACCCCATGCCGTGATTTCCAGAGTGCAAGTACAAGCACTAGAGTCCTAAACAAAAGCTTACTTTGCGTTCTTGTTCTTCAGCCCGCTCCTTCCGGATCTTCTCCAGCTCTGCAAGAAGTGCTGCAGTATTGTCGTCATCACTGTCCTCATCAGAGTCCTCATCCTCATCGTCCTGTAAACAGGAGAGTGCAATTAGTCAGGGATATTAATCAAAATTAATCATCCCTGAGCAGGAGCTGTGCAGTGTAAGCACTCACATCAGTTAGAGGGTCATCGGCATCAAGGTTAGCTGCTGGGATCTGATCCAGCCTGGGCCTCTTTGAGGATGATGATGATGAAGATGATGATGATGTGGTGTGTTCTGAAAAATAAAGGTAATTGAGGTGTCAAAAATATAGATGTCATGGGTTTAAACTTAGTCATAAATATTCAATGAATTATCAATCTAATGGTTAATGAAATAATCAACCTCTTGGCCCTCTTTCTCTGGTCTTGTCACGTGCAGCTACACGCTCCCTCTCCTCCAGCTCTCTGCGGAAGTCACGGGCGCGGACCTCCTCGGGAGCATCCTGGGTCGGTTGCCTAAAAACGTTGAGTAAATAAAATTAAACTGAAATATGCTAACAGCTTCAAATGAACTCATCCAGTGGTAACAGTCCAGAAAATATGACATTGGGTGTTTTTCAGTGCCTGGCTATAAAGCAAGCAATAAATAAACCAACACACTTTAGGTATCACCTTAACTCATGTTTGATTTACTCACCTGTACTTGATCTTAGTGTGCCCCGGAAGATCTCTGCTGGAGTACTGCTTGGACAGCGCGCTTAAATCACCCTCTCCTTTCCCCCTCCCTCCTCTGGCTGGCTCAAACGTAGGCCTTGCAGCTGTCGTCATCTTTGATGGCTCTGTTGTGAAAATGCACAAGAGACGATGATGAAATGAAATAAAATCTATAATTAAGAGACACAAAGAAGACTTATCAGGAGGGGAAGGTTAGCAGTAAACAACTCTTTACACAACCAGGAGCCAGCCTGCTGATAATGAAATAACCTGTATGGATGAGCCTACATGTTATAACACCTAAAGTGGGAGTAAAACCTCAGCAGACCCTGGTCTCTAAGCAAGTAGGAAACAACTGAGCACCATTTGACAGCAAGGTAGGGGTGAAACATCTCCTTAAGATTCAGGTTAAGTGCTAAGTCTATGAGACTATTGTTACAGATCAGATGGACAACAAGATAAACATCTAATTTTACAACATATGAAATAACTCAGATTGATTAATTATTAACCAAACAATCGACGACTAAAGATAACCATAGCAAAAATAGCAGAGTGGGCATTTTTCCTCAATTATTCGCTAACTGTGTTTTCTCATTTGCAGTTTATGAACTACACAACACAGCTACACAAGTTAGCCTCCACGGTTCAAAGTTGCTAGCATGCTACCCTGCTCAAAAAACGCAGCTGAAGAGGAAAAATTAGATTCACCGCTTCTTCTGACCACACGAAACCGTCTATTAATATCTTAGCGCTTTAACTGGTTAATCCAAACACAATTTCTAACGACTCAAGACTAGAAATTAGTAACAGAGCAATAATACTTACTAAGCTGCCACCACACGAAGAAATACAGGACCTGGTAGACGACCTGACGTCACTTCCCGCGGAAGTCTTCGTCGTGGAAGAGATGCGTTTAAAACCAACAGAAAATAAGACATCTTAAATACAATGTGACGGTGAATGAATGTGAGTAAATTTGGATATCCTTATATCAGGACATTATCAGGACAGGATAATAAAATATATAATGTAAAAAAATCTCTCTCTCTCTATCTATCCACCTATCTAACTATCTATATCTATTAATCTCTATACCTATATCTATATCTATATCTATATCTATATGAGTGTGTGTTTGTGTGTGTCACTAACATCATAGACATCTGTACATGTTCCTTCAGGAAGATAATGTCCTTGTATGTCCAGAAATAGTAACTCTATATCAGAACTAGTTTGCTCTCACAAAGAGTCTGCCATCTTCAGCTGTACATTGTTTTTACAGCATTGTTATGATTGTAAGTACTTTAAATATGTACTGTTCATACATTTAAAACACTGAGTGCAAATACATGAAGCAAACAAACTAGTTCTGCAGAGAGGTGAAAAGCAAACAAAAATGTAAAGATTATATGTATTTAGTGTCACATTCCTTTTTTTTTTTTTTAAACCTTTTTCTACTGATTTAACTTTCATATTCCATGTCAAAATTAGATCTCATTACATTTACATTTCAAGAGACATCTGTAGTAAGATGCTGCAGATGTTTTATCAGTCTGTGGTGTCTACAGTGTGCTGTTCTACACTGCAGTCTGCAGGGGAGGAAGTATCAAACACAAAGATGCAAGACGTCTGAACAAACTGGTAAAAAAAAAGGCTGGCTCTTTGGTTGGGCTCAAGCTGGACTCAGTGGAGGATGTGGTGGAGAGATCTACACTGAGGAAGGTGGAGACTATTCTAAAGAACATGGATCACCCAATTTCTCAACACCCTCATGGACCAAAGGGCCAATGGTGGTGGACGGCTCCTCTGTCTTCGCTGCAGGACAGAAAGATTCAGAAGATCTTTTGTACCAACAGCAATTTTACTTTACAACTGTTCTGTAAATAGTAGATGACTTTAAGAGACAATGAGACGACAGACAATTGAATTTCTCCTCGGCGATGAATAAAGTTATTCTTATTTAGTAGAGACAAACTTAAACCTTCTTATTGAAAATTTTGAATGTTCCTGCCCATGAGATACAAAAGAGATGTAAAAAATGTGAATAAGAAAAATATTCATATTGTATTCTGCTCCTTTGTCAGGGTACTTAAAGAATAATGTCAATTTGAAAGGAAATATACATTTTGTTTGACAAATTAGTTTTAAATAGCATTGTAATAACACAAAAACACATTTGAGTTCATAATGTTCCCGTCTGTGTCTTTGTAACAATGAGGTTGTGTCATTTGTACCTGTTCAAGCACGTCAGTCCTGTATGTGATACATGACTTCCACGACCTCCGTTTTGTTTTGATTCCATGCCGCTAGAACATGAGGAATTTTTACTGAACACACTGGCAGAGGTTCAAGAGGGAAAACTGACAGAAGAGGTTTTGCTGGATTCCACACAAACTTTTAAAATGCTATCTGTCTGAAGTCTTTTGTTACTTGGTCAACTTCAGATGTTTCCAGGGGAGACAAAAAACCTAAAAAATGAAGCTACAACGTGACACAGAATTTAGACAGTAACTGTTATTTACTGCAAGCTAGTGTTGTTCAGAGTGATCTCATTCATTATGTAAACTGCTGTGTGTGACAGTTAGTAATGTTGTGGGCTATTGCCTTTTAAATATTCCTTTTCAGGCTGTATCTGAAGGATAAGCTCACAGAGATGACTCAGACATGTTTCATCAGTTAACTACTTACCAGGCATCCTTGCATTAGACTTTGAATGTGTGAAATCAGACAAGACAAGGTACTGTTGCTTTGCACAGCTAATGAGATTGATATAAATATTAAACAATATGAAGATAGCTCGAGCTCATGAACTGAGATAGCTGTCTCTGGGATTACTGCCACTACCCTGATAAAAAGTAATCACATAAAAGGGCTGTGGTGCTTATGGAATTAAACATGTAACCTCAAAATTCAGTCGCATGTGTCCCAGATACTCCAAACAATCCACTCAGGAGACATTTCGGCCTATTATTTTATTTGGAAAACTACTAAAAACAAACTGTGGTTTAGTTTGTTTGTGCACCTGTCCCAGATTTGTAGGAGAGCATGTTTCACTTGGATGCATTTCAATGCATTCAAAGTGCCTGATAAGGTGTGAGATTAAATTCCAAGGAGGTAAACCTAAGTTTAGTATTTACTCTTATCATGGCGCGCGTTCTTCCTTTGAAGAGTCAAAGGAAACAGTTAAATAAAACATATGATGTATCTTGATGATCTGTGGGGTTACATTTCTGGCCACACAGCATGTTGAGCCCACAAGGCTAAAATTAGTAGAAATGTTAACAGACCGTAGAGAACTTCATTGACAGGCTGGTTTAAATATTTCAACACACAAGTGCCAGCAGGAATAACATAACAAACAAAAGTGAAAAACTGTTTAAAAACTCTCAAATGAAACATTTCACACATCACTGTCAGTCTGCCCACTCTGTGATTGTTATGAAAAGCAGCCCACCCGATCAACCTGCACTGCAGCATCCAGGTGTGGCACTCCTCGCCAAACAGTGGGAGGAATCTAACACAGCAGGGGGTGGGGGCTCAACTTAAAGTGTCTTTACCTGCCTGTCAGTGTGACAGAGACCAAAAGGAGGCTTGACAGCACTGTAGTCCGACGGCGCTCACACAGCTGACCAACACTCAGGTAAGATCACCACATTGTGCAGGGATAGAACTTGACATGATTTCTGACCTCATACTCACTGATTCTGCAGATGGACTCATTACAAAGTCAGATTTGCTTTCATTTTCTATGCATAATGAATTTGACCTGGATAATTGGAGCTAAATCTCCTCTGAGGGTCACAATATGAGATTTAAAGTGCAGGTCAAAATGTTAACACCAGCTCAAAGAGGATACAGCAGACACAGTCAGGTGGACAGGACACTGTGAACTCTGGCAGCAGTGAATACAGAATTCATCTGCAAATGCATTATTGCAATAGTGTGTCAGGCTTATGGTTATTTTGAAAATTAAATGTTTTAACCACTAAATAGACATACATTTTATTATCCATGTACAAAAGAACGAGCTGTCTAGAGGGATCAGTTTACAGCCAATAAATACTAAAATGTCACATTTACAGTCTGGGGGAGTTGATTCCCTCCAGAATGCAGCACAACAGGTTGTGTATGAGATTCTGGGGAATCAGTAAACAGGTCTTGAGTCATTTATTGGACCAGTGTGGGAGAGCAACACTCGTACTGTGTGTCTTTAAAGTACAGAAATACGTAACTGAAACTTGGGATACATTTTTCATCTCTACATCATTTCATCAGGTTAAACATCCGAGGAAATATCAACACCATGTCAAAAGGTAAGACACACTTTGATCCAATTTTGATCATTTTAACAAAGAAATATTTTGTGCAGACATTCTTGGCACTCTAAAATCATTAACTGAACATACGTGTGTTGTAGATATTGACAGAAGCAAGGTATTTCAAACCACCAGGGTGCGGACAGCACTGAAGAACGACCTCAGCTGGATCCACAGATCAAAACAGGGAGAGCAAGAGAAAGCCAGGTATACTCATGTGTGGTAATGCACCATTGCAAATGAAAGAAGAGGGCTTTTAAAGCAATATCAATATCATGTATGAGTATAAGTCTGTTGTTTGATGGGTTTCCTACATTTTACTCTAATTATGAAAAAATAACTTTTTTTCTTCACTTTTCCACTCACACATCACAAAGTCTTTTTCTTTTTTTTAAAATGGCACTGCAGAATCATCATGACCGGTTTTGTCTCACAGGGTGGATGAAGCTGTGGTGGAGACCAAACCCAAACCCAAAGCAGTCAGGCAGTCGTCATATGTCCTCTCTGCATTGAAGAAATTTGAGTGAGTGTCACTGATTGAATATTCAGAGATGTGAGTAATGTTCTTTTAAAAGGATCAAAGTGTCACTAAAAATATGGGTTTCTCTCCGGGAAACTGGAAATGAGGCTCAGTGGAGTAAAAACACGTCAAAGTCTCGACATAATATCGCTCAGATTAGTGAGAAGCAGACTGGTTGGCTTGCTAGGTTTTGACTCATTGATGCAGAAATGGGGCAGTGAGATATTTTAAAGCCCCACTTCACTTATTAAAAATCTCATAACCACAATCTTCTTGAAACAAATGTCTGCACGCAAGAGAAAGACCTCCTGTGTTGAAACTGTTGAATCTTGGCCTCAGATTGAATCCATCCCTACAGCTGAAGTAACAAAGTTCGACCAGCAGATGTCGCCATTTTGACTATAACAAGAGCTTAGAGTCCTGCACAATTTTCAACCCATTTTTTTTTAGGTATTTAATGATTCAGGGGTATTTTTTTAAGCATCACAAGTAAGTGGTAAAAATATTCAGTTCATAAGGTTTTAAAAGTCAAGTCAGCTAGTGAGTGTTCAAAAATGCATGTCTGAGAACCAAAAACTGGGACCATGATTTTTAGAATCAAATAGAAAGTCTTTTTAGACTTTGTGTCAGAACAAAACGAAAAACCTTAAAAGAGCTTCAGGCACACAAATCACCATATGTGATATTAACATACATAAACATGAAGTCAGCTCCGGGCTGCTTTGTTTCTTCCATAAAGAGTTGAGGTGTGATGCACGCTGACCTGTGCTTTAAAGACGTGTTCCTGTGGGAGGTTTTCCCCTGAAGGCTCAAAGGAACATACAGCTGCTCTAGCACCTGCATTTTTGCTCCTCAACACCTTTGGGGCCCTCTCAGCCAGCTTAAGAACATTATGATTAATATCAGTACTGCACCAGATCTGAGTGTTATAGAATTAAACCACTGATTTTGAGTCATGTGTTAGGGTTAGTCTCATTTTTATGCACAAAAATCATTTTATGCAAAAAAAAGTCATTAATCTCTACCAAAAACATAACCAGGGTCCTCTCTGCAAACTTGTAAACAAACAGATGCTCTCTACACATAAGTATTTATGCATGCAGTAGTATTTCCTCCCTACGTATTGTTGCAGCTCTCCCTATTGCATCGATATTACATCACAGAGTCCAGCCCTCTTCACTAAATTATTAAGCTTATGGACACATTTGTGCGGCAACAACAGTAACAAAATACCTTTATTCAGGCCTCTGTCCCTGAGAAAATCCATGTAGGATCCATTTTTCCACGTGACACAAGTACACACATTCATAACAAAGACACCAAAATTAAAAAATAAAAAACTCCTGTTGTCCTCAGTAGCATTTTTTAAACAGACCACTCTTCTCGTGACAACTTAATGGCCCGAGTATATCCAGGATATTTTAGAGAAGTTACAACAGATTCTCTCCTGCGTGGTTTCAAAGACATGGCATCATTTTCTCTTGTGTCAGTATCAGAGAAAACACTGCTCACCCCTCTGATCGCTCCGTGTTTCACAGCATGACTGAACAACGCAAAGGAAAGATCTCTAGCAAGTTAAAGGGTCTGTGTAAATCTTCCTAAAAACCTACTTCTTGGATTCTTGCCTTTGATGAATCAGGTGGTTTGATATCATGTTGTCATGTTAGCCGGATGAGTTCAAACTTTATATAGAAAACATCATGCAACATATAGACACGCTCACTGCTTTCTATTGAGAATCTATCAGAGCACAAACACATCTTAGTCTGCAGTTATTCTGCTACATGTGACTTAGCTCATCTAGCTGGCTGTTGCTGTTTAAAGATAGCTTTTGAATAAGTTAATATGCTTTACAGTAGTGATTTCAAAGCTTTGAGGCGTGTGATGATGCCTGAAAATCAAGCATCTTGTGCCTCCTCACAGGCTTTACAAGGTTCAAAAGAAAAAAAAACATTTTTTTCTAGATTTCTGCACCTAAAATCTATATATTTGTTCCAAACTTTAAAAAAAGCGAGCAGCTGAATCTTAGCTCAGCCTTGAGAATCAGTGGCATTATTATCACAACCTGTTTTCTTGATGAGGCGACAAACAAACAGGCTCCTCCTCTACATGGAGGATGAGGAGTCGCTGCACAGTACTCAAGTATGACTGACAGCTATTCAGAGTTTCAAACAACTGAATTAATCTGCATTCATTTCTATTCAGTTAAATATGCCAGTCTTTTTCCTTGACAGCTGTCTGATGATTCATGGGCAGGAAAGAGTTAAGAGGAGGGTCCAGCAGCTGTAATGTCTCCTATACTGTGCAGGCCCTGTGCTGAGACAGACAGAGAGCCTTCAGCTGCTGAGTCAATACCATGTGATGGCATCAGATGTCCATCATTTATAGGAAAGTGGCTCAGTGGGTAAATGCCACATTTCCTAAAGCCTTCCTTCACAGTCCTCACTCCATCCTCCTCCTCCACTATCTGATAGGCTCCTTTGAATACACCAGAGAACTCTTTCTTGCTGACTGCAAAGTGAGTGTCTGTGGCACATCCATCGCCTATGAGTGCTGCGAAACGCTGCTTCAGGAGGACAAAGAGACCTGCGTCGAGCGGCTGTAGGATGTGGGAGCAGTGAGGCGGCAAGCAGAGAAGGATGACATCCTCTTTGCGAGCTGCTTCCACCACCTCCAGGTTCACAGGAGACTTGTGGCCATCAAAGATCAGCAGCAGGGGACGCTCCTTTGGCGCGCAGGGGAGGAAGTGTTTGAGGAACCATTTCTTGAAAAGCTCAGAGTTGATACACCCTGTGTCCGACCAGCCATAGAGGGCATCAGGAGGTCCTTGTGTTTTGTAACACACTCCTCCAGGGTAGGCCTTGGAGTAGATGATAAACGGGGGGATGTCCTCTCCGGCTGCACTAAAGCAAGCCAGGACAGAGATGTGGTCCCTCAGTCCTAAAGCTGGTTTGAGGCCCTGACTGGCATATTTAGGGAGAATCACCCTCTTCCTGCCAAGCTGAAAACCTGTCTCATTGCAGTTAAAGATTTGTTGAGGTTTGTCTCTGAGCCCTCGGGCGTCCATGACTGTGCTCAGTAAGTGAAAAAACTGATCCACTGCTTCCTTCCTCACACAAACTGTTCTTCCTCGGACAACGTTGTCTGCCGGCTGTATCGTTATATTCTTTTCTTGACGTTTTCTGAAATTCAGCCACCAGGTCTGGCCTAGTTTGGAGAATGCCACCTTGCGGTGCTGCCGCTTATAAATGGATGAGGCAAAAGACACCAGCTGCTGCTTTGTCATTGGAAATCCATGTCTGGACATGTATAAAGAGAACTCCACCAGCAGCTCCTCATCTGCAGAAGTTATTAGCTGAGCCGGCCCGCTGCGACACCCCGGCGTCACCCGTCCGCTGACTCTGTCCCCAAGAGAAGATTTAGGGACTCCAAACTGCTTGGCTGCCTGTCTCACCGTGCATCTCCCCGATTTAACTTCAATCAGAGCTCGCTCCATGGCCTCCTCTGTCCATTTCTTCTTCGTCTTCCTCCCAATTTTGTCGAGACGGTTTCTTGATGGCATTTTTCTCTAGAATGGTAAAGAAAATACTGGCTTGAATGGCATGATACACAAAAGCAACACTCCTCATGAGGATACACCAAATTCAAAACCAAACATATTCAGTGCTTTATGCTTTCTTTGGTAGTTTGCTTTTAGTTTGGCAGGCCTTTTTCCTCAATGGTAAGATCATTACATCATTTTCTTGATGTATAAGTACAATCTTCAAAAACTGCAGAACAAACCACCACACAGGAGACTCTCAGAATTATAACATTTTAATAAACATCCATCAGACCCTCTCATAGGGTCTCATAATTGACCTCTCGCAGGGTAATGAGAAGTAAAAGGGGATTCTGGTGTCTTCCTCCAGTTAGAAAACAAAAACTAGTTTATGCACAGTGTGGTTATCAACCTTGTTTCACATCAGGTCACACTTATTGTATTAGTTAAACAGAAAAAGAATAATGCAGTTTCTACATCAGGAACACAAAATCTACATTATCCTACAAATAAATGCGGGATAACCCAGCTGAAGTTTAATAGACATGCAGTGAATTTAAACCGGTTTATACATGTGCAACTTCTAATTTATTTCATAATGCTTTTTACCTCCATCCATAAGCAAGTTTAAAAAACCTTCTTATTGTTGGCCTTTTTAACTAAGCAAGAGTTACTTGAATGCAGAAGCATCTCCAGACTTTTTGGACTGGGGTGGCCGAAACTGAACAAATATCAGACTGAAGAGTTTGGAAAGAGGCAGATGTCCTTGGTAAAGCAGCAGCTGTTTGCAGTAAGCAAACAGAAAACCTGAATTTTAACACGCTGGCTACATGGCCAAAATTTCTGTTCACCGATCAAGGTAGCCTGGCACTAAGCACCAAGCCCCAGGCTCTGTTCCCACAGCAACAGCAGGGACAGCTGCCCCAGAAAGAGTCTCAGGTATGGCAAATATCTGTGAATACATATGGCCAAAAGTCACTAAGCTATCACATCATCCATCCAAATTCATCTGTAAAGATGTGCGACTTTACATTGTGCCTAAAATCCTGGTTCCTGTGAAATTATCCTGAACTGTAGAGCCAACATGAAGCACCAAGCCACTCAAATTTCCCAAAACAAAACCTGCATTGCATGAAAAGTTAAGCTGTAACCCTGACCAGAGAGACTGTCATGATCAGCACAGTGATGTGAGACTCTCACCTCTCCTTATATCAAGCTGGGATGGAATATGAAAGTTTTTTTTGCGAACTGTAGTTTTGTATGAAGTACTTAGTGGTTAAAAAATCTGGCACTTTACTGCATGATAAATACAAACTTACAATGTCTAGTCTTAAATCACATCATATGGTTTCAAAGATAGCAATATTATCATCTTTATTCCACTGTCATATTACATTTCTACCATTTTTCCTGCTAAAAACAGACTCCTAAGCTGTGCCCCTGCTTGATGGGAGTATGTTATACGCCTGGTGGTGTCTGCTCTCAAAATGTTATCTTGTAGCTGACTGACAGACTCAAGAGGCATGCTCTAAAAAGCCAGCAGCAATCTCTGGACATTTCTAGATGTTCCCATGAAAAGTCACTTGATTCAGTGAAGTTTTCTGTACTTGGATGTGCTGATCATGGCAATCTCACACTTACAAATCAAACATGACACTGTCTATCGTCTCTATCATAGATCCCCTATAGAGTATAGAAACATGTTAAGATACGAACCAGGTTTGTTGTCTCAAGAAGTCCTCGCACATGAATGAAGTGGGGGACAAAAGATAGATGTGCTGCCTGTGACCCTGCGCACCTCACGTTAGTTTGCGCACAAGGATAATGTGAAGCCGGATGATTTCAGGGAATAAATCAGCATTCAAGCGCAAATAAAGCGTAGATTTTAAACCTGGGTCCCCTTGTTAATGTATGTCAAATGAGACAGGCAGAATCGTGTAATTACATTTTCCTACCGCTGCACATGGACCTGTTTCTCAGCAACTTGCTAACGCAGCCTCACAACGCAAGAAAAAGGAGGAAGTGAACCGGAAATCAAGCGACGCTCTCGTCAAAGTAAAAGTCTTGAAGTTCCTGTTGACAATAAGTTTCCAATTTTAAGGCATTAAATATCACTAGAAGGGCTCTGTATTAATGGTTTCACTTCCCTAAAACTATCACCTTACATGAAACTGCACTCATTTACCCTTTTTGGGTGGTTCTGGGTATATTTGGTGTCAAATATAACCCAATAAAATCATTTCACCTACTGACAGGCAAATTTGATTACCAGTCACTCAAAAACTGAAACCCTCACATGTTCTATTCTTAGATAGATAGATAGATAGATAGATAGATAGATAGATAGATAGATAGATAGATAGATAGATAGATAGATAGATAGATAGATAGATAGATAGATAGATAGATCACTGCAGACATAATTGACTCTTCACCCATATACACTTTTACTAATGTCTTGCTTTCATAACGAATGCGAGTCACAAACTGGGATCATACTGACCCATGCAAAACAGGGTCATTTTATTTTCAAGCTCCGCCTTACTTCAGTGTTGCACTGTCATTGTCAGCATTTGTTATACAGTATTTGTCGACATTTTTGGCTCTATTTCTCAACTTTTTTTTTACCACTCAGCTTATATGCTTGTGCCCTATATGCTTCATTTGCTGTGCTCATCCTAGTCTAATGCATGACTCACTTTCTATTAGAGCCTGTCATTCTCCCAAAAAGATGACACTCCTTCAAATGTAGTGTCGTGGAGAATTTGGCTTTGATGGGAAGTTTATACCTGAGGTGATGAAATTCTTCAGTGCTTGTGAAAATTTTAATTAGAAAGACACAAATCTCCTCTGTTTTGTAGTCTTCTCTGGGGTTGTTCATGCCAAGGTTCTTTCCAAGGTTGACTCTCTATTCTTACGCTGCTACAATCCGACTCCTCGCCAAAGACAGGGTTTGTTCGATCTAAAAGTCTGTATATGTTTTGAATTTTAATGACACACAAACGGTGCAAACTCTCAGCAACTTATCATCAGGCCTCTGAAAATCCACTTGTTTCAAGGTTGATCATCTAAACCAAATATTGAATGTTTGCCATACGTACGTATTTTGCAAATTCAATATTTTCTGTTCTTCATTGCAGTGGATCAGCTAATCAGGCAAACAGTGAAGTTATTCAACCCCAAAAAGATGCTCAGCCTGAGGGATCAACAGTAGAGAGCAAAGATGATACAAAGTAAGTTTTTATGATTTTACTTCTCTCACTCTTGGATGAAACTACAAATAACATGAAGATCCTGAGTGCACAGGTTATTCTTCATGTCTCCCCCCCCCCCCCCAGAACTCAAAATGAGTAACTCTTCTGTGTTTCAGGCCCACAGCAGCAACTGAACAGCCTACCCAGAAAGAAGAGGCCCCACAAGAAACATCTGTCAGCAACACAGAAATTAAAGGGGTCAACGTAGATGCAGCAGTTGAACAGATTGAAGCTGCTGCTGAAGTAGCTACAGATGGTCTTGCAGAAGAAAGCATCAAGAATGGTGAGGCACAACCAGAGGTGTCCGTCACTAACACAGAAATTAAGGAGGCAGATGCAGCAGCTGAGCAGATAAATGGCGAGCAGATTGTAGCTGCTGCCGCTGAAGTAGCCACAGAAGTTCATGCAGAAGAAAGCATCCAAAATGGTGAAGCACAGCCAGAAGTATCAGTCACTACTACAGAAATTAAGGTGGCAGAGGCAGCAGTTGAGCAGATAAATGGAGAGCACATTGAGGCAGCTGTGGAGGTGGTCACAGAAGGTCTTGCAGAAGAAAAAAGCATCCAAAATTGTGAAGTACAACCAGTACCTTCTACAGAAGATCCACCTGTGCCACAGACTGTGGACACAATTGCAGAAATCAAGGGAGAAATTGCAAATACAACTGCTGATGATGCTAAGATCTCCTCAGATGTTAGTGCAGAAGCTCCTGTCTCAGAAACTTCTGCTGTAGAGGAAGTCAAAGATGCAGTTGAAGCCGCTGTTGCTCCTCTGGTGGTTGAATCAAAACCTCAAGAGGAACCTCCAAGAGAACCTGAGCCAGCTAAAACGACAACTGTAGAGGATGCAGGAGTAGAACCCACTGCTGCGTCTACAGAGGAGAACAGTCCTCCAGAGCAAGCTGCAGAAGAAATCATCAAAACTGTCACTGAGGTTGCAGTAGAGCAAACACCTGACCAGACTAAAGTGACTGATGCAACAACAGGGGAGGAGGCTGCTGCCCAAAAGAGTGTTGAAACAGTTGCTGAGTTATCGGCACAATCTGCCTCTGAGGTGCCGACTCAGGCAGCTGTAGAAGCTGCTACTGAGGTGAGCTCTGAGGAAGGTGTCAAAGAGGCTGCAGAGGAAACTGTGAAAGCTGTTGAGGCTGTGGCTGAAGTTGCAGTGGAGTCAGTGCCTGAAACTCCTGATGTGACTGAAACTGCAGGAGAAGTTGCTCCTCAGAGTCATGTTGAACCGGTGCCCGACATAGTTGCAGATACTGTGTCTGTTTTGTCAAGTCAAGCAGCTCCTGAAACTGAAACCAAGTCTGTGGAGAGTGAGGTCGAGTCTGCTGCCTCAGTAGAGCCAGTTTTAAAGACCACTGTTGTAGAAGCAGTAGCGAGTGAAGTCCAGCCTGTTGTCGAGTCAACACCCGAGAGTGCTGCTGAACCTGTGGTGGAGACTGTCGAACCCATATCAGCTCCAGATGCTGAAGACGACCAAGATAAGATCACCTACAGAGTGATTGAAATAACAGATGCGTTAGATGAGGAGACACCTACTGAAGAAGCTGCTCCTGAATCTCTGCCTGATCCAAAGGAAACCCACACAGAAGAGACAAAGCTGATCCAAGAGTCCAAGGAGACCAAAGAGTGAGTACACAAGAACTAAAAACCAGAACCTCTAAACTGTTCATATGCTATCAATAATTTCTTGCTTGTGTCTTTTATTTTGTAGCCCTGAAATATCACAACAGTCTGTGGTGGAGCAGCGGTACATACTGAAAGAAACCAGGTAATTTCTCATTTTTAAGAAAACACTGTTAGAATTCATAATTCTAAATCATGGTGCAATAACAAATGCATTAACAAATATGAAATAGGAAATTTTTCGTTTGCAATAATTCACAGGACAAGTTTATGCATGTTTTTTTATATATATAGTCTATATGGACTATATATAAAGGATTATAATGAAAGACTACCACATATAAAAGACCAGACTTTATGTATATAGTCTGTGTTTTATATATAGTCTCTGTATTCTTTTTTGTCAAATTATCTCTTTTTACAGTAAGGAGGGGCTTCATTTTTATTTGGTATTTAACTATGATGTATTCATTTATTTATGTAACAAATAACAAATAACCATTGCTTCCCTCCCCCTTCACAGAAAATGAGAATATTTTCAATATAATGTTCAAGTTTTATTGTCCGGGGGAGTAAAGCCTGGTCGATGTTTAATACTCACCTAGACATATCTATGTCTGGAACTTAGCTGGTAGAGTTTGGTGGCGAGAATTAACATAGGAAGCTTAAATTATTTCTTTTAATAATTGTCTTTCACTTTCATTTCAATTTATTATCTCATCACTCCGGATCCTGAAAATGTTGTCTTGAACAAGAAAAAAAATCATATAAAGAAGATCTTTATTCCAGTTATTTGTTCCCACAACAAGAGCCACAACTTTACGACAGTAGACGATGGTGCTCATAGAAGGTCTATTCCTTTTCCATCAGCAGAGGTCACCAGAATCAATACAACATTAAATTTCTTTTCAGTGCCTTTAAATGCAATAAAAATCTCTGCTATGAGAGCATAGTGGAGACTGTGCAAAGTAGAGTCTGTAAGTCAAAAATGCTCTTTTTGACATAGGTGGAAAGTCTATGCACAAAGGTGATATTCTTTGTAACACTCTCTCCTGCAGTGATGGCATACCATTCTGTTCATTCTGCGACCAACTGATCGATGGAAATGTGAAGATTTCATTCAGTGAACCTCTGGTGAGGTGCCACCCTGACTGTCTGAAGGTTTGTTCTTCTTTTTCACCGTATATATCTGTGACCGTGTGCTGAATCTGACAGGCTCATGTCATTGCATAATGTTAACACTGAGCCTGTTTATTTTCTTCTTTCTGCAGTGTGGCGTGTGTGCGAAGGCCCTGGGAGATTTGTTGACCCCCATGTTTTTGCATAACCAAGTGATCCAATGTGATGGCTGCTTTGCAAAAACTATCAAGACCTAAAGCCTAACTGGGACAAATATGTCATCAGTGAAGACCCAAAGCGTTCTGTGATTAATGTGTTGTTTGGACTGAGAAACTCACCCCTGCTGCCTTTACTCTGTTTCCTCTCTGAGAGGTTTTCTTTTTTTAGGATTTGCTGCATTATCAGGGGAGAGGGTTCTTTGATTAAAGATTTGCTTTGAATACTTTGACATGAAAATGTTTTGTTATAATATCATGTGTATGTCTAAAATAAAATCACAGATTACTGCTTCAGATTTAAAAGGTTTAATCAGCCTTAATTTCAGATAAGCACACACACACACAGGAATCACCTGGAGGCACATTATTGAAGCATCAACACCTCAGTAATATAAAAAAACAGCTTCTTTAAAGCAGTAACAGAAAAAAAGACTCCAGGAGAATTGGTGCACATCTTTGTTCCCCTCTTACACTGTGCTATTCAAGCAAAGCAGACATGCAATACAAGTGAGTACATGTATTGTGAGTAAAAGCACAAAGAGAAATGAGAAGATTCACCTGAACCTCAAACAGAACTTTGGTACATTCAGCTTCACTGGCTGTAGCTGAAAATAAGGCGGCAGAAAATCAAATATATGCATCAGTAAACTCTGGGTGGAGGATACGCAGTTATGATTTGCGAGGCGAGCTATCATTGCTCTTAATTATTTATGAAACGTCGTACATCACAATCTGACAACAGCATCAGCACCAATGAAGCTTCACAAAAAGAATCAAATAAGAGATACGTCCTGCAAGAAGGAGAATGAACAACAAAACCAAGAGAATCATCTGAGGAGAGGATTCGCTGCTGGATCTGCCGGGTGAGATTAATCTTCATCTCTCTGTCTGTTGTTCATACAAAAAAAGATGTCTGTTATAGGACACGTCTATAAAGAAATACCAGAGTGGGTGAGCCAAGTTTGGAAGTTTCTCAGTGAACGACTGGAAATTTAGTGCTGCACATGTCGACTGTCCATGTCATAACCAGAGGAAGGGATTGACTCTGGGGGAGGTGTTGTGGTTTAACGAATCCCTTTCCTGCCCAGGAACCTCAACACGGCGTAGTTGTAGGTGGTGGCAATCATGTACAGGAACTATAGAGGGAGGCGTTGAGACAGAATTGAGAAAAATGTTAAGTATGAAACACAGCTACATTTCCTTGCAAGTAGTTTTGCCATGTTGTATGAAACAAATTATATAATCAATGTACATTTTCCAAATGATCAATAACCAAAAATACTTTTAATCCCCAGATCAAACACAAGATTACACAAAGGAAATAAAACAAACCTGAGGAAATGTCACATGTCAACATTGCTTACATTTTTTGCCCCCAATTATGCTCAATTATGCAATACTTCAAGCTTCAGTACATCAAAGCACATGGCTGACATTTTTTCTCTTGTGTGTACAACCTTTAAAGCTGACTGTGACGTCTTAACAGTGTCCCTGTTACTCCACATAATTCAGATTTGTTACAAATAGTGTGGGTATATATTTTTATTTTTTATATTTTATTTATTATTATATTTAGTCTATTATAACCATCTACATTCACAACAGTCTCAGGAACAGACATCTCCAAACCAGACCACAAGCCAGCTATGAGGGGGTAGAAAGTTAGGATGATTCTTACAGAAGTCCTTAAAATATTAAAAGATTCATGATGATAAAGTGGTGCAATATTTTACAAATGGGCTCAAATTTCCTGGTGGTGCCTCTGACCTATCAACCCCCACAAAAAAACAGAACAGTGTACACATCCCACACAGCTAAATATCTCTGACTAAAGCATAGATACGATCTCCAAGACTTGACCTTTTGTCTTCAGACAGGGCCTAATAAAACAATGAATATTGCAAAGGCTGACTCCATCTATCCCCTAGCCACAGGTGTAGTTAGGACAATGGTTAACGGCGGTTAGCTACAACAAACCAACCTCTTCTTTAAATCAGCCACACCCCTGATTATGCAAAAATTGTAGCTTTTAAACTTTCAAAACAGATGAATTGGACATTTTTAACAAAAAGTTTAAAAATAAAGAAAATTGCTCTCCAGATCACAACAAATTTGTTTACATGTTTGATTCTGCCATAAGAATAATCATTTTTGTGTTGGTTCAATTTAAAGACAACTTAAAAATATGGACACAATCCTTCTGTTGACACTCACTGATTTCTCAGACTATTTAAACCCAACATTGACTGGACCCAAACTGGTAATGCTGACCCAGCCCAACTCTGGATCAACCAATCAGGTAAAGAAGTCAAGCTGAGGTAGGCTTTTGGCCTCCTGGCATACAGCTATTTTTGTCAATATACACTTCCTAAGCGTGTAGAGTAAATGTAAACTTCATGTAACATGTAAACTTCTCAACCTACTCTTTTACAAGTCAAATGTGTCACTCATCGGAGATTCTTCGCAGCAGAATGTGTAAGAAAATCTGGATCAGCAGCATGTCGTTAAACCTTTAGTGTGACGACTACCCTCTGCTAGCTGACTGCCTTGTTTTTTTGTTTTTGTTTTAAGTGGTACAGGCATCAGATTTTGTCTGTCCATCCCCCCTCATAGGCACTCAAACACGGGTGTCAATGAGACCCCTTGGGCTCTTAGTAGACATGTGAGAATCTGCAGTTCTCTGCACTTTCCAAACAGCTTAGTTTTTCAGCCACTTGTTAAGTAAATCATATCTTTTGGCTATTTGGTGAAATAAGCTTTCCAGAGTTACCATGCTAAAATCACACATCTGTTATGACCAAAAAAGCACACAAAATGTCAAAAAACAACAGCTCACCAGTGCTAAGAGAGTGACTCCGGCTCCAGCAAATGTGGCAATGTAAAGGTCATAGGTGACGTAGAACTACAAGAAATGCAGAAGAGATCCTGGTTAATAAATATTCAGAGACTTAAACCCACCATTTGTATGTTTATGTTATTTCATTAGACACACAACCATCTATTAATCATTCAGAGGATATCCGAGATTGATTCTGCACACTGATCTGAATGTGAGGACGCTGACATGAAATACTAAACAGCCAGATTGGATTCATCTACTCACTTCGCTGGTTTTGCAAATAGATGCCAAGGTCATCCCACAAGCCTTTCCTGGCATGGCGTTCCACGGGAGCAGACCTTAAATGAAGACATGACGTAAGTACCTCTGACTGTCGCTGAATCACGATGACTTATGATGCATTTCTGTCCCTGTTTGCTCACACAGCACATCAGAGAAACAGCAGTGAATAAAGATAAAGGTGGAGTTATCTCCGTCGTTTTGTAACTAATTCACCACATTTCTGCATCCACTCCCCCTGTGACCACTTCACTAATGCATTAACATTCTCCTCATGTAGAAACATAGTCAGTCAATAGAAGAACAACTCACCGTACTGCCTGGCGTCCATGCAGATCCAGCCGTGCTGATTGATGCTGGGGGTGGTTTCAGCCAGGATGTTAACGGTGTGGCAGGTCTGCTCCATGTTGAACAAGAAGTAGACGGGGATAGCAGTGAAGGCAAAGACGATGAGCCAGATGAAGGCCAAGATGTACGTCACTACGATGAACTGGTGAAAATAAGAGTTTAGTATGTTAGGTCACAGGAGGTAACACAAAATCTCAGGCTTCAGTGTCAAAAATACAGCGTCATTAAATCAGCAACCAAACTATAACTCTGTGGAGAAACCGCAGAAACACAAACAGAATTCAAACTTTTATCCCCAGGCTATACATTTCTATAAGATTGCATATGAGAGTAAATTTAAAATGAATGGCATAATGCATCACCCCAGCCTTTGTTGACATCAAAAATGCCACCTTCTCGCCAAAATTTATACCATCATGTTGGTATTCTTGTTGATGGATTGGACATCAGAGGTATAATTCAAAGTCTGTTGTGTAGGTTTGAAGCCAAAAACATTCATCTGGATGATGGCTGAGGTACAAAATAAATAATAATCAAGAGATAGATGACATTGAACTTAGTATTTGCCATGCAATATTGATCCACAGCGGCAACCAAAAATCTCAGAGCATTTTCTCCTCACTCTCCTCTCAGAAAAGCTTGAGTTTCCAGTCACAGGAAAGTTTCCTCACTGTGGCCTGAAAATATAATGTACTGCAAGCTGAAGTGATGCATCAGTGAAGATCTACTCTGCCATTGGATCATTTAATTTTTTATTTCTTCATCACATCATACCCACCTATCAGTCAAACCAGTCCCACCTCTAATTTCACAAATCCAATCAAAATTCTTCACCTTAAAGCTCCTATGAGAAGTTTTCTGATGTTCATGAAAGGGACTGAAATTTAAATCGATGCCCTTTCATGACATCTAAAAGCAAAAGAGGCCATCAGCAACGAGACTGACAATTCGTTGTTGACACGATTGTGAGGTTGTAGGTGTCAGATTTAATGCTTCATGATTTTTCATTTCTTGCAGTGGCCCATTTAAAATCTGTATTGTTTCTTAATATGATCCCGTATTTTTGCGCCTGTGTTTGTGTGTGTAATGTTTATTAGTCTTAAAGATGTTGTGTTTAGTCTTGTTCGAACACATAAGCTTCTTCAAACTTAAACATTTGTGCAATTTCTTAAAGTGCCTGTGAGGGACTTTCACCTTGTGTCAATTTTGGCGCCCCCTTGAGGCCAAAGCAGCCTGTACTTCTCTTGCCTTTTTACATGCTTGGATAACAATTTCTGACAAAAGATTAATCCTGCTGACCTTTGACAGTCACATGTATACTTAATTGTAAAAACAGGGATATGTCTTTATCTGCTTGGCTGACACCTACCCCCTTGCACCAGTTTGAGGCATAAAAATTACAATATAATAATCCTGTTAAATCCTGTTGGTGATGGTCTTGTTTGCTTTTATAACTCATAAAAAAACATCAATATGAGTTTCAATCTATTTCATATACATCAAAAATTGTTAATCTCCCACATTATGGCAGCAAGTAACAGGCATATCAAAAAACTTCAAGGATGCTCATCTCAAAATTTCACAGTGCAGTTTCAGTGAACTTCAGAGGTAAAACAAAATAGCATTCAGCATCTTCACAATGACCTGATGTCACACTCCCGTCATACCCCCCACCCTCCCTCCTTCCTGTCCTCACCGTCAGACTGAGGCATCGGCCGCAGTGAGTGCTCCTGAATTCACCAAACGTCTGCTTGACTGCACTCGTGGTGTAGAATCCCTCAGCCAGCAGCAGGATACCGTAGAGGAAGAAAAACGATGCCAGGCCGTAGATCACGTACTGGAAGTATTTGATACTGGGAAAGTTTGCACAGAGACAAAGTCAGGTCAAAAAGCATGATTTATAAAATCTGAAGACATCAAAATTGCTTTTTAGATGGTTCAGTCAAGAATCACTCACAAAGAGGCCATGACAGCAAAGTCCTGAACATTGCGAGCGAAGTAAGTCTCCACCAGGACTTCAGTGTTGGTCAACGCCTCGTGCCCACAGCCACAAAACAATGCCATGCCGGCATAGCACAGCAAGGTGGCCACCAAGGACGGGTAGGGCACTGCCCCGAGGCAACGGATACAGCAATCATAACAACCTGAGGGGGCATAATAAATCAGCATACAGGCGGCACACACCGCACATATTACCACACAGCACATCTACGCCACGGTGGTGGTGCTGTGAAAGTGGCCTCGCTCTGTCTGCAAATCCATGAACACACACCCCAAACCCTGAACTCAAACCCCAACCCCAAAATCCCGAGCACAGGTGAGAAAGCAACAGAAAACAAAAAATTAGACAGCAGGGTCAAAGTTCAAGCAACACTTCCCAATAAAAGCGTCCAAACAAAGCGACTTCACCACAATCTCATACGCTCTGTCCAGTGTAAGCAGTGCTGTTGGAGCAGGTAGCAAACATCCACAGTGTTAATAAATGCATTGGCAGAAACGGGATAGAGGAAAGCACCTAAGGCTTTGCATAGCCAAGGCTGCCTGACCGGAAACATCTGCTGCTTCTGATCCTGTGCTCCTCAACAGAGAAAGATCCCAAAGCCAACCAGGGATGTACAAAACTGCCTAAAAGCTATTCCTGGAGTAAAATAAGCCTCTCTGAAGCGCTGATTTCATCCACATGTGAAAACTCCTCTGCCGGTACCAACACCTCACAGCACAAATCTGCTCCTTCCCCTCGTCTCCAGCGGTCACAGGCGTCACCAGGCGAAAATGAGAGATGGTGACCCCAAGAAAGAGCTTCTCTTTGTGAATGCTGATACAATATCCATTGTTTTTTGAGCCACCGTCAGGGGGGAACAAAGGGCAGCGATGTCAAACAAACAAAGACTATAGTACCAGAATACACACACACACACACACACACACACACACACACACACACACACACACACACACACACACACACACACACACGCACTGTAGCAAGCTGTTGCAGTGGGGTCACCAGGACCCCGTCTACACCAATGGCAATGTCACTACTCAGGCCATCCTCCACCCACAGCTGGCTGTGACTGGTACCACTGAGAGTTGATGCCAGCAGAGGGTGGGCTCAAGTGTTCAAAGAGTGGGCAGAGGTATAATGAATGAAGGTGGCGGGGGGGAGTAATTTGAATAGATTCACAACAACAACAACAACAACATCAAGCACACTCCATATCAGAGTTATACTGCTCCAATCAAGAAATCTGACCCATTAAGATGTAGAAAATACAGATAATCACAGAATTTACATAACTCAAGTGGGAAGAGTCAGACTGCAAGTTCAACAAACAGCATCTAAAGTATAAATAGTAATGGCAGGATGACCCTCAGACCCCAGAAATGATATCTCCTGTGGACGCCCACACCGCAGCTGTGATGTTACAGTGACAAAGCCACACAGGCCACCATAGCCCTCTTTTGAATTCAGTGCAAAAAGAAACATCGCACGAACAGTAGATGCCAGATCATCAATCAAGACTTGAAATCTGTTAAAAAATGTGTGAAGAGAAAGCCCACAACTTCTCTGTACGTGAGAAAAAGAAGTTGGCAGGAGTTGTTTGAGCCCACAGTTCTCATGGAGATTTGTTAATTTATGCCTGCAGCACATGTGGGAGTATTTGACCTCTTTCACATGAGTGACCTGGCACGGCCTTAGCATGATGAGACTGTCCGTCTCTGTCTGCGGCTCCGAGTCCACTTTGCTTTATGGGTGTTCGGGGTTAGAGGAGGTAAAGAGGACTGCCTTCTCTATCAAAAAGTAATCAATCCTGTCGAAATCCTGGTGCTAAATCCAAGCTTCTCCCTCCTCTGAAATCATCTTTTATGTTAAAGTATGTCACATATTAGGAATGAGAGCAAAGTGTAAGTCTATAAATAACCCATGTATGAAATTCAAAACACTTAAACAGTGTTAAAGCAGCAAATCTCTCCCACAGTGCACTAGGGCAACATGATGTCTGAAGGCAGCAAGGAAATATTAAAGACAACATTAGTAAGTTATTGAAATCCACATATTCAAATCACATTAATAATAGATGATAAGAGTTATTAAAAATTCAATGCACTCACCCATGTCCAGAGAGAAGTGTTTGGGGGTTATTGAAGTTTTGCTGCTTGGCTTTGTGACTCTGATATGAGGATATGAGAAGTTATTCCCCGCCACCCCTATATGAATCTGACTCGCGCTTTTGTCTCATCAACAATAGATAGAGCACATCTCCCCGAGTCACATCTTAAAGTCACAAAGTCCCATTTCAGCTGCCAGTCATTATTTATAGAGCCATGGGTGCAGGATGGGGGACACAGAGCAGCTCACTAACTCCAATATGAACATTTTTTCACAGTCATTGGGGATATTTGACATATTTTACATGTTTTCACAAATACTTTTGACTTACTCTGAGTACATTTTAATTCCTTTTGTGGTTTAAATATAAATATGCTTGTGTTAAACAAGCATGAATTGGCATACACACATTTTAAGAAATAAGAAAATAATAAGAAATAAAGATTCAAATAACACATTAGATAAGTCAAAGTTTTTTTATGTTGTTTCCTTCTCTAAATGATGGAGTTAAACTTTTTACAAAAGATCTGATATGTTTCCAACTCAGTTATTGAATCTTTGTGCACATTTATTTGTAGGATAGATTGTGTTTACTTGCTGTTATCTTGCATTTGTCATCTGCCTGCTCTACACACACATGCTAAACATCACAAGATACAGCAAACACGTCTACAGCGGTATCCTCAGAGACCAGTCAGAGATAAGAGGACGGCACAGACAAAAGAGTGAAATAAATCGAACCGTCAGTGACTGACATGGATGAAGTTGACTAACAAGGGTGACATTGACAGTCTGGTCCAGCTGCTGCCCTCCTTCCCTCCCTCTCGCATGTTTGACCCAGTTGATGTCAAAGCTGGGATCAGTACAAAGACGCCAGTGTGGGGCAAGAGGAGAAAACACCATTTTTATTTTTTTGGGAGAAGATCCTCATCCTATTTTTGCCTCCTATGCCAAACTGGGAATATTAAGAAAGGATATTAAAAACCACCTCAGCATATTAGAGTGCATTGTATTGGTTTAAAAACACTTTCAACACTTTGCAAGATAAAACACGTTACTATTCTACCACCTGGGATACTCTTTTTTACTTTCCTTAAAAACAAGAACATCTGAGGGACTGCTCTGCCACTGAATTTTAAAAACACTCCTTTTCAGAGATGTGTCTGAAAGATTAAAGTCTAGTGGATTGGTAAATTGTTTGGCTTGAGTTTACAGTCTGTTGCCTTTCGTCTCCTGGAAAAACAAAGCAATAACAGATCAAGTAATTAGTATGTAGAAAGGATTAATGGCATCGGCTTTGTCAAGCAGAGAGTGAAGAGCAAAGAGGAGCGATGCCCCTTGAAATCACAGAGAAAACCATGTGAGAGAGAGAGACAGAAAAAGAGGGAGAAAGAGAGGGGAAGCATTAATTAACCTCTGTACTATGTGTGAGGGCTCAGAATGGCTGTCAGCTTTACTTGAGAGATGTAAATTAGCAATAATGTTGACAATCAAAGGGAGGGATTAGGTAGGAGGACATGTTTTAGAGGCTGGCTTTAGCTGGGGTGACATGAAGAGAGCGATTCATTCAGTTATGAATAAAGCATATTCCACAAAAGCTGAAGCAGATGGAGGTCGGGGATGTAAGCAGCTCGGATGATGAATTATTGGGTAACACTTAATACAGCCGTCTAAAAGTCATTAGTAAATGCATGAACTGATTTTGAACCAACATATTACTCTCCAAGCTTTCAAGTGAGCTACAGATGCTATTAGCATTCATATATCTTTATATATGTGCATAATCAGATTGAAAACTGCACCTATATCATAACCAGCACCATGGACAGCACTCACTGGAGTGTAAGTGTCCTATTTGTCAATGTAGTGTACAGTATAAGTGTGCAATATTGCACAGTGATCTGTCTTTGAATCATTTCTATAATTGTTTGCCATGTGGTAAACACACACCCCAATATTTACACACTGAAAGTGCTAATATGCATGTGTTTAAACAGGGTAGGAGTGGGGGAGGGGTGCAAAAATATTTGCCACCACCTTCTATCCCCGTTATGGTAATGTGTTATCATGTGACAAAATGAACAAACACACAGCAAACAAACTAACAAATAAACAAGCACTTGGAGGACACAGACACATCAGGTTCAGTCAGAAGTGAGTTTTGTGGCTGTGACCTCCTCTGGTGAGGGTTTGAATTATTTGTTTTAACGCATGATGAAGTAAAGAGGGGAGTGATCTGTTCTCCATCAGGGTGTTTACTCATCTTTGTGCTTGATTTTCTTTCATGATAATGTGAGACTCTGTTGGCTGTGTGTCTGAGGCCTGGGGAAACAGCCACAGGCTCAAATAGAATTAACTCCAAAAACTGCGACAGGACCAGAGCACACAGGGCAGTGAGAGGCAAATTGATGCAGTGATTAAGAAGAGGGGATATGGTGTTGTGAGAGATTCCTTAACATAGAGTTGGAGTGGTTGAAAAACACAATGACATTTTGATATTCAAATCCTTCTCTAAAAGCCTTAAAACCAGAGTATGTGACTTTTGCTTAAAGAATACAAGGGACTTTACCCACAGAAATAGAGATGTACTTTGAATTGTACAGTACTGTTGTCATGAAGTTACTAAACTGACTAAGTAATGTTGGCCAAACAATTTTACCGACTAAAATAAGCTAATGTTACCTTATTTATCAATAGCCTTTATCAGTCCTAGATTATTGTCATTTTAGTCCCAAAGATCAGCATTTGGCTTAAACAGATTTTTTTTCTTCTTGCAGTAAATTCAGAGGTTGTCATGACTTTCTGGATGTCTGTCATGTTGACAGTTGGGGTTGGGAAATTCTTTGTGTATTATTACTTGACATTTTATTTTCTGTTTCATCACTGGATCAGTCTCTCAAGAAACAATGATGCTTCAGTTCTTGTTTAACCTTGTCAGGGTTGTCAGAATAAAACCACACACCTTGAAACAAAATGATTGCCTGACAAATCCCCACAGATCTTTACTTTTTCTTTCTTTATAAGATTTATTTTGGGGTTTTTTCCTGTATTTGGTTGAGGACAGGATGGTGTTCAGAGTAAGAAATAGGGAGAGAGAGCTGGAATGATGTGCAGGAAAGAAACCACGAGCTAATGTCAGCCACACTATTTTGTCACAGAGGTGCACTTATGTTAGCTTGAAGCACAAAAGACTCGATATTAGAGTTTCACAACTGCAGCTAGGTTGCAAAGCATCTGAGACAGAAAAGTTGAAGGCAGGTAGGCTAGTGGTGTTCTCACGCACTCAGATTTAAAGACAACACATTTATGTTAGGTCTAGACATACTGAAACCCTCAGTGAGCTGTTATGCAGTGTCTTGCTGTTGTTTGGATTGAACATAAATGCTGCATAAAGTTTATTTGTGAGGGGAAAAAATAGAAGATAGAATGGGAATAAGTCAAAAGTGAAAAGTGGTCTGCTTCTTCTATTTACAGAACTATGCAAGTGGCCTCTCTGGGCGTCTCTCCAGGGTCATGATAAACATTGAATCAAATTTGTGATTGTCTGTTAAAATGATGGACAGCTTTCAGACATTCTTATTGTTGTACACAAAATTCCTTCAATTTGGGCAACAAGACGTCTATAATTTTCTTCACATCTTGTTCTAACATGTAATTGGACTGATTGCCACTTACTTCACTAGACATGCTTTTTTTCATACAATTCCCACATGAATGTTACAGAAAATTTGGAAATCAGCATGTTATTTTTTTTCTGTAAAGTCCATAAATCAACTTTAGTGTGACATGCTCTGAAAATTTATGCCACCTCATCTTAAAATCTAAGCTAGCTTTTATATATAGAGATAAACAGGATTAAAACTTTTGGCAGTTATTTATCACCATAGCTCATTAACTAAATGTAAGATTATGACTTTATTTAAAATCAAGTCAGACACATTATCAATCTCCTGGTTTTTGGCCTTCTCCTTTTTAGCTGTTGTGATTTTAACATTCTCTTGTGTTTAACTGTGAATAACTGTATAATCGTTTCCAGAAACTGTAGCGTCTTTATGGCAACATCCATGTTTGATGACTTGATGAGCCTATTCTTCTATAATCAACTATATGGTATTAAGAAATACATAAATTCACTATGATTTGGATCATTATCAATGATCTTTCATATATATCTCATATATTACCATAACCCAAAGGCACAATGATTGGCTAACTTGACCCCCAACTAAACCTGGCACATGGTTTGATACAAAAATGAATATCTCTTGAAACTCTGTGGACTCAAAAACACAGCGACAATGATACATAGATTACCCATGTAGAGTTTAAACAATCTCAATTTGTGACAAGACTCTTCTGTAGTTCCAAAAGTCTTTAATAGTTGTCTCATGTAGATTAAACAACATTATGATAGGTTCAAAGAAATCAAATCTCAAAGCTTGACGTCCATCATGTCCATCCAGTAAAGACTGACCCCTGGTTATATCTTGGGTCCCAACCACTTATGGAAGGAGTAATAATCATTAAGTTTCATGAAACTCCTTCCAGACTTTGAATACTTGAGTTGGTATACACACATTTATAATGTATTTAACAGTTATCCTTCTGAGGACCTTACAGTATCATAAACAAAGGACAAATAAAATGCAGGTCTAAGTTTATTCTGTACAAAGAAGCCAAGCCAAAAGAACCATGAGCTGGTCAGAGTAGGAAACACATTTGAAGCAATTCTCTTTTTATAGTAAAGCAGAAGTTATATTTGTACAATGTGTTGAGCAAAATCATAGACACATGAAGCAGAAAATATAGCAAGGATACTCAAATAGACTACAATAGATTACACAACACTACATATGCCAAACTTAAGTGTTAAATTCAAACGATGCCTAATTTACAGTTTTCTTGCGCACTTTTCAGCACAGGTATACACACACGCCCACACATGCATCCACTCACCCACACACGCATCCACTCACCCACACACGCACCCACTCACACACATGGGTGCTATATTTTGCACTACCAGAGAGAGATTTTCACCACATGTGTGATCAGTATTTGAGGAAACTTTAGTCCATTGCTGTTATGATTCCACAGTAATTCCTTATGTGAGTGAGTTACAAGGCATTTGAAAGTAATTACAGTAAAAATACATTTTCATAATAAGCAATGTACCATGAGAAATATGTATAAAATAGCTTGATAATAATAATAATAATAATAATCATAATAATACTGCTTTTCAGCTTTTCCCAGATCTCATCTCCGTCCAACATTGGTTGTAGTGTCACTTTGTTCCACGAGATCAAAATAGATATCACAGAGTAAGAAAAAGCTTCCCATACAAATCCAACTGTATAAACATTATACTAAGTTCTTGCTAGGTAAAGTTCCAAAAAAGCCAAAGTGGAAAATGAAATGCACTTTTTCTTTTAGTCTGCCTTTGAAAATGATTATTATAAAATGACTCTGCAGTTACACTTTCTATTATGAGAGAGCAAAGGCAGGATGTTGGCGGTAGGACACCTTTGGAAAAGACAGAACAAACATATTCAATCCTATTTTACCTACACAGCCTAAATACAGCTTTACATTTCCATGTTTTACATATGACAGTTTTGTCTCCTGCTCCTTTTGTCTTTTGTCAAGCTATACCCGTGTGGTAGAGTGGGTGCTGGGCAGGCCTGCAGAGCTGTAACCAGCGGGGAAGGTGCTGTACGGACTCATGTTGGACAGGCCCATCAGGGAGTTGGGGATCATGGTGATGTTGTTGGGGGTCATCAGAGGGATGTCGTCAGGGGAGCGACGCTGGCTGAGAGCTGAGTAGTCCAAGCTGGGTGAGACATGTAGAGGATTGTGGAGGGCCTCGCACTGGTTCCGCTGCTGGGATGACAAGGTCTCGTCTATGGTGTTGGTGTGGCTCACGTTGTTGCCCTTGCTGTCACGCTGGGGACTGGGCTGCTGGGATGTGTCCTGACGACTGCGCTTGTCCTTTCGGTAGTAGAGTGCGGCAAAAGCCAGGACATTCAGGAAGAGCAATGATGCCCCTACAGCTATGGTGACGCTGAGCTCTGTTGAGTAATCTCTCGGGTTCGGCATGATCAGTGGTCCCATCTCTCTCCCACCCTCACCCTCACTGTGGCCAGAGGATACCGGAGGTCGACCAGTGCTGCCGGATCTCTTCCCGTTGGACTGGGTGGGATCCAGAGGGGTGACCTTCGTGGTGGTGGAGGAGTAATGGAACATGTCATGGAGGTTGTAAAGATGAGGTACCAGGTGTTTCCAGAAGGCCACCTTGGTGGCACGGTAGTGGTCACGGATACGAGGCTTGAGGCCAATGTGAAGGTACAGCTGGTCGTATGGATCATACTTGGACCAGGCCACCTCCTCAAAGCGGTTTGCCTTGGTGTGGATGAACTTTGTGTCCTGTGGAACCGGCTTGTTTGGATCCCTGTAGATGAGTTAAAGAGAGAGAGAACATGAGTGATACAAAAATAACAGTGAATAAAAACGTCACACATCCAAGAGCTAAGACCCCTATCCCCTGTGCTAGATGCTATTTCTGAAGGTGTTAGCAAATGTCATTGGTGGTCTCAACACCCTCAGCAATCACAAAATATGGATCATTTACAGCTGAAAAACACCTCTTATCAACCAACAGCCAACCCAGGCATGTTAACATTTTACAAATATCACTCATGGTTGATGTTGTTTGCCAAATAGCTAGGTATGACTGTTTTCATAACTGCTTTGCCTAATTAAATACACGATTTTGCAATAAACTTCTCAGTAAATCTCATCCGGTTTTAACCCTAACCTTGGATATCTTTGAGATGTGATGAAATTTGTCACTAATTTCTATTTTTTATAGGTTTGCTGAAGGGTTGATGACCCTAAATGGGCTGGTTAGAAGGCTATGGTGGGTTTCCAGTGGTTCATTAGGATTAAGAGCGAGATGTAATTAAAATTTCCTGGAGATCTTTTCAAGTAGATTTCTTTGTATTATGTGAAGTGTAACAAATCCCTCTGAACATTTTTTCTTGCTAATTTTAACTGTAATACTGATTGTATTTGCCATACCATGATTTGTTCTGTCACAGAAAACAGACTGGTTCATGTTGTGCTAATGTCTTTAACCACCGCTAAGCCCTAGCTGGATCAGTACAATGCTGATTTCTGAACACAAATGGAAACAGATGGCCTGTGTGTTAAAAGTAAAAGAGGGGAAAAAGACTGGAAGGGCAAAATAAGGAGGTCAACACAATGTAATATCACCGTCTGTCCTCAAGGGCTCAGCATTACCTCATGTCGTCACACTAAAACAGCAGCCCACAGTGACCTGAGCTGTGCCTCCTCCTGCTGCTGAGGGTCCTCCTCCCTTCACACTCAATGCAGCTGTGCATTTAGAATGCAGCAAGGGCATCGGAGGAGTCCTCCACTACAGCGTGACTCAATAAGGTGTCTCTTATCTTCAAAAACACATGGGAAATCTTAACCTCTGTATGACAAATGATATAACAAGCTGTCAGAAGAAGAGCTGCAAGGTTTTACTTTGGTGCACTTTCAACAGCATGATACTCCAGTGCTGAGTCAGTGTGAGTGTAAACGCCGTCAACACTGGATCATAGCCTGACTTGGGTGATAAACTCTGAGGGTTGAAAACTTCATCAAGCTGGAAAACTGTCCCGCTTTTCCAAAAATACTTCAAAAGGTCCCCTTTTCAATTATTATTCAACAGCACATACAAATATAGAGGGAACCAATAAATGTACGCAACACTACATATGTGAAACTGTTATTTCTCTCTGTGAAACCAAAGGTAATTCAGAAGTGTCCAGTAAATGAAGGTATCAAGACTGGTTCCTTCCACAAAGACAGCTATATTAAGCAGAATTGTTTTGTACTACAAACAAATGTAAATACAATATGCAAATGCCTTTTGGCATTGATTATTTGCGCCACCACCTCTTAAACTAACTACTCTCTGAGGTTTATGAAGAACACCGTAAAGGCCTCTTCAAATTTTCTCTGCAACACCACCATTTCATCCAACAGGGTTTTAAACATTTATGTGAGTCAAGCTGTAAATTTTAAAGATTCCATCACCTTTAGGAAGTCTGCCCAGTGTGATGAAACTTTGTTGTGTGTGTAAAAAAGAGTTTCTCCCCAAGGCTAAACCGGCTCTTTAGAGAAGAGACAACATGGTATTTAAAAAGACACAGCTTTCCTCAGATTGCGTGCGCTATTAATATTCTACAGTTTCATCACTTTATGTGGATATGCAGCTGAGTTGAGAATAAAATAAAGCTGTCTTCTACAGTTTACATCAGTCTAACTTTTTAAGGTCTGTTTTTTCTGTCTTGGCCCTTCTTGCCCTCTCTCTCTTTGGCCAACCTTCCTGGCTTATCTGGTTGCAGTAGATGGCTGTTTACCAACGAGTTTGGTTTGGCTTGAGGGCCCTTTCTGTTAATCTATTTCCCTGCCCCTGTTGCCAAGTGCATACCTATGGTGGATTGTTTTTGTCTTTTTATTCATATTAGGCAAAGAGTACAATCTTTTATTTATGTTGGGATTTAATGCAAACATTGGCCAACTGATAAATGATTGAATAAGTAAGAGTAAGTGTGCACTGTTTAAAGCAGAAATGAGTGAAAAATTAGGGTACTGCAATATGCAACTTGAAATATCAGTTATGGATTTCTCTTGAGTTTGTGGTTACTCACCCGCTCTTGGCGAAGTTGGTCCAGTAAGTCATAACCACAGCGCTGAGCATAATGTCATTCCTGGAGAAGTTACAGGGGAACAGGTCAGTGGGACCCACCATGGGGATCCCAAAAACATAAGGAACCTCATCTCCATGTGCGGAGTCCGACCATACCGGCTTCATCAGGCTCTGGCAGTGGTGGTAGAAGGCGTAGAAGTATGTGGGTGACCCGTAACGGGCGTGGAGGTCGGCTGTCACCACTGAGGGCTCTACCCATTGGTGGTCAGTGAAGAGAGCCACCAAGGTCTTCCTTCTAGTCTCTGGGTTGTCTTTGTCCGCCCAGTCTGTGTACATGAATTTAATAGTCTCTCTCAGTGTGTCTTTTCCTTCTGGATAGCCATACAAACTGTCCACAAAGTCTGACACAGCAAAGTCAAAGTCACTGCCAGACACGCCGTCCTCGAGGTCCATCACGTTCTCCACAAAGCGCAGCCCCTCTCCCTGATTGACACCCAGCATAATGTCATAGTTCAGGAACTCTCCCTGCTCCATCAGGATCTCCGGGTCATCAGGGATGACGTCTCCATCGATGACAGGACCGAAAGCCACTCGGTATCGGGCAGCTTGGATGTCTTGCTCCACCAGCTCTTTCGCACTTTTCTTCTGTAGGCAGGAGACCATGTCCACTGTGTCCAGCACGTTGCAGCCCACCCTCTCAGCCAGCATGCGGGTGTACTTCACCGGCTGGTAGTTGACAGCCCAGCTGGACAGAGCCGACCCACTTTGGATGATGGCTCTGTGGAACAAACCTTGAAACACAAGATTCAGAACAGAAAGACACAGGACACAAAAAAAGTCCAGAAAACAGTGATTAGTATTTCAAGTTCTGGTTGGTAGAGGCTGATATTGTCAGGTCTATTTGAGGTACATTGGTATGGACATATATTTTTGTGTCTATATAAATACCTTTTTTTTTTTTCAGAACATTACATCAGAAAACAACATATGAGGTGCTTTCAAAACAATGACATATTGCACTTTCTCTTCTTCATAGTTAAAAATACTCTCAGCATTGAAGTTGACCTGACAGCTGGTCTGCAAGGCTTGGATTATGAAGGATTACAATATGAAAGAGTAGTGAATTATATCTTTTTGAGATAGCAAGCTCTTGAGCCAATTTGGAGAGGCATAATGGCAGCACCTCAGACATTGACTATATCACCCATATCAGTAAACTGGCCTTCTAAATTTGTCCCAGTACTGGTTTCAGAAATCCAGTCAGATAATTATATATGTATTTTGTCAGTACAAACATTTACGTCATTTGCCTAATCACCTTTGGACTAATAATTAATCAGAATAAGGTCACAGGTCTGTAGTTGCTAAAAAGTGTAGTTTAAATAGTAGATGGAGTAAAACTGCAAGGTCAGATCGTTAAGCATTACTGTTGAGCAGATGCTGAGTTTATTAGGTGGTGGACAAAATAAACTGTTTTTGGGATGGTTGCTCATTCTCTTGTTATTTTTATGTAAAAGAAAAAAAAACAGCTTTTCTTATTTGATTCGTTTTTTAATTTTAAGTAATGTCGAGCAGGTTGCACAGTACAGAAGTCAGATCAATAATTACATAGCATTGTTTCAGTGTGAAGGAGTCTACTCTTCTGTACTCCAGTTATTCACAGGCGCGCTGTAATTGTGGGATCGTTAATGCTGTGTGTCTAACAAGCTGCTAGGTTTACGTATAGGCTGCTGATGCCAAGTGTGCGGTAGAGGGTCTGTGCAGGGAGCTGAATATGCAGTAACCCTGATCCTTCAATGTTGATACAGTAAACATCACTCCGTTGAATTGTTTATATGCAGTGAGTCACCTCTGTCTCAGGGGATTTTGTATCTACCACCTAAACTGACAAGTGATATGTATCAACTCACAAACACTGTGCTGAGGTTACAGCATAGCAGTCATTGGAAAAAGGGTGCAGGAGCTGTGTCACTTTCAACCTCCTTTGCTGTCATTTATTTCATTTTTTTTTTGGAGAGGGTGCAGCAGCAGCTAGCTAGTCTACTTCAAAGACAGCCGGAGGTCTTTGTGAATTTGCTGCAGCCGAGCTCGGGCATCAAATAGGAACCTCACAAAGACGAGTTGCCGCAGCCTCCCCAGCATTGATGAAAAAACACAATTTCTGCCCTTCTTGTGATTCTGTCCAGCTTCAATGGGACAACGGAGGCAATAATACAGCACAGATAAGAGGTTTAATCCCATGGGGGGTCACCTGTCGTGAAATATGCACCCTGGACCGTAGCAAGAAGCTTAGGGAAAGTGCTGACCAAAAGATACGATATTGGCTTAACTGAAAAACTGGTAATTTCCTTTTTTTTCCTTATCAGTGGACATTAGAAACCAGTTTCCAGTGAAGTGAATAAAACTTGATCAAAATTTATGATACTAATTCTGATAATTTCATTTATTTGCAGTGAGAGATGAACCAGATTTCGACTATTTTGAAGAAGAAATGCCAACATATCATATTGTCAGTGTTTACACCTTAAGCTTTTCACTGTTTTTCCTGATCCGTCATTATCCTTAAACAAACTCCGATCAACAAACATGGATATAGGAACGATTGCAGTCGCTGCTGGGAAAGAAAATATACTGAAGTACTGTTCTTTCCATTTTTAACAATAGCAAGCTGTTTTAGTTCTAATAGCTAGACTGGATATTTAATAGAGGATATACAATATGTGATTTAAAATCTGTATTTTAGGTATCCACAGTAACATCCTTAGTAATGATTATCATTAAGGCATCTGGAAAAAAATGAGTCCCTTTTGCCACTCATGTGTATTGGGCCTTCAATTTCAGATATCCACACCATTCTTCCTCGGGTGTTACTTATCATTACTGCTGTGGTGACTGTGGTAAAAATCTATTAGGCATACCCACGAGACTTATTAAAAGCAGTCGGTAGATATCTACAACTACAGTTATAATTAGAAACAACTCAGTTGCAGACATCTATGAAGGTGTTGTGGATATCTACAGATTATAGTTTGCCAAAGCCAGGTTCTAGATATCTGTACTGGGTTTATTTCCTGGTGGAATTCCATCAAAGGTACACAGGAAGCTCATTAATGATGCTATTGTTAGTATCTAAAATGTTTATGTAGCAACACAAATCCAATCTAGCAATTAAATGTACAAAGGTCATTTATAGATATTATTAACTTTGATATTTACACAGAGATATGAAGTTTAAGACACCTTGAAATACAATATAGTGATAAAAATAACATTAGAGGACATCCTTAAAAATAAAATCATTTAGTCTTGGTACTAAATTATATTTTGATTCCAATAACAGATAACTCAACTCAAAATGTCGATGGTACAATTTGTAAAAGTTTTCTTTATTGCCTCCAGGTGAATAAAAGAGTAAGACAAAAATCTGAAGCAAGGAGACAGAAATGTGAATCATTTGGAGGTTTAAAAAACTGAGAGATGCAGGTGAGTGTGATGACATGGTGCAAACTTTATAATGCCTGTAGGCTTCTTTAAGAGCTCCACATTGAAGAGGAAAAGCTTTTAGGCTGATTAGACTGAGTAGAGGGGAACAAAAGCAATCACTTACTTAACAAATACCCCTTTATCCTACTCTCATATCATAACACTTCATCTCTCTGACAGAACATTTAATGCCGTGCTTGACACTAAGAAGAAAACTTCAAAATGATTAAAAATTATTGTTTAAAAAGTGTCATCTTGAAGATAGGAAATTAATGTAATTGTGAGAAAATGAAATCTTACATATTAAGTTTTTATGGATTCTGACACTTCTCATGGAACGAAAGGGGCCTTCAACTTAACTCAAACAGATCTCAATTAATATAATAAAGGTTGTGACTGGTAGATTCTTACCCTCAGAGTGGTGGGACAGAGTAAGCAGACTGACACAGGAGGCACCGATTCCCGATCCAAAGACTGTGATGCGACCTGGGTCTCCTCCAAAGTAACCGATGTTCTTACTGATCCAACGGAGCGCTTGGATCTGATCCAGGAGCCCATAGTTTCCCTTTGCTGCCTGGTCCCCGGTACTGAGGAAGCCTAAGGTATATGAAGAGACAACAGTGCTGAAGAGGAGATCCGCAGTATCTGTCACAGCTTTGATCTAAAGTTGTAGCCCAGCAGGGCATCAGAATGAACTGACACCGTTTTCCCTCAGGTGCAAATAAGCCTCTGCTCTCTCCCACAGTGTCTCCACTACTTTAGTCAACTCCTTGTAATAGTCTCCATGCAGCCAGGCCCCTCAGGAGGTGATACGGGCTTTGCTCTTCAAATCATGCTCTCCTTCCATGTGACTTTATAAGATTCAGTATGCATTAAAAAATAAATCTTCGCTTGTCCCTTTTCTTTTTTTTCAAATTTCAGAGAACCACTCAGAGGTCACAGGTTCTCTTACAATTGGTCCCATTACTTATTCCCCTGCCTTGTCTCATCTAAACACTGCACTCTTTTGAATGTTAAACACCGTGAAATAAAAAAAAAACTCTTGACCTTGTAAGTGCTTGTGAATACTGCATCCCTCCATACAGTATTCAACTCATTTTTCTTCAAGAACAGCAGGAGCTGATTATCTTGTACAGATTAGATAAATCCATCTGACAGAAGATAAATAGTGTTTTCAGAAGGAGTCTAACAACTGCTTGTTTGCAACAAGGACAGGGCATGTATTTGCATTGCTTTTCCTCTGAGGTCAACATTTCCATGTAAATCAAGTTTCACCATACCAGGATCTCAGCTGCTTATTTATTCATATGCTGTATTACATGTTTCATATGTCTCCTTCGAAGCCAGACAGCTACATCATTTGGCAGATAATCCCACTGTCAGTGTGGGACTATCTGATTTACTGGTATTAAGGCTTGTTTCCAGGTTTCACAGTATGCGAACTTGCGGTTTGAACAATGTTTTAGGTATGATATTATGATGCAGTGATAGATAAAGTCTAAAAATTTGCATAGTTATTCAAAATATGCTCATTTATCTACTGTTTTGGTTATGATATTCATTAAAGCTGTATTCACACATTCACAAAATTTCAGAAAATTTCCCAAGATTTTTTTGGATGGGCTGCATGTGTTAACACAAACAGCCAAAAAATTCTCTCAAACTTTTTTCTGTGAGCTCCTGTTAAATTTTAGTCAGAAGTTGAGTTCAGCTGATTTGATGACACAGCTTTGAGTATCTGGAACAAATTTACTGCAACTGAGTGAGAGAGCAGGCAGGGGAATGATGTTTATATCGTGTGCAGTCGTGTCAATAGGGATTTTGGGACCCACTGCAAAATAGCACACCAGGCCCCACCACTTTATGATCACTGCATCAGAGTAAGTCGCTGTAAGTCTTGTCCTGTCAAAGCCGAACTTAATTCCCTTCAAATGAGCAGTGCCGATTTTGAAAAAGCATCAAGTAATAAGATGAATAAAAAAAACCAAGCCTGAAGACAGAGAATTATTTTCAAGAAGTTATTGTTACAGAATTTTGCATATCTATTGAAAAAAATGTTATCATAGTGTGGGTTTTGTTGCTTCATCCACTGTGATGTTGTAAACACTGATGTCCTGTTTACGAAACTGCTTCTCTCTCCTCTTGTCTGACAAGCTAGTGTGAACAAACAATTTTTGTGGCAAAACTTCTGAAAATTATTGAAATTTTGCAGCATTGATTTAGTTAAAGCTTCTATGAGGACCTCTCAGTTTGTGTGCCCTGAACAAAACAGTCTTTGCTTATTTCACCCGACTTGTTTGCATCCCGCTGACTTTTGAAAATCAAATATATAATTCATCGAGAACATTAAACATGGAAATGTAAAAAAGGACTTTTCTTCAGCTACCTGACTAACGCTTACTCCTTAGCACTGGTTTCAGATATTGATCATTTCAACACTGATCTAATCAGTCTTGTCACTGGTGGACTTGTTTGCTTCTGTCATATGATTAAAATGCTTTAATACTAACTTCCGTTTCATAAAACTCTTCACAGCAACCTTTTTCTTTCCGACCACTGACAAGCTGTAAATGCAGCACTGACAAACCTCAAATGAAGATTTGTTTTTGTTTCCATCAATGAAACAAGAGATTAAAGTGTAATTGGTGCGTAGCTGTACATTCAAAATCCATGAAATGTTCCCCACAGTGCATCAAATTTGTCACATAAGTATGAGTAATGTATTCCTGTAACTGTCAAATTGCATTAGGGGCACAGTGTTTATTTTCTTTTTTTACCTGGGGTACAAGTTTTCTCTTTGTTCAAGCATCTTTTCTATTGTCATTGATGATTTTGACTTAATGCATGTCAGTGACAAAGCCCAAGACAGTTACTTGAGTGGCATCAGTTTGATATTCTTACTTTTTTTTGTTTTGTTTTGTTTTGTCTTGTTTTGTTTTGTTTTTTTCTTCACTGTAAATTCTAATAGTTTTGTGTCAAAGCCTCAGTTTAGCCGAGTTTGGGGATATGCTAGAGAGCATTTTATTGAGTTGTTTTACAGTTTTGATCAACTCAAATCATTAACTTCATGATGACAATGCAGTTAACAGTGTTATGAAATTAATGTCTGTGGTGACAACCCACCTGTCACCAAAGGCACAGTTAGGGACCATTGCAAAAGTGCAATACAGCCCTTTTCATTAAGATCACACTCAAGTGTTTATAGGTTTAAACCCTGGTAATGAGCTGTATATTTCTAAAGGCAATATGAAACCATTTGGAGAAATATTCTGGCTAAAAGTTTTAACTTTCTATCAACGGAGTTAAAATGTTTGGAGATGCCGTTGGCCAACACTGGCCTAAAATTATAAAGGGCAGAAAATTTGTCTAAAATAAACTAGAGTTTTTGTCCAGAGACCAAGACTATAATCTTGAAGGTACAGTGTTTAGTATCTAGCTGCATTTGGTTGACACACTAGGTAGAAATGTAATAAAACATTTACAAGAGTGTTTGAACTTGTGAGTTATCACCTGAATACAGAATCATTTTGTTTGTGTAAACTAAACTATAGACTTCTATGTCGATATCTACATAAGTAGCAGGTCCCCCTCTATGGTGGCTGTCATCTTGCACTGCCAGAATTGTCAAACTTGTCACGAATGTGTTTTTGTATTTAGAAATGCATTAGTTGGGAGGCGAGGAAGAAAAAGAAGAAAGTAATGTTTGTGCTCATAATATTTTGTATTGATAGACGTTTCTGATGATAAAAATTTGACAAATGGAGGATGATTCTAATCATGCATCACAGGAGCTTCTTGTCGTTAGAGGTCACTGCTGCTTCAATGACAGGAGGGGTGAATAAGGCAGTGTTTCAATCTTAAACCGGATCGCTAGAAATTGCTAGATATTTTACTCACCGTACGTTTAAATCACTTGTGCCAATATTAACACCTTAAGAATGTATACTATATGTGAAAGGGGTTAATATGACAAAGCAATGTATTTTTACCAACAGACTGTATATACTATGGACAACTTGGTTTCGCCCTCCGCCAGTATACAGATTTGAAGCCAAAAAGCGCTCAGTAATTCTGTGTTTTTTCTCCACTTCCTGAAACCAACATTGCGCAGTAGCATTGTACGCATTTGGCAGGAGAGTCGCCGAGAGTCCCTGTGATGACGCTCGGCTCAAACAGCGTATCCCCTGGGTGAGCTATGCGATCTTCGTACGTCCATAGGCTGTATCAAGTGTCAATCATAGAAAACATGAACCCCCTAATAACTTTTAAAAATGGAGCTGTACAGAAAAAAGAGGACTTGAACACAAACTAGTCTCACAATAACTACATGTCAACATCGCAAGCAGAGGGGAGAAAAATTTATATTTTGTGTAATAATTTTCTAAAGTTTGTCCACAACTCTATAAGCTTTGCTGGCGGAGGCGGGATTTATGACCTATACTGCAGCCTGTCACCAGAGGGTGCTGTTCTCGGAGTGGCTTCACCCAGCGAGGAGGCAGACGGCGTCCATTCTATATACAGTCTATGTTTTTACCTCCTGCATCAGTGTTAGTATTGACCCTAAGTAACCCAGATGGGCTCCAACCCCTTCCTTTCAGTTTATAAGAACAACACAAGTAAAAATTACTTTAATTTCAATCTATAAGGATCTGAATACTCTCTCAAGAATACCATGAAAATGTTACCACACAGAGAAGTTGTCTTCACCTAATATTCCGATTCTGTAGTTGAGCGTGACGACAACAACATTCCCATAACTGGCCAACACGCTGCCGTCCATCATGTTCCCTGTGCCCTCCATGTATGAGCCTCCGTGGATGTAGACCATTACAGGTCGAGCTTCAGAGTCCCTTATATCTGAAACATTAACACACACACACACACACACACACACACACACACACGCACACGCACACGCACAGATGCTGAGCAAACAACTGCAGAGGCTACAGTAATGAAACAGAGAGTTAATGGAGCACTGTTAATAAAACTTGATATAAACAGCATGAGTCAGAGAGAGAGATCAGTATGAGGTATGGGGGAACGGCTGCTTAAAAAAGGTGCTTAGAAGCAGTGGTAAGCCTGCAGTTTGGAAGCTGTAATGACATTCAGAAAATGCATGGTAAATAGACTCCGACAAGGTGTGTATGAGTAACAGGAGCAGGAGTAATTAACAATTTTTACACTGCATGCTCAACCTAGCATTCTTTTGCTCAGAAATGCTCTACATAACAGATCAACAAAGCAAGACAAATTATTGATTTGACTCGAGGTTAGGTCTCCGTTGAATAGAAAAATCACTAATGATGGAAATTTGCAGTTAATAAAGTATACAGGCACAAACTTAGAAACTATGTTTTACATGTGTAGACCTAATCTTTGAAGTACATCATTGAACTCAGCTCCTTTTATCTCAGAGGCAGAAGTTGTATTTTCATTAAAATAAAAAATCTATGGTATATTTTTGAAGCCAAATTTGTTTTATTGATCACTAACTGTCTTTAAAAGGCACCGTGAGATGGATAAATAGATAATGCATTCCTGGATCGATGTGAACAGCAGCAAATGTGAAACACTTACTGGGAGGATTGCAGCTGTGCTTAAGACATGAGATGCAGGAGCAGCAAACTTATGTAATCATAAATCAGATAACAACTTTATTCTTACTCTTAAAATGAAAGGACCCCTGCAGTTCCTCAATAAAGTAAAAAGCAAAAGATCTTCATTCATAAAAAATGAGAAAAAAGAAAATCAAGCAAAAAGAATCCATGCATCAAGACTGTGAGCTCTTACGAATAATACCTTCAGATATATGAACCTCAGCATGTGAGAAAGCCGCCCCCTTTTTCTTGTGTTGGCTCCCTGGGATTCACATGAAGAAAAAAAGAAGAAGGGAATTCAAAATAGCATGGTTCAATGTGCCTCCCTAATATGTACGGTCCAATCAAGCTGACAGAATCAGGGAAAAGGATCCATAAATTAGAGGCAAAAAGAAGATTAGCCCATTTACATACAGCACGTTGCACTTTCTCTCTTTGTAATTGCTTTCTGACAAAATGCAGATGACACTACAGTATGTTCAATCTGGAGAGATGCATGACACTATTACATTATGAGGTAGCGTTGCAAATTAATAAGTGTCAGAATCTGTTTTTATCAAGTGAACAAAGTCCTGTTCTGTGTTAGAAGTTTGTAGGAAATGGGACATTGTGTGTCTGTGCAAACAAACACACAGTTACCTTTGAATGCTTTATTATCTGCATCATTATATTGACCCAGCTGCCTCTGTTTGACAGTAGGAATACATCTTTCTTGGTTCATTTTATCTTTCTGTGCAATTATATTTGAACACAAACTCTCATGTTGATTCCTCCACTGCAGCATAGTTATCCCGAGGATATATGAGGTACAGTGTATGGTTTATTGATGAATTATTAATGAACTATCACTTGATTGGGGCATCAGGGAACACAAATGAATATTAAATAATTTCAGAAATGCACTCTCTAATTAATACTGTTGCAAAATTGAAAACAACAAAGATTTCACATCGGTAAAAATACAATCAAGATACAGCAAATTGGAAACATTGTGCAACTCTTAAGAATTAAAAATGTATAAAACCAATTTGTTATGTTGCTTCCTGTGAATGCAAATGTACAATTTAATTAACCGGCTTATGTGTGGGGTGAGGAGGCAGCACTCAGACCAGGAGCTTTATAAAGCGTGGGCTGCTGCACCATTTTGGACAGCTCCCTCTCCAGCAGGCTGTTTATGTGTTGTTGCTACGCGACCATAGAAAAGTCAGTCAAAGAGTGCCGTGTTACATACAAAAGCTGAACACGGTTCAACTCTGAATGCTGAATGTTTTTTATTATGCTGAGTGCCGGTGAAGGTGGAGACAGAAAAAAACATGTTTAATTGGAGCATTGAGCGAACCTGAATCCAAGTTTGTCAACAAGACATTTAGAGGAGATATAGCAGTGCTATGGGATAACCTTGCTCTGGTAATCTACAGATTCACAGCTCACAAACCAAATGCTCCCTTGTTGGTTCTTCTGCAGTTCTGTTATACAAAAATAGGAGGGATTCAGTAAGCGAAAGATGGGAGTTGACTCTTGTATCTCACTAATTGGCCCCCAACAGACTTAGTGTCTGCACTACGCAGAGATCCAGTAGAATATAAGGAATTTGTAATTTCTTCCCCAAACATGGCATCTGGGGGTGCAAGCTTCTCCTTTGTAATCTTTCATGATTACCTTTGAAGCTCAGTGATGACAGCCAAATATGCTTGGCTCATCATTTTTAAACTGAAACTTAGTTTAGGTGGACCAATTTTTGAACAACACCTTACCTCAGCAATATTTTATAGGATGATATTATGAGAAAAAAACCCTTCCCCCACATAAATGTTGAGTTATGCCTCCCTGTGTATCAATACACAGCCAATGGCATCCAAGCAGCACTTAGGGTTGCCATAACTGATAAAGAATGAGTCTATTTCTGCGAGTTGATATCCATACACATATTTATCAAAGTTGTATATCTAAAAGACGGGATTATTTTCGAAGAACGCTATATATATTTCATTATAAATCTACAGTTTCTTTTTCTATTCGACTATTCTATAAGGCGTGTAAATTCTTTTGCTCAGACTGTATTAGAGTAGGTTTGGGATGCTGGATATTGCAGGTTCTGAGATGGTTATGTAGATCTCACTGTTCTCTGTAAATGAAATATCAAGATTATCCACCAGTTTACATGAATATAGTTGTGTGTTTCATGCTGTGGTTTACGTTGAAATTAGAAAAAAAGATTGCGGACTGTAACCTTAATATTGTAAAGTGTATCATACCACATCATACTGTATGAAATTGTATTGTATCGTATCATGTCCTGTTATATCTTATTTTGTTTGTTTGGTTTGTCCCTGTTGTGTATTTTACAACATCATATCATCAGATTCTTGTAAATGCACAGTAATGGAGCACATGATTACTATTACTCTTGAAAGGGTATTACAACAGGTGGAACAGGGATGACATAGCTTGGATGGTAAATCAGCTTTTGCAGCAATGACATGAATGATGATCAATTACATACATGCTTTATGATGATAACACAAGGGCCAGGATAACAGTGACTAATGGACTTGGAGAATCACCGCTTTCTTTTTACCAACTCACCCTCATCTGTTGGAGCGTAGATGTTGAGATACAAACAGTCTTCGCTCTGGTCCTGAATGTATGTGGCCACTGTGTCCAGGTTATAGGTGAACCATATGGGCATCATAATCTCTGGCACGGTGTTGTGGATGTTCTGAGGGCACACAGGCATAAAATGGGTTGCGTTCCTGATACCTGACCAGGAGGACGGCTGCTCGGGAGGCATGAAGCGCTTTTCACCCACAGGTGGAGCAGCATAGGGGACCCCCAGATATTGATCAACAGGCCTGAGCACCTCACTTGGCACAGGAACCCTGAGGCCTCGCAGTTTCCCAAACTGGGTTGTCACGGTTGGGTAGAACTTTTGGCTTGTTGCCTTTGTGAGTGACCAGCAAGAACATAGTATCCACCAGAGGAGAGCACAGTGGGTGATGGTAACAGTCCCTTGCTGATGGAGCAGGTGTGCAGGCAACAGATGGTCTCTAAATGTAGCCAGCCACATGGTCTGGGCCAGACAGTGCCCTTCACAGCTCAAAAGCACACTGTAGTGTCCACTTAGTCCGTCTGCACTGACCCCGTTAAACAGGCATCACTCACTGGGCCTTTGGCTCCAACGCTTCCCAAATCCAAGTTCACCTCAGCCAGGTATGGACCGCCCGAACTGCCACTTTTCATCCCAGAGCACATAAATCTGAAACAAGCAGAAAGAAGACGACAGATACCATTAACTTCAGCAAACATGAGTAACTTAACAACTCTTGATGGCTTTACTGACCTGATCTGAATCTTTTCTAATCTCATTGTATTGAATATGATTGCATCAAATCTCTTCTGTATCATGCTGCACTGTATCATCTTCAGTATTATCTTCTTTCTGTGTCTTTTAGCTTTTTTAAAACACGTTGAAATCAGTACTCCTCATCCTGTAATGAAATAACCTTTTGGGACAAATTGCTTTCTTAAAAGAGCAAATCTATGCTTTGAAATGTATAAATCACTGAATACTGATCTCCATGCATCTGTGGAGGAGGCGATGGACGAAATTGGAAAAATCCATCTGCCGTGATGTTGGAGTGATGCTGCGAAAGCATCTCAAGATAAAAGGTGTTAAGCACCTCTTTTCTTATATAAAAGCAACAAAGTGGAGAGAGTGCAGACTGACACATCTTTAATATGCATCGACAAGAGATTAGAAGGACCACACTGAGAGAGAAATATGTGATGTGATTGTGGTGTGTCAGTGTTCATTATATTGCGAAAAACACCAAATATCTCACATCGTGAACAGGGAATGTTTTCTTCTTTATTGTGTCTTTCATCTCAGCAGCACTGCCAGCTACTGAGATGAAGATGCAAAATGGAAGTGTCTTTGAACAAACATGTCTGATGGGACCACACAGGCACAAACCCCCCTCCTTAGGAAGCCCAGTAATTGCAGGTTAATTGAAAGACTCGAGGATGGCTTCTCCGCAGCTGGAGAATTCAATATCAGACAAAAAGGAATCTTCATTTCGCTTTAGGAACAAGATTTGTCGTAGTCTCAACTGTTGAAAGACATTTCTTACTTCTTTCAACAGAACTTAACATTTGTCCCTCTAATAAAGGGAAGGTCTTTTTATCTAACTTCTGCGTAAAATATTAAAACACTATCAAATTCATATTTTCTGATCCTCGTTGACCTTGGGTGTTTAAATCATTCTTGTGATCATGTTGCAAAGACTCAAACTTTTGCTTCCAGCACACACAATCACTTTCCTTAAATAAAAAGGTTGTCTATAATGACAAGTGGTAACTAAGTTCACATGTGAGTATGTTCTGGGAAACAGTTTGATAGCCAACCACCCCCAATGTGCACACTGTATGTAAAATAAGTAAACAACTATGTGCTCACCCGTGGTGAACTACAAAGAGCTAACTGTGTTGTGCTGCCTCCAATTAACTACTTTGTAATCCAAAATGCACTCCCCCTTCATCCTTATAGGCTAGGGTAGCGGTTAGAATATTAAACTCGACATCAGGATCTTCACCGGCTTGTCAATGAACAAAGCAAAAACAAGCTTGTTAACCTAATCAAACTTATTGACGAGTACCGCCTCCAGCATTGTGAAAGACTGCAGCTAAATAGCTTTCTATCAGCCTGATGAAGCTACAGTAGCTATTAAGTCGAGGGACAATTTCTTCCCCCCTCATATACGAAGCTAATTAGCCATAGATGTGATGCATTGGCTTTACTTATTCCCTGCAGTAGACTGTTTACACTGGTGGAGGAATAAACACCAAATCTAAAGGCAGTTCCTGTCCCCTTTCACAGGTGTGCATTAGCACATTAGCTTATTTGAACATCATCACAGTTTGGCTTTTTTTTATGTGAAAAAGGACAAATCAGAGTCATATCACACAAGTTCATTTGAGACATATTGTACATCTCTGCCCTGGGCCAGCTTTGTCTGCATTAATTAACACTTCTAAAAGCTCCCCACAGCCAGAAGAGGACAGGACTTGCACCATCTCATATCTGTTACGTGACAATGATGAACGGCTCCCAAGACATTAAAATGGAAAAGATAAAGAATCGTTTTTTTCTTCTTCTTTTAACAGTGTAGATTGGGGCACATCTTCTGGTTCGGCACTGACACTGATAATAAATCATCCAGAGGTAGAAATCTATTCATACAAAACCTACAGTGAAATCATTATCAATTATCAAATTAGCCATAAAGGGCCGTAGTATTAGCAATCAGACTAGGTTAGCTGTCTCAAGCCTTTAAAGCAGCCCTGCAAGAAAAAACATTAGACACTGCCGAGGCTGCTGTAGATCAAAGGGATGATATGAATTCTTAAAATGAGCGGCATTTCCTTTTAAATTACACATGGGTTCATCGAATTAGTTTGAATGGATTTGCATTCTTTTCATTTTTGACACAAAATCGAATCCCTAATTTGAATCACTGTAGTAATGCTACGTTTTAAGGTAATGCATGATATATAGTACTCTCTTTTTGTTACACAGATTTAACTGCAGATTACCAGTGTTTGACACCAGGCTTTACTGCATCTTTTTTTTTTTTGTTCGGCTACTGCTCTGCAAAGGGACAGATGTGGATAAAACCTTTATAGCTTACAACAAATGGGCCATGCAATAAATGTAAGGCAAGTTTGATTCACTTCAAGTTTTGGGGCAATTCAGCCTGCAACAAGCAAATAAATATAGGACATATAGGAAATAAATATTACTTGCTTTTTTAACACACATATAACACCAGTTACAGAGTTCAAAAACACAAAAATACTTCAACTATTACATCTACAAGAACAGACTATTTTGCTGCTGCCAGGTGTTTGGGCATCTGAGTGTGGGTTGCAAAAATGTGCATTTCCTAGGAATCGAATACTTTAATTCCCATTTGACTGACTTGATCCTAATTGCAGCCCTATTAGAATGATTGCTATAATCATGTTCCTCTCCCACCATTACAATCTCTACACCTCCATCATTGACAGGCACACAACTCAACACTAATTCAGCACTAATAAAAATCTCTGGGACAACATCATATCGATTATTTTCTAGTAGCCTGGGGGCCCTTTACATGAAAGCATTTTGAGAAGGAGCCTGGCATGTCAGACAACAGAGCTGGGCTCCCGATGCCCTTGTAATTCGACTGTTGTGCATATCAAAACCGTTTTACCGGATTCCCCAAATCCCCCCTAATTTTGCCGAGCAATAAACAGGAGCAGGGTTTGATGCAGGAAGAATACCTTATAGAGAACATGCAGGTAGCACTCAACATAATGATCGCTGCTCTATAAATGAATGCATGCAGACCTACAGTGAAAAGCAAGCCATCGCCCAGATAGCATCGACAAACTGCTGTAGTGTATGTGCACTGAGCAGCTTGTTTAATCTAGGTCTAGGACGGTGTGAAATACGTGGAAATTTTGGGGAAAATAGCGATCTAACATATGGTGCAGCGTGATTTATCGTTGAGAAGTCGCTATGGGTGAAATAATCGTGCAGGTTTGTCAGTGATCAATCAGAACAAAGATCGTCCCACAGAAAAAAAGCATACAACATCATTAGGTTAACTCACCTGCTTTTACTGAAGCTGATGATACGCGCTCCATCTCGAGATTTCCTCCATACCATGCCCGTCACTTGCTGCCTGTGAGACAATGTGGCTGTGTGTGTGTGAAATATTCCCCCCCGTTCCAGTATCAAACACACAGATCTGTACTCTTATCTCTCCTGCTTTGCACACACAGTCTGTGTGCTTTGCGCATTCACGACGCCAAGGTCAGGAGCGCCAACGGTTTTAATGGAGCGCCCACCATAGAGATCTCTGTACGGCGCCCACTGCCAGCGCGTTACTAGGCAACCACCGGGATACGCCAGTGCATTAAATTCACCCTCCAACAACCGACAAAATCCCAATTTAGAAACCATTAAGTAACCACCTTAACCTCGGACAGCACTCACTATGCTTTGTGCTCGGCCACGAAACCCATCTACCTTTGACCACTAAAACAAGTGAGGCTCTTAAAGAGGAGAGCTGGCCTGCAAGGGGAGAAGATGCGCTGTTGGAATATATTACATCTAATTGGCATGGGTCCTTTAGCAACTCTGGTACAATGGGGTTAGATAATAAAGCCGCAGCACCATTTCACATCACTCTCCTGAATGTTTTCTGTCGGATCTAGTTTAAGCCGCACTAATATCAATTTACGAATCAAACATAACGTCCTTTTGGGACTTGTCAGGGGCGGGTCCAGAATTTTTCACTGGCTGGGCAGGAAGGGCCAGTGAACAGTAACAGCAAATACATCATATAGGTTACATTTGCCATGGATGGGAATGAGCCAGTGTTGACTTAGTGATGGACAGCTCTTTTAGATGTACTGAATCACTAGGATCAGTTAACAAAAATGATTCGTTCAAAAGATTCGATCACCAAATCACCAAATCATTTAGGGAGAAGCCTGTGACTCCGACCTCCTGAACTGATACTCTCAGGATTCAGTTCAATACATAGCTTTTGGGACTGGGAGACGAGAGTGTTTGGCTCTGTTGCTTTGGCAAACAGGTTTGTAAAAATTAATATGTTTAAAGTGTACTGTCCTATGGTATGCTATTTATTCGTTCACTGAACGTTTAGAAGAATTCATACTGAACATGCACCGTTCCCCCACAAACCGCCACAATGATAGGATGCTGTGGGTTTAATGCACTACTTGTCACATGCTGTGTCCTATTGTATGCAAGTTGTTGTGGTGGCAGTTGAGCAGTGAAAAAAAGGTAGTTTTTTTCCGACAAAAATGATTCCAGACAGTGTAGTTCAATGCATGATTCGTTCACCAAGCAATTAAGACGTCCGTGCATGTGGTCCCTCATTCGCCGGCTGCTGGCCTGGCAATGCTGTTTCTCACTTCAGCTCAACTGAAGTGAGAAAGGAACAAATCACTTGAGGAAGTGATTCGGTTCAGTACGTTCACTAAAAGATTCAGTTCTCTGGAATTAGTTGTTTGTGAACGACACAACACTAATTTGACTGCAACAAGTCAGACCCAGCTACAGAAACATTAAATTTTTTCAGGGGGGCACAATTATTTTACCTGCTTCAGGTTTAACGGCAGCTCCGTGGCCACTCCTACAGTATTGAAATGTTATTTTCTCTCAGTAACAAGAGGCATTTCATCTTTAAATATACAGAAATAAAACAAACAAAATACAGTAGTGACTGGAGTGCTGTGTTCATTTTTTATCAATAAAACAGAGGCCAGGGCCATTCAGAGAGCAGGGCCACACAGCTTCACTTCTAGGAACCTAAGCACCGAGCCAACAGTCATACCGTAGTAAACATTCATGCTAGGGGAGGAGGTACATGCTCCCTCCCCTAACATGAATGTTTACTCCGGTGTGACAATTGGCTTCGGTGCTTAACTTCCTAAAACTGGAGTTGTGTGGCACTGCCGCTTCTTCTTGCTTGCAGTGTAAGTTGCATTTTTTTGACAAACAAAAAAAACCACGCAAACAATCAGCTGGTCATGTTGGATATACCAGTGAATATGACGTTGCAACAACATGAAGTCTGATTGGTCAGAAATGGACACACAGTATGCGAAACTTTAGAAAATTCAACCATGATACGAAAAAATAAATGCCGCAGTATCACAGGCTGGGAAAACGTAGCTGAATTGAACGCTTGTATTGACAGGATACGGGTTTGAAAAAAAATCCAAATGATTGCATGAAAAAAAACACGCTTCCAGTGTGTAAGGACCTTTACCCTAACCCTCATCCTAATCCTAACCCTAACTCTAACTGAGTGCAACAAAACATAAAAAATAAACAAAAGAAAAAACCAACACCAACATGATCGGCAAACCACTGTTCAAGTTTATGACTCAAGCCAATAAATTGTATGATATTGTACTGTATATTGATATATTATCTTTGTTACTGATACAGCTAAGTCCTTATTGCAACAAAACCTAAATGTGTAACACTGACCTGTAGCCCATCAGCAACAGTAGCGGTAACTTCTCGACCAGTTTGCTGTCAGTGAGAGTAAGGAAGAGCCCCTAATAAGCATAAGCCATGAGCTCATAACTCCAGAGTGGGTGGGAAGGATTCAGTCCTTAGGCTTCTTGTGATGAAGAAAATACACACAATGGAGAGACAACATTCAATACTTGCATTCTAAACTCCCCAGGCATTTCAAAAGATGGTATTTATCCAAAGTAACAGTTTGAGGCACCAACAAAATAGATGTAACGGTCCCAAAAGTTGTTGGCTGCCTGCACCAAAAGTTTGGTTTGAATGTTCATCTCACATCTGATGGAGAAATAGCTAGCTGCTTATAGATTTTAAAGGTTTTGAGGAGGTATCTTTTAATGGGGTCCATGCCTGCCTGGACATATCCCTGGGAATTATTGCAAAAAGACTGATCTGCAGCATCAAGCTTGCACTTGTTAATCAAGCAGACTATAATCAATAGAAAAGGCCTGCAGTGGTGGACTTAGTTAAAATAGCCAGAGTAAAAATAGTACACACTAGAATAAAAGATATCTTCCCATCAGTGAAACTGGAATTATTGTGGTGCTGCTCACCTCCTGTCTGTAACTAAATGGGCTCTTATGTAATCGATTTTCTTGTGCTTTTTCTTTATATGAAATTCAGCACCTGTTTCTGTCATAAAACAGTTAGCCTTTACAATGAAACGATATTTGTCACTAAAATCTGCACAAAATATAGACTGAGAAAAGTCTTCTTATATATACAGTGTAAAACAACAGCCAAAGTCCAGAGAGTTGCTGACACAGCAAACATTTCTCCCCCATATGTGCTTTTTATATCATGCCTATAGCTGCGGGGCTGTGATTTGTGCATGTGTAGAGCTGAAGGATGGTCCTGGGAGAAAAGCTGGCTGTTGCCTGTGATGGCTGTTTTAAAATGAGTTGCACAAATCAGACAAATTCAATCCAGTGAATAATAATGATAATATAGATATGTAAATACACTGGGATTATAATCTTGTAAACTGCCCTGTAAGCAAATATAAGGATAAAGCAACACAGGTCACCTTTGGTTTAAGCTGAGCCTGTGACATTTTTGGGAGATTAATTTCTGTGCATGCTAAACTCATCAGTATTTTCCTCGGGGCATGTGAAGAGTTCAACAAACACATTTTCAAAGGAAACTTTAATTTAGAGTCAAGATATCTGCAGTCATGGACAAATTCTCCACATGAACTCTGAGCTGAATCAGCTTGATTGGGGCAGAGTAAGACAAAGTAGCTTCCGCTGCCGGTGTGCCAAGACATCCAGTGTCCTTTAAGGATGCAGGGAAAATATCTTTATTCTTTTCCATTACTAAAAGATTCACATCTTTGGATGAGCTGTTGCACTTAAGAGGGCTGTTGCCATGGTGCCATGGACATCGAAATAGCAAGCAGGGCACCATATATCTTATTTCTGCATGTTTTCCCCATGAACAAAAATCTATGTAGCTAATGCGTGCAGTCAGGGATCTGTAGGGCTCTTGTCTTCTTCTACTGATTATTTCTACTTCTGTTTGGCACCTAATATGTATTCCTCCCAGACACATCCAACTGGGATGAGACCCTGGGGCAGATGAGACCACAAGAAAGGGGTTACATATCACATGAGACCTGGGACCTCCATGGGATCCCTCAGGAGGGGCCTAATGTAGTTTTTTATGACAATTCTCAATCCTGTCTCTGTTTCCCATCTGTCTTTATCCGAAATGCTCCTTTTTGGCAAATATTTCAATCACTACAGGCAATGAACTTCCACCTTGATTAGCTCTTAAGTATTCTTCAAAGAAACAGAGCTGCATCTTAATTCTGCCCTCTTTCTAATAAGGGTCAGTATTGTCTCTATTTTATCTCTGTTTTCTATTCCCGGTGGCCCCTTCCGATCCCTCTCTTCCTGTGCTTTGTTCTTCAGGACCTGCTGCAGTATGCTGAGTGCTGAAAGGAGACTTTACCAAAATAAGCACAGCACTCCAACTGCTCTCCTCAATCGACAATTGTACTGCACTTGGTTAATTTGAAAAGTCTGTAGTATGTTTTACCTCCTGTTAGTCTTTGTCTTTTGTGGCATGGTACCTCTCTTGGTTGCTATAGAATTGTAGTGGTATCCTGCCCAAGCAGTGAATTTATGTTATCATAGTGTCAAGCTGTATCAACAAACAAGAAAATATATGTAAATGACTCAAACTAAAATCTCTCTCATTTCCTAGAATACAGATTTAATTAGATAAAATAAAACTTTAATGAAACCCCGGGGAAAAGTAGGTCATGGCAGATGTGGAGAAGATGAAACACTGTAGGTGAGAGCAGCAGCAAATAGAGATACCCAAGGAAAATAAAACAGGGAAATGAAAGTCTGGGGGATTTAGCCTCCTGAATTGTGAGCTCTGTGACAATCAATAAAAGAAGCCTATGCATTTGAGCAGGACTGCATGTCCGCAATTTGTAGATTTAAAAGGACAGTTGTTGCATGCAGATTTTCATGATTGCAGATGGTGGAAAGCATGTACAGAGAAGTCTGTCAAACGATGCAAATGCGTTTTGTCAATTATTGATATATATACAGTGTATTGATAATTCATGTAGGCTATCTACAACAGACTTTTGGTGATTACCAGACAGAGGTTAGATACTTTGGCAGATTTACACCAAAGCACCCATTTTCATGGCTATCACAATAATGTACCTTCTCTTTAAGTATTGCATAAAATGCCTCACTACAAAAACATGAAGTTGTATACCTCCTTATCTAGTTCACATTTGGACGGTTCCTGTGTGTGCTCTTGTTGGGGAAACTGTACAGTGAGACACAGGTTATAAAATGTTCATAGTGGGCCACATCATAATAATTTTAATCATTATGTGCACTTGTTGCAGATATATTTAATTGAATAGGCCTGTAGTGTAATAAGCATTGAATCTTACTCTACACCCGTTCGCCCAATCACGAGCCTCCTTTCATGAAATACACCACACATCAATCTAATCCATACGCTCCGCCCCTGTGCAATACGGTTCTATTTATAGAGATTTTATGTCCTGAGTAAAGTCTACCAGGACTATTTAAATCCAAGTTGTGCACAATTTACCACTCCCTCTTCAACACCAAAGCATTCAAAGTATTTTTTGGAACCACTGCATGAATCTTGAGTTTGACGCGTAATCTGAAGACAGCGCAAGAACAGGATAAGAAATTACCTGCTAGACAAAACTCAGGTTACAAGAACACATGGACAGAAAGCTTCCTTCCCCTTTCCCGTGATGCGTCGCGGCATTGGTACATATGTTTTTGTGCTCGATTATGAAGTTAGTTTCTGAAAAGTTGATAAAAAAATTAACATATATTCGCATTGACTATCGGCATTTGTTTGTAATCGACGTATTGTTGGGCGTAATCATTGGATTTGCACAATTAGTTAAAGCCTGGAGCTTAGTTTGACATCGGTAACTAAGGCAACGACTTTTGACGATAGTCGCGGGAGAATTGGAGGACGCTGAAACAAACATCTGCATTTGAAGGACTCCTTTGACTGCTGTTGATCATGGAGAGAAGTAACTTGGGAAAGGAAAGGCTTATAGTACCTGATGACTTTACCTCAGCGGCACTGTCAGGTGAGTTGACTTTTCAAGCCGGAAATTAAGTTGAAAAGTGTCCATAAGCTCCAAACAGTGAGCTCCATGATGTTTGCCAGCCTACTGCAGGGGAGACTGGGGTAAGTTGATTCCACCCCCTTGCTGCTTGTAAATGGTCAAAGAAATTGATCATGTGACCAAATATTTAGGAGATGGGGACAATTCATGGAGTCTGTGAAGGTTAGAAGCACGTGAGCGAAGGGGTTAGACATATATTTACAAAAAAAAAAAAAAAAAAAAAACATTTTTCACTCTTGAAAGTGAATTTAGTCTGTTACAAGTTTTATTAGAATTGTGTTCGAACCAAGTAGTAGTTCTGGGGTAAGTTGAGTCAGTGGTTCAACTGAGTAAGTAAAGGAGTCTGATGAGAGGATCACAGTTTCAGTTCAGATTGTTGAAATGTGTTACTTTTTCTTTTCAAAAATACAGCTGTGAATGTTCTGAATCACTTAAAGACATTCTCATGTTAAAATGACTTTTTACAAAACAGCTTTTTAGCAGTTATATGCAATAACAATTAAAAGAATTATTGTACCAGTTGAAAGGCATATAATAGATAAAAATACACATGAATGTGAAGAAGTGTACCCCGCTCCTATGGTCAACTTACCCAATACACGGGGTAAGTTGACCATAGGAGACCCCTTTTTTTGGCATGCTAGATTATATAGACAGTTATGTTTTCACTCATTCTGTTGGTTTTCAGGGATGCACGACATCTTGAAATATATGCAGATACACTAGTTAGAGACAAAACTATGATTGACTTGATGTAGTGATCCGAAATATGAAAAGTGGCTCATCTTACCCCACTCTCCACTATATTCCTCCTTATAATTTTTCCACATGCCGACTTTGTCATCAACTTATACCATTACAAAGATAACAGGTAATAGACTACTCAGAGAAGAGAACTCGTCAAGTTTATCACAGCAACTTTCTCAAAAGCTCCATTTGAAAAGTCTTTCAGGAAATCAAACATAACACAGTTGGCAGAGGGCAACTCAAAGCAGACCATCGAACGCATGCGCACTAATAAACATTATTTTATACTATTTAGGAAATATCCAGAAAGAGCTGATACCCCCATCGCATTTCACGTCGAAGATCCAGCCTGCCGGAGCACACAGAAACACCGAACTTCAGGGCCCATCGCCGGCTGTTTCTTGGTTAAACGCAGGTACACCATCAATACCAGAGAATCCCATTCCTGCCAACCCATGGCTCGCTATATCTCAGGCCCAACAGGAAATCTTGGAACTGAAGAGGGAAAATCAGAGGATCATGATGTCAGAGAGAGGAAACAGAGGCGGAGGGATTGCTCTGGCTCACCCATCAGCTCCTGGCGCAAGGTGTCTTGCAATTTTTCTTTTGCATGGTTAAAAATAAAGTTATTGTTTGTCAGCTGGATACTATTTTGAGTGCATGACTTGCTCCTCTTCCTAAAATACAGGTGTGCAGAAAGAGATGAGCAGTGGTTCAGATGGGAATCAGAGTGGCGCCTGGAGGCAGAGAAGCACAAGGCTGAAGCTGAGAGGTTGAAAGGGCAGGTGGAGGCATTAAAGGAGACTGCAGAGAGACACAGAGAAGAGACACGGGTCAGAGACGGCACACTAAATAGGTAGGAGAAATGCTTATGTTGTTATGCAATCAAGACATTTTTCTGTTTGCCAGACATTCTTTACATAACACTTCAGGGACAAGCGATGAATCATTTGAGCAAGCCAAACATGTCAAACACCTTTGTTTGACAGACAGAGCCATGAGTTGGAAGCAATGCGCAAAGAAATACTTCAGGCTAAGGTTGAATTGTGCAAAATCAGAGAGGAGCTCAGTGAAAGCAGTTCACAGAAGGAGAAAATAAGCTCGCAGGTAATGCTGTTTACTGACTAAACATTTCATTTTGACACTGTTGTTGACAAAAATCACCTGAGAATTGCTGACATCTGTATCTCATTCCAGCAGTTTGTAGTCAGGCTTGTTTGGACCATCTTTTCGTCTGTATAAAAGCTTATATTCATCCTATAATTTTAATTTAGCAAGCTTCACAGTGAACAGTTTTATATAGGAGGATTCTTCTATGTTTAACATTTCTCTGTCTTGCAGCTTGAAAGACTGAAGGGAGAATCTAGCGAAGAGATTACAAAGCTGCGGAAAGCTTTAGAAAAGAGTGAGGTGGACTCCCGGGAGCTTGTCCTGAAAGCTGAAATGGGCAGGTTACAAGCTGAGGAGGAAGCCAAACAACAGACTTTTAATTTATCAGAGCAACTGGGGGAAATGCGCAAGAAGCAAAAGGTTGAGGTGTGTGGCACAATCTCTGCATGGAATATTAAACCATCGTTAGCCTTGTACAAACCAATTTGACAGACTCAACTCTGCTTCATTGTTGTGTTGTCTAGCAGGACAAGGATCAAGCAGCAGTGCTTTTTTGAAACTGATCTTTTACTGATAAACTTTCCTCAGGAGGCTAACTAGTTAAAAGAGAGATTTTAATCAGAGATCAATGTAACGCATATTATCTGTTCTTATTTTTTTTTAAACGTCTCTCTCTTAACTTACTTGTAGCTTCAACAGATAGAAGCTTCCCACTGTGCAGAGCTGGATGCAGCAGTTAAAACCAACAGGGAACTACACGACAAACTTCAATCAATGTCCTCAGAATTGCTGCAACTTAAAAGCACTCTGGTGGAGGTGTCTACTGAGAGAGACAGACAGAAAGAACATTTAAGGTGGGTAATATTGAGTCTAAAAGCGAACCAAGAGCTGGACATCTATAGCACTCTGCAGTCAGATTCACTAATTTTGTTGTTGGATACGTTGTTTGTTTCTCAGCCAAATGGGAGTAGCCTTTGAAACACAATCAGCAACACTGCACAGCCTCAGAAATTACATCGGCCAACTTGCCCCGGAGAAAGGAGAAAAGGACCGATTAAGTGATGCTGTGGAGGTGAAGACCACATAAACAGTATTGATTGCAATCAGCCTACTGTAAAGTTATAGCTTTGGGGGAAGAAACTTAAAATCTTCCTTTCAGCAGGTTTAAGACAGAACCATAGAACAAATGACACTCAGATTTATGAATTGACATGCACATTTAATTATGATAACGCGCATTAATTCTTAAGCTCTCCATTCTGTAGAAGCTGAACAAAGAGAAAGCGGCTCTTCAGATGACCACAGAGCTTTTGACTGTCAGACTTAACTCCGTGAATGAAATACTGGCCCTCCAAGAAGAGAAAATGGTGAAGGTCAGTCTTTTTTTCTGGTGATAGCAATGGATGATGCAATCCAGAACCACTGGCAGCGCTCTTAGCTCAAAAAGTCACGTCATACCTCTGTACTGACAAGCTCATCCCTCTGCAAAATAAGGTCTGAACTTTTTATAATCATACCTGTATGTTTTCAAATGACCTCTGATTAGAGGACAGACTGGCTGACATTTTGTTGTACGTTTCTACATGTTTTAAGGGGCTCCACTCTTACAGAATACTTTTTAGATTCTTAATTTTCACCCACCAGGCTAAAGAAATTTTTTCAGCAACAGTCTATCCTGATACTACACTAGTGCTTGGCGATGTGGTCTTAAATCATAATCCCAATATATTAAGGAGTTCACCTCGATAACGATAAGGATGATAATTACTCCACAAGCTGCTCACCCCCTCTCACATTACCTTTGTCTACTTTAGCTGCTGCTCCAGCTGCGACAACTTCTGAACTGTCCTCCATCTCCTCACCTGTCTTTCCCTTTTGTTACGGACTGGATGAGGTGGAGTCACATCTTTGATGTAGGACAGCATCTTACAGGGTCATGAGACCCTAGCCTACCTACACACATCCAAAACCAACTTTTTAAAATTTTATCTTTTGACACTGAATATATCGACATGGTAAATTTCAGTATCTGTAAATTTTCGGTTTATCGCCCAGCCCTATGCCACACCTTCAGTCATTGTGCTGTTACCCAGGATCTGAACATAGAGGGTATTCTTTATCAACAATTATTATCATGACTGTTAACTGTGTGATGTATTTCTCTAAGAATATTCACATGGCTGCATGTTGAGAATATGTGTCAATTTTCTGAACAGAATGGTGTAAACCTTCGAAATGAATGTCAGTTTAATCCAACACCTAAGCTCTCTGGTATCTCTGTATTGTGCCAAACATATGTCTATCATTGTGTGTCTGGAGCTTCTGGCTGTTAGGTTATCAAACTTAGTCTTAACTCGAAAGTTTTAGAAGTCTGAAGTGTGAATGCACTTCATGGAAGACGCTCACACCGATCTTTCTCCAAAGCAGACTCTCGGGTTTTAGATTGATGATAAAACAGCAAAACCCTGCAGGACTGATTTAGTGGCTGAACACTTTACCCGAGGCACTTTTCCAAATGTTGTGTATATATCCAGTCTGACCCTGCAGGTGACATATGAAACATTTTTCCACTTCTAAATGCTTTTCTCTTCATTTCGTAAAAGCGTTTAGGTTTGTCGCAGTAAATGCCAACCTACATAAACTTGGAAATAGCTTTAGCTGTCATCGTTGACAGCTTGGATTATTTCAGTTTTTATCAGACATTGCATTGTTGTTGGTGAAGCAGAAACCATTTTGAAAACTTTCGGTGGATACTAGATTTGAAAAAGAGAAAAGAAACTTATTATCTCAACTATGCTTTAGAAAACACCAAGGTTCACTTGCGATCAATAATCACTCATATGTTACACTTAGTTTGAAATTCTGTTTTCTGTGTGCGTGTGTGTGTTTCAATAGACCTCGACAGACCCTCTTGTGAAGAATGAATCTGAAGGCCTTCAAGTGCTTCGGCTCTGGAGAGAAAAAGTATTCAAGTTATGTGTCCAGCTCCGCTCAAAAGACATTGAACTGAAAGGAGAAAAGGATGAACTTCTTTCAAAAGTAGGAAATCAGTCATCAGTTGGTGTGCTCTGACACATTCATGCCTAATGTGTTTAAAACTATGATACAGAATGGCACCTTATTGGTGTGTGTTTTAGGTCAGATCTACAGAGCAGCAGCTCAAGCAGGAACAGCGTCAGGCCAGTGTGCTCCAACACAGTCTGGATAACAGAAGAGCTGAGTTGGACCTGGAGAGAGTAGAAAAGGAGGTTAGTATCAAGTGATGTGATTTACGTGGGTGTCAAAAAATTTGATGATGCATGATAAATTTGAGGCTGCATAGGAAAGTGATGAATGCCTGTAAATTTGTACCACTGCACACAAGCTGACTCTACAAAAACTTTGCTAGGTTTCAGTAGAATAGGAGGTTATTGACAGCTACTGGGGGTGAAGTGTTTTTAAAACTGAGCCTCACTGTGGATCTGAGGGAGGCACTCAGTTTGTATCTGTGTTTTCTTATTCCAGACACTGAAGATGGACTTGGTCCAGGCTCACAAGGAAAACTTCCAGCTAAAGTCACAGGGTGAAGATGCAAAAGCTGGTCTGAACATTGCTTCAGAAGCAGTGAAGAGGTAAACTACATTACTCTGGATTCAAAATTTGAGAGTTAATCAAAAGTTTGAGAAAATGAAAGGGAAAAATCATGCCAGTGCTGAGACTCTATACAATTAATGTTGCACTCTTATAGATTTTGACTTTTGCCTCACAGGTTTACTTCAGCATTTGAAAGCAAAGTGGCAGAGATGGAAGCAGCTCAAACAAGACTCAATACTTTAACTCAGAGGCTAACTTTTGCTAAAGGACGAGTGGAGACTATTCAAGGTGGGATGTCAATGGACATTAATGTGCTGAGTACAGTTCAGATACAGAAAATACATCATGATGTTTCATGTTGAACAGGTTTGATCTTGAGGAGGGTCGCTCTTCAGAAAGCTCAGCTGGCTTGTAAACAGACAGAGTATGCTACAGAGAGGTATGTGCTCATTTTTACACCTGAAAGATCTGTACTCAGTCTTCTTCTCTTTGTCTCATTATCCACGAGTTGAACTTTGTTAAATTTGTTAATAAGCCTATTTTTTAAGTTTTGGAATCAAGTGTCACATACTGCCTGTAGCTAACCTCCATTACCCATTTTAATTAATTGATCACAATGATTAACCCCCTAATTGCATCAGTATTGCTAAAGGCGTGTTATGTTGCTTTGAAGCCAAAGCCAGGTCTTCAATATGCTAATTTGTTCTGTTCAAGTCCAAAAAGTTTAATTTTTGATATGTAGTGAAGACGCGTCTATTTGCATTTCGTTGCTGTAAACAGCAGATGCTGTTCTAATTTTTCAGGTTGTGTAGCTTGTAAAATTTTAATGCTCATTTTACACTGAAACTATTTCACTGCTCTATCATGGAATGGTGGTTATTTGCATGAACATTTATGTTGCATAGATAAAGAAATCTGTGATTTATCTGCATGTGAGAGTTTTTAATCTGCTGTTTGGAGAAAAGAGTTGCTTTTGGCTGTTGAGAGTTTAGCTTCCTCTGTAATGCACCACACAGCTGCTTCTCTCACCCTCTCTTGCTCTCTGTTTGACTACCAGCCCCTTAATTTTCTCTAACACTCATCTGTGTTTCCCTGCAGCATCACAAACCTTCAGACTGAGCTGAGTTTAGTGCGTGAAGAGAGAGACAAACTCACACAGGAGCTCAAAAGAACCCCAGAGCTCATTGAGAAAGCTCTGACTGACCTAAAAGAACAGCGTGAGCACCTTCACACCCTGCAACACCTTTTGTCAGAGGTCATGGTAGTGTTTTCTGCTGTCTTTTTTTGACTTTTGAATATCTTTCTCAGATGAGATCAAAGTGCAGCAGCAGCAGAAAGAGCTTGAGAAGAGCTGGATGGAGATCGGTCAGGCACTGGCAGCAAGGGAGGAGGCTGAACAGAACCTGCAGGAGCTCCGAGCCCAGCTGAAGGAGAGTGAATTCAACCTGGAGAAACTCCGCTCTGAGCTGCTCAGCCAGCAGGAGCACAGCGACCGTGGTGAGGCAGTGGCTAAGACATGCCTGTTTTTCAACCTTGACTTATCCAGGGAAAGCCGACTGAGTGCCTCCTCTTTTCCCCAGAAATGTCCTCCACATTTTCACACCTGGCCACCTCTTGTCTGCTCCGTAGCTTTGCTGGAGCATTTGGGGATTATGTGACACACTCAAGAGCACCTTGAGAGTAGATGTTTAAGGGGGAGTTACTGATACCAATACCATTCACCGTTTGATTACACAGGGCCACTTTAAAACTTCTTATCTTTGGACCTGTGTACATTTTTTCCATGTCAGTTTTAAAACAATTATCAGGACACAAATGCACATCCTAATTTAACTGATTGTGTAGCTGCTTGAGGGCAGAAACAAGTTAAAAACACAACATTGACTTTCTGTACCCTCTACGAGTTGATTAGTCAGACCTTAACATCCACACATGCAGTATTCATCTGTTTCTCTGTGCAGTACTCGCACTACTCTCTGCATTGTTTGACTTTCCACTCTTTCCAAAGGGAAATATCTGCCTCTTTAGGTGCTGATTGTTTTACTGTTTTCACCAGTGAGTCATTAATTGTGTATGCGCCTTTTGTTGCTGGACATGCCGCATACAGAGGGGGTTTTTGAAGTTTTTTTATTATTAAATTTTTTTTACCACAAGGGAACTGCTGCCTGATTATACTTTAAAGAGTTTCTGTGCTTTGAAGGTCAGTTATACCTGCCTTAATAGTGCACACATCGAAAAAATGTGTCATATGCTCCTCCAGCTGCAAAGAAATGCACAAGCTTTAATCCCTAACTATCATTTAAAACCAGATGAGCATCAGGCTGCTGTTTTACAGTCTTCTTCATGCTGGTTTCAGGTAAAAAAGGAGACTTCAAAATGATTCACTCTCTTTTTTTGTTTGCTTTCTTGCTGTTATGAACATTTGTTAACAGATGCAATAAAATCCCGTTTATCCCCTGATGTACAAATGCAGCATTAGCATGCGCTCCTCATTGTGTGAGCTACTGTACTGAAGAAGCCTACATTTGTCCATCTCGCCCCTTCAGCCCTGCAGGAGAGAGTGTCTGAGATCAAGGACCACTGTGCTGAGAAGCTGAGAGAGATGGAGGATCAGGTCAATACTGCCAGGAGGGAGCACACCAAAGCAGGTAGCAGGATTAGCACCATGCTGCCTCAGCCCACGGAAGCTTAAAGCAGGGGGCTGAAGTCATCACTGTGATCTAATATGGTTGTGATTGTTTACGCAGCATATAGCAGCGATTTCCCTGTGGTTTTGGATCAGTCTGTGCTATCTCTTGCAGTTATGACTTTGCGGCAGTTTCAGAAAGAGGCAGCGAAGAAGCATGATGAGATGAGAAAAACGCCACACTATAGGAGTGAACACACAAAAAGAAAAGTCCAGAATGAACAACAAAAGGATGTGGTGAAAGATAAAAATCTGCTCCTGGTGAGAATTTGCAAAGCCACTGGAAGTTGTGAGAACTTTTCTTTCTGTCTTCACTCTGTTGATTGCTCTATATAACTCAAGGTCTCTTTCAAATGTAAGCATACTAAGGCTCAAACAACAGCTGGACAAAACCCTCCAGCACCCTGGGAACATCCAGAAAAATCTTCAGACAGACATGCAGATGGTGAGAAGCGTCTTAATTCTTTAAACTTGGGACAATTATTTTTCAGCTTCCAAAATTCCCAACATATCTGGTCTGACCAATTGTTTGTCTGCTTCCTGGCAGCAGGGCTCCTGTCTGTTTTGGAGGAGCTCCACTGCCTCAGTGCTGCGGTGGTTAACAGCTCTGAGGATTCTGCGGAGGAGGGAGTGGGACAGAGTGACAGCGTGGGACCGTCCACAGGCAGTCTGACAGCTGATACCTAATGATGAGTCACTCGAGCCAGCCAACATACCTTTAATTTGTTTAAAAGGTGGGCAGTGATGATGCTTGAGGAGCCAGAAAAACACAGCCGAGGGAAAATAATGGCTTTCAGTGCAGATTCAGTGTACTTGGATTGAAAACAAACAGGAAATCTTTTGTTACATCTTCTGTGTCCGACCAAAGATGAATTTCATTCACTGAGAATTCTGGGAAACACTGATGGACACAGTATTAGACTCAACAAAGACTTACGGCTGTATCACCGCTCCTGAATTCTAATGAGTAAATCTCAACACAAGTGCAATGAAAAACTCTGATTATTAAGTAATCTGCGGTAAAAAAAAAACCTTTTTTGCAGAATAATTTGCATTTTTATTTCTCGCAGGGTCTCAAATTGCTTAACGGTTAAAACACTTTCATATCTTTCACTTATTCTAAAGGATATTTTCTGCTGAAACCTGTTTTAGTTGTTCCTTTTTCACAGTCTAGAGCCACACAAACCCAAAAATCTAATATGAACATTTGTGTGATCTTTATACATTTCATGTCGCAGAACATTGTTTTTTAAACTGCATCAACTTCAATAAATACAGATAAGTGACTTTTTTTTTTTCAAAGCCATCTTTATCTAATGGCAGTTAGAAATGTGCCACAGTAGCTGACGAGTTGCTGTCTAGTGTGCACAGACGTCAGCTCTGCAGGCACTGACCCTAGTAGTTTCTGTGATGATTCAAAAATATCTGTTATGTGCAGAGATTTGTCTCAATTTTCAGTGCAGCCTAGAGAAATAATATTGATATTGCAGATCTGTTGTGTTTAAGCAGTTTAGAGGATATACCTAGGAAGCCGTTCATAATACATCAGATATACAGAAGCGCAGATACAAATATGATAAGCTAGCTGCATAAGAAATGAAAAAATACAATAGAGTTTCTCAGGTTTAGTGAAGAAATCTGCGGTTGTTTGCTGAAGCAGGTGTAAATGTCATTGGTTTCTCCATCAAAGAGGCACAATAGGGAGGACCTGTATGATTTCAAATGGAAAGAAATCAATATTTCTTATTATAAGTTTCTCTATAGAGGTGAATCTGAAAGTGACTGTGCAGTCATAGGATGGATGATGATAAACATCATGATGAACTAGATAATTGTGCTATTTGTCATGTTGTCACGAGTGCTAATAAATTTTACGGTAGTTTAGAGTTTCAAGCCTCTAGGTAAAACCATCTTATAGAGAGCTCAGCAAAATTACTAATAAAGTCTAGACATCTCTACTCTCCTTTTTTTTTTAATAAGAGCATCACAAATATTTTGCAGACACTCACTGCTGGAGAGGTAATTCATCACAGCGAGCAGAAGATGAAAACATCAAATACATTTTATGAAAGAGTATTACTTGATTTCAGCGGAGCACTCTTGCATCTACTGAGCGCTCCAGAGTTTGCAAAACAGCATGAGAGACATGAGAGCATTGTGATGTGTATTATGTTTCATACAAAGTCTGTGATAAACAGTGAAAGACAGGGATGGAATCAGCGTCTAAACCTGAATGCACCTCTTAAAGGAATGTGCCACCAATTTTAATGCTCTGACATTGGTCCAACAAACCTGTGTAAGAAGCAAGCAAACATTAATAACACTGGGCTATTAGTTATTTAGCAGTAGAAGACAATGTTCATGTTTGCTGGAGAAGAGACGCATTTAAAGATAGTTTCTTCATTCTCAAGTGCAGTCAAAAACCACCAGAGGGCGATATTGTCAAAGGTGAGAGCAGCTCATAAATTGCAGCAATTTCCAGAATTCTGTTGGGGATTCTTTTGATATTTTTTGTTAGAATATTACTGAGGACAATCCTGACAAAATAGCCTCTATATGTTACTTTATGTTCTTACCTGCAACCTTAACCAGGCCAGGATGGGGTGAATATAATGTATGACCACCTTTTGAGCCTGTATGAACTTCACATTCTAGTCGTTGGGCAAAAATTGCAACTCCTGCCACAGATGTCAAAGCAACAAAACATGAGTTATTTAAAATAGTTTTTCATCCTGTAGCATTATTTAGTGTTTTCACGGTGGCTATTCAACCCAACCCTGAAACTGCTTTAGGCAAATATTCTTTTAGCACCAGATTAATCCAGAATCATTCATCAAACTGCTAGTAAAGAGTGACTCTCCTCTCCACAGGACAAGCTTACAGAGTCCAGTGTGGGTTGCTCTACATCACACTGGCTGATACTTGGCGTTGCACATCTCAGAGTGAGGATTGTTAGACAGAGGAAGTTTAGGCTTCTGTAAGTGATGCAACAGTTGGTAGGGTATTTTTGCATGGACTCTAGATGTGCATCTGAACTGTTGATGCTTCCAGGTGCTTGCACTTCACAAAAATAACATACAGTTGAGGCAGGTTCAGAAGGGCAAACTTGCAGCAAGGACAACATCCTATGAATATGGTACATTTAAAGTCACCAAACTGTTCGTGACCCATTCTGAAGTCGTCTTATTAGTGTTTTGAGGATTTAATATTTATGCATTAGATTTGATGCACTTGTTTGCAGTGGATGTGGCTAAAAAACCTCAGAAAATAAGCATAGTAGTGTGTGAAGGTGTGGTTTGGACTCTGCTTACAGCTCCAAGATGATTTATAAATCATTCTAAATGAGAAACTCTGAAAGAAATATTAGCGCTTACCCTGTTTCTCTACAGACTGGGAACAACAGGCTTTCATAATTCTGGTCAAAAACTCTCTGTATGACGTTAAATGTTTATACTTTGTTGTGAGTGAGGAAAAAAGGGATTTTTCAACATACAGCTTGATTTTAACTATTTCCATGTCCTTATTGACTGCAGTGAGAAGATTATTGTGTTTCAACCAGACATTGCTGTGGTAGACTGATGAATAATTTTGTGTAACATTGCAATCCAAACATGACATGAAATAAATTAGGCAATAAAAAACAGTCAATAACCTGCCAGTAGATTTTTATTAACAATTCAGAATGGAAACTTGATTCAAACCAGGAAGTGCACACCATCTGTGTTTTTACTTGTCTGACTCCCAGTAGCTGTAGGGCTGGGTACTGACTCTGGCTCTGGAGTTGCTGCTTGTGTTTAAATTAGCTTAAAATTTCAGTTTTCGAAGGTAGAAAATAAGTAAAAATGCAGTAACTGTTCGATAGCATACTAAAAAGGAATTATTATTTTTTGACTCTGTCTAGCTGTCTCTCAGAAGCTATAACCATACAAATATAAAATAATCTTACTAAATGCAGAGTGACATAAGATAAGAAGAATTTTATTTATCCCCAAAGGGAAAATTTAATTGTCTGTCGTCTCATTTGTCATGTCTCAAAATAGTTATCTACTATTCACAGAAGAGTTGTTAAGTCTGATGACTGTGGGTACAAAAGATCTTCTGAACCTTTCTGTCCTGCAGCGAAGACAGACGAGCCGTCCACTAAGGGTGTCACTATACAACTTTTTTTACTTCTGATACAGTACTGATATTGTAGCCTTCAGTATGGCTGTTACCGATATTGATCTGATATTGGCACAAACTTGTGCATGACAAGTTTTGCACTCAGCTGCAACGTCTTTTTTGGACTTAAACAAAAAATACTGCCACACAGCCATCATCACTCCTACTCCCTGCTTCTTTGTTAGCACCTTAGTACACACTGTTGTTGTGATTTTGTGGGCTCCGCCTGCTTGATCCGGTTGCTGCTAGTTAGAGGTGCTGGAGCAGAGTCTGGAATGGACCACTTGTATCGGAGTGCTGATATCGGAGATTTTACTTGCAGGCTGATATAATCCGACATTAATTTCTTGGCTGATATCAGACCAATATCCGATATCAGCATCGTATGGGGACACTCCTAACATCCACCACCATTGGCCCTTTGGTCCATCAAGGTGTTGTGAAGTGGGTGATCCATGTTTTTTAGAATAGTCTCCACCCTCCTCAGTGTAGATCTCTCCACCACATCCTCCACTGAGTCCAGCTTGAATCCAACCACAGAGCCAGCCTTTTTTACCAGTTTGTTCAGACTTCTTCCATCTTTGTGTTTGATGCTTCCTCCCCAGCAGATTGCAGCGTAAAACAGCACACTTGCCACCACAGACTGATAAAACATCTGCAGCATCTTACTACAGTTGTCTATTGATCGGAGTCTTCTCAGGCAAGAGGCGGCTCTGCTCCTAAAATATAAAATATAGTCCCAACAACATGTTTCTAAGCAATATTTTTGTGCACAATTTCACATCTATTTGAGATTTCATGTTTGCTTTAGTACCATCCCTGTCCTTTAGCCAGTTCTGTGATGTTGCCTTTACTGACCACTATTTCTTATTGATAGATTTCATTGTCTTCTTATTAGCCTGTGCACTTTTTCTCCACCCTCTGGTTCTGATGCTGATGTGCTGTCAGAGCGCAGCGCGTCAGATCCAAACATCTGTGGTCATGGGCCCCGCCTATCATCAGCTGTTTGCATGGAGGCTAAGTTCCAAACCTGTTACAAACTAAATCTCCCAACCTACAAGTTTTTTCCACTGTCTGTATGTTGTGGAGAGAGTTTCACTAATAGGTTTGAGTGCATATTTAAGAGATCATCAATGGCCTTAAAATACCAAGTCAGATTTTTATAACTCAACAAAGGGATTTTTACAGAATCGAGGAGATAGAAAAGAAAGTGTTTTTTATTACCTTAAGAGACACCTGCATGAGGACAGATGCTCTTTGCACAAAATGCTCCTGATTACAGGCTCTTTCTTGTTGCTCTTTACTGTCTTGGCAAATCTTATTTTCTGCGTTTCTAATCAAACTTGTGGTCAAACCTCTACTTATCGTAAGTGTTGTGAAGCACAATTTTCTGCTGCAAAATGATGTTTTACACTTTAAAACATGTCTTCCAAGTCTTGTCCTTTTGGGGGTAGTCCTCCTTTAAGTTTGTAAAAAGTCAGAGCCCAGAATTTGGCAAAGTCTATCATGGACTTTATTAGCGCTGTGTCATTTTGCAGTCACATACAGTTTTATTTGCCAACCCAGAGTTTGATTTTATAACTCTGTTTACAAAATGTCCTCTGGAATACTAACTCCTGTGTTTTTGGATTAGAGGATTACATGCTGCATAACAAGCATCACTTCCCCAGTCAGGGGATGGAGATAACATTTGATTTAAGTTAATAACTGCTTCAAACAAACATGTCTGACGCTGGGCTTTAGCTTGTGATGCCACCAGCTAACATCTTTGCAAAGTTCTCTCAGGCCGGAGGTCAGAGCAAACTTGAAGCAGAGCGAGAGGCTGATGTGATCCAGAGAGTCAGGGCTGTCGACCACCAGCACTGCATGCTGTATTACAGCTTGCTGGATGGATATGTGCTGCTGTGGCAGGCCAAGCTACAGGGAAGAGAGCAGCAGCAGCCACGGAGAGTGGTGTGAGAGAGGGAGCCAAGTTACTCTATTTATAGATGCAGGCGATGTGGAGCATGTTTGGAGGGGGTTCTGTGAGCTGAACTGTCCAATCTTCAAACTACAGCGACACTTTATGAGAAGTCCCAGAAGGTGTTATTGATGCAAATTTTATAACATGACCACAAGCACGACATTTTGAGATGCATCACGAAGAAAAGTAAGTCAAGAAGTTCACAGAACCGCGCCAAGTTTAACACTCATCCGAAGTAGCGGTGGGAATCACCAGATACAATATTACTGCAATTTTAATCATCTTGCAATACAGTGAGTATTGTGATTCAATCTGTTGCGATTGATACATTTTTTTCAACTGTTTAGCTAATTTAGCATTTGTCTTTCCTTTATGTTTGTCTTATTTACACAGTATTTTATTTTCATGTAGCACATCTTTCAAACCTTGTGTGTCAGGTCCATCTCATTTGTGCCCTTCTGGATTTCTAATGTCTTTCCCCAGGTGCTGCTATGTTTGTTGCATTAACTTTCTCCTACTCTATCATATCACCTCTGCCAACCTCACTGGACAAACAGTTGGCTTATTTTTCCATTATCATAGATTTGACTTCATATTGACAATTAATTTGAAAAAAACAATACTTGGTCAATGAGACAATACGATATATCTCTAGACAAAATATCACGATACTATGCTGTATCAATTTTTTCTCACACCCCTAATCCGAAGAGTGGTATTAGTCTTTATTTTGAGGGGAACAGTGAGGCAAATCAACCACAAGCAAAACAAAAATTCTTGTGTTAGCAACTCTGAATTTTCAAATACTTTTCAATTTATTTTGACAGCTTTGATCGATAAAAAAGTAATGACTTGAAGCAAGAGCTCTTTACTGAGAATGTTTGTAGGTAGTATCCAACATATGGTTTCTTTATTAAAACAGTGATCATGAACAGGTCCTTGAAGTCTCCACCTGTGCCAATCAGTCACCTAGTTTTGAGCTGTAATTGCAGTTTGCCTTCAGGCTGATCAGAGCAATTTGGGATGGAGCTGCTGAAGTATGTTTTGCAGAGTTAACAAGATGCAGTACTAAATGAACGAATGTTGTAAAAGTTGTGTGCCACATTTGATCATGAAAATAAGACATGTGATAAATCAAAGCCTAAAAGCTAAAATATAAGAATAAGAAAAGGAGATGGATTTACTTGAGGAAAGTTGTGAAAACTGAAACTTGGGTAAAGTTTGAATCCCTGATTAAAAACGGGATTAGTGCCTCGTTTGTGGTGTAGTGGTATATATCCTTGTGGGGGTAAACTGAACTAATCAGCGTATGTCAAGAGTAACACCTGCCCAGGAGCTTTAATCTGAACTTCATTTTAAACACTGCTCTGAAACAGGTTCGATCCAGGCCTGCGTAGATATACTAAAACACAGACTGAATCTGTGTAGAGGCAAATAAAAACAGTTTTCTAAAAGAGACATAAGAGCACTGGCCCTCTTCTTTTTTTGGATTTCATAATCATGCTACCTGTTTCTTTTTCTCACAAACCTTCAACCCACCCTTTTTTTTTAACAGACCTCAGGTTATCTTACGTAAGAAAAATAGTGTGAACCTCTCTGTCTAAATATAAAAGTGACTTGTATCTGTGTAGGATGTAACCGGCATCATAATCCGCCTCTAATGCATCAGCCACCAGTATCCTAATATCTCCTCTCTTTTCCTGGAAGCCTTTCCTTTTACCATCAGAGCTTTTTCATTTAGTGCGCTTTTACCTATACTGCAAACCTTGCTGGGCGTCTAATATGCATTTAAAAACCATCACTGGTCCCCTGCTCCTTTGTGTTCGTATCGCTGTGAAATGTTGGCAGTAAACATTGCATTCAAAAAGTGCTTTGTTGTTGGATTGCACCCCATTTCGACTGGGCTCGACTTCTAATGGCTCTTGTATAAGCAGGATGGCAAAAGCTGCAGCACTCTTTGAGCCTTACACCCTGTTTGTTTTCAGAAAACTGTAATAGAATATTTGACATTATACTGAAATGTTAAATTAGCACATGAAATATCCTTCAGTTCCACTCTTTTAGAGGTAATTTGAACTATAGAGAATACCAATGCAAAGTCAGCCAAAGGGCAGGAAGTCTGATGTTAGTTTTGTCCTCAAAAACATCTGTTGTTGAGGTCTCATCGGGCAGGAAAACAGACGAGGAATGGAGGAAAACAGAGCATCGATAATTAAAACTGCCGGGTTAATTTGTTTTGTTCCGAGAGCTCTTTGCCTGTGGGATACGCAGTTAAAGACGTGGGAATGTTTAATCAGATTTTCATTAATATTCATCCATGTTGCTGCACCTTCCCTCCCCCTGGTTACCATCATGCTGTTGAAATAACACTTCCTAATTGCCAAATTTTTTTAAACTTAAATTTCATCATTTTCTCAATTTGTGAGTAATCTGTTCAACAAAAAATAGTTTAGATTCAGTTGCTGCTTTTTCTTTCAGAAACACTTTGTTTGAGAGGATCACTGTCTGACAGTTTAATTACATTCTCAGGGTAATAATGGACAAGTGGACATATCCCCCCAGTGGAATAAACTCTTTTCAATTATTTTAGATCACAGTTTTCTGTCATGTCAAGAGGAAAAGAATAATGGTATGCTTAAGCAATTCTTCCATCTGCATTCAATAAATACCCTTCAGTTTCTGACTCTAAGAAAAGAGTCTAATGATCACAAAGCGCTCTGATTCCTCCCTCCATATTTTACCTTGCCTCAAGCTTCCCATTCCTGTAACACATGCAAATGCTTCAGTTTGTTTGACATGGTTTAAATAGAAAAATACAATCCCCTGGCTCATTTTTCAGACATTTAATCTGATAAATAACAGATTGACTCATTAAATAGTGTAGCTGACCGTTAAAGAGGCGGTCTTACCTGCACTGGGGTGGAGAGGTGAGCCTAGGTAGCTGTAATTTTTGTTGACCACGCTTTATGTTCTTTGTTTTGCAGTGATACACGTCGCAAAGTGTACACATACTATATCTGATGTGCGTGTGTAATCATTGGCCATTGTTGTGATCATCACTGTTGCTTGGTCACCTTTTCCTTCCACACTTTTCCCTTCCAGTCAACTTTCCATGTATCTGCTTCCATACAGTGCTCTGTGATCAACCAGCCTTTTCAGCAATGACCTTCTCAGTGATTATCTCCTGGACAACTATCAGGTCAGCGGTCCTCCCCATCATTGTGGTTATGTGTACTGAACCAGAGTGAGTGAATAAAGGCTCAGTAAACCTTCAATATAAGTTCAACTCTGGGGTCTTTTTCTTTTCGCTTTAGCAGGAGCTGTGATTTCAGTTTTGAGTCTGTATCATCTTGGTTCATTTCAAGCTTGAGATATTGCCCTGTTATGTGTTTCAGATCAGCTTAGGCTCAGTGAGGAAAGATGGAGACTGACTGTGATCAGCTCCTGTCTCTCTTTAGTAATACTGGGTTTTCAGTAAAAGGCATGTAAGGACTTAGTCTGTGTTATTCAAGGATTTTTTTTTATTCCTGCTCATGCGTTTGTCACATCTTGTTTACATTATTGTTGTACTTGCAGAGCACAGTCATCCTTAAATCATCCTCAGTTGGTCAAAAACTCGCCTGCGTGGCTCCTAGCAAAGTCTCCTTACTCATACTTGTCCTGTGAAAGCTTGTTTACATTATTTAAAACTACATTTCACATGGTTTTTAACCCATCTAGTCCTTTCATGGCAGACCTAGAACCTGTTTTTACACAGTCCCAATTTGACTTAAAGCCAAGTCAGTTAAAGTCTTTATGCAAGCATATACACACCATTTACTGAGTTTAACTCACTACTTAATCACTGAGCAATAATGCTCACAGCTTGATTATTATCTGTGCAGTAAATTTGACAGGTGGCAAATGCTCACTTTAGTGTCTTCATTAGGCCCATAAACTCTGTGATCAACGCTGTGTGTCCAGTATTTAGTGAATTGTGCTATCTGTGCAAAAATCTTCAAGAATGAGCCAAAAAATGTTCATCCATTCATTATATCAACTGTTTACTGCAGGATTAAACACACTACAACAAACACAATGTCTCAGAGACAAAACCTAACTGTGCTGGGTTGTTTCATTAGATGGATGAAGCAATTTTGCTTTGCTGTTTGGCCTTTAGGATCAAAGTTTTAGCTCTTATTTTTCTTCTAGTTTTACCATCGGAGTGTTTGTCTCAATCACAGTTTATCACATACATGTGCTGGCTAGTTGTCTCTCATCTTTGGCAGTTTTCTTTGAAAGTACATTGCTTTCATTTAAGAAAGAAAATCTGCTCTATTTTTCTAAATGAACAAAACAATCATCTCAAAATTACAGGGCAAATTTTTGTAAATTTAAACATTTTTGCTCTGTTTACCGAATTAATAACGGTCTCTTTAATGTAGATAAAAATAACAGGAACTTTTTTCCCTAAGTGAATATAATACACCTCGGTAGATTTGTGCTCTTTGAAAATGGTAAAAGTCTACATCTGTTGACATTTTTAGGTTAATTATTGGCATTCAGTCACTTCCTGGCCATTACTGTTTGATGTGTAGTAAATTAATAATCAATTTAGAAATATAATACACAATGTGGACTTGTTAACTTTAGCTTTAAATTAAAACCTACTGAATCTTTCTCACAAAACAATCAAACTCTGTTGGCTAGAAGGTGGCTACATGCTTACTTCAGCTTCAGTAAATGAAATGCTAAATAGAGATTGACCAATATTGTTTTCCAGGGTTGATAATTATCTATGGAACCAATTTCCGTTTATGACAAAAATGAGAATCTTCTTATAAATATTTTGAATGTAACAAACTCTAGCACGTAACTTTGTCTGCAAATGTTAATCCAAAACTGAAATGTTCAACATCACGTACAGAAGCAAACGGTTTACCAGTTACGCCAACAGTTTCATCACACAGTCCTGTGATGTCTAGTCAATCAGATAGTGTTGTTGGCATAGATATCTATAAGAAAGGCTAGATGACTCGAGGCGGAGTCACCAATGTCCCTACACGGCGGCTATCTTACTACGGTATACCATTCCGGTACGCTCTATGGTAGCTGACAGAAGTTAAGTAATCTGCATGATCAAAAATACTCTTAACGCGCTGAAATCCTGACAGATTTACAAATGGTTTTGTTTTTTACATACCTGAATAATGTGGCTATGATTCGGGATGCTTGGACATATTGAAATAGAAGCTTTTCTTTGAGAAAAAAAAAAGACTCAATCATTCAGCACAGTTGTTTCATGGCTATTTGCGCACAAGGGCTAACTTTGAGTCCCTTTGCGGGAGTTGTCAAGGCTGAGATCACAGTCACTCATCAATTTTAATATCTTGTATGACAGCCTATATTTTTTTGTCTAAGTGACAGCCTTTGTGGATGTGCTTGTGTTTATCAGCTTGGCTGACAGACTGTAATGTTATGAGTGGACGAGCTACCTGACGCAAGATGGCCGCCATGCGCGGACGTCAGTCTCCATTGGCTTACAGCGTGCGTAAGCCATCCAGCGTTTATATATGTATCTATGGTTGTTGGCAAGACATTAGGTAAACAAAGTGCTGCATACAAAAAAAAAAAAAAAAAAAAAAAAAAAACTGACCACACACACTGGCAGTGGGGCCAAAGAAGCACATCTTTTTAATAGATTTATTTTATCTACTGTCAGTACAATAAAGGCTGATACAGATAATCGGCCAAATGCCAGATATTAGCCCCAATAATCGGTAAAGGCCAATCTTAAAATGTGTCTGACTGCACCTTCAAATTTTCACTTTTCATCTTCAGTGTAATCTTAAAGTCAAACAGCACAAAAAAGTGGCATCCAAGCAGAGAATTAGAGAATTTATTTTGGATACACGTTCATGTCCCCCTGAGGATGGATTGTCCTCATTTCCCATCTTCAGACTGTGTAGGTCAGCCTTCTGATGCTAGCATCTAGTCCCTGCTCTGCCTTCACTAATGCCAAAAGAGCTGCTATTAATATAGAAGTTTAGGGGTTATACT